TTACTACAATAAATATGTGTTACCACCAATGAACGCAGGCTTCTGCTTGACGTAACAATCAAATTTGTCAGCTGTAGGTGGATCCCCAGGGGTCGGATGAATATCAGTTGTACTACTGCTCGCTTTTGCGTTGAGTAGCCTTTCCATAGTCTTTTATACTCTTCCACCCAACAATGATTCACTGAAGAAGCATATGGGGCAAAACACAATCAAGCTGATGGCAAATTACCAGGTAGGGCTTCATCATTGTTGCCTAGAACCAAGGTCGATTATTCTCCCACCTATCGGCCATAGATGTGTTCTTGATAAGGAGGTTTTGCGGGATAAATTGATGGATCTATTTTCAGCCCCCAAATCAGTTCTTGAGTTGGCGAACTGCAGATGTAAGAAAATTTGTCAAAACAATTTATGCACGTGTGCCAAAATCAACCTAATTGCTCAGATTTTTGTTTTTATATTGACTGCAAAAACCACAGTACACTTATAGAGGAAATGTCGATTTTCGAGATAGTGGATTTTGGAAACAATTCAAAGGAAAGTGAATTAGATATTGAAGTTGAGTTACAAAAATTATTATTTATTTGTTTTTCGGACATCTGTTAGTGTCGTAGTCTTGTTTCTAGAAATAATATTGCCTTTGTTCAAATACATAACCACATAAACTAAAAAAAGACTAATTGTATATTTTCTGTTCACTATGTTATGTACATTCATTTAATTTTCTTTACTCTTCCGGTAAATTTCCAAGTGAGAACTAACTGATTTATTTGTGTTTTTGTGCTCACGATGTTAATTTGTGACTTCATTGCTTTAAAAATGATTACGTTTGATAGCTTCTATAAAATGAATGCAACTTCTTATGCTGTTCTTGTGGTAAACTGCTTGTGGTTATTACATAAAATTCGCTAATCTGAATCAGCGTTGTTGTTGTCGCTGCTTGAAGACCTTTCGAAGTCCCTCGCGACTCCTGTCACACAAAATATTTTCCTTTGTTGGTAACATGTATGGCATATTTTTCGTAATCTACATAATAAATAATGATTGACTGAGGAAGTCTGATTTTGGTCAGGCAAGACGTTACAGCAATACATTTGTGTTAGTGTGCTGTAGGGCTCTTGAATTGCATAGTTCTCATGCTGCGTTGTTGTAAAGCTATGGTTATTGAATTTCCGGGAACCCCTTATATTCAATTACGCATCAGGATTGTGGAACAAGCTGTAATGCGTTCAGTATGTTCATTTTCATACAAAACTAAAGAATTTATTTAGTTACCAGATGTGCGCTATGAAAAACAATTTCTGGGCGTTTTTCAAGGCATCGTCTCACGGCCCATATCCGTGGTATTACTCTACAAATGTTTAATAACTTACTTATACTTTTTAACAACGTCCTTGCATAACTTAACTAATGGACCTTTCCCCAACCTTTGACCCCCGATAAATTCTTCCTATAAACTACCATTGCAAAATTTCGGGGCTATTTTAAGAGTGCTTTTGCGAGTTGGCACCGGTAAAATGGAGTATGTGTTTCAAACCATCATTATGATTCATCGCATACAACAATCTGTTTTTTAAAAGTACCGGTAAAGAATTTTAGCCTAGTCTATCACAGCTATTTCTATACTAATTTTATTACTGCAATTAAATAAAAACTCCTAGGAAGAAACGCGAAAAACGCGAAAACGAGATAATGTTTACGACCGCGCTTGAAAATCTGTCCGAGTGAGAAAAGTGTCTGCGCGGATGCAAAAAGCGAGCATTGTTACGTCAATTTGTGCATCTTGCTGATTGGCCAATGTCTCGAAGTAAACAAGGAAGTCGATGCTCGGGGGAAGGTCCATAATGACAGAGCTATGGAAAGGCTACCCAACTCAACGCAATATCGAGCAGTAATAACTAAGATTCATCCGCTCGCTAACAGCTGATTCAATTCAATTGTTACGTCATGCAGGAGCCATTGTTCATTGCCGGAAATGTAGAGAATATAGGGCAGATCGTAGCACATATTTCTTGTAGTAAAAGCGTCTTTTCCGTCAAACTTGGAACTTTTGGAAGTGGGAACAAGGCATTATTTGTTACTAAATTTCTAAGGAACATTTTAGAATTATTTCCAGGTAGTTCCCCTATGTGTGCTACAAAACTCATTTTCTAGGCGTTTTTCAGGGCCTCGTCTCACGATCTAAAGATATTTATTTGAAAGTTCAAAATTTAAGACTTCATGATCACATAATAATTTTTCACCGTAGTGAATACAAGTTTGTCCATTTTTATTTCTTCTATTAATCTTCATGAATGTTCTGATGAGGTTCTTCAAATTTATCGACAATTTTCTGATACGTTTATTCCATTGTGCTCATATATATAAGTGTACGGATAATATTTTGTTCGCAAGTTCAAAAAAGACTCAAAAATTGGTTGATGCACAGAGATTTACTACAGCATAACATAAGACTTTACCTATAACAGTAAAACCAAAACAAAGCAGTACCGCACGCCAGATAAAAACATTCGACATTCAAGTGCCCGGGCGGATCGCGTACGAGTCTGGCAGTTGATTACTTATCGATCTTAAGATCGGTAAGTATGTTGATAGGTATTTGTCTGTTTGTCTGTCTGTCTGTCTGTCTGTTTGTATGTTTGTCTGTTTGTCTGTTAGATGAACGCGATATCTCACGACGGCGAGCTTGAATCTGCCCCAAATTTTGCATGTGCATTCATCATATCTCTGACCAAAAGCCTATTGATTTTGGATGAATTATGTCGTATAATTAGCGAGTTATTAATTAATTAGTGATGGAACACGCGGTGTTGCTAGAGGTTCAGAGAGAATTACAATGCCCTCTCTGCGATGCGATCGAAACCGCAGTTTCTGTTTTGGGGGATCCCCCTTTTCGTGCGATTGTGTGTGTGTGCGCAACACTTCTCTGTCTGCGATGCTGAGCGTTTGGTTAGGTATTTTGGTTACACGCCGCTTCGACATCAATGATCTGGAAGCCTTGTATAAAGCTAATTCGGATACAATCGGAATCATCCGTCGTATACTATCTTTGCGTTTGACACAAACTATAGGATAATCGACGTTCGCCATTACCGGTGACAAATAGGCTATTGGCTGAAACCAAATCTAATTCTTCACTAAAATATCGCTAGGCTGTGGTGGAATAGCCGTCGCAATTGCGATTAGCGCCGTTTTATTTGACACAAAATATAGGATAGTTGGCGTTAGCCATTTTCGGTGGTAAATTGGCTGTAAACTGATCAAAACGATCCAGTTCTTCTTCTCAATTCTTCATAAAAGTATTTCCTCAAGTAGCATTTCGGCGGCTACGTGGGGAGTTGTTACTTATCGATCTTGAGATCGGTAGGTATATTGATAGGTATTTGTCTGTCTGTGTGTATGTATGTCTGTCTGTATGTCTGTGTGTCTGTTAGATGAACGCGATATCTCACGAACGCGTGGTTGAATCTGCTCCAAATTTTGCATGTGCATGCATCTTACCTCGGACCAGAAGCCTATAGATTTTGGGTTGATTATGTCCTTTTAATTAGCGAGTTATTAACTAATTATCGATCTAAGATCGATAAGTCTTCGGTCTCCGACCGATATTCTCGTTACTTTCTCGGGACTTCTCGTCACACGTAAACAATGGCCAGACGCGTATACAACAAATTTTTTATTTATTTCTGGTAATTGTATTTAAGAAAAGATGTGCAGAAAATTATTTGAGTATAGGTAAACATGTTATTGCTGAATATACAAGATAATAGATAATGTTTCTGTAGGAAATATTTTCGGTTCGTGACACCATTGATTTGTTATAATAAATGAACGTAATTGGTATATGTTGTTTTCCGTCTATCTGATATTTACTTATTGTTACAAGAATGTTTCTTGATCTTCATCTTAAAAGCAATCTTACGTTAATGCCGTTGGGCTTTTCAACTATTTTAAAAAAACAATTCACGATTAAATACATGCTGATTCAGTAAAACTTGCTATTTAGAACATATTTGTTAAATTTTCACCAGACATAAATCAGTGTTAAAAAATTCATTATTCTGGAATCCACTGACTGTTTTTTATAGCTAATGTAAAATATAGGTAAATCGACAATTTAAGGGTGTCCCTTGGGTTAGTGGGAGTGTAACGTTTACTAAGAGTAAACATAAAAAACATATTACGTCATTCTGAAATACCACGGTAAAATGACAATGACATTGACGGAACATCACAAAAACAAATTTGTCAATAATATTCGTGTATAATTTGTTTGTGAGGTTATAATCAGGATTGTTGATAATGTCATGTTTAATAAACGAAATGTGGTGTGATAATATCAATACTTATATATAAGCTTTACTAAAAACATTCGTACGTACCTACCATTTCCGTATCTTGTAAATTCTTGTTGGTACTATGTAATTTATGCTATATATTTACTATTGCCAGGCTTGTCCATGTGGATGGGATCCCATGTGAATGCCAAACAAAATATATATTACCGGGTACTGGACTCAAGGTCAAACCCGTTTGTAAACGTTTAGTTATTGTCCACACGTGCGTGATATCGAACCCATTCTAGATTTTAGATGTTTGCAACAATGAGAGAGTATCCTGTAGTGAGCCTTACTGTAACTTCTTATATCCTTTTGTACATTTCGAGAGAATTCTCAACTAGTCGCAAGCTTTCTGCTGTCGCATATAAACATTTCTTATGGAAAACCGAATGGTGGCACAATAGTGACTTATTTTCCAACGGGCAATATTGTAATGATAAATACAAGTGGATTAAAACAGAAGGATGGTATAACTTCTTAATTCTGAATTTGGTATTTAAAAATCATTACAACTATGATTACTGGCTATTTGTAACAGAGTCTTATCACTTAGTCGCTAGAAAAATGAGATAGGCCTGGCTACAAAGTAAAATCCATTATGTGGTTATTTTAGAAAAATAATATATCTTTGCAGTTGCTGACCATAATTCATTTATTCATTTGAAAAAATGCAAGAAACAAAATTAATGCATGTACACAATATTTCAATATAGCGTGGTTAATAATCATCTTACGTTTTCTCACGTATAGAAAACCAGAATATAACAATCTAAGAATAATATCTATTTTCTATCAAATTTTCTGCTGTCGTATATATATGTACACTTTTTGTATGGGAGCCGAATGGTTGCACTAAAGTGACCTATTTTCCTACGAGCAACATTGTGATGGTCAATAAATATGGACGAAATCAAAGGATGGTAAATGTTCCTAATTATGAATTTGTTCTTTTTTAATTTTTAAACTTTAATTAGTGACTATACATAAAGTGATTACTATATAACTATATAAAATAATTAATTCATGCACACTATATTTCAATATAACAAAATTAAGTATCAATTTATTTTTTTATTCTTAAATGATAGAGCTTTAAAATAAATCTCCGAAAAAATATCTGTCAAGCCACCGCTTATTCATGAAGTAAACTAAAGAATATTATGAAATAAATATAAAATTGTTCAATTTGCCACAGCTGTTATTTATTTTCGCTCCAAATCATTAAAAACATTAAACAGTAAGATCATCTTGGTTAGTAAAAATTATTCAAAAACATTTTTATTTTTGGAAAAACAATGATATATGTTAAATGCATGCAATATATTTTAATGATATTTGCTGTTTCATCAATCCATTGGTCCTCGCTCAATTATGTAGACATATTATCTTTTCACACATCTGCAATAAATAAATTTATTATCTGAATTCTGCCCTTATAAAATTGAATAATGAACTGGTACAAGTATACTTTTTAAGATCAAGTAGTCTCAAAATAATTAAAAATGAAAAGGGACTTGATAAGAATTGATGACCATTCATAAAGCAAACCATTGAATATCAAAACACTGAATGGGAAAAATCCTAGATTTTGGAAATGCCAAAAACGTGTCAATTAAATATTTTTAGACTTGCTGCTAACTTGTCAGCCAGCTACAAGCGATTACTTATCATGAAAACTTTAATCACGTAAAACAACAAAACTACATAAATATTATTGTTTTAGGTATTTTTTCAATGAAGTAATTTACCTAATGTAATTTTTGGAATGTTCGAAAGTTTATACCTGCAAGACTTCACTGATGTGATAGTCTCAGTTTCAACCCTATTGCTTTTTCGAACTTCAAAACTCATTTCGTATTCGACCTCTTCAGTTTTGTATTGTAATGGGCTGAATTCCTTGCCAGTAACAGGATCTTTGCAACGTGAAGAACACTCCGCTCGTAGAAATATCGAAGGATATACATTATGAGGGCAACTAATCCTGAAGTCAAATTTATATATGTCGAGGCAGTGAGAATTTACTAATAATTTATAATAAAAAACATCAAATGAAAACGTAGTTGCCAACCATCTAAACATGTTATCAACCTGTCAGTAAAAAGAACAATTACGTTTTATTTTTTTTTTCTCCAATCATTGAAAATCAAAGCTGATTATGAAACAAATGAATGACTTCACATTAATTAAATTGATTAAAAAATACCAAACTTGACAAGATGTGTCAACAACAAATGCTCAAATGCATACTTATTTTATGATGCGAATGAAGAAAAGCAAAATTTCCATCATTTGTCTACTTTACAATTTTCTTTATACCGATAAAGAGTAGGCTAAAAAATAATATCTTTATTCAAATCTAACACGTAGTCATATTACAAAAATGTACAAACCAATTCAATGTTACTGGAACAAATAGGTCGTTGTCATATCTTGTTAATACAATGTAGCAAGAATTATCGTTGATGAATCTGAAAAATAATTTCAAATATATAGAATAATGATATATTACTACCTACAAAACATTTTCAAAATTTTCAATATTGCAAATTGGAACAGCTCAAATCCTAAATTTAAATGATCAAATACACTAGTAATAATTTACAACAATAGGAAAATATACACAGATATAGGTAATTGATACTCACTGATCTACACTCAATGCTTCACAGTACATGGAGAAAAGTAGGACTGTTGTCAAACATATCTGAAACACGAGGAATTTATGAAAAGTTCGAAATTTAGTACTCATAAAAGATTTTATGAAAAGCAATCAGGAATTTCTTACCGTAGTGAATGAAAGTTTGTTCATTTTTTTTAATTTCTTTTCTTAATCTTTATACACGCTCTGATGTGATTCTTCAAATATTTCGACGATCTTATGATTCGTGCTTAAGTAAAAATTTATTGCTGCTGAATATGCGAAAAATGGGAAATGTTTTATCGAACCTATTTTCGATTCGTGAGGACCCTCCTTTCCTATATTCACAAAATCCGGTACATGATATGTGTACAACCTGGTACACGAATTTATTCCCTTAAATCTTGATTTTAAAATATGTTTTTTACATAAAATATTTCAATAAATTTATTTACGAATAACAAGACTGATTTAGTACAACGTGTTACTAAGAAAAGACTTTTTAAATTTTACAAAATTTTGATCAAATATAAAAATTTATATCGAGAATTCAGTGACTTTGTTTATAGCTGATATTACACATAGATATATTGACAACTTTACTAAATTTTATCCGTTAGGCAGGTGGTGATTTAACGTTTAATTTAGTTTAAATTTTTCTCTCAAAATAAACTCTTGAAAATAATACACCGGTATTGTGAGTATTTGCAATTACAAAATCATATTCAGTCAATTATCATTTTATCTATGATATCTCGAAACAATGGTTTTTGGGGTCATAATTCCAACTCATTTTTTAAATCAATATTTTTGGCGAGACAAGTAGAAAAATTGATTTTGCCTAAAATACAAACTATCAATATGAATAAATTGGTTGGGTCTAGTGATATTTATGTTAGATTTGCCTACATATAACTTCTGTTACTTCAACTATCCGTGCAAGATGTCTGTTTAATAGGATCCAAAATACCCATATTTATAAAAATGTTGGTAGATGCGAAAGTTATTGCAACGTTTTCTATACATTTGAAAGAAAGTTTCAACACTTTGGATTACAAAGATTCTTGAGAAAAATTTCACACGATGTCCGAGATCCGTAACTTGAAAATTATGAAAGAGATACCTATGTGATAAAGTTCAGCATGATAACAATTGACTAAACTAGTTATATAACATAAGAAAGATTTTGCGGAGTTTTTCAGGCCTCATATTTATTGCCTGATGAATGTCAGATATAATGTTTAATAAGACAATATAATAAGAGTAAGGTTTTGATTCGTATAAACCAAAAAATCAACCTTTGGATAAATCATTATCTCAATTGCAAAACAGAATTTGCCTTATTAAATACCATGCTGTGAGCGCCAATGCGCATAACAATTGATGTCCGTTTTCAGTCCCTTATTTTCATTTGAACTTGTAACTTTAATTTTAGAAAAGCAAAGTCACTAATAATAGGAATAATGGGCAACGTGAATTCAGATGAAGACACAGGAATGAACTGAAAAAATAAACAAATATTATTCGGAAGTGATTATCACTTCTAGAGTGGAAGACGTAAACTGCATTAAGATCGTTTGCTTTCTGACTAAAACGACATCAAGAACGACATCAAGGCTAAAAATACACATCGAATCCAAAAATACACATCGAATCCAATTTTTATACCAAAAAAGCTGAGTGGCGGTTTGTTTTTCGTTCAAGAATTCAACTTAAGCAGACGGGCATCGAGATATAAATAGGTACATAAATAAACATATGTCATTAATTAGTTGTTACCAGCAATAATTTACTAGATACTGAAATGATAATTTTTAACAAAAGTTTTCAGTAAAGCTTGTTGATGAGAATTGATATTAGCGCACCACATTTTTCTTATGTTTTGAAAATGACATATCAATGACATCATTCCTGAATATAATGGCACAAACAAATTATACACCAATTTTATTGATGAATAGCTTTATTATGATGTTCCGTCAATGTTACGGTCATTTATTTATACCATAACATTTCAGCATAGTCAGCATGACGTAAAATGTTTAATTTGTTAATGTAAAGATGTTCTTATTCTGATATCATTGTCAGGTTGGTTCTAAACATTGATATTATTGCACCACATTCTTTTTTTTAAATGACATATCAATAACATCATTTCTGACTATAACAGCAGAAAGAATTATATACGCCAATATTATTGATGAATTGCTTTATTATGACGTTCCCACAATGTTACGGTCATTTATCTAAAGTCTAAACCGTAACATTTCAGCATAGTCAGCATGACAATTTTACGGTTGTTTAAATTTACCAGACAATAATATTTGTAGATGGTATATTTGTGTTTCGATCTTATCAGAAAGTTAGAATTTGTTACATATATATGTATAAGCGATATTAGCGAAGTATTTGCAAAATACTATAAAACATTCAAATGTATGTTTTATATTGGAGATTATATTTGATTTAGTAAATATAGAATACGGCCTTGCTGAAAAAAAAAACATATACGGACCATTTGGGTTATGCAAATTTATTAGCTATTAAAAAGATATCGGATTCATAAAAATATAACTCTTCTACATTTTCTGTCGTTTGCGTTCAAAAAATTATCCCCAGAATTCGCAATTCCTCAAAAATAAAAAGAAATCGAGAGTAAACTGAATTTTATTTAGCAAATAAAATTGTAAAATATTGATTGATCATTTTAAATACTTATTGAAGTTTGTCTATGGTTACAGATGAGATACTTTGTTTATATAAGAAGGCACATTCAGTATCGTTTACGTATGAAAAAGTTTAAATGAATATAAAACAAAATCTATGATTTTATTAGAAAATTTTTAATCAGTAACCAAGTAAACCAAATTGAATTACCGGAAAACATTATTTAAAGGCAGCACCTAACTAATGCAATATATTTTTCTAATTTATTATTTTGTAGTCTCATCAAACGAATAGAACTAACTTATTTTTATATAGTTTTGGTAAAGGTAAACGACCATTTGTACATGCGAACATACATAACTGTTTTAGGTAAAATTATATTCAAGATGACGCAAATGAAAACGTACTTCATGAAACCCTTTTTTCCGTTTCAAGTTCATTAAATTGTTGTTCAATTAAAAATTTTGACTCTAAAATTAACTTAAAAGTCTGGTTTAATAGATATTCTCTTTAATAATTTTAAATAAAGCTTCTAAAGTAATATTAATGAATTTGGTATACAATTCAATTCAAGAATTTTGGCATCAACAATTATTAATTTCAATAAAAAATTTGCACCTTCAGTTACATTCGTTATACGCTTTGGCAGACCGTATCGTTTAGTTTCGACCTGTGTGTTCTTTATTATTTTTTGCGTATGATGGGTTGAACATGAATGCATGGAAAGAATATTTTTTATACTAGTTAATAAATTATTCAAAATTAGATGAGAAGAATAAAACGCGTAGTATGGTAGAAAAAACTGAATTGTCTCCTATAAACCCATAATATTTCACGGAATCGTTTATTAGAAGAGCAATACCATTTTAAAGCTTATTGTACTGTATAATGCCGAAAAAATTGTTAGATGATGGGATTAAAAATAGACTTAAACAGACTGTTTTGTACCAAACATAATATATATTAACTGGTACTGGACTCATAGTCAAACCCATTTGTAAACGTTTTGTCATTGACCACTGAAGTGCGTGATATGGGATTCCAATTTAAGTTTTAGTTGTTTGCAACACTGAGAGAGTACTATGAAAGGAAACTTAGTGCTACATTTTTATATTCTTTCGAGAAAATTCTGAACTAGTCGCAAGTTTTCTGCTGTCGTAAATATGAACATTTTGTATCGGAAGCCGAAGCGTGGCACGATAGTTACATATTTTCCAACAAGCAATATTGTGATGGTAAATACAAGTGGATTAAAGCAAAATGAATGGTAGAACTTTCTAATTCTGAATTTGGTATTTGAAAATTATGAAAAATATGATTACTGACTATTTGTAATTCAATCCTATTTCTAAGTCACTAGCAAAATAGGATTGGCCTGGCTACAAAGTAAAATCAAAAAAAGTAGTATTAGAAAAGAAATGTATCTTGCAGTTGCTGACCTAATGAATTTATTGATTTAAACAAACGCAAAAAAGAAAATGAATGCATGCACAAAATATTCCAATATAGCGTATGTTATAATCACCTTACTTTTTTTACATAAAAGAAAACCACAATAAAACAATCTCAGAATAAAATCCATTAATGTAACGAAGGGTGAAGAGCTCTGTCAACGAATATTTTGTGAATTATTAAAATAAAAATATATTGTGTGAAAAAATTGAAAATTGGTCAATCTACTACAACAATTGCTTATTTGCCTTGCGAATAATTGAAAAACATCAAACTGAACGAACATTTTTGTTAGTAAAAATTATTCAAAATTTTTTTTTTTTATAAACAATGATATGTGTTAAATGCATGCAATATATTTTAATGGTATTTGCTGTTTAATCAATCCATTGGTTCTTGCTCAAATATGTAGACATATTATCTTCTCACACATCTGCAATAAATAAATATATTATCAGAATGTCGCTCTTATAAATTCAGCTAACTAACTGATACAGTATAATTTCTAAGATCAAGTAGTATTTAAATTAATTAAAAATGGTATAATTAGTAAAAAAAATTCTTGACCATTTATATATATAGTAAAATATTGAATGAAAATAAATCGAGATTCGTAAAATGCCAAAATCACGTCAATTCACTGTTTGTAGACTCGTTACGAACTTGTCAGCCAGCTACAAGCGATTACTCATCATGAAAAGTTTATTTACGTAAAACAACAAAGCTACATAAATATTATAGTTATGGGCACCGTTACCATTGAAAAATAATTGCCCGCTTTAGGTATTATTATCAATAAAGTTAATGTACTTTTTAGAATGTTTGAAAGTTTATACCTGCAAGTCTGCACTGATGTGATAGTCTCAGTTTCAACCCTATTGCTTTTTCGAACTTCAAATCTCATTGCGTATTTGACTTCTTTAGTTGTGTACAGTTGTGTGCTGAGGTCATTGCCAGTAACAGGATTTTTACATCGAGAAAAACACTTCGCTCGTACAAACATCGAAGGGTATACATTACTAGGGCAACGAATCCTGAAGTCGAATTTATATATATCAAAGCACTGAGAATTTACCAATACTTTACAATAAAAAAACATCAAATGAAAACGTAGTTATCATTTAAACATGTTATCAACCTGTTTGCAAAAACGACAATTACTGTTTTCTTTATTTTTTTGTTCAATCATCAAAAATCAAAACTGATTATTAAACAAAAGAATGCCTCCACATTTGATAGATTGAAAAATGAAAAAAACTTGACTAGATGTTTCATTAATTAATGCATAGTGCGACAATTTCATAACTCGATTGAAAAAATGAAATATTTCCAATATTTCTCTATTATTTAATAATCTTTATACCAAGCGACGGTACGAAAATGATTGAATAAGGATAAATAGTACGCAAATAGTATTTTTATTCAAATCTAACACGTGGTCATATCGAAAAAAATGTACAAACCAATTCAATGTTACTGGAACGAATCCATCGTAGTCATATCTTGTAGAATGAATGTAGCAAGAATTATTGGTAATAAATCTGAAAAATATTCAAGAACTTTCAGGTATAATGAATCTTGTTATATAACTACCTATAAAACATGTTTAAAATTGTAAATATTCCAAATTGCAATACTTCAAAGCTTAAATTCAATTGATGGAATTGTAGTGATAATTTACAACAATAGAAAGATATACACGGATATATGTAATTTATACTCACTGTTCAACACTCAATGATTCGCAGTACATGGAGCAAAATAGGACTGTTGTCAAAAATATCTGAAAAACGAGAAAGTTAGGTGAATTTCGAAATTTAGTCCCAGCTAAACCCTTTTCCAATTGCTTTTATTACCCGCAATTAGGAATTTCTTACCGTAGTGAATGAAAGTTTGTTCATTTTAATATTTCTTCTATCAATCTTTATACACTTTCTGATGTGATTCTTCAAATGTATCGACAATTTTATGATTCGTGTATCTCATTGTGGTCATATATATACCGGTACGAACAATTTGAATTGTTTAAACTTTTTTTCATTTAATTTCGATAAGTATGTGCACAAAATTGTAATTTTTTACATTCGTGCTTAGGAAAAAATTTATTGCTGATGAATATGCGAAAAATTGATACTGTTGTATCGAACTTATTTTCTATTCGTGAGGACCATTCCCTTTTAGGAATATTTCCTGTATCAGGTACATGCTGTTTATCAGTCTGTCTGTTTAGAAGAAATTTTACAATAATATTGTTCCGCATCTCATCTATTTTTAGGATGAAAAATTTACAAATAATGAAAGCTGATTTATTAAAACTTGTTACTAAGAAACGACTTTAAAATTTTGCAAATAATGCAAAGATAAGGACATGCGTCGCTCACTTATAGATATATATGCTGCTAGACTTCTACTGCTTGAACATATATGCAACACGCCGCTGTTTCTTGGAAGCAAAATGCTCAATAACGCACTGATTAAAGTCATGCATCCCAGAAATAACGTCTCTGTGAATGGATAAAACAGCCAAGGAATTTAATCTATCTTGCTTCATTGTGTTTCTGAGATACGTTTTAATACGCTTCAGCGTGCTGAATGTTCGCTCTGCGTCGGCGGAAGAAATAGGCGTCGTCAAAATGATGTCCAGAAATTTTGCAGACGCCGCAAAGGTAGTTACTAGAGTGTTATCTATGAGGAACCCATAGAGCGCGCAAGTTGATGTGATGTTCAAAAAAGTTTGATTGGTGTATATACATCGCAATTCATTTTCCAATTTACCCACGTTTATCATGGGGTAAAATTTGGAGACAGTAGCCAACAAATGGATGGGAAATTGACGTGCAAATTTTGAAAAATTTTTGGGGTTCATCAAAGAGAACGCGGCAAGGTGTTCAGTGCGCAGACGATCGCCTATTTGATTCACCAGAATGTCACAGCATTCCTTTGCAGACAAAATCAAACGCTGCGTTGTTTGCCCGCGCCGTAAAGAAGCACTCCATGTGTCGTCGTATTTTATTGTTTCCCGGATACGAGATACAGCATTGCAGAAGTCTGAAATACACGACTGCACAGACGCTCCATCCATTAGCCTTGACTGCAATGCGCCGTATAATACATCCACGTGATAGAATATTGTGGAGAAAAAAGCGAGAACAAATGAAAACCTGCCGCCTCTCTCACAGAGCGTTCGTCCCAAACCGGAGAGCTCTGAATGCCATTGAAACACTCAATGAGCTCAGACCTAATTTCGAACACGCCCTGCACCACGCGTGATAGAAAGTTCCAGCGTGTTGGTGCACAAGCTGGGCGACGGCGGCTACATATCTGGCGAAGGAGGTCAGAGCGCTTCGGCGAAACGGAAAAAAAATGAAGAAAACCCCGAAACATTTGCAAAAAATATACGGACGAGAGGGGTATCAAGACACATATTTTTAATAACGAGGTTAAATTGGTGTGCATAACAATGTAAAAAATGCGCATGAGGAAAATCTTCTTTTATATAAACTTGAACACCATGTTTCGACCCACTCATGACTGCCGCGCTGTCATAAGTTTGAGCTATCAATTTTGACTTCGCGTTGTAAGGCTGTAACACTTCTTCCAGTACAACCGATATCCCGCAAGCCGTGCGATCAACGATTGGTACAAAGCTGTGACATCTCTCGGTAGGTTTACCATCTTTCACAAACCGAAAAATCACAGCCAGTTGGGAAACGCACGTGATGTCAGTTGTCTCGTCAGACTGAATTGAAAGGAACTGGCAATTCTCAATTACCAGAGTCAAATGTTGTAAATAAATTTTATACATTGAGTCGAGCAAATCATTTTGGATATCCTTAGATGTCCCTTTCGAAACAGTTGCGGCATCAAGATGCTCTCTCAATACTGTATCTAGGGATGCGGTGTATTCCACCATATCCAAAAATACCCCTCTATTAGAAGAGCCAGCTTGTTCATCGTGCCCACGGAGGGACAGCTCGTGACAACCAATGAACTTCAAAACATCTATCAATCGACCGAGAACATGGCGGTTTTTCTCGACGTTTTGGTTGTGCCGACGAATAGAAACCGCGCGTCCTTCATTCTACTGTGCTGCAATATTAGCATTCCGAATGTTCGGTATTTTACTGCATTGTCCAGATGCTCCATAGAAGATTGATGATCCCTGGCACGCTTGGAAAGATGTTTAAGATCTCTAAAACCAAATTTACACCAACGTGAGTCACGGGCGGTAGCAAAAAGTAGGCAATAAAAACAAAAAAGTGCATTTTTGTCCTCGCTGTAACACAACCATTCGTGTTTTTTATACCAAGTTTCTGCGCAGAATGTACGCCGACGCTTTCCTCCGTCATGAGATTGTTCCAGTGAACAATTTTTTGGTTGATAAGGCCCAAGACGTTGTACCTCTAATTTTTGTTCCAGCGGCAGCTGCGAAAACGGAGTGCGAAGTAGTGCATCAACCTTATTCATTATGAGGTCTAAGGCTAAGAAATGCGAAGCCGGAAAGAAGTGAGGAGCTCAAAAGGAATGTGGAAAATCGAAAGCAAATGGACTAAAGGTCTCTAACTGATTCAAATAGCGAAACAAGCGACAAAAACGAAGGCGAGGAAACTATCAACTCTTCAAGCAACCAACGAACGAGAAGGAATGCGTGAATATGTCAACACGTTGTTGTAAGAAACGTCGGCATTGTGTCGTCATAATTTCGGGGCTAGCCCCGATGATTTAGTAAAAGAAACAGAAAACAAACGAGACAAACGTGGCGAGTGGAAGATAAAAGTGAGAATACGATATACAATGAGCAACCGGGGCAAAATCGGCGTCGCCCCGTCGACGTTCGGCGAAGGCTTTGCGAGCGAAAAATGAACCATGTCGGGAGAATATGGCTAGTGTAGACAGTCTGTGCAAGCCTCGGTTGGCCCTATTGACGCGCCGCCACTGTGAAAATGTATAGACCAACCCAGTTTTATTGAAACAAATCCAGCTTTGTCATATCTTACTGTTGAAACGTAGCATGAATAATTGTTGATGAATCTGAAAATTAATTTAACTTTCGCAAAATATAGGTGGTGTTACATTATGCGCAACAGAAAAATATCGAAGATCTTCAATACTGCAGATTGGGAAAATATGAAAATTAGAGCTCGAATTGAAACAATTGAATACTGTACTCATTGTTTACAATATTATTGAAATATACATGGATATGTGTAATTTATACTCACTGATCGAATCTCAATGCACCACAGTACATGGCGCTACAAGTGGGACTGTAGAAGTGGACGGATGAGGATTTTTTCTGTAAATTTATTTTGTTACAATATTTGCGTATACATGACTATATATATTGTTGTTTATGAATACGAGAAGAAACGAGTGTTTTTTTGAACCTATTTTCGGTTCGTGAGGACCATCCCTTTGTTATAAATATCACTGTATCTAGTAGAGATTTTTTATCTGTCAGATATTTTTTAAATGCGCACAACCTGGTACAAGTTTTTTCGGTCGTCGACTTGAAATGTGCTTAAAAGCAATGTTACAATAATGCTGTCAGGCATATTAACTATTTTTATGATGAAAAAATGACCTAAAATAAAGTTTGGTACTATGCATGGATTTTTCTAGTTTTCATCAGCCTGAAAATAGTGTTAAAAAATCACTTTTACAATATGAACTGACGTTGTTTATGGATGATAATACACATGGTCATATAGATTTGACATGGTTAGATAGACACCTTCACTGGAGGCTCTCCGTTAAGAATGTCTTGGTATTGACGTTTTGTTGATATCGGAGTGTAAGCCGCTAGGTATAATATTTGGAATTAGATCGAAATCAAGCTATTCAACTCTGAAAATGCTCGCTCAAAAAGTGTAAACGCCAAACATATAAAAATAACATTTCATTATTTTTTGCATTCGGAACAATAAAAGTAATAAGTCACAATGGCGAGAATTAGAAATAAGAAAAGTCAGAGAGTCAAATATCATTTGTTTATAACTTCATAAACAATCGTTTTGATTTAAAATTTATTAAAATAATTTTTTTTTTAAATAATTTTTGGTGTGTCATTGATTTCGCTTTCAAATATAATTTCAGAACAAGAATCTAATTTCCATTCAATAAATTAAAGTTCCCGTAAGATTGAATGAAACATCTAAATGGCTGTTATATTACGCTGTTATATTTCCATATTTTCACGTTAATTTTAATATTAAAAATAGGAATTAAAAGATTGAATGATTGAAACATTTCTGTTTAAATATATATTCGGGCAAAATAATACATTATTTTAGTGTATTTCTGAACAGAACTTATCACTGATGTAATACGGGAACACATAACAAAAATAATAATTTAATAGTGCTTCCAATTAACTGTAATATTACCGTCTACAGAAATAAGTATTTATCCAGAAAGGTCTGGATTTATTAATGCCAGGCACATTGTTCACGAAAATAAAGCATTAGACAAATCCATCACATTTGATATAATAATAGTTTTGTGAAATTGTTTAGAACTCTGAGATAGCCTAAAATAACCCAATTTGTAATATTGGTAGTGATAACATTCCAGGGGGAAACAAATATAATTAAATCAATATTTAAATAAAAATGTATTAACTCGTTTTTTGAACCTCCATATTTCAAAATCTAGAGGAGATATCTTTTAAACTGTTTTGGAGACGATTTAACCACGACTCACGAAATTCGTGTATTTTTGGAATTAACCTTTTCATGTTTATATGAGAGTTTTATATACAATGAATTTTTAGTTTATGGTCACGTAAACAAAAGCTGTAATAAAAACATTCGAAATAAATCGTGACTCACCCTAGCTAATCTAATTCATCATATCTTTTTTTCGCAATGTTTTCTGTCACAATAACAAAACATTCACAGATGGTTTTGAATTTAAGTTTGATACTGGTTAATATATATTTTTTCGGTACAAACCAGTCTTTTTAAGTCTTTTTCTAAACCCACTTTATCACTTAAGCTGCGTCACACACTATACTCCCTAAGCTTTAAAATGCTGTTGCTCTTCTAATAAACGATTCGGTGAAATATTATCGAACTTATAGTAGACAATTCAGTTTTCTTACTATACTACGCGTTCTATTCCTTCTGATGTACACTTGAATAAAATATTAACTGGCATAAAAAATTCTCTCTCCATGCATTTATGTTCAACCCATAATACGCTAAAAATATTAAAGAACAAGGTTAAAACGATTGTTTCAAATATCATAGGGAAGATGATGTTTTGACTAAATATGATTTTCCAATTCTAAATACTCACAAATCAGATTTATTATTTTTCAAGTCTTTTTTTTTGAAAATTTAAACTAAATTATGACCTTTATTTCTAGCATTACTAACTTATATTTGAGTTGAATAGCTTGATTTCGTACTTGATGAGTTACAGTATAACATCTCTCTTTCAAGTTTGAAATAAAGGATAATGTTAAACCACCACCTGCCTAACGGATAGAATTTAGTGGAGTTGTCAATATATCTATATGTAATATCAGCTATACACAAATTCACTATATTTTGGAAGAATAAAATGTATTATTAATCAAAGTCTTGTAAAAATTTTAAAGTATTTTCTTAGTAACAAGTTTTAATAAATCAGCTTTTATTATTCATAAATTTTTAATTCTAAAAATAGATGAGATGCAGAACAATAGAATTGTAAAATTTTTCTAAACAGACAGACTGATAAACAGCATGTACCTGATACGGGAAATATTCCTAAAAGGGAATGGTCCTCACGATTTGAGCATATTCAGCATCAATAAATTTTTTCTTAAGCACGAATGTAAAAAATCACAATTTTGTGCACATCCTTTCCGAAATTAAATGGAAAAAAGTTTAATTTATTTTAATTGTTCGTACACGTATATATATGACCACAATGAGATACACGAATCATAAAATCGTCGATACATTTGAAGAATCACATCAAAACGTGTATAAAGATTGATGGAAGAAATATTAGGATGAACAAACTTTCATTCACTACGGTAAGAAATTCCCAATTGCGGGTAATAAAAGCAATTGGAAAAAGGTTTTACTGGGACTAAATTTCGAAATTCTCCTAAATTTCTCGTTTTTAGATATTTTTGACAACAGTCCTATTTTGCTCCATGTACTGCGAATCATTGAGTGTGGAACAGTGAGTATAAATTACATATATCCGTGATTATCTTTCTATTGTTGTAAATGATGACTACAATTCCATCAATTGAATTAAAGCTTTAAAGTATTTCAATTTGGAATGTTTACGATTTTGAAGATGTTTTATAGGTAGTTATTTAACAAGATTCATTATAGTTCATGAAAGTTCTTAAATATTTTTCAGACTATCACCAATAATTCTTGCTACATTCATTCTACAAGATATGACTACGATGGATTCGTTCCAGTAACATTGAATTGGTTTGTACATTTTTTCGATATGACCACGTGTTAGATTTGAATAAAAACACTATTTTTGTACTATTTATCCTTATTCAATCATTTTCATACCGTCGCCTGGTATAAAGATTATTATAAAATAGAGATATAATGGAAATATTTCTTTTTTTTAATTGAGATATAAAATTGGCGCACTATGCATTAATTAATGAAACATCTTGTCAAGTTTTTTTTTTATATTTCAACCAATCAAATGTGGAGGCATTCTTTTTTTTATAATCAGCTTTGATTTTTGATGATTGAACAAAAAAATAAGGAAAACAGTGATTGTCATTTTTGCAAACAGGTCGATAACATGTTCAAATGGTAACTACGCTTTCATTTGATTTTTTTATTGTAAAGTATTGGTAAATTCTCAGTGCTTTGACATATATAAATTCGACTTCAGGATTCGTTGCCCTCGTAATGTATATCCTTCGATGTTTGTACGAGCGAAGTGTTCTTCTCGATGCAAAGATCCTGTTACTGGCAATGACCTCAGCACACAACTGTACACAACTAAAGAGGTCAAATACGCAATGAGTTTTGAAGTTCGAAAAAGCAATAGGGTTGAAACTGAGACTATCACATCATTGCAGACTTGCAGGTATAAACTTTCGAACATTCTAAAAAGTACATTAACTTTATTGATAAAAATATCTGGAGCAGGCAATTATTTTCCAATGATAATGGTGCCCATAACAATAATATTTATTTAGCTTTGTTGTTTTACGTAAATAAACTTTTCATGATGAGTAATCGCTTGTAGCTGGCTGACAAGTTCGTAACGAGTCTACAAACAGTGAATTGACTTGTTTTTGGCATTTTACAAATCTCAATTCTTTTCATTCAATATTTTACTATATATATGGTCAAATTTTTTTTTTACGAAATATATCATTTTTATTTAATTTAAAGACTACTTGATCTTGGAAATTATACTGTATCAGTTAGTTATCTGAATTTATAAGAGTAAATTTCTGATAATATATTTATTTATTGCAGATGTGTGAAAAGATAATATGTTTACATATTTAAGCGAGGACCAATAGATTGATCAAACAGCAAATACCATTAAAATATATTGCATGCATTTAACATATATCATTGCTTTTAAAAAAATGTTTTTGTATAATTTTTACTAACAAAAATGTTCTTACAGTTTGATGGTTTTTATTTTTTCGCAAGGCAAATAAGCAATTGTTATAGTAAATTGACCAATTTTCAATTTGACCACACAATATATTTTTATTCAAATAATCCACTAAATAATCGTTGACAGAGCTCTTCACCCTTTGTTACATTAATGAATATTATTCTGAGGTTGTTTTATTCTGGTTTTCTATTATGTGAAAAAAGTAAGGTGAATATTAACTACGCTATATTGGGATATTGTGTGCATGCATTCATTTTCTTTTTTGCGTTTGCTTGAATCAATAAATTTATTATGGTCAGCAACTGCAAAGATATATTTCTTTTCTAAAACTACCACATGATGGATTTTACTTTGTAGCCAGGCCAATCTTATTTTGCTAGTGACTTAGAAATAGGATTGAATTACAAATAGTCAGTAATCATAGTTTTCATAATTTTTAAATACCAAATTCAGAATTAGAAAGTTCTACCAACTATTTTGTTTTAATCCACTTGTATTTACTTACCATCACAATAGTGTTTGTTAGAAAATATGTCACTATCGTGCCACGCTTCGGCTTCCGATACGAAATATTTTTATACGACAGCAGAAAATTGCGATTAGTTCAGAGTTTTCTCGAAAGAATATAAAAATGTAGCACTAAGTTACCCTGCATAGTACTCTCTCAGTGTTGCAAACAACTAAAACTTAAATTGGAATCCCATATCACGCACTTCTGTGGACAGTAATGAAAAGTTTACAAATGGATTTGACATGAGTCCAGTACCCGTTAATATATAATATGTTTGGTACAAACCAGTCTGTTTAAGTCTATTTCTAAACCCATCACCTAACAATTTTTTCTGCATCATTCAGTACTATAAGCTTTAAAATGGTATTGCTCTTCTATAAATAATAAACGATTCCGTGAAATAATATAGGTTTATAGAAGACAATTCAGTTTTTTTCTACCATACTACGCGTTTTATTCTTCTAATCTAATTTTGAATAATTTATTAACTAGTATAAAATATCTTCTTCCCATGCATTCATGTTCAACCCATTATACGCAAAAAATAATAAAGAACACACAGGTCGAAGCTAAACCATACGGTCTGCCAAAGCATATAACGAATGTAAGTGAAGGTGCAAATTTTCTATTAAAATTAATAATTGTTGATGCCAAAATTCTTGAATTGAATTGTATACCAAATTTATTATCATTACTTTGGAAGCGTTGTTTAAAATTATTAATGAGAATATCTAATAAACCAGACTTAAGTTAATTGTAGAGTCAAAATTTTTACTTGACCAAAATTTATTGAACTTGAAACGAAAAAATGGGCTTCATGAAGTACGTTTTCATTGCGTCATCTTGAATATAATTTTACCTAAAACAGTTATGTATGTTCGCATGTACAAATGGTCGTTTATCTTTACCACAACTATATAAAAATAAGTTAGTGCTATTCGTTTGATGAGACTACAAAATAATAAATTAGAAAAATATATTGCATTAGTTAGGTGCTGCCTTTAAATAATGTTTTCCGGTAATTCAATTTGTTTACTTGGTTATTAATTAAAAATTTTCTAATAAAATCATAGATTTTGTTTTATATTCATTTAGACTTTTTCATACGAAAACGATACTGAATGTGCCTTCTTATATAAACAAAGTATCTCATCTGCAACCATAGACAAACTTCGATAAGTATTTAAAATGATCGATCTTTTACAATTTTATTTGCTTAATAAAAATGCAGTTTACTTCCGATATCTTTTTATTTTTGAGGAATTGCGAATTCTGGGGATAATTTGTTGAACGCAAACGGCAGAAAATGTAAAAGAGTTATATTGTTATGAATCCGGTACTTTTTTGATAGCTAATAAAATTGCATAACCCAAATGGTCCGTATTTTTTTTTTCAGCAAGGCCGTATTCTATCTTTCCTAAATCAAATATAATCTCCAATATAAAACATAAATTTGAATGTTTTATAGTATTTTGCAATTACTTCGCTAATATCGCTTATACATATATATGTAATAAATTCTAACTTTCTGATAAGATTGAAACACAAATATACCATCTACAAATATTATTGTCTAGTAAATTTAAACAACCGTACGAATTGGAATTACTTATTTTTTGACAATGATATCAAAATAAGAACATCTTCACATCAATATTATGAAACTAAACATATTACGTCATGCTGACTATACTGAAATGTTACGATTTAGACTTTAGATAAATGAATATAACATTGTGGGAACATCATAATACATCAATTCATCAATAATATTGGCGTATATAATTCTTTTTGCTATTATAATCAGGAATGATGTTATTGATATGTCATTTAAAAAAAGGAATGTGGTGCAATAATATCAATGTTTAGAAACAACCTGACAATGATATCAGAATAGAAACATCTTTACATTAACAAATTAAACATTTTACGTCATGCTGACTATGCTGAAATGTTATGGTATAAATAAATGACCGTAACATTGACGGAACATCATAATAAAGCAATTCATCAATAAAATTGGTGTATAATTTGTTTGTGCCATTATATTCAGGAATGATGTCATTGATATGTCATTTTCAAAACATAAGAAAATTGTGGTGCGCTAATATCAATTTTCATAAACAAGCTTAACTGAAAACATTTGTTAAAACTTATCATTTTAGTATCTAGTAAATTATTGCTGGTAACAAGTAAGTTATGCCATATGTTTGTTAATGTACCTATTTATATCTCGATGCCCGTCTGCTTAAGTTGAATTCTCGAAGGAAAAACAAATCGCCACTCAGCTTTTTTTGGTATAAAAATTGGATTCGATGCGTATTTTAAGCCTTGTTGTCGTTCTTGATGTCGTTTTAGTCAGAAAGCAAACGATCTCAATGCAGTTTACGTCTTCCACACCAGAAGTGATAATCACTTCTGATTAATATTTGTTTATTTTTTCAGTTCATTCCTGTGTCTTCATCTGTATTCACGTTGCCCATTATTCCTATTATTAGTGACTTTGCTTTTCTAAAATTAAAGTTACAAGTTCGAATGAAAAAAAGAGACTGAAAACGGACATCAATTGTTATGCGCATTGATATCATTGGCGCTCACAGCATGGTATTTAATAAGGAAAACTCTGTTTTACAATTGAGATGATAATTTATCTAAAGGTTGATTTTTTGGTTTATACGAATCAAAACCTTACTCTTCATCTTCTGATCAAAAAGTAAGAAACATTATATCTGACATTCATCAGGCAATAAACATGAGGCCTGAAAAACTCCGCAAAATCACTCTTATGTTATATAATTAGTTTAGTCAATTGTTATCATGCTGAGCTTTATCACATAGGAATCTCTTTCATAATTTTCAAGTTACCGATCTCGGACATCGTGTGAAATTTTTCTCAAGAAACTTTGTAATCCAAAGTATTGAAACTTTCTTTCAAATGTATAGAAAACATTGCAATGGCTTTCGCATCGACCAACATTTTTATAAATATGGGTATTTTGGGTCCTAGTAAAATAGACATCTTGCACGGATAGTTGAGGTAACAGAAGTTATATGTAGGCAAATCTAACATAAATATCACTAGATCCAACCAATTTATTCATATTGAAAGTTGTATTTTAGGCAAAATCAATTTTCTACTTGTCCCGCCAAAAATATTGATTTAAAAAATGAGTTAGAATAATGAGCACAAAGCCATTGTTTCGAAATATCATAAATAAAATGATAATTGACTAAATATGATTTTGTAATTGCATATACTCACAAATCTGGTGTATTATTTTCAAGAGTTTTCTTTGAGGAAAAAATTTAAACAAAATTATGACTTTATATTTCTTGCGTTTTTGAGTGCGATATTTTGGAGTTGAAAAGCTTAATTTTGAGTACAACAATCTTCAGTATAACAAATCTCTTTCAACTCAGAAATTAACAAAACGTTAAATGACCACCTGCTTAACGGATAAAATTTAGTGGAGTTGTCAATATATTCATGTGTAATATCAGCTATAAACAAAGTTACTGAATTCTCGATATAAATTTTTATAATATATCAAAATCTTGTAAAATTTTAAAAGTCTTTTCCTAGTAACAAGTTTTACAAAATCAGCCTTTGTTATTCGTAAATTTTTAATCATGAAAAATAGCTGAGATGAAAAACAACATTATTGAAATAATGTATGTAAAAAACATATTTTAAAATCAAGATTAAGAGAATAAATTCGTGTACCAGGTTGTACACATTGTAAAAAAAATACACATATCATGTACCGGATACTGTGAATATAGGAATAGAGAGGTCCTCACGAATCGAAAATAGGTTCGATAAAATATTTTCCATTTTTCGCATATTCAGCTGTAATAAATTTTTACTTAAGCACGCCCTAATTTTGTGAACGCCATTTGGAAATAAAATTAATCTTTGAAAAAATCTAATTGTGCCTAAACTTATATATATATATGCGCACAATGAGATACACGAATCATAAGATCGTCGATATATTTGAAGAATCACATCAGAGCGTGTATAAAGATTAAGAGAAGAAACAAAAAAAATGAACAAACTTTCATTCACTACGGTAAGAAATTCCTGATTGCTTTTCATAAAATCTTCTATGAGTAATAAATTTTGAACTTTTTATAAATTCCTCGTGTTTCAGATATGTTTGACAACAGTCCTACTTTTCTCCATGTACTGTGAAGCATTGAGTGTAGATCAGTGAGTATCAATTACATATATCTGTGTATATTTTCCTATTGTTGTAAATTATTACTAGTGTATTTGATCATTTAAATTTAGGATTTGAACTGTTTCAATTTGCAATATTGAAAATTTTGAAAATGTTTTGTAGGTAGTAATATATCATTATTCTATATATTTGAAATTATTTTTCAGATTCATCAACGATAATTCTTGCTACATTGTATTAACAAGATATGACAACAACCTATTCGTTCCAGTAACATTGAATTGGTTTGTACATTTTTGTAATATGACTACGTGTTCGATTTGAATAAAGATATTATTTTGTAGCCTACTCTTTATCGGTATAAAGAAAATTGTAAAGTAGACAAATGATGAAAATCTTGCTTTTCTTCATTCGCATCATAAAATAGGTATGCTTTTGAGCATTAGTTGTTGACACATCTTGTCAAGTTTTGTATTTTTGAATCAATTAAATGTGAAGTCATTCATTTGTTTCATAATCAGCTTTGATTTTCAATGATTGGAGAAAAAACAAGAAAACCGTAATTGTAATTTTTACTAACAGGTTGATAACATGTTTAGATGGTTGGCAACTACGTATTCATTTGATGTTTTTTATTGTTAATTATTAGTAAATTCTCACTGCCTCGACATATATAAATTTAACTTCAGGATTCGTTGCCCTCGTAATGTATACCCTTCGATATTTCTACGAGCGGAGTGTTCTTCACGTTGCAAAGATCCTGTTACTGGCAAGGACTTCAGCACATTACGATACAAAACTGAAGAGGTCAAACACGAAATAAGTTTTCAAGTTCGAAAAAACAATAGGGTTGAAACTGAGACGATCACATTAGTAAATACTTGCAGGTATGAAATTTCAAACATTCCATAAAGTACACAAGTTAAATTACTTCATTGATATTAATACCTAAAACAATAATATTTATGTAGTTTTGTTGTTTTACGTGATTGAAGTTTTCATGATAAGTAATCGTTTGTAGCTGGCTGACAAGTTAACAGCGAGTCTAAAAATATTTGATTGACATGTTTTTGGCATTTCAAAAATCTAGGATCGTTTCATTCAGTGTTTTGATATTCAATGGTTTGCTTTATGAATGGCCATCAATTCTTATCAAGTACATTTTCATTTTTAATTAATTTCGAAACTACTTGATCTTGAAAAGTATACATGTACCAGTTCATTATCCAATTTTATGATTCAGATAATATATTTATTTATTGCAGATGTGTGAAAAGATAATATGTATACATAATTGAGCGGAGACCAATGGATTGATGAAACAGCAAATATCATTAAAATATATTTCATGCATTTAACACATATCATTGTTTTTTCAAGAAAAAAATGTTTTTGATTGTTTTTTACTAACCAAGATGTTCTTACTGTTTAATCTTTTTAATGATTTGCAGCGAAAATAAATAACAGCTGTGGCAAACTGGACAATTTTATTTTTATTTCATAGTATTCTTTAAATTTACTCGTTGAATTAACCGTGGCTTGACAGATATTATTCTGTGACTGTTTTTATTGACCATCACAATGTTGCTTGTAGGAAAATAGATCACTTTAGTGCCACCATTCGGTTTTCCATACAAAATTTGTACATATATATATACGACAACAGAAAATTTGGCGACTAGTTGGAATATGGCTTCGCTACCACGCACATGTGTGGGCAAGGCAAGTTTTCATTGTTTTTTGATTATTCTTGCATGTCCCTTCATTAATCTTTCAGTGGTGCTCATTCAGTGGTGCGTTGAGGTGGCCGTATAGTTTTTTAGAAAATGATTCAAATAATTATAATGCACATGAAAAAACTTAAATGCAATAAAGTATGTAATTGTATAGCTGAGCCGTCGTAGAAGTCTGAGATTTTTATCAATTTGTAGAATACGATTAATTTCAATAACACGAATTTTTCACAAATGAATTCTATGAACGGACCTTGAAGAATTAGAACTTTACGTGAATGAGCTTTTTGCCATGGTATTGGTAGCAGTGTCAATAAAAAATTGAAAAACATGAGGCTACATGAGGTAATTGTTTAGTGAATATACAAAAACTTGTTTAGTATATTGATTGCGAAAAAAATGACGAGCTCGACCTTTCAGCCAAGATCATGTGATGGTGCTGCTATTCATACTTCTCTCAGTTGTGCTTAGCCTGTGCTAGATGTGCTAAGGTCCTAGCCTGTAACATGATCTATCTATTCATCCAGACCATTACATCTCTCGTACAAACATCGAAAGGTATACATTAGTTGGGCAATCAAATTCAGATATGTTAAGTTAAGGTTTCTAAGTTACCAACAACGACTTCGCATACGAGAGAATCAAACGAAAACTTTCTTGCTTTTAAAGATGTTATCTCTTTGTTAGCGGAACTCTATCGTGGATAAAAATTTCTACTCTCTTTATTTTTCTTTTGTCAATATTCAAATATTAAAACTGATTACAGAAAACGAATTCACCTCCGACTGATAAAAAAGATTTTTTTTAAAAAATAAATGCTCGAGTGTATAGCTTGTCAAAATTCAATTAACCAAGAGGCAGATTTGAATAATTTCACAATTATGAGATTATTTTCATATCGGCTGATATGTTAGATTTATACGATTGGATACAGATAAATATTCGTTATTAAATTCTGTAGTCATTGTTTACAATATTTTTGAAATTTAAATAGACATGTGTAATTTATACTCACTGATCGATTGTCAGTGCTTCGCAGTATAAATTTGAGATTTTCCGGGGAAACTAGAATTTTTTACTGTAGTAAATAAAAGTTGGTCCATTTCTATATTTCTGGAGCCAAAATAGAACCTTGTAATGTGCCTACAGTCAAATTAGAGTATTGGCTGGATGCTACATGATTGTATATTACTACTTGTTTCATTCCTGATAGGTAGCCGTTGAACCAATTATAACTCTGACCTTAAACGCCAATATGATGCAATTTGGCTAGTAATATGTCATGGTCAATACCGTCAAATGCCTTTGAAAGGTCTAAAAACATACTAAGAGTATAGGCCTACTCATTCTTTTCAAATCCTTCTAAAATTTTACTGACAAGTAGGGATGTTGCATGACGTGTTGAGTAATTTTGGCGGAACCAAATTGCTGGGAATAGAATAAATTGTTTTGGTCTAGGAAATGGTTGAGTCTCTTGTACAAATTTTTTTCTAGAATTTTGGAATATGCAGGAAGTAAGCTGGTTGGTCGGTAGTTATTTTACATTCTTTGCATTTCCTTTTTTGGACAATGGAATAACTTTGGAGAATTTGAACTGGTCTATGTGTTTACCAGATTGTAAGGAGCAGTTAAAGATATGCGTGAGAGCACAAATACAATTCCACTTCCAGGGTATCATTCGTATAACTTCAACGGGAATTCTATCTATTCCACAAATGGTTTTGGGTCGATAAGATTTCAGAACATTTTGGACTTCAAAAGCTGTTGTCGGGGCAAGGAACATGGAGGTTTTACTGGGATGTCCCATATTTTGCCCAAAGTCATCCTTTCTAGTATAAGTAAACCGTTCGATCATTTTATTTCCAATTGTAGAAAAGTGCGAGTGCATGCATCAACTCTGGGCGTCGCTGTTCGGTAACCGGTTTAGTTTTTCGACTTTCCTATGGCGGTATGGAAGCATATCAGCAATTCTCGTGGTTAGAACGTCGGCAAATTTCGTACGGCGAAAGTGGGAAGTTTATCCATATCCTACCATATATTGTAATACAGAAGTGACTCGGAACAGTTGGTATTTCAAATTCATGAAAAATGGGTCATCGTCACAGGACCCAGGAAAGTTATGACATTCGCTCTACCGTTACCGGTACACTGAGTAGTCGAGTTGTCTATTGTGAAATATCCGTGTAGTCGAGTTGTAGGCCACCCGATGAGGCTGTTGGTACAGTACGGTATCGGTACCGGTAATTTACCAGTACCGCTTGTTATGACAGTTTATTTATTATAACCAAAATTATGGCTTTAAGAAACTAAAAACGCATCTTAACCTAAACACAAGTATAGCCAAACTTAATCGGACTACCGTCTAATACTCGTAACGGCACGTAACTAATGCAGTAAGGCAAATGCAGTCCGTTGTCGCTTGACGATAATCAGTGATCACAACACAAAGAACGATAATGTAATAATGACGGAATATAAACAAAGTGTAGCACACTGCAACAGGAATAACTGAACTTAATTCTCATAACATTCTCCCCGTCTATATTTCAAAACCATAGCGTTCTGGTGGAACACCAATGTTAGTTCGAGTTGAACGACGTGTGGCAATCCTTTCATTATTAGCATTGTCAGAGCTAATTGGAATTTCAATTTTGAACTCTTCATTTCGGTCAACGTTGCATCCATCATTTAGTGGTGACGCATTAGTACTTGTTTCACTATCTTCAGGAGAAAAGTCTTGAGACTCTCTATCGTGACTTGAAGATCGTTGGGAGACTGGACAAGGGGACAAGTCTCTTAACGATACCGTACTCTCCCGCCCATCAGAAAAACGAACTCGAGCATATGCGGGATTCACATTTTTTAGTTCCACTTGTTCAACCAAATCGTCATTTTTGTGCGAACGAACGAATTTCCGCAGAAAAGCATGTTTTGATTCGCACAACCAGGTAGGCAATGAATGACCACTGGGAGAGCGGTGTTGGAAGTTGAAAAATAGTTCATGTGGAGTTGCATTGACTGCTGTGCAAAGCAAAGATCGGAGCGATTGAAGAGCTTTCGGTAACACATATTCCCAATGTGTGATAGGCAGATTATATGTACGCAAGCATAAACGCACGGCTTTCCATATGATTCCATTGAATCGTTCAACTTGGGAGTTTCCAATTGGGTGATAAGGCGAGGATTGACTGGTGGCTACACCACGTTTCAGCAGAAAATCCCTTAGTTCCGCAGACATAAAAGATTTTCCTCTATCAGAGTGTATATAACCAGGTATTCCGCACAGAGCAAATAATTTTTCAAGGCAGCTTATTACTGGAGCGGAAGAAAGATTGGTGCATGGAAATACAAATGGAAATCTAGAATATTCATCGACAATGGTTAGCATGTATACGTTCTTTGTCCGCGATGGCAAAGGTCCCTTGAAGTCCATACTCAGTCTTTCAAATGGCCGTGTGGCCTTGATTAATGTGCCATACGGTGGGGAATAAAATTTCGGTTTAAGTTCCGCACATACGCGGCATAATTTACAAGTTCTTTTAACGTCATCAGTCGAGAAAGGCAAATTTTTCGATTTGACGAAATGTAGGAGTCTTGTGACGCCCGGGTGACATAAACCTTCGTGTATTTCTTGCAATGACGTGGGAAAAACTGATGCGCATGTAGAACGTGTTAAAGCATCAGGTGCGGCATTTTGTTTTCCAGGTCGATATCTAACGTCGTAACTGAAAGAGGCTAGTTCCAGCCTCCAGGACTGAATTTTATTATTCTTTATTTTGGATCGACGACGGTTATCTAGCATGAAAGAAACCGATCGCTGGTCGGTCACGATAGTGAATGGACGTCTTGCCAGAAAATGGGCCCACTTTCGCACAGCTTCAATGATTGCCGTTGCCTCCTTTTCTACAGCAGGATAAAACCTCTCGCTCTTCTGTAGAACACGCGACCAAAATGCCACTGGTCGCCCTCCTTGATTCAGTGTGGCTGAAATTGCAATTTCCGATGCGTCGCATTCTACAACAAATGGAACATGCTCATCAATTGAGCTCAGTGGCATTTCCGATTTCTCTTTTTAGTGATTCGAAGTCTTGTACTGTAGCGCAATCTAAAGGAAATGTTTTCGCTTGGCGGAGTCGTCGCATTTTGTCTGAAAAGTTTACAATCCATTTCGAATAATACGCAAAAAGTCCAATTATTCTTTGCAGAGCGCGACTATTTGTTGGAGGTAGGAGTTCTCTCAATGGAGCTAGGCGTTCGGGATCTGGAGCTACTGAATTATTACCCACTGTATATCCCAAAATGTTAATTTTTCGTACACTTGATACTGTTTTTGCATCATTTAATGTTAAATTGTTTTTCTTAACAGTATCGAGAAATTTCTTCACATTATAGTCATGCTCCTCTTTTGTATGTCCAGCTATAGTTACATTGTCGAGGTGTGGAAATGTATCTTTCAGATTGCCTTTTTCCACAATTTCATCCATTAGCCGCTGAAAAGCTGGTACTCCATTGGTCACTCCAAATGGAATACGATTGAATTCCCAGAGTTTACCATCGCCTTCAAACGCAGTGAAAATTTTATCTTGCTGGCATATTGGAATCTGATGATACGCGGATTTCAGATCGTAGGTGGAAAACCAGGAATATCCAGCAAGTTCGTTAACCATATCATCAATCCGCGGCAATGGATAGGCGTCTAGCTCTGTATAAATGTTTATCGTTTGTGAATAGTCTATGCACAATCGTCGTTTTGAGGTCAATGGATCCTTCACAACTAAAGGCTGTGCTCTCCACGGCGAAGAACTTGGCCTGATAATTCCTTCGTTGTACATTCTCGAAACTTCTTTAGCGATGAATTCTTTGTCTAACGCGCCAAAACGGCGAGATTTGACAGCTATCGGATGACAATTTTTCATGAGATTAGAAAATAACGAAGCCGGGGTGTAGTTTGCAGCAGCTAAACCACATACTTTTGATTCATATTGAACTAGAAGTTCAGGACGAGAGCCGTTAAAAGGGAAAATGACTCTTTCATGTTGTCTTTGAAAGTCCTGACCGAGCAATAAATCACAACAAAGACCTCGAAATACTTTAAGAGGCACTTTGGTATATGAACGACTACCAATTATCATATCAGTTAAACAGGATCCAATAGTCGTTCCTTGCAGATGCTGGACAGCCATCACTACATTTTCCCGTGAAGGCAAAATTTTCAAACGTAGCATTCTCGCAGTCTTTTCGTTTATAAAAGAGAGATTCATATTGAACTAGAAGTTCAGGACGAGAGCCGTTAAAAGGGAAAATGACTCTTTCATGTTGTCTTTGAAAGTCCTGACCGAGCAATAAATCACAACAAAGACCTCGAAATACTTTAAGAGGCACTTTGGTATATGAACGACTACCAATTATCATATCAGTTAAACAGGATCCAATAGTCGTTCCTTGCAGATGCTGGACAGCCATCACTACATTTTCCCGTGAAGGCAAAATTTTCAAACGTAGCATTCTCGCAGTCTTTTCGTTTATAAAAGAGAGAGAGCTTCCGGTATCTATCAACGCAGTTGTATTGCGACCAGCTATGACAACTGGAAGTGTTGCCGGCAGTAAACACCGTGGTGCTGATTGCAAATCGTGGACTGATGGATTTACTGACGCCGTTATAGATGAAGAGTCTTCAGATTTATTCATCTTTGATCGGCAAACTTTGGCAAAGTGGCCTTTTTTATCGCATTTGTAGCAATTGGCATTGCGTGCGGGACAATTTTGACGATTGTGGTAATTATATCCACAGAATATACATTTTCGCCCTGTTATACGGCCAGTTACTATACCTTCATTGTCGAAAGAGGTTTCGGAAGTGGCCAATGCCGAAGGTTGCAATTCGTCGATTCGAGATGCTTCATATGCTGACGAATTACGTTGCGCCAGATCAAGTGATGAAGCTTGTGAAAACGCTAATTCAAGAGTCAAGTCCTTGTTTTCCAAAAGACGTTGTCGGATGTTATTTGACAAAATACCATTGATAAAAGAATCACGTATAAGTTCGTCGCGGTACTGCGCGGCAGAAACATCTTTAAAATTACAATCTTTACTTAGATTACGCAGAGTTTGTAAAAATTCGTCGATGGATTGACCAGTTTGTTGCTTTGCCGTAACTAGCAGATGTCGTGCAAATATTTCATTCGGCGTCTTGACATATAAGTTATGTAGCACTTCCATAGCTTTACTATAAGCGTCCACATCTTCAATATATTCATAAACATTGTGAGATACTGAGTTGATTAGCCTCTTGAGTTTATTCACAGACTGGCCCTCTTGTACACTCATCTCTAATTCTTCAATGTAGTTCTCAAATGTTTTTCGCCAGTGCTTCCATTCCTTTGCCGCGCTTGGAGAATTCAGATTTAGGTCAAGTCTCACTGGTTTCATCGATGCATCCATATTTAAGATTTTAGTTTCTTAAATTGTTATGACAGTTTATTTATTATAACCAAAATTATGGCTTTAAGAAACTAAAAACGCATCTTAACCTAAACACAAGAACATGCAACATAATTACATTGAGTCACTAAGTATAGCCAAACTTAATCGGACTACCGTCTAATACTCGTAACGGCACGTAACTAATGCAGTAAGGCAAATGCAGTCCGTTGTCGCTTGACGATAATCAGTGATCACAACACAAAGAACGATAATGTAATAATGACGGAATATAAACAAAGTGTAGCACACTGCAACAGGAATAACTGAACTTAATTCTCATAACACCGCTCATGATTTTCGGGTAATTGATGATAAAATATTTGGGTTTGCCTTTCGTCCGCGGCAACCTTGCTGCCGGTCCGCCAAATATATTTCAATATTTATATATTATAAGCAAATTGCAAAATACACAGTATTGACGGCATATCCATTAGCAACCTTGCTGTCGGTCCGCCAAATATATTCAAATATTAATGTTGTATATTATTTTTTTTTATTTTTATTTTTTTAATATTGCATTTCATAAAATAAAACAATATTGCAATATAATTGCAATAAACAGTATCAATCAATAAATAGCCTAATACATCACAGTAATACATAACAATATCATGTCAAATCATTTAGATTTTGATAAATTATTGCAGTAAACGATATTAATAAATAAATTTTCATCCAATCTATATAATTGCAATAAACAGTATCAATCAATAAATAATACCTCACAGTAATACATAACAATAACATGGCAAATCATTTAGATTTTGATACATTATTGCAGTAAACAATGTTGTATATTATAAGTATGGACCTTTCCCCGACCTTTGATCCCGAAAATTTTTTTCTATACTTTAAAACCTAAACGTAACCTTTCGGGTCTTATTTTAAAAGTGATTTCGCGAGTTAGCGCCTGTAAACTGACCTATATAGCATAGGTTCTCAAAGTGCTCCGTACGGAGCCCCAGGGCTCCGTGAGAGAAACCCAGGGGCTCCGCAAGCTATTCGACTACTTTTTAAAATACTGAATTGGCTAATTTTACTATTAGGATTACTGAAATGAAAGACTACTATTCTGAAATCACATAAAATACGCGAAAAACTGCCAACTATACATAAATTGAAGTCGTATTTTTGCGATCTTGGGATTTGTCAAGCTTGGTTTTGTTCTTTCGCACTCACGAGCAAGATGTCGCCGTTTACAAAACAAGAGGTCGGGGCAAAATACGAAAGATGGAAATTTATTTCATTGCATGCGGCTCCGTCGGTAGTTTCAGAATGGAAAAATAGGTACATCGCGCGCACAATTGACTGTGTTTCGGTTTCGCAGTTACTACGACGAATAACCAAAGAAAACCCAACATAACACCAAATTTTTGATTCACAATGTCTATGAACGTGTTTTTAATCTGACGTGAGTCTGCTGAAACAAAACTTATAGTGTTATCTCCCATTTTAAGTTTTAGTTTTAATATTTCAGTATGCCGCTTTTCAATCGAGAAATTTGAGTTGCGGATTTACCTTTTATTATTTATTATTTTTAGCATTTCGTCTCCGGTGACTATAATATGGTAACATGTTTTTCACATTGAACTCATAATTCCCCACGAGAACAAAAAAGCAATACTCGTCGTCATTGTGGAACAATACATCATACATGTATATGTCGAGGAAAATTTTTGATTTAGGGAGAATAAACACCGCCATGCTGACGAAAACAATCGGCGATCGTAACAAAATGCAATCGAGTACGTTATTAGCGGCCTTTTAAGTCTTTCAAAAATATCTAAAGGTAAAAGATCCGACCCCTAATTTATTAATATGTTTGTCAAGTATCAAGTTTACAGCTTTAGTATATATAATTCATCTTTTACATTTAGATTCATTTATGACTTGTATTAACCCTATTAAAAGAGGTTAAGCATTTAAAATAAGTACATTACTTTTGACTTACTCAGAAATATTATTCGGAAAGTAACAATTTTAACATTTATTTTGGGGCTCCGTGAATAATAGTCAACTTTTTCAAGGGCTCCGCAACACAAAAAGTTTGAGAACCCCTGCTATATAGGATAGCATTTACATATTTATCTCGCGGGAGAGGAAAGTCGATGAGACGGCTTATCTATATGGCGAACCACGGCCTCTCGTCCCGTCACCATTCCAAGTCTGGTACCGGTACCGGTATGAGATTAGTTTAGTTATATTGTTTGTTTTCGGAAGCATGGACTTGGTGGTCGAGGAAGCCGTACCGTAACCGACCAGCGGTTACTTGAACCACCCAACTACGGCGAGGAGTCCAGCAATCCTCTCGCACATAACCATCCCTGCATGGGATGCGAACCCACGCAAAGTAATAAGAGGTGCGGTGGCGAGCGTATTTCTAACGCTTAGCCGGTTCAGCCACACCGCCGCGCCAACTTGTTAAACCAGGCCAACTAGAAGTGCATGTGGTACTAAACCCCAAAAACCTATAATAAATTGCTACGGTAATGCCCAAGAAAGAATATGGAACGACAACCATCTGACAAAAATTACCCTCCGGTGAAAGACGTTGACCTAGGTTTCTTGGGTCTCGTGTAGTTTCGTACCTAACGTATCTAACTTCTAGTGGGCGTAGCATAACAATTTTTTGATAGTCTATGTCAATCCTAACCCCCATCCGACTAGGCCATCCATTACGTCACTTTGACATCACAATCACGTCATAGACCTTTCCAAATACCGTACCGGTATACAGGTATACGTACAATCGCCCGAAATGGAATTGGCGCCGACGATAAAGAACTGACTGACGTTATCGATCTCTCTCCTATTGGAATCGTTGCGACGAGAAAACGAGAGAAATGACTGTTTGATTTCGGGTGCTCGTTTGCGCGTCTTGGATGGTAGTTCGTATAGTTTGAAGGGCTCTATTACGTCACTGTGACGACGTGTTGACATAATTTTTGGATGGTGTAGTCAGGTGGGGGTTAGGATTGATATGTGAAAAAATTGTTATGCTACGCTCACTAGAAGTATGTTAGGTACGAAACTACATGAGACCCGATTTCTTGGCTGTCAAGCGAGGCAGCGAGCTAGGTTTGACAAGGAAGCAACATTGACCAAGTTCGGGTTTCTGTCGTAGGAAAAGTCCGCCCTCGGATGCAGCTATGAAGTGGTAGTCTATATCAGAATCTTATTCACTACTTAGCAAGAAAGCCGAGGTCAGACTTCTTTACACAAGCATTTTACTGTACAACAGTTACAGAGTTACCGGTAGTTAAAAAGCGTTTAGTTCCTAGTCTGGGGTCTGGTTTCGCATTCCATAAAAGGTCGTGAAACATAATACAATCCAACACGCAACAGTGGGCCACGAATGCAAAAATGATTCGGAACGGGGCCATAAAAGGTTGAAACCACTGCTCTATGGGGTGTTTTGACGTCGTAGTAAGTTTACTAGTGACGTAATTTTTGGATAACTGACTCAGGAGGGAGTTAGGAATACATATGCAAAAATGTTTGTATCACGCCGACTAGAAGTAGGTTACCGGTACATCGTTTGGTAAACATGCAGACATGTGCCCATCCTGCCTGCCATCTGCCCATTGAGCCAACAGAAATTTTTGAAATAAATACCAGAATACGGTATAGCCTATAAGTATTATTCATCTAGCAAAAAATGCAATCTGTATCGTGGTATGAAATTACACGAGACCCACGCTTTGGACTGTAGACCTAATTCAGAATTTCTTGTTTGTAAAATCAGTCGTTCAAAGTAATTATATTCTGATTCTAGAAAATAACCATCTGGTATTATATAGTATTTTTCGAGGTTTCTGATAATCAGATAGATTTTTTTTTTATGGAGTTCGGAGATGGATGAACTTCATTCAAAAAATTTGGTATCATTATTACCGGTATGTTAGCATTTGTGCTAGTTATTCTGCATTTTTCAGTTTTTGTTATTGAAGCCGTAACCGACCAGCGGTTACGTGAACCACCCAACGACGGCGAGGAGTCCAGCAATCCTCTCGCACATAATCATCCCTGCATGAGATTCGAACCCGCGAACCCACGCAGAGTAATTAGAGGTGCGGTGGCGAGCGTATTCTCAACGGGCTAAGCGTTAGGTATACGCTCGCCACCGCACCTCTAATTACTCTGCGTGGGTTCACGGGTTCGAATCTCATGCAGGGATGATTATGTGCGAGAGGATTGCTGGACTCCTCGCCGTCGTTGGGTGGTTCACGTAACCGCTGGTCGGTTACGGCTTCCTCCACCACCAAGTCCATTCTTCCGAAAACAAAACAATATAACTAATCCCATACCCGACTCGGAATGGTAACCGGACGAGAGGCCGTGGTTCGCCATATGGATAAGCCGTCTTATCGGCTTTCCTCTCCCCCGGGATAAATATGTAAATGCTATCCTATCCTACATACAGATAGCCTTATGGTGATGTATTTCTGTCACTGCAATATTATATGAGTCAGTGAGTGTATGATGATGTATGAGCCATCTCTTGCTCAGGCAATATGCATTGTTCATCGATCAACAAAATATTTGCATCAATTATTAAGCCTACCAGAGAGGGCTTTTTGGATTACTGTTCCTATTTCATCATCGTCATTGCTTTAATTGGAGTAGCGAGGGTATGGATTGGTGGATCAACAATGAGAATTAATTGCCCCCAAGAACTTTTTGAAAAGTCTGACCAATTTCCGAAAGAATTTGGCACTTTGGTATATACATCCAGGCCATCACCTCTTCAATCTGATTTGGAAGAAAATGAAGAATTATTATCAGGAAATGGGAAGTTTAATGAATTTACATCACCAGGTGAATATTTTAATATAATTTTGTAAATTTTTGCACTGGCTATTGTATAAAAGATGAGATAATAATATCTAATAATTTTATTCAACCATAGAAGTTTCATTCTTCAGTTCTCACCACAATCAGGACACATATTACCCTTCTGTCTGTATTCAAATAGACTACAAAGAATAATACATTTTAATCAATGAAAGTTTACCTGGTCTTACTACTTACTGAATACAGCGCAAAACACCGCAAACAGCGCGAAACAGCACAAAACAGTGCGAAACAGCGCAAAACAGAATAAAAATTTGCAATGAGTTGGGGCACCTTTTTTTTTTGAGTCGAGGTACCACGGCAGCAAATTAAAAACACAAACCAAGGCACCTGTAAGGCTGTAATGGCAGGTCTGCCCCTGCTGGTGACATATTTTGGGTACCATAATTTAGAACATTTTCCATATGGATACAGCTTTGATTGATTTGGCTTTAGGGTTAGGGTTATATGAAAAAAAAGTAGCTAAAATTTCGCATGATGACCTAGAATCCAGTACATAACCTTTTAAATATGCCAGAAAACCATGGCGAGAGGTGCCGGGGTTCTTTCACGGCAGGAGGTGGTAATAACTGCATCTCCTGTTTTGTGCTGATTTCCTTCTGTTTCGCGCTCTTTGCGGTGTTTTGCGCTGTATTCAGTAAATACGGTAATAATATCACCTTTCGAACTTTCTTTATTTTCATTCCATTTCAAGAAAATCTGAAAACAGTGGGTTCGCTTTTTTCAAAGTATATTGATAAGGAGAATCTTTCCTACCTTTTCAAATCATTATTTGCGCTATTATCATATTCGACATCACTGAATGTTTAATATATATTTTAAATTCTATTATAATGAATTGAGAATAATTCGAGAGTTGTGTGTTTTATACATTTTTACATGTTCTCTGTCACTACTACATTTACTGCTAGTGTTTCATAATATGCAGTGCATCTAATATGAATCTATGATGTTTGGTGTAGAATAGCCATCTCTGCTTTGACTTATATGTACTTCATTATTCAACAATACATTTTATCTTGACAGATAATGTAGGTGTGAACAAGTTGAACGAATCATTGAATGAATCAGGGTCAATTGTCCAATGTGCAAAATATTATCAAACAGTATTTGCTTATATTCTTCTTGTTGAATCTACTATTCTACTGTTTTCAGGATTGATATGGGACAAGGTGTGTAACTAACAATGAAAGCAGATTTTATGTCAAGACGCTGATGTAGTAGCATAGCATCAACTAAATTAATCTAATTAATTAATCTTGAAGCTATGCTTACCAAAGAGTTTTGGTAAAACGTTACTGGAGTTTACTCATTACAGCTTTCTTCAGTTAATAAAGCCACACTTATCAAGCTTTTTACAGCTCAAATGAATATGTTGCAAATTGATCCTGTCAACTATAACTGTAAGGATATTATAATCATGATTTTAACTTGCTTTTTTTATTTTTAGGTACCTAAAGTAACGCACACTCTAAAGAGATTCACTGAAATTGTTGAGGAGTGCCAAGCAAGTGACTGGGTTAAAAATGCATTAAACATAATCACTGATAAACGTCAATCTTCTGATATTTCTCAATCTCTCTACTCGGTTATAAGCAGTGAAAATGTGAGCAAAGTTGTTTTCCATTCAGTTATCATCCTATATCTTAAATGTGTTTATTAACAGATATCTAATATTTGTTATTGCGAAATCATCTAAGCCAACCAAGGGAATAATATTTTAGTAATGAGGGCGTATGCCAGCATCCAGTGATTAAACAAATGATATATCATGAGGATATTGCAGATGACATAATACCGTGTATAATATGTTCAACCAGGATTATCGACAAATCTAATCTGTTCTGCTGTATAATAAAAATAGGATATCACCTATAATTTCAAGACACTGGTTTATGCAAAAATATATTTGGCTGAGTTTGTCCATAATTCTTGTTTAGAGTTGAAGCATTCTACTGCAGACTTCTATATATAAATATCAATGACATCAATGCAAAATCTTTGGCCAACTTTTTGGATCAAGTAGCATATTATGGCATATATCAGTACTTTGTTATAATAATATTTTACATAATACAACTCTTTACAGACAATTTATGATATGAAGTCTTTACTCGACACATTATTTCATCCTAATGGAGACTATAAAGCTAAAGCAAAAGCTAGACATTTATATGAGAAAGTACAGGTATACTGTTATAAATATCCAATAAATCTGAAATATGTGGATTAGGTTACTAGGCAAATTAAGTACAGCATAGTGGAGCGAGTCTTTGGTTTTGAATCAGATTATGTGTGGTTTATACAAAAAAAATTTTGGATTAATTTACAGTTATTGTTATGAATGGCATATAGGCAATTGATTGCATTTATTTATATATCATGATAAGAACTATCAATGCAATGTATGTATATTCTGTTAACTATTTGTATTCTGATATATTAGTGTTTTCTTGTGTATCGTCACATATAAAAATTCGCATATAAGCTGACCCTACAAATTGTTGTTTGTTACATTGTTAGTGCGATCAGAGTTATGAGCATACAAGCTGACCCCTTAGTTTGGCCACATTTTTTACTTTAAACTCGACCTATACGCGAGGATATACAGTATTTCATGGAAACCTGAATTTTAAATTCAATTGTGATATTTTAGACTTCTTTTTCAGACTTTCTGTGAAAGCCATTCAGTGCAAACAAATATATGGAACACATATATAATCAAGTCACTGTTACAATTTATTTTATGGATTACTATCTTCAATATTAATCTTGTTTTATTTGTCACTCTCGAATTTTATTATATATGTCCAGAAGATTCTATAGTACCCTGTGATCATGATACATTTTTAAGGTAAGAAAATGAGTAACTGTTTTTTTTCCTTTTTCAACTCTTAATAAGTGCTTGATGAAATTCCAAATTTTATATGAATGTATTTATTCTAATAATTACTGATTTTGCTGAATAAGGCTACATTTTTCAACTTGTTGAGAAAATTGAAAAAAAATATTTCAAAAAAATTCTCTTCTATATGCCTATGCGCGTCTATATTCAAATATTTTATTGCTTTAAATTTCAATACCAGTTATTTATAAATGAAGAATGAATGCTGAAATATATAGATAGAGAATAGGCAATTATCAAAATATTGTTTCTTTGAATCAAAATATAAACCGGGAAAAGTTTGGGTCATTTTGCCACATGGAAAAAATTCAAAGTAATTAGTTAGAAGTTATTAGTCATTTCATAATTTAGCATCAATTTGTACAGTAGTAAGTAGATTTTTTCACAACAATAGTTTAGCAGAACAATTCTTTTTTTATTTAAATTAGTTTTTACATTGTTTCTGTCAAAGAGTGTTCTTGTTACTATGGATTCATATTCACTGGTTTATTTTATGTTTTTTTGTAAGTTCTCGATGTCTATTTTTTAGAATAATTTGGTTTATGGGTCAAACTGTGATTTTAATTTATGGTGTATTCAACTGTAAAACATTGAAATGGATTAATGAAAAATCAATTGTGAGACGAAGATCATGCTGCAATATATCCAGGTAATATATTTTCAATCTGCTTAAATGATTTATATACCTCATTGATGTAGATTTCCAAGTTTCACCTAAAATTCTAATTTAGGGATATTTTTTCAAATGAATATTGGAGTACCCAATGTTTAGATTTCAGATGCTTTGTTTTATAGCTGCTTACGAAGACATAGAACACTGTATACTTCAGATGATACACCACTGTTGACTTGCAGGGCTTTCAGGTCAGTACTAACTAACAAAGAAAAATTCTTCATAAGTCTTATTTCCTATAAACTTCATTTTGCTGTATTTCTGGGCTGATTGAAGGCTTGGCACCCTTACCCGCAGCACTGGGCTTTACAGGTCAACAATTACAGCTATTCAAAACATCAGCTTATTTTCTTCTCTAGGATCGCATATGAATTTTCATATTCAATCTGAGCTAATAACTTACAATACTTTTTCAATTACAGGTTTTCTGATAATCCTCCAGTATTTAACGATGTTGCAATTTTACTCCATTTATTTGAAGAAGCTTGTCCTAAAATTCTTCCTTATTTTGTTGTTTTTATGTTTCCTGAATGGAAGGAAAAACTGACGTCATTTGCAAATCCAGGTTTTATGTTTTGAATTTTGAAACTCAATTTTTACTTGAGTAAAGGTAGCCTACTCGTGTCGAATTAATTACACAGATATTTGTTCATCGATCAATATTAAGCATATAGAGGTAAATTGAATGAAGTAGAAAAAACTTAAACTAATACTGATTAAAATATTAAATAAAACAGACATGGTTGAACATATATCGACAACTGACTTCATAACATAGTTTTGATTGTAACTGGACTTTTTTGAACACCCTGTATACTAGTTTCACTTTTCATATCTTGAGCACGGGGCTCTATTCATATTAGCGAGCTGTGTCTAATATATCTTAATTTAGGTAAAAAGCAATTCTACCTTTATATTTGTTACAAAAATTTTCAATGATGATATTTCATCTTCAGTGCAAATGTCGGAAATGCCCTTAAGATCATCTATGCAAATGTTATCCGGTAGACCTCCCCCAATAATTGAAATCACTGACATTCCACTACTCCCTGAAATAGAAGAAAATAACAGACCAGATGTTTTAAAAAAGAAGGAAAAACAGCCATCGGTTACATTCTTCATTGAAAGCGAACTAGAAGATTTTTCTCATATGCTATCGGTGAAAAATGATACGAAGACTCAATCTTTTCATACTAAAAAAGTATCATCTGCATATCAATCTGCTACTCTTCCTGCAGTTAAATTTTCACCCCTCACCCAAATCATTGATTCCAACAACTCCAATCATAACGCAATAAGTAATTCTGTCGAAACATTCCCAAATTCTATTAAAGAAATCGATTTGTCATCAACTTCAAGAAATCATGTTGTACCTGTAAAAATACAGTCTGGTTCAAGTGTCATAAATGCTGATGAATTGACCACTCTCATCCACAGAACTAGTTCTGCTGACAGTGACTTAAGATCACTCAATGCCACAGAATCAAATTCAGGTGATGCTTCTGAAACCCATCCATTGTTAGACTGATATCATCAAATGAATTTTTTTGGCATATTATTGGCTATTCAGGATATGCAGAAATGAACCGCAATGCAATAGATAGATTAAAATGTAAAATGGATCTCTATACATTACCAGTTTGCCAGACATCCGTGGTTTCTAAATGTAAAATACACATATATTTTTGGGAACCACTTACCGTACTACTTTTTGTAAAATTTATAGAGCTGTATTTTGCTATAGAATTACAATTGTACAATTGAAATATTCATCGTCATTCATACCGATGTTTTCAGGTCCTGTTATTGTACAACCTTCGCATCACAATATATTCACGATTAATACATTTAAATTAACTTTTCTATCAAATAAAATCTGATGCACCTCTCCTACCGACTCACTAGCCAAAAACCCAGATGCATTATTTTTTCTTTTAATTTTATATCTGTCACTGTCATATCGGTATTACTGTATTTTAATAATGTCTTCCACAGTTTTTAATGCTTACTAATTGGAATACTGATGCATTGGTGCATCATCTAATCTTTGCTGCACAATTTATCTACACATTTGAAATAATCATAAATATAAAAACGCTATTTTCGATGGGATAATTTATTTATAATTAAGATTCTTTGAATATTTCTGTGTCATTGTTCAGTATTCTTAAGATTTGATTAGTTTTGGAGTTTACCGCGGTGGCCGTCGTCTTAGAGACCACTTCTGCGTCGGCGCTAAGATATGCATTGTCGGCGAACGAAAACTAGAATACCTACCCCAGCTTGTTGAGAACCATCGGTAAGAAGCAACACATTACAATTACTTAGGAATTTTGTTGATTGGTTTAGGTCATAGGTACGTGGGGTTGAAGCGGTCAAATTGCGGACCTCCAGAAGTATGCGCACCAAGATGGTGCACAACCTGAACATAGTATGTGTGTACCGGTTAGGATTCAGGTTGTGCGACATCTTCCCGTGCATTCTTCTGGAGCACCCAAAATTGGAATAGTAATCCTATACACGTTACAAAAGCGTAATAAATAAATTGTTACATAAACTATATGTACTAATGAGGCAATTTCGCTCATTGATGCAAAATTTTGTCGTAATACAATGCTTGTCCTACTTTGCCTCGAACAGTGCTAGATAAAAGCTAAGGATATCTAACAATATCCTAAAGAATCTCCCCACAGACTTACTTCGCATTCGATGTTATGCGAGGTATACAAGAGCGTATTTTGATACATCTCGATTGGGACCTTCTGAATAGGGTTTTATTTTTGATCAATTCTAAAAAACGTGTTTTAAAACAAGGGCTTGTTTTAAATCAATTTTTTATTGAAATACCACTTGCATCGCCGCGAAACTACGCCAGAACGTTGCATTCTGGTAGCTGCACACGCGGCTGGAATTATAATTCCAAGGATGTAAGTACAAATTCTTATTTTGAGTTTTACTTTGCGTGCATTTATCGCCACGTTTGTATCTCCACCAAAGTCCCAAGATTTTAACCGGAATGTTCATCAGAGAGAGACGTCTTGATTAGGAAAAATCATGAAACTTAGCTCTCTTGTCTACTACAGAAGCACTTATATCAAAGGCGGCCTTCAACAAAACGAGTGGGTTTCGATAATGAAGAATATGTTTAAATCGGCGGCAATCTACTGATATAAACGATGAGACGCCCTAGTCTAGCCCAGTGCTCCGCAACCTTTTTTAACTCGCGGCACACTTATAAAACTTGCCAAATTTGACGGCACACCACAACAAACGAAAAATACGAGGTGTAACTTTGTTTTATGTTTATATACCAATGAGAGATTTGTGGTTGTTTTAATGAGCACAATCGCTCTATATTAAGATCATTACGTGACGCGCAATCAATTTTGCAACACGATAACTAGCTTCGAATGCTTTTTTCGGAGACTGTAAAAGACGACTTCACAGAGCACTTTTGCTTCTTATACCTACTTAACAACCGCTGGAAATAATTCATATTCTTGCGTGCATGAACAGCAAGTTTCGTATTTGAGTGGCGCATAAGTTTACTCGGAAACATTGCTTCATTTGAAAGTTGCTGCCGGTGGTCGGCAACCACCGGGCCGCGGCCCATCGCCGGTCCGCGGAAAGGTTACTGCCGGTCCGCAGAGAGGTGGCACAAAAACGGACAAGGCCGTAATAAAACCTTCACAATCTCACCACAAACCCTACGATTAAAAAAATGCACCCAACCAGACAAACACAACACCAGGGGTCGGAAAAAATGCGGCCCGCGAGCTAATTTGTTGCGGCCCTTGAAAGACCCGACATTTAATAAATAAAACAAAAATTAATCTCAAATTTAATAGTCTCTACACGGGTTTATGCGGTGACAAGTGCTGATGTACGGCGCTTCTTATGTAACAAGTAGCGTCGGTTGTATGTCGTTCGAGTTAATTTTGATTTTTAAAATTTGAAAATGTCTGGAAAACGGAGCGACGCGGGTCGACCATTCCAAAGGGCTTGAACGGAAAAATATTTTTTTTTCTTGCGCATTTCAAAACCAGTTTGCTTGATATGCCCAGTCAGCATCGCAGTTGTTAAGGGTTTCAATGTTAAACTCGTTACGAAATGAGTCGTCGAAAAATTCGACCGCGACACCCGGGACTGCGCCACAGATCATCTGTGCGACAGTGCAAAACGTGTAATGTGCACGTTCGGAAGAACATATGGCCTTGAGCAGCTTTATCTAAAGTGCATTACACTTAGATTAAATTTCGTACTCGCTTGTCAGATCATCATTTGGACGACGAATTATGATAAAAACATCATCTTTCACATTGATAATAAGTATATAAAAACAATGTATTGTTGGATAATAAAGAAAACGCCACATATGCATCTCATTGGGACAGACTTTCAACACAGCAATAGCAGTGTAGCATAGGGGATGCGCCATAATTTGAAGTTCAATTATGATAGCGATTGTTCGAAGGCGGAAATATTGCGGCCCGCGCGCTACCAGAAATGTTTATATTTGGCCCGCAAGTACATTGAGTTTGCCGACCACTGCATAACACTATTGAGCAACATGTCTGATTTCATACACAATTTCCATGTCAGTATGTCGCAATGATGCTGGGTCAATTGTTTTCTCTACGCCCGTATAAGAATATCTCTCATCAGTCCGACTAAGATCTCCCCAACAAAACATTGTTAACTTTCCCGAAATCTTAATGTGAGGCCTGGTTTTCAATATTGATAACTACAGAAACAAAATAGGCTGGAAGTAAGAAACACGTTACGTGTGTCAATGTCGACCATATCTCGAATATGGGAACAGTTAATGGCCATCAAACAAATACAGACATCACATTAAATAGCATCACCGTCATTTTTAGTATATTGTCAACATAAATTTCCTAATGCGTATAACTTATTGCATAAGCTTAGTTCGTTTGTATAAAGGTGGTCCGCCAAAAGTTTGGTCAAGCTTTACCGGTCCGTCACTTGAAAAAGGTTGCCGACCGCTGCTCTAGCCTATGCTAATTGTTAGAGTCCTCTGTTGCAGAGACGCCACAACCAATTTGTTATGACGCCAAAATATAGATTTCGAGTTCATGTATTGACATTTTTCTCATAAAATGAAGGCATTATTACGTTAATACTGTCCGGTTATGCCTAGCATACCTTGTTTTAAAGCAGGGGTCGGCAAAATACGACCCGCGGGACAGATCCGGTCCGCGACGCTTCACTGAATTATATTAACAACTGTATTGACGATTATATTCTTTACGTAACAGAATTTGTTTAGAGACACTAAATTATATTATAACCTGACAAGTATATAATTCAAAATCACTCGTTTAATGAGCCTATGAATTGATTATAATTGGACAAATGGCAACAAAACGTAAGAAGTTGATGCTAAGTGCAAATGCTTTAATGTCGCAGAAAACACTCAGTCTTCGCACGCTGCTTGAAATTTAACTGAAATCTGTGTGAAAATATGTGATTCATTAGCCATTCTCTCGGTTTTAAACTTTCTAAAAATATGTGCGGCCCGCAAATGACTTTAATTTTGACTTTTATTTTGGCCCGCGAACGACACAAGTTTGCCGACCTCAGTTTTAAAGCTTGAAGTGATACAGTTTTTCAAGATTATACAAACTCATTCATTTGATCGCATTTCAATTTTTGCAAGGTGGTTTCGTCGCAGGGTCGTTCACGTAATGGCTTATCGATTGCGTCTTACTGCGCCCACCACTGAACTACAGCTTGAGAAGGTGTGCATGAGCCTTTATCGATATTTGTGGCGTTTAAATGGATTTATTGCAAATATGTAGCTCTTGGCAAGTATTTACATCCATTTTTCCTCAACCTATTTAATACAAAAAATCAGATAGTACAGCTATTTTGAACAAAACAGGCAAAAAAACTTGATTCAAAACAAATGTTTTAAAACAATTCTTTTGGAACAAATTCCTACTCCTGAAGTATGCGCACCAAAACGGTACACAGCCTGAACTCAGGTTGTGTACCAGGTTAGGGTGCAGGTTATGCGACATCTTCGTGCCCATACTTCAGGAGCACCCTCAATTGATTCATTTGATGATATGATTATTAATTACTAAGCAGGCCAGAAAAAAATCAGTTTCCAGGAAATCGTTCAAGAATGAATGTTTCCCCGAGCATCGACTTTCTTGTTTACTTCATGGCATTGGCCAATCAGCAACATGCAAAAGTGACGTACTTTCGCATCCGCTCAGGCAGATTTTCAGGTGTGGTCGTAAACATTGCCTCGTTATTTATCGATCTGGATCGGTAAGTATGTTAATAGGCATTTGTTTGTCTGACTGACTGTTAGACACTTGCGTATGTTACGCGATATCTCACGAAAGCTAGGTCGAATCTGCTCCAAATTGTGCTTGTGCATCCATGATATCTCGGACCAGAATGCCTATATATATATATATGCTAATATATATCAAATAATTTAATCATTACTTTGTCTTCTTAGGAGTTTCGGTTTAATTGCAGTAAATAAAAATTTAGTGTAGAAATAGCTGTGATAGACTAGGCTAAAATTCTTTACCGGTACTTTTCAAAAACAGATTGTTGAATGCTATGAATCGGAATGATGGTTTAAAACAAATACCCCATTTTCAGGCGCCAACTCGCGAAACCACTCTTAAAATAAGCACCGAAAATTTTGCATTGGTGAAGTATGGGAAGAATTTTAAGGGGGTCAAAGGTCCATAGAAACCATACAGTGATTGAAATCGAAACCCAGTCAATTGTGCAAACGATGTAGAATTTGATCTATTCTGAAACTAGAGTAAAATGGTGTTGGAAAGTGCGTAATTATTTATATCTCACTGCAAATGCCGCAGAATTGCATTTTAAAAAAGTTGAAACCATTTTTGGGCAGGGCCATGACTACGCCCATGGCTTGGATATTTATCGTGAAGGTAAGCGAGGGAATGTTTCAAATTCCGTGTTGTTTTCTTGCGCGACAAAGATTCAGGTTTTCAAGGCAATTTGTGCATCAAAGGTCAAGAAGACTTTTTTGCAGGAAACTCATTTTTGTGATCATGCGAGAGCCTTAGACCGTCGTTAATAAAACTGCGACCTTGACCCCTTTTGTGGTCAGAGATCGATTCTCACTAGGCCTCTGGCAACTTTTGACTGTTTGTAACGCCGTATCTTACCGGTAGCGTTGACGCTACGCCCGCTTTTGAGCTTTAGTTAGTTCGAAAACGGTTCCCGTAGTTCAAGAACACTGCGTTTCAAGAAGTTATAACAAACTGTTTTAGTTTAAAGTGCCAAAAAATTGCATAGCGTACGGTAAATTTTGTGCAACAACTATCCTGCCCTCAGAGCGTTTTCAAAATATTGGGGGAAAGGGCTCATCAGAAGACAAAATTTGGAAAATGTAAATTTTTGCAGTGAATGTAATGGCTTGTCAAGCTCAGCAGAGCCATTTCTGTTTAAAAAAATTCCAAAATTAACCTCGAAAATACTACACTGAGATGCAAATAGCTAAGCGAAGACGCCGGAGAGTGAACTTTCGATACTCGAATTCTTTCTATAATATATTACTGTTTTCCATGCCCGATCTAATAATTCTCTTGCATGCCCGATTCAGACCGCTAGACGATGACATAAGGACAGTCGTCTTCCACGAAGTTGGGTCAGGGTAAAGTAAACACAACCATCGTATGTAATGAGTTGAATCGGACCGATGTTTGCACTGTTCAAATAATCTTGACCATATTTCCAATGGTATAGATTTAAAGCAGCGTGAATGTATTTCAATTTAAATAAAAAAAATTCACAGGTCATATCAATTACAAATTTGAAACAATACTATGATAAAAAAAAATAATGTATATAATAAAAAAGTGCTATGTACGTTTCAAAAGCATAAAAATGGATAATACATCTGAAAGCATGTATAAAAGTACTCGTCAATTTTGCTCTTTAATCTGTTTTGCACCAAAATTGTACAAAAAATATAAATGATAAGGAAAGCGAAAAGTTACAGTCAATACGGTTTAATATGTTTTCACGAGAACTCAACAACATTCAAAACTGTTTCTGATAGAGGTATATGATATGTCTCTAGAGATACATTCTTCATATATAACGGTGTTAGTCAATTAATCAACCGTCAATGTTTTCAAGTTTAGACACGGTGAGTTGTCCACTTTTGCGCACAGAAGTCGCCATTTAGTGCTTTCAACGTTATCGACATTATTTTGTTATCGTACGGGGTTGCAAGGATTCAAATTAACTTTACGTATTAAAGGGAACCACAATACTGCTTTTCAGTGACTCTTGTATTTTGCTCTGGGACATTAATTATAAATGCGAATGTAGGAAAGTACCAAATTAATAAATAGGCAAATTAGAGATACCGCTTTATGTTTAGCGAACAATAAATACAAGCAATAAACGACAACAATAAATAAGTGTATATAAATAAATAATAATAAATTTTTTAGGCATTGAAAAAATGTTGATTTGAGAGTTGTCAATTGTTCATTAACCAGTACGATTAGCTAATTCAGAGAATTTTTATGAAATGTGTTGGTGAAGAAGAGGGTAAAAATAATACATTGTCATTTAATTTTATTCCACTCGATTTGAATTGCTATTCGTGTTCCGCGCTATTATGATTTTTGTCGTCTCTTGACGCATCTGTAGAAATAAAAAGTGTTTGTAATATTTGTTTCGACAACTTCAACATTGCGTAAAAGCGTGTTTAATTTTCACCTTATAAAAATAATGATATTAACAACCTTATTATTTAATAATTTTGTACAAATTTACTATTAGAGCAGAATCTCTTGAAATTCATTGATAAAAAATTCGGCCCGTAAGACAAGCGGGTAATTGGGTAACTACTGAAGTAAACTTAAGAAAAATACACAACTTTCCTTTTTCTTGTAATTACAATTTGTACGACATAATGTGAATGTTTTTTCAATTACTTTTACGAGCTTGCCAAGGGAACATAGTTTTATTCGCATAACTTATTTGCAGAAACTATTATTTTATAGAACGCGTGTATTATTCTATCAGAAACTACTTTGTGCCTAGTTTTATCTATATGTGCCATGCACCCGGTTGACAGTAAAATGCAAACAAATACTTATACAAGTATCTGTGTCAAAGTATCTAACATGAGGCACAAAACTTTCAATTGGACACTTCGCGCATTTTATGAAATGCTTAGATTTTGTCTTCTGAAGATTTGACTTTGAGGTTTTGAAAAATATTATCTCACCTGCATCCAGCAGTCAATTTTATTTTTTCAATTTTTCCGTCTCTGTTTTCATACTCTCTGTAATAACAAATTCTTTCAACCTTGTATAATTTACCAGGCTTCTTCTTTTTTGTCACAGGGTCTCGACATTTTTTATCGCATGGTTTGTCAATTATTTGTGTGACATTCAAGTTACGGCAATCGTACCTGTATTTGAACGATTAAATAAAAATTTAAATCTTGAAATATAAAATTTATTTATATCTATACTGATTAAAGATCTCGAAGTTTTCCGTTGGATGCTTTGCCATTTGCGAATCAATTATTAGTGTCAAGTACTTCAATTTTACTAAAATTAAGTAGGCTACATTACTTACTTTCTAATTTCATGAGGTACAAATCCCTTTTCATCTCTCTCGATTTCTTCATCAGTTGAGGTGCAGTATTTTCTAATAAATCTTTTCCTATAAAAATAAAATAATATTAATATGTTTATTATCATTGTTTTCCAAAGTGCTACGTGTTTGAGCATCGGATATATTTTCTATTATATAATGAAAAAAGATAATGTATTCCAAAATTGGAATAGTTCAACGTAACTTTTGCAATTTGACCTATTTTTTGCTGCAGTCTGAAGCATAGGTATTTTAGATCGTTTGAACAATCGCTAAATTTTGTTATTCGGTCATGTACAAAAACAATATTCATGAACGGGGTTAGTTATTTTTCCAAATTTACAATGTATATATATATATATAAATATCTGCTTTACGTTTTAATTGAAGTTTTGATTTAAAATTATTGCATGAAATATACTCACGACAAACAAGTTAGTCCTTTTCTCATCTTTGCAGCTTCTACAGGACCACTTACTACAACAAGTAAAATAACTCCAACCGAAAACCAACAAACCTGAATTCAAAAAAGATGAATTAAGATTACTGAATTAATATTACGAATAATGCGCATCTATGGTAATTGCCTACGACTGGGAGGTTATAAATTCAAACATTAACTCGTCTACCGTAGACTTAAAAGCAAGAAATACGTTAGTACTTTGAATTTTGACTTCTGTTAATAGTTGAATTTTATCGTTAACGCAAATACCTTCTTCATCGCTGTTGCTTTTGCAGATAAAACTTGAACTGCAATAAAATTTCAAAAAATTCACTGACACTAAAAGTCTCTGCTTAGTTTCAACCAAATGCTGGATTAAATGAATGTATTCCATGATTGGTAACTTTTATACCCTCTGGAATGCTGTAAGAAACATGTTCATATTGTTAATTAAATATCAGCCAGATTCCTGACGGGGATTCCCTTCTCTGCTTTCCAAAACCCACACCCACGCCTCCTCCGCCGCGGGCCGAGGCCCCGTCGCAGTTGTTCACGTTGGAAATAAAGTGAGCTAACTATGTTCTCAAGATTGGGAATTTCAGTTTGCAAAAAAAGGAAACACGCACGGCTTTGAGACGACGTAGCTTTGCGTAACGCGAGAGGTTTGTGTGTAGTTCTCTCGTTTGTATTCCTAGAGTCAATCGTCATTTTATATCGCGACATGAGATAAATAATACAATGTGTTCTTCGTCGTGCATGGGCGCACTGTGAAAAACTTTGAATATGATCTTTTTAACGTGGACCAAGTGATATCTCGTACTATGTGATACTAATCAGAAATTATTCGTTTCATTGTCGTGATGGCTGACGAATACTAATCAAATTTACTACGTTAATGCGAATTTTGGCCAAGTCTACTTTGAATGTATCGCAGTCACATCAAAATACAATTATTATGCGCATTAGTTTATTAAATATTGTTTATAATGATTTTTAAATACGATGGATAGGAGTATTTCAGATATTTTACGTATTACAGATATTATATATTATTTTATTTTTTTTTTAATTCAATTAACGTATTCATATTTGATAAATTCACAAACATAAAGGTTCCGCCAGTCCTATAATTTTTGATATATACATTCATATCCTAGTTTTACTACTTTTAGATCAACATATCTTGAGAGTACACAATATAGGAAATTCCATCTATTTAACATTGCTTCTACATGTGATTGGCTACAAACTTTCTCAAATGTTTTGGTAATAAATAAAAAAAAAAAATTTCAAAAATAATGCAGAATGGTGTACTAGTGGGCGTTGATGACGTCACTCACCAACAAATATGTCAAGTGATGGAGGCGTTCAGCGTTACTCCCGACAACACGTGGAAAAATATTTTATCTCAAATTGGGACATGTCTGTATTAATTAACCACACGGGTTCACGTCACATTTCACCGTGATCGGGCTGTTGACTATGTCGGTTTCTAAATTTATCTACACCGTTATGTACCATATAGTTGCTGATGAAACATGAAACTATCGCCAATGATTGCGCTCACTTTTTTTCTCGGGATATTACCCATCTGCAACTCGCAGCGTCCATATATCTGACAAACAGACTTCCACAATTAGCTGATTTATTTTTGCGGCGTACGTTCTTCAACGCTGTGCATATGTTTCATAATTGGCTCAACCGATTTTCCTTTACAAAAAATCTTTACGTGAAATTAAAATCATATATGATCGGTACAGTTTCTATAATTTACAATATTTGGTTTAAGTAAATAGCTTTTTCCAATTGCATGTCAGCTTGATATATTTTTTTGTAATATGAATAAAAAGACTACGTGTGTACGTTCATATTAAATCAAATTTCATTCTTCGCACACGTTATATTGCATATTTTCTGACCCATAAAACTAATTTCGTTCCCCGTCCATGTTAAACATTCTTCATTATACATACAATTTCTCAACATATTTAAACCAAAGACCATAAAAATGATAATATTTCCTCATTTTATTTGCAATATTATTGCAAACTCACTAATATTATCTCAATATTCGTCAAAAAATTACATCATAAGTTCCGATGCCGGGAAAATTATGATAGTGTATTAAATGTAATCATATCACATCCATAAATGGCCTTCTTTGGCTTCCTCTAACACTAAAGCAATGTGTTAGGTGTGATCAGTTGTAAATCATGAACGCAGAACTCCATATTATACTCAAAAAAACTACTCCATTCAATACGTTGCATACGTCCGGTAAAGCAAATACAAAAGTACCGTGATTAAAAAGGAGAATGTAGATATATCTACCGGCGGGATTTCAAGCCACGTGATGCGCTGAAAAGATAATTATTTATAGGTATATTTACATTATGAGTGATATACGTAGCCATAAAAATATTTTGTAATTCAATATTGAATCAACATAACGATTACCATTAAGTGTGGAGTGTAACAATCGTTAATATCTGATCAGAAATTGAATACAATACCCTTGTCTGAAATATGGTTCTCTGTTTAAAGACACTATAGAACAATATATTGTCATATATTCTTGCTTGGGGCAGTTTTATTATGAAAAAAAATTGAATAACTTTCTAAATTTAAATTATCTAGCAAAAATGTGACTGTTTCGTGTTATTTTATTATGTTTGATCTTGGTATTATAAATAAAAAACTGTTGCTGATAAATATTTCCCTTGTGGTAAAGTATTCTGTCCATCCAGCAAAAAGAATTAAATTTTTCTAAATTGAAAACGTTAATTTTGACATGTATAGTATAAGTAGCGCAAGAGGAAAAGTCATGAGTTGCTTGGACGGGACCTTGTCTTTGAATATTGGACCACAGCAAAAAGCTAATTTTGACACGGAATGTACATATGTATCGTTTTGTTATTAGCAATTCAAATATTGAAGTCTTTACGTGCCGGGTTTGGGGTTGCAGTTATATGTTCGGTTCAAAATTACACTTAAAAGGTCTGAGTATGCCAGCTTAAAAATGGGTATTCAGTTTGAAATGGATTATCCGAATATATAAGAATTACCCTTCTATGAAACATTAACTTTCCTTATTTAGTCCTACGTGTATTAAAGAATCAATACAAACAAACTCTTATGTGTGGGAGTACAAATATAAATATATCACTTCGATGCATACCCAAAAATAATAAAGCAAATTAAGTCCCACTTCGAAATGTAAAAATTTTTATGCGCTGCACCTATTGAAGATTTTGCGATGGGCGGAATTTCCAATGGTAGGCGTGTACTTTGTTACCGTGATCTATTTACCCCACATTGTGAACCATCGATGCGAGAGCTATTTGAACAATAACCGCGTGCGTGTTCGACGTTTGGTTATTTCCTCTTGCGTGAAGAGAACGCAAACAGACAATAACTAAACGTTACAGGGTTTAAACTGGGTCATAGTTACACTGGGCAAATAAGACAGTGTGATATCCTTACAGCTAACCGTGAATAGCCGTCGATACACTTCTGGTTGATTGTTCAGTTCGTTCTCAAAGTAATCATAAATTGAACTATTAATCAATATCTCCCAAACCTTCTTGCGTGTAGCGCTGTTAGAATATCCGATCTTTTTAAAATTATTTTGTCGATTCATTACATTATGCCAGTTATTTCCTTTCAAAACCGGAAATTTGTTGTAATAAAGGCAGATCTGGCAGAGTTGATAGGAAAGCTTTTTATTGGAGGTACTGAAACTCGTTTCAAATTTTTATATAAAATGTAAAACAACGGGTATATTATCACATGGTATTTTAACTAGCCGATTTTCAAGAATGTACATAATGATATTTCCATTTACTGAGCTAACATTGTAGAACATCTAAAAAAATTTAAAATAAAAAAAACCTTATTATATATATATATCGGAGAGAATGAATTGAAATTTGCATCAGATTTGTAATATTCTTCTCTTTTGTTAAATATATCCTCCCAATTGTAAAACGATATTTTAATTTAATCACATTCAACATATTTTTATTGTTTTTTCGTGACGAAATAAACTATATTTGTCTGGGTGGTGCATTAACAAATAAAATACGTCGCACGATTGAATCCAATATCACGTGGATTACGTGTTGCGAAATTTAGCATAAGAGATAATTGATAGTCTGCCTTTTAGTGTTAAATAAATTCGAAAAGTCGTTTCAAATAAATTATAACTTGACAAGCTTGAACCACGGAAAAGTAACACCTGTGAGGTCTATATCTGTTTGAATGAAATAGAACTCTACCAGGTGATTCCCCGCAATCGATTGAATTACCAGCGATGTATTTCGAGAGAATTGATGACGAAATCGCTCAACAGCTGATCTAAGGTAGCGCGGTATCAATCGTAACGTCAATGTGTGTAACCAGAACAGTATACTAGTTTGATAAGCTTTGAACCGTAAGTCCAACCACAATTTAACCTCCGAGTGAACTTGAGATTTTTTCGCTCACTTAAACCAAATAGACGTTTTACGAATATACCATTCACAAAAATGCGCTCGGTGGATTAGAATTCAATTTTGTATTCAGTCGGGAAGTAAAGGATTTTTCAAAATTTAATAAATTTTATAATACAAATTGACTCTGTTCAGTGTACTTAATATCTAATCTAAATTCAAGTAGAAATAACTTTACTTCCACAGTTTCAAAATTATCGAAGAAATAACCATGTCTTGTGGTGCATATTGAATATAATTGTCGTGAATTTGATTGTTTGATGTCACTAAAAAAATGAAAATATTATTTCGCTCAACATCAGAGATCTAATATTTTGAAAGTTTCCCAAGTTGTGTCTTTTTTGTGCGTTTGAGAATTTATGTTGGAAAATCAAACTATTCCAAGTAAATCAAGATTTGCGTATGCACAGTCATTGTAATAAGTACACCGTATTATAGATAGTGGGTATCACCGGCACTCGAACGCAAAATCTGAAACCTAAAATGTCACCAACAGACGCACATTTCAAATTGCTACTCTTCATGGTGCTTCATCCTGAGTGCACAAAGTAAAAACAATTGTTTTTTGTGTGAGTTTCATAAGGGTGGCTACGTTCTAATATTAATACGCATAAGATCAATTGCCTTCACCCTCTGTAGTTTACAAGTATTGAATTTCGACAGTCAAATATCTGATGTTGAAAATTTTCAGAAGGAATGGTAAAGGACACCTACTATAGTGGCGTTTGTCTAGCTTGCTTTTTGCTTTGGTCCAAATAGAAATTACAAAAGAAAAAACTAAGGTAGAGAAAAATTGTTTTTAAATTATTCTCGAACTTCTCGTTGAATATAACCAAACCAATAATTGTATATTAAATTTGTAATCGACCTAAAAGTTTATTTATAATCAATTATCAAGTTCAATCTAGAAGGGATACCACAACTAAGACGTCTTTCTTATATCCGCAATTTTTAAGTTGTGGTCGAGTGCTTTTACCTATTATTATTTTCAAATCTTGTATAATTATTGTGACTTTTTAGTCTACATACCAACACAATTTAAAATTTACATTTCAAGTCCTTTACTCTTTTCATGTTGAGTGTTTGAGATTTAGTATCGTGTGCCCTAAGAAATTAGCAATTACTGTAACCTGTTATTACTATTTTCCCACCAATCTCTTCTCCCTTCGAAGTAATGTGTTTGGTGTAATTTCTTATTTGAGTAATTGGCGAAAGCTTTATGCTTCATGGGTGAGAATTACATATTTGAATAGTATTTACCAGCATTAGGATATTCGTTGTGGGAGAAAAGCAATGTTTTGATTAGGGCGTCATGTCTTCACCATTAAGTCTTACAACATAGAATTTTGCGCGCCGGCGGCGTCAACCTACTTGTCTACATTTAACATATTAGAAGATTGGAAAACAGACAGCCTAGCCGCGTAGGTTGAACCATTCTTGTAATTCTTCAGTATGAGGTATGCCTAGTTCACAAACTCATTATATGGTTTCCATAACCTGAGGGTCCCTCGAAAAATATTTCAGTTTCAACCAAATAATAATATTTTTAGGTTGGAAAGAACCGACAGTTTCATGAAACATAATGAATCAAAATGGTTCTGTTGTAGTACATGTGATTTTGTTACAAAACGTTTCTGATTAATGAATTTCAAATTTGGAACTTGGAAGTGTAGCAGTTTTAGACATATACACTTTTGATGGCGTGCGGGGAACATAAGGTAATACTCTAAGAATTGTAGATTTGTTTAGACAAAATGCATCAAATTAGGTTATTATTAATTGGAAATCTAAATCAATTGCTGGTCAAGAAACCAAACAATAGGAAATATAGTAATGGGGTGTACAATGGCATTTTGGCACACCCGTAGTATGTGTACCAGGTTAGGGTTAGGCCATAATTTTATTCCCATTTTCTTCATTTTAGTTCTATCACGAGTTTGGGGCATGTCTATGTAAGCCAAGGGAATATATCCCCCGCCCATAGGCTTCAGTTCCTCTACATAACTTGATGTAAAGTAGGCAAACAAAATTAGTTACCTCCATATTGGTACAGATACTTCTGGAGCGCCGACATTTTTGCAGATATTATGCACACGCCTATCTGTTGTAGAGCATTGCGACTGATGTCATGGACATGTAATCTAGAATTTATAGTATTCGAGGCCAACAGAGTTGGACCCAATACTATATTGATTTGTAGATAAAACTAGGTATTGGAAGGAAAATCATGAACTGAGAGTACATTCTAAAATATTCCAAATAGTTAAGAAACCAGTGGTAATATGATCAACAATTTGTAATATTTAAACATTTTTTTATTACCAGGTTTTGGTATTGATTTTGTATATGACGTTTAACCATCTGAAGTCAAATGCGAATGCTTACGATCCTGAGTGAGTATCTGAGATTGTCAGAGTTCGTTTATCACTACTTGCTATTGTTGATTATCTGCATGATATTTTTTTTTATCTTTCAATTTCAGAATTTTATTTATTTAGGTCAGAATTCGCAAAACAGTTCAACTGCAGAATCATTAGCAACGAAACGATAAATAATGGTCTCGCTCCATTTAACTTAAAATGGTGAGTATATAGTTATCATATCAATTTCAGAGCCAATCATTCTCATTCCAGTATATAGTTTCATAAAGATACATTTTCTATGTATTTTTCGTGTATTTATGTAAGTAAACAAACGGACATTCTTTAGACCAGGGTTTCCCAAACTTTCTAGGCGCGGACCCCTGTTTGTGAATCTTATCTTTGGCGGTTCCCCATTATATGCCGTATCAATTTTTGTGTCTGACCGACGAGAAAGGATAATGTATCATTCACAACAAAACAATGCAAACGGCATTTATGTGACGGATACGCTTGCTTTTCACTGCACAATTTATTAATTCCTGGCGCAATTTGTGACAAGCAAACTCTGACTCTACGTCAAGTCTCGTCCAGTATTTTGTCATCAAATTGGTAAGAGCTGAAAATGCTGCTTTACACATGTAGGTCGTTGCAAAAGGCAAAAAAATTTAATTGCCTTCTCTAATAGCTGTGGATATTTGTCCGCAACCCTCAACTAAAAAGATGCAATGGCTTTTTGATTGAAATCAATCATTGAAGATCGATCAGACTCTTATCATATCGTTGCGTACCCTCTTTGCCTCTCCGGGGACCCCAGTTTGGGAAACTCTGCTTTGGACAGACAAAATATTTTACATAGTATTCAAACATGTTCATTTAATCGTTTCTTACGATATTTTTTTAGGATTGAATGCGATAATTTATTTCCGAGTGTTTTTATGCATGCCACCTGCATGACCCGATGTCAAAACCCACGAACACAATCATTTCTTTCTTTAAGAAAATACCGAATTCAGCCTATTGAAGCTATTTATAGCTTCGAAGCAAGAAGAAACTCAAAAATATTCGTTATGACGAAAAGGTTGATTAGAGGATGCAGGTAATTTCACATGTATGCTTGAAATTAATACAACTTTAGTATAATATTATAAAATTATCATCTCATATGGCTTTCTTTTTATGATTTAGATGTGTTCTCAGATGGCGGGAGAAGCATTACTCAAGGCGTTGGCCTGCTAGAACTTCTTAGAATAAATTTCATTGTAATTATATATTCGAAAGTTTGGGAAATGTTATTTTATCGTTTTTATCATTTCAAATAAAATCATACCTATTTTTCATATTCCTGCGAATTGCTGGGCTGCACTTCGCCAGTTGGTAGAGAGGTGTCGTACATAGGCTGAGCCCATGAAGCAGGCTATGTTAATGCTTCTGTCTCATTATAATTAGGAAAAATCTGCTACGTTGAAGCAGATATCTTAGAAGAAACAGAAAAATATTTGAGACATAGGAAAAAATTGAGTGCCCAATTAAGGGTATATATATGCACAAACCAGAAGAAACCTGTAACATTGCTCGATTTGCATCGGTATTTGTCCATAACGGCAATGATATGTATTATGCGTATTTGAAAAATCAAGTCTGACGTCATATCATGACCTCGTAATTTTCAAATCATGGAATGCCACTCAACGAGATCCGGGGTAGACCACTGACAGCACCGTATTTAATAATAGACTTCAAAACAATGAAATTGGTCATTAATCGATGCAAAGACTACTATACAAAAATAAACGTACGTTCCAGTTATCTGGCGTCATAGCAATATGAATCATTTCCGAGGCTGCGTACAGCAAGTAGTTTCATATTGCCTTTAAATAGAGATTTGTTATTGTCAATGGATATATCAATAATCTCTAATATTTCCCTCTAATATTTTATAAAATCCAGGCATGCCTAAAGTTAGTTTGCTGTTGTTGAGTCACTCAAATTTAACTTTGAATAAATTTTGTTCAGATATTTACGTCTGTTATACTCTAAATGACGCAGACGTACATATACGTAAGAGACAACAATGGTAAATGTATTATTATCATCAAACCTTTAGACAGAATCCCAAGACTTGGTATATTTAAAAAAATACAATTAAACTGGGTGAAATAGAAACTAGAAAAATGGTAAGTATAGTCAAGAAAGTGTAAAATTTTGTCTACTAAATTGGTTGCTTGTCGTAGATTTTGTTTATAACTGAACATGAAAAAAATAGTGATTTTATAATAAGTGCTACATACTATTCCCCTAAACGAAGTTAAGTTCAACAGTCACTTACACAGGCATGTATACTGTTGGAGTTCTTGATTAGGTATAATATAAGATTCTTTTTACTTCTAGTGGATACTGACTAAAATTTACTTTCCGAATTTACATTATTGTCGTAATTAAGTCAAAAAATTGAATTAACATATTTTCTAGTCATAACTGATTTTCATAGAAATGCTTCAACAAATATTTTCAGAAATATTGCTTTGACATTATGGCGTTCAATGCAATTCAATGCTTGAAAAGCATCTAATTCTCTTTTTGAATTAATTCATTAAAAGCCAGACATAACTAGCTTATGCAATTTAATATCGCAGGTTAATTTAGATGCTTTTCTCTTAATATATTGCATAGCGGTTATTCATAGTGGTTTTATATCAAGCTGAGTAATCTTGATTCAAGCCTACCAGATTTTACATCAATCGAGATTTCACATAAAATGTTATTGACTTTTTTTTGCTCCATTTTTTAAACAAATGAAATTCTTGCAAGTTTTTGCTAAACTTTAACCTAATTTATAACGTACAACTCCTGTAGATAGTTTCTTAATTCACCACTTTAAACACTAGAATTGATTGTTAAGTAATTTCCAACTACTGTATTTTTACAACATTATTATTTTTTGATATGTGAAAATTTTAAACGAGAAACTAGTATTCTTGAGATATATTTGGATGGTATATTTTAGTACCATCTCTTTCGTTTGTAAACATACACATTTTTATATGAGAGAAACGACATATAAATTTAGCAAAAGGATTTGCCAATCAGCGCACGATTATACCTACATTACATATTCTTCATTAAAGTCTGGACATTGTTAACGAGTATCTATCTATATGTATATTTATTGTTAGTAACGGATTTATGGGGTCACGTATTCTATAAGATGTTGTATCTTAGTTAGTAATACTTGGAGATAGAGATTCATAATTAAATACAAGATCTTAAATAACCATATAAATAAATATAGACACAAGGAGAAATGCCTATTAGTCATTTTTATAGAATGTTGAATTGTTTAAAAATACTCTCCGGACGCCTATCATCACTTTAAACACCAATAACTTCCATGTGTCCTGTTTAGGCACCTTTCACAGAATTAAAACATTGCTGGGATTTTACTGGAAAAATCCTATAACATTCCGTCTGTGACCAACCAACGCTATGACGTATGATACTTGGACGTGATATTAATGTAATTAGCTGACGTATTGACAGAATGAAGTGAACAAAGTAGTTCCGTGTATTCCGAAATGTGTAAAAGTTTACAAAATGTTTTATGAACACGCTCAAAAAATATAGGTGATGCATACTTTTTACTCTTATAGGTAGATTTATTTGTTGTATTCTCATGTAAAACTCTATTTTTGAGCGTATATATAGAATAAAGTATTACTTAAAAATTAATACAATAAATAACGTTGTCATCGGTCCCAATAATATTGGTAAGTTCAATTATCATTATTAAATGACAAATTAACTGTACGTATGCCAACAACAAAAGTCGTACGATCAAAGTGTTATTGGCGAACGAAGTGGGGACTATGTTCTGGTATGATATGGTCAGAGGAAGTATATTACATTCAAAAAAATGAACAAATAGTTAATTGATTGGTTATTCCGTAAACAGTAGAAAACGGTACAGTAGCGAAACAGCCCAGGGAAGTTTAATGCACGAAAGCGGCAAAATTTAAGTGACAAATTGCAGTTGCGCACTGAAATTTTCCCTCTCTCCGAGGAGTTCTGTTGAAATTACAACATTTAATAGAATGCTTCTTTACAGGGGGATAAATTCGATTTCCAGCATATTAAAAAATAAAAATTTAAACACGCCTATTCAATTGTTCAAATAACTACTTTAAAATGAGAATAAAATGCCAATGGTTGAGAAAATATGACATTGTCGATTGTAGACTTTGAAGCCTAGCCTATATAAAAAGTATTTCCGTTATAGTTTTTTTAAAATCACTTTTATTTGAAAACTACCCATAAAACTGGCTATGACATGTGTACTACAGAGGTACTGATAATGTTACTACAGGCGGCACTGATTCGGTCAAAACGAGATAGCGCGAAGGCAACGATGACATCATTCAGGGAAACTCTCGTTTGCTCTTTCTCTCGAAAGTGCACGTGCTGAAATGCGTAGAACGGGGGCGTCCCTGTATACTTGAAAGAATATTACCACAGTTTGGAAGTAGTTTTCATCGCGGTTTTTTCCACCAATCCCAGCAAGAATATAAATAAGCACCATCTGCTACCACATTATTTATTTACATGAAGATTAGACAATCACTCCATACGCTCAAAATATCGCGGATGATATATAGAAATGCCAGCTAAATTGTTGTCACCAAAAGTAAGTAAAGATTTTGTACAATTATTCTTAGGTTAAAACTTTAAATATATTTTCATATAGTATAATGTAAACAAGTTAATAACTCGTTCCTAACTTACTTTTAGGTGTTCAAGACACTTGCAATATTTGCAATGACTTGCGAATTATTACATTTGATAACCGGAGCGAAAGCATTTGATCCCGAGTAAGTATGTAGCACATAAGTACATTTTATATATACAAAGTACAGAATCGCAGAATATCACTACTATATAGTGTATTTTTTCATAAAATTGATTTATACAAGCCTATATATCGTAATACGTGATCGAAAAGCCTCTTTGCGATTTTTTCTCAGGTTAATCAATCAATATTGCGACTGACTAGCAGCATTTGAATAGCAATTGTTGAATGTTGAAACTGCAGTATCCATACGACTAATAATATGCTTAAAGTATTTGAACATTTATTTTGTAGATCACAGTTCGCGAAAGATCATAAGTGCAATATTATAGACAGAATTGTGAAACGAGATGGGTTTGCTCCTTATAAACTGGAAATGTGAGTAACTCAATTTATTATTTTCCACGGAGTCCAATTATTTAGTATGAAAATTCTAGTTCAAGTAAATGTGAGTGTTTTTGCTTGTTCTGGAGGGTAATTTTTGGGTCGTGTATACAATGAGGGTATTTTGAGCAAATAAATTATTTACTTTTTATTCGCTATATTTTAGGCGCACATTGAATATTCTCAAAAGTAATAGATTTAGCTTCACTTTTATTTTTCACCACCTTCCGCTTTACTTTGCTTCCAATAAAACAAAAATGCAGATATTACAGCTATCATAAAACACGTAATGAATGTCTTGGATTCGAAATACGTACTTGTTTATAATTGTTTACAAAACATCAACTTCTTAATATTTAAAAAGTTTCATTGTATTTATATTTTACCTTAAATTTTACAGTATCGAATGTGTCAACACCTCACCAAGTATTTTCGTTGACGGAAAATGTTGGAAGTTTTGCAAAGATCCACGAAGTAAACGAAGTCTTACTCTAAAGAAGTATCACCCAGTACCCATTGAATCACTCGTTGAATTAACAGTCAGAAAAGATGATAAAGAATACAGCCACACTGTCAGAGTAACTCAGGCATGCAGGTAAGACCGGTCTTTGATCTACTAAAATTGAGTTGTCCAACTTTACTCCTCTCAAACAACTACTATTTTAATTTTTCGTGTATTCGTAAAATATGTCGTGAATATATTGCCATTTACTTAAAGAATAAAGAACATCTTGGCATATTCACATGTGCTTTAGTCTATAAAATGAGCTTTTATAATATTCCTCAAAAAATTTGCTGATCGACAAGGCTTAATTTTAGGTAAGTAGTTAATTTTAGTTATTGTAATGGTTCTATTTTTTCCCCAAATCAGGTGCGTAAAGACAAAAAAACATGATGGTTATTTACAAAATGATCACTCAGGAAACGAAGTAGACAGCACCACACCAACTGTGGAGATCAATCGCTAATTCTGCAAGAATGTGATCAAACAGGGCGTACGAATGATACGGCATATGGCATTATCACTGAGTATATTAAAAACACTGTAATCAATATTATGTTATCTCGTCAAAACTTTTTTTTACATTAACTAACATTTGACAAGTCACAAAAGCGTCACCTGCCTTTTGTGATGTATCTAAACAGTCTAGAACTTTGACACCTATTTTTTATTTTTGAATCGTTGATTTGACTATTTTATTTATTTATTGTGACGTGCCTCAAACGTAATAGTCACATATTGAATTTCGAAATATGTTGCAATATACCAATTTTTAATAATGCGGCGTTTCAACCCTCAAACTCTGTATAAGGCTCAATTAAATGTCGGATCGGGTTTTGCCCACCAAATTTATTGCAGATCAAGTGAAGTGCTTCCAAATTATGGTTCCAAATGTACTAAACTATACTATAAACTTTTGTCACTAACAGTAGTAGTAATTAGATAAATTTATATATATTAATTCATTATTGGATAAATTCATTTATATATTTACGGAAGAAAGTTATTTAAAAACTTTTGTATACTTTATGTTTACATGGATCATTTTTATCGTGTTGTTCTATCATTTTATTCTACAGCCTACAGTTTGTTTAATAATAGCGAGATTGGTAAGATTCCACGTATTTTTTTGAGAAATTTATTTTTATATTGTTATTAACTTAATTTATTTAATATATTTATTGCATTAAAAAAAATCATAGTATTTATTGATTTCGTTTCAAAATTTTTCTTTTTCGAATTACGACACAATTTACAACTTTTGTCTATTTTATATGAATATAAATATATATTTGATACAACAATGTATGGTTAGTGCTATTCTAAAGTTATTAGGAAGTCCAGAACCAACACAAGCCTACTGCTCACTATTACTATATGATCGTTTACATATATATTCAGCTATTTTAGATAATTATCTAGCATTTATTCTTGTTAGACAACGACAACAATATATGGACAAATTGTTCATGATGGCGTCTAATATTTTTATGACGTACCCCGGGATTTATTGACTAATATTTGTTGCATTGTGCACTTTATTCACAAAAAAATTCATTTTACGTCACTTCACGAAAAGTACTGCAGAATATTACAACAATGATTGACTCAACCAGTCGACTGACTCAAATTACCAAAGTAGCTGCGACGTGTTTTCAGGCGTATTTGCTATATTTACTAGGTTGAGGATGTCTACCATATTGAACTCGTAAATTTAGCAAATGGGTGAATTTTGATGAATGATCTTGTTGACGAGTATCGATACATCGTGTATTTATTTAACACTGGAAAATAAAAATAATTCCGGTATTTCCAACAGAATCACATTAAATAGATATTTATTAGTGTATTTATGCATGGCCAAACGTAGACATTGCACATGTCAAATGCATGATTTTCGATTTGTTCAAAATAATTTCGAAGTTTAATATTCTCTGGGGTTGTGCACTTTACAGAGGAGAAACGCACTTCTAAATATATTGCAGCATGCCGGAGCGTTTTTAAATGTATGAGTCCATCTGAATTTGGAATACCTCATGCTTATAAAATATGATTAAAAACAATAGTTAATAAAGATGAGTAAAAAGTAACTTATCGCATGTAACTTCTGTGATATGGTATAGGTATAGGTTGTAATCAATTTTACGCAATGTGTTCACCACTGGCTCCGACAATAACACAATAATAGTATTACTCTGGGCACATTAGTACATTACCTAAATTTGATGATACAATAGTAGCTATGTCGTTATGTTGTATATTTTGTATAAGCAGTATATTACAACATCCAACATTGACTATATTATCCACAACAATTTGGAAATTATAGTGAGGTGCTTTTGCGATGTAAGGGAAGCAGAACCCATAGGTTAGATGAGTGTTCTTTGTTGCCCTTATAAGGAAGTAGATGAACCCCTCAATTCCTTTACATTATTACCTGTTAGAACAATCTTCCGTATAAGGAGTTTTAAGATCGAACAAACAAAATTGAGTGAAAGCAGGTAATCATTTTGCAAAATGACGATTTGATCAAAATGTTAAGTTATTTTTTTATCGAATATTACATAGGAAACATTATGAATGTGCTCCTTATATTGAAAGGCGTATAATTGATATGTGATGTGTCCGTCTTTCCGTTTTCAGAACTACTCAAGTATTGTCGAAATCAGTCGTGCGTGGTATAAACTATTTTTAAAACTAGTAAACGTTCGATGATGACAATATGTATATTGAATGTTAATTTTGTCGTATTAGCACATGCATAGATTACTTCTGCAATAGTATAATATTAATTTACATGTCATGATTTGATGCGAAAGTACGATTACAGTTTATTGCTTTTTCTATGCTCTCTAGCTCTGAAGGTAAACAAAATAAAATAAAACAAACTTTCAATAAAGAACACGTATTAACAAGGTAGAATGTCAAGAATGTATTTACTTACATACGTTGCGTTGCCGAGTCTCATCGATTAATTTATTTCCGTAACGCAATTGAAGATATGAGAGATGGATTTTAACATAAATCAGAATGTCATAACCTCATAATTCGTATTAAATTTTTATTCTAGTTAATTCTAATAAATAAATATATATTTATATATATATACATTGATTAACCGTGTTATTCAAATGGTTTTGTTGTCAAAGCTTGGAAGACGTCACGTAGTAAAACGAGAAACATTTGTAAGTCCATGTTGGTCGACGGTTCGTCCGGTCGGTGCGGTGGGAAATCACAGGCACAGCCTAAGTCTATGAGCTGTGTTGCTAAAAATTGTCCATATTATGTTTTATATTCGTGAGGATTTTTACGCCAACAGAGCGCTGAAGTTTATAAAAATAAATCTTTTATTTGATACCGCGTTATCCGAATAGGGAATTATTTTACCCTGAGGCTAATGTAGTTCAAATGTAATGTTTCACGGTTCGCATCATGTCTAGCATATGTGTTATTGGATATATATATAAATATATTCAAATTTGTAGGCATGTTTTTATTCAATATCATTTATTCATATATATAATTATAAAAAGTATAACAGTTCAAAATTCAGAACAAATGATCGCGATGATATAAAGCATCACAAACTTGATATGTCTGAACGAATATTGCAAATTAAAAAAAGCATGTACAAAGTAGTACAAAAATTGTGCAAAAAATTTATACAGTTTCTGTTTTGCAAAAAAAACAATATACAATAATATATCACAGCGAAACATAATTTTATATTATATAATAAAATTTCACGTGGTGTATGTTTTTTTACATAAATATTAAGTTATTAAATAAGTTATCACTTCAACAAGTTAGCAGTTTAAAATATACTATTTCCATTTATGGCAAGAGTCAGATAAATTTGAAAACATGGCAATATCATTTATCAGGTATTCCGACCGATTTTTACCATTCCTGCATACATATTATGTTAAAATCCAAAAGGATGAAAACATAATATTTGGCGGTACAATATATTCAAATACAATGAAACATACAGGGTGGGCCGAAAAAAAAAATGGTAAACTTGTTTTAGCCCACCCTGTATATACAGTTATTGTAAATACATGCAAGTTAGGATAAGTAACCCAGTGTTTTTAATGACTAAAAGAATTACGATTGAACCCCCACGGTTGGTAAACTGAAAGTTCTTTGATCGAGTGTCTTAAAGATTCTCCAGCGATCTTGTCTTTTAGTTATAACACATCTGAAATAGTGATTTTAGAAAGAAAATTTACTTTATTTGTAAGGATGTATACAATGCAAACCCTGCTTGGTTTTTACAGAAATTTCTTAATTTTTTTATCTAGAAGACAACAACGAAGTGGTTGTTATCTCATTAGATGGCATTCTGTCTATTCATCACAGTTTCAACGTGAAAATCATAAATAAAATTTTAGCAAATTAATTCAATTATCTATAATTGCTAGTTTTTTCTCTACTTGCTTGAAGTTTGCTTAGACTTTTGGTAAAATAAGTTAAAGTCATAAATTTAACTGACCTGCAAGCTCTTATTATTCTCTCGGTATGCGTGAACAATTTTCCACCTCGTCGCACTTGAAACACCATGTAGGAATAAATAGGTTTAGGTCGAAATCTTGTTAGTGGTAAATTTCTTCTTACTCGAGGTTGTCGACATTTCAACCAACATGTCGCCTCCGTGTATACTGAAGGCGAAGTGTTTTGGCATTCGATTCTGAAAACATAAAAATTATTTTATTATTTTGTTCATCATTTCCCGAGAAATACATGCAAAGTAAGGCATTTGTTTACTTAGTTATATTTGGACTATTTAATATATTAAATGCCTCGCTAGAAATAATATTAAATATTTTACAATTCAAAAACTGGCTTTATTTTCTGTAATATGCTTTCAGTAGACAAATATCGGTGCAGAGACGCACACAAATTAAAGAGCTGAAATAACTAAAATCTGTGACTTAATAAATTTTAACTAAGGTACATAAATGGTTAACAATTGAAAATATGTTAGGTTTTTCGAGTGGAGACTTTTTCGTCTTGGAGTTATTTTATCAATCTGATATCGAACAAGTACTCGTACACTACAGTACCGTACAGTATAGTAAGTACTTTACAAACTAAAGTACTTACACGAATACAGTGTATGGTGCAAATCCATCCCGCTGAGTACCATTGTCAATTATTTTACAGGTATGCTCTTTGGAAAATTCCGATCTAAAATAGAAAAAACGATGAATTCAATATAAAATTAAAGTTTAAACATAAGAAAGCTTGTTTTTAATTTACATTTTTATTAAATATCTTTTGTGCTCAAGCAGCATCAGAAAATATAAGATTGGTGACAAAACTGCGATTTTGCCCTTCCTTTGAATGAAAAATCAAATTCCAGGTGACAACTTTGTGGAATACGTTATAATACTGTCAAAGCCCTATTTCGTATACTACATTCAACGGTTTATTGAATACATTTTTTCTTCTCACTCAAAAACCTTAGAGCGCAGGATTGGACGAAGAAATCTAGTGCAAATTATTAAAACAAAAATTTATATAAGTCAGCGTACTCACTCAGGATCAAAACACGTAGTCACATGTAACACGAAGAAAAGACACAATACGAAGATAATTGTGCGTTTGACGATCTGAAACACGAATATATATTTATGTATATATAATAAAGGAAAGATGTTCACAAAATAAGAGATAATAATAATATTACTATTCATATAATATTAACGATCTCAGTGAATATTACAAACTTCCTCTAAAGTATAATAGTGAAACAGTAAAATAGTAAAACTTATAGAGAGGTATTCGTAGTAAAAAATATCATAAATAAGAAAAATTATATTATACTGTAAATGTCTTTGGTTCTATCTAGGTCTATCATTGAATGAAAGCACAAATTAAGTTTTACCCATAAATTATTTTTTAAGTTAAACTACAGAATCAACACTTTTTTGGGAAAATTGTTTATTATTGTTTCAATTACTTTGTTTGTATTGTATGAATTTTGTAACAATAATGACGATATTTTTAGATAATAAAACATATTGTCATAAATATTTTACCAAGACAAATTATTTGCAATTATGTGATAAATTGATTTCCTCATTCTTTAATATCATATCCGTAAAATACTCATACATATTGTATTATACTGCACTAAATGTAAGTTATATTTGAATTCAAACATTACCTTCGTTACTCGTTGAGCGGCACAAGATTCCATTCTGAAATTGATACTGAAAGCGTTTTGTAGCAAAGTATATACTCAAATAAAATTTGATGGTAACTCGATTGTGTAACATTCGTCATTATATACTATTCTGTATTGTGAAAAACCCCAACTGGACAGCTAGGCAAGAAATACAACAGCCCTAAGGGCACTAACCACACGCCGGATGAAAGGATTTCTGCGTAACTCTTACTTCTTTTGTTTGAAAAAGTTATTTTAGTGAGAAATTGTCCATATTACATCACTGTCTAACAAGCAATGAAGTCATTTTGCAAGTGAGGTAATTTATTATGTTCATAGAAATTTTTTTTTAAATTATCTATTAAAGTATGATCTGGAATAGATAAGGCAATATTAATAAATTTTAAAATTGCGCAAAATTTTTTTATTTTTTTGAAACCAATATGAAGGAAGGGTGGAAATAGTAATAAATTCAGGTATTTTTGTAAGTACTAGTGCATAAAAGCAAAAAAGTCATGTTTTGTCATGATTTTCATACCAATTTAGGAGAAGGCGGGAAGTAGAAATAAGTTCAGGTATTTTTGTAAGTCCTAGTGCATAAATCATACAGAGCATGTTTTATCATAGAGTTTAATACCCTTGGATTTCTACGGACGCTAAGCAATATTAACTGTTTATTACTATGAAAATGTGTGTATGATGTAATCAAATGAAATATCTAAAATATAAGTTTTAAAATCCTTTAACTAAATTTCAGTGCGCGTTTATCCGAGATAGTTCGTAGATGATTACATCATCTGTTATAAATCCTTCTCTCGTTTTCCCACTCCATTCTCTCGTTTTGTGTTTCATCGGTGGGAACTTGTGGCGGTAATTCCCCGGGTGGATACACCTACCGTAGTTTTGTGATTACTCGATTCGAAAATAGAAACAAAATGAAATGTTACGACGCAACGACACGGGCCTGAATAGTGAAAGAATTGATACTGATAATCAGTACGTTCGGTGGACTATATGATTTTAAATCTATGTTCAAGTATTACAACCCAAGCTAAACATATAATTTTTACATTTCATGTTTCTTCTCATACGATACGTATTTACATTTCGATTTTGCAAGCACTACTTGACAATTCTCTTTATTATAAATCGAATTTTGTATATTGGGATAAAGTATATATTAAAACCCGTATTGAGTTGACCATGGTGGTAAACAAGCTTTGTGAATAGTATAATTTCTTTTTTGAATAATGGAACGGGACATTTTGTATTACCTATATACCAACTTCATCCGCTGCTTCATCATTTCAAACAAATTTTTAATCATCACGGCATCAAAAGACTATAAATTACTTGTACATTAACAACACCTTTTGATAAAATTACAATGCCGAAACCAAATTACTATTTACGTATCTCAACCTATTTACGATTCCAGGAAAATCTGCCTCAAGCATAAAGTTTATTTATTTTTTTGTAAAACAAAATATGGTTGCTGTCGTGTTTGTCATGTTTTAAAATAGATTTGTGAAACATTTACAAAGTTTAGATTTCGATTTTAAAAAATATTACATTTTATAAAATTCTCGATGCGGGCCAGTTTTATGAAATTTTCCACTGAAAGTTCTAAGCAATTTTCTGCGCGGAAGCGCATTTATTGATCAGTATCGCAACGTGCGTGCGTTCTTATGCTTTTCAAACATGGTCCATATCAATAGGTAATGACTTATTGTTGTCAAATATAGGTAATATATCTTATAAGCCTTCTATCACGAATTCGGTATATTAGAAAAATCAATCGAACATTTATTTCTTAAATAATATTAAACTAAGCGTGACATAAAAACATGTTCACGCCAGTCCATGCGAGTACAAATTGAAAAAGAATCAATAATGCAAAATAATATTAAAAAAGTAACAAGTATAGTTTATTAATTCTTGCCGTTGCTCGTGATTCTAAATATTATTTTTTAATATTTTTTTAAAACCATCAAGATTCCAAAACTGGATTTCTACACAATTAACGGCACACATTAGTTTTTGTTTTTCATAAATTCATATAAATGAATTTTAAAATAAAAGATAAAACATTGTCTTTATATAATAACTTAATTGTAAAAAAACACTGAAATGCATCATTAAATAATGATGGTAATATTTAGAAAGCATGGTTGTACATTAAATATTATTTGTTTGAAAAAAAAACGTATTTTTGAGCATTTTGTTAAATAGTGATTCCATTTACCCATACTTTGAAATAAACAAATTGGTGAAAATTATTTTGTGGGCCACTAATTATGAGATTGCAATTTTCTTCAAGGGATAATCATTTATATTATTTGATGATATTTGCATAGATGCAAGGGCTTACTAACTTTACTTTCGAAGGATTACACAAAATGAAAATATATATATTAATATGAAAAACTACGTTTCTTAGATTGCTCGAAATAGGTTGTTTTGTATGCACGCGCATGGGAAATAAAACATTTCATGATTAGCTCGTGTTAGCATCGGGACGTCTGCTAAAAAGGCCTAGGGAATATTGATATTTCGTATTTCGGACGTCATGGAAACACCTCTTGATGATATCATAAGCCACAATATCAACAGTATTGAATTGGTTGTCTGCATATTTATAAATAGGCAAAAAAGGCCTAGGGGAAATCAATGCTTCCAATTTTAAAAACCATAAAAATAACTTTTGATGATGTCACAGAAAGCTGTGTTTACATCATTGTTTAAATTACGTTTTGTGTTTTTATTGTTTTTCATTGAACAGATTAACACGAAAAATAAACCTGGGAAGTATAACATGCTTCGCTCCTTTTATTGGTTGTTTCGAGACGATGTAATGGCGGAACGAAACACGAAAGCTTATTAGTATACCGAAAAGTGGCACAGCGAACTTGGAGCGCATATACTGCCACGAGGCCATTTAAAGTTTCCACTCAAAAATACAATCATAATCATTTAGTTGTATCTATTGTTTTGTAATGTGTGTTGTGCTTAAGTGATGCAGTAACTATTATATTATAACGATTTTGGAAACTTCGGTATATTATTTTCATGTGGGATATTTCAAATTTGAATTTATCCGCGTGGTTGTTAATTTTTTACACAGCTCATATACTGTTATGTCCTACTCAGATTCCTCTATCCATATTCGCAGCATTTATTTGTTGTAAAAAGTAATCAACTGCGTGTAACGCGCATGACGACCTGATGTGTCTTACTACATTACATATAGCAGCAGGAAGTGTCCTCGGGGAATATATAATATTCTTTCTAGATGAAATCAATTACTTTTTATTTTATCATGGCAACTGTTTACATCATCAACTTGATTACGTGTGTTTCGTTAATTTTGCTATTCATACTATAAAATGAGAACCGTAAAAATAATCGGGGAAAGTTAGCATTCTATTCGATTCCAGTTGCGCATAAATTTAGAAAATATTCAACCTAACCGAGAAAAATATTTTAGAAGTTATTAAATGCTTTGATGGTGAAATTGAATTCAGTTTTTATTGACAATTGATACTTTTAAATCACCGGAATGGTTTTTTTTGTATCTACAGAAATACATGCTTCAAGTTCTATTGCGGTTATGCCTCAAAACGGAAAGAAGAAGTATATTTACAATTTCTGTCCACAATGAACAACATATGTTCGTAAATGTATTAGGTTCAAGACAGAAATAAAGTCAATGAAAATCGTACATTTTTAATGTTAGTTCAATGAAATCTTTCAATTCTACCCATTAATTACAATAATCTTAGAAATACTTAGACACCCGATAGACTGTTTTAAATTGTATGTTTCGATTATTAGTTGTGTTTTGTGAACATCTATACTTTGCCTGCAGAATTGAGTGCTCCTTTGTTTAGTATTTTCTATTACGACGTTGATATATTTGTAAATTGTATCTCTAACACAAAAATGCATAGCAATGCTGAAGAGATTGGCGCTCAAACGTGGCGGAGGGGGAAAGCCTGATGAAATAAAACGTTTTAAGCTTTAAGCTTTTAAGTGATGAAAATTTGAACTTGATTGATTCATAATTTGCTAAGAAAATTAGTATTTTAACAACAACAGCAGCTAAAACCTGAACAGTAAGACCTTGATTTTATTAAAGCTACCCATAGGTTGAATTCGTATTGAAAGGTAAATCTAGAAAATATAATGAATTTATCATGTATGGGTTATATAATTTAGATATAATTGAATTAATCAGGACAGAGTGACCTTCGTTCTGTAAATTGTAGTAATTTGTGTAGTAGAATAGAGCACAAACCGAAGTGGCCTCACAAACAAACCGTAGCGAAAAATTTGTATACATGGCGAATTGTACATTTGGTTCCATGGGATAAATGAATTTTACTAATCTTTTTCCAAAAAGACATAGCACTGCATGATATGTAGTGAAAAACTTCCATATCCCTGAAAGATTTCAAAAAAGATTTTTTGAAAATTTGAAATGGAAATTACAAGTTTTTCAAACTACCTTAATAGCTTAATTTTTAAGACTGTTATATGTTTATTGAAGAGAACGTTTTTGATCTTTGAAATCTAAATCCTTATCCAAGTATTTTTATACGTGCGCATAATTTATGAAAAGGAAGTATAATGTTTTCAGCAGCTTTTTTATAAAATATTCAGGTTTCAAAATCGTGAAATATTTGCATTTTTAGAAAAAAACATATCTATGTTACCCTAACCGATATCCGAACAAACATTTTGCAATACCATTGATTAAACGCCTTTAAAGATATTTACTATTACTGCTAGCGTATGTATCTCCATCATAATTTTCATTCGCCTGCTTTCGATGTAATATTATCATATTACCAGTTACGTAAACGTCATAGCCAATATATTTTATCTGCATTGTATTTATTGTAGAATAAAGTAAAATCAAAAACGGTTTTTTTTAAATCATAAACACGCAGAAACATGAATGCTATTTTACTATAAATGTAGTTTTACAATCTCAATACTATTCAATCTAAAAAATATAAAATAACACGACATTAGCACAAAAAACAATATACTTGATTTGTAAATTATACTTTTACATTGCTAGAAATATGGTTCATTTATGATTTTTTGTTTTTACTTTTTTTTTCGTTCTTTCTTTGGCCAGTTCTTGTCTTTTGCTCACTTCCATGCTTTTGTTTTGTTTTTTTTTCCCATTTAATGCATCTAGTATTCCAAAGTAATTGAATACATTAAGTTTTTATTATGGCAACTTTATTGTTGCTCAATATTTAACTAATTAAATAAATATTTTAAAAATTAGGAAGCTAGCATTTTATGATTTCAATATTGCCTAATATTGATATAAATAATACGATTCACTTCCAAATTTATTTACCCTCATCTTTAGGAATAGGCGAGCTTATATAAATATATAAGTTCAATTTTTCACCTGCATGAAATTGTTACGGAAAGCTCTATTTTTCCTTCAATTCTGCTGTCAAAAGTTTGAACACAAGAAATTGGGTCCGGACGATATTTTTTCTTTGACAGCAGTTTTCCCGTCCGAGGATCTCGACAAGTGGAAGAGCATGTTGCGTTTGTAAATTCAAAATGCTTGCATTTAATTCTAAAAAATTTATTTTTGTAGTTATATTTACTGATTTGCTTAACTTGAAGTTCTAGGCTATTACCAGATGGGAGAAATGAAGGCGTCAACAGACACTGTAGGAACTGTGTATTTATGTGAAAAATGAGTCAAAGATGCCAGTAAGTAGCGGTTGACAAAAGACTTGGAACAAGTTAGATCAAAACTGTCAAATTAAAATCCGAAGAGAGAGATTCTATCAAAGCGAAAGTTTATTTTTGACACTTTTTTTCTTAGAAAGTTCCTTGGCAAAAATCTCTACATTGTATAAATAATATCTAACAGAAAATCTTGTGAAACTACCAACAACCATTTTCGATGAAGAAAGAAGAATGTTCTGACAAATAAACTTTTGAACTAAAAAATTAAATTAAGAAAAAAACTCACTGTTTTGTGTAGTAAGGAGCAAATCCGTTTACACGTCTATGTGTATGTGTTACTAAGCATTCGTGAGCAGAAGACAACGGAAAGCTGTAATAAAATTAAACTATTTAGATTTGTTTAACAATAAGTCTTATCTGAGTTTTGAAACAATGAAGAAGATGACGTCGAAATTGATTGAATATATTTATCAATTTCCCGTTGTATGAATGTAGCCTACGTTCATCCGATTTGAGCTGGATAGTGTGGTATTGTATGTAAATATATTATTAAAATTGCAAATCCAAATATCAACTTGAATTATTTGAGCATAACGAATTTGGTCATGACAACACTTGAATACATGAAATAATATACTTACTCAGTACCGGACGCTGGTATTGATGGCACTATTGCGTAAAGAAGAAGCAATGTCGCAAAAATCTGCAACAAAAAGTAAAACCAGATACTTCAGTCAGTAAGCTTTTTTAAATTAAGCATTTTAAATTCCTAACATGCTAGTCAATAGTTTAAATTTAAATATTATAATTTAATTTAGATACTGTAGATAATAATCCTTACTTGTAAACATGACCCTTCCATTTTAGACCTATTTTCGCCGTTGCTCTATATTTCATAAAAATGATGCTGTTCGTCTTTCGGGCTGCACTTAACAAGATATACCTAGAAAAGGCAGCGCACTCAATTTAAAGCCAGAGAAGCAATCAAAGGTCCTAAAACTATGTAAATATTGTTTTAATTAACTGAAAAGCCATCGAATCACAAGTCATGTATATGATTTCATCTGTCAAACATTTCTTTTGGTATGTTTGTTTTATACAGAGAAATATGCTATCATTAAGCCTGATATTTGTCTTTAATTTCCCCCTATTCTGATCAGCTTCATTCGTGTGTGCTTAAACATAGAGACACAAACCAAATATGCAGTCAACGTAATCAGCTAGCAAATTATTATATGCATATTGTACTTTGACTTGTCGATTTATTGGTCTTTCATTTCAACACTTATATTTGAACTATATTAGCTTATGAAATATTGCACAATTGTCTTCTTTTTTGATATATTTAGATATTCTGTCAAGGGGATTAGTCAAGGTAGGCAGAAGCCTGAGGTCTCGGGCCTTGGGGGCCTTAATTTTGAACTGTTTCATTTATATTTTCTCAGGTTGTTTTTGACCTTCAGTTACAGCTTTAGTTACAGCTGGGTTTCTTTAACTTGAAGTAAAATCTATTTGGGTTATTAATGTACGTATATTGCCTGAAATTTCGTATTTTACAGAATTCAAAATTTGATTATGACGCAATAATGTATTTAACATGCCATTCAAAAGCCTACCATGTCGTCATAATTGATTCCATGGACCCTCGTGACGCATTCGTTAAAGATGGTTCTCACAAATGACATAACCTAGGGCAGTGCTTAATTGTCAACCTTTTTCGAAATGGCATACCCTTCCACAATGCTGGTACACCCAAGCCATCACACATTTTTATTCGATAAAAAAACACAATGTTTAGTTTATATGTAATTGATTTTTCTTGGGCGATTTTTCATAACAAAGATGATTATATAGAATCTTTGATAATGCCCGCTGCAAATTTCCACAAAATTTTGACTACCATGAAAAATCAGAAAAGAAATTACTTTTTCCGTAGACGCAAAAAAAGCTCAAATATGATATTAGAAATTTCATGTCAATGTCCAATTTATTAAACTACAGTCTCACTTAGAGTGCAAAATTCCCCGTGAGTATGGTATATATTTAGTTCCGCTAATACAAACAATAGTGAACAATAATAATATAGTCAATAATGGTGAAGCGTTACAAAGAAATATTTTAACAATTTTTTACAAAAGATTTTTATTATCCTAACGTTTATGCTCTTTCATAAAGACATTACAGAAAAAGATATAATTTACAAAAAAATAAATTGGGGTATCGCACTCATTCATATGGGGGGATTTTTATATCCATCACTGGCGGGTCAAATCAATACATCAATTTCAGATCAAGTAAGTTTACATTTAAAATATGTCGCTTGGAATTTGTACATTCGAATTATTTGCTTTGTAACAGTATCTTTAGAGTTTATTGTGCGCGGGTCACTTCAACTAGCATCGGGAACACGTCATTGTGATATTTGTCTACACATTTGTCGAGTTGCATCAGCTGATTTGTGGTTCTCTCGTTTTATTACACTTTTTCCTTTTGATTCTCGACAACGGGGGAATGTATTTGTGTGGACTTTCCGCTTCGCGATTGACCTCAATGCTTGCCATGCTGGTACATTTTCGACATCCTGCTGCCGTCTACCTTTTAAAGCTGTATTCTAAAGTTGTATCGACGATGGGAATACCACTTCATTGAAATTTGGCATAAAATAGAATAAATATAAAATAGCATAAGAAACAAGTACTTAATTCTCGACACCAACTTCACCCTGCATTTGTCCGCTCCATAAGAGCTTCATAGGAAAGTAAATGTGAAAAACATTAAAAATCAATCTAATTCAAAAATATGAAGACTACTTAAGAGGATAATTTCATAAAATCCGTAGTTATACACATTTATTGTAAAACTATATATTTACTAAAATAAACCTCGCTAACTTAGAGGTCAGTCGACTGAAATTTATTCAGACCCAAAACTTGTGATTCGATATGTAGTGAAATTATCTTAATATTACTATTACGTCTTTGCGATATAACAATCGTATTACATAAGGCGGCACTGTGTACAGGTTTTTACATGGAAATTACGAAAGTGCTAATAATGGCTGCATGCGCAAACAGGTGTCGTAATGGTCATTTTACTTTGGCCGGAATTTCTGCTCTTAGCGATTCGGAACACAGACCTTTTATTGCTCTTAATCTCAATGTAACCATCGATGATTTCAAATTGACATACTCAATTGACAATCGGCTCACTGTTAGAGCTATTATAGAATCCCGACGATTTTTGTGACACACACGTGTAATTTTAAAGTTTCATTGTTGAGTTAGAGTTATTCGCCGCGTCTTCTGCGGCGGCTTTGTATAAAAGTCGGCATGATAGGTTTTCAAAATAATACGATCCATATTTGAGTAATATACATTGCATAATATAAAAGGTATAAGCAACATGAAACATAAGCAACATTTGAAATAATACGGAACTCAAAATATTTCAGCACATATAATAGATAATAAGCAAAAACTTGATACCTCCGTAAATCAACAATTATTATACACTTCAATGAAGTAACAAATCAAGATTGATTTACTGCTAAAACAATAAAATAGAATACTTTTCTAGTTTTTAAACTATGCGTCAAACACGGCCATTTGCTCAATTAGGTATTCTGTTGAAAACGTTAGGTGAAATTACGAGTCATTGGTATTTTTTCTTTTTTTTTTCCTCGCCGAGCTTTTCTATCATTGCTTATCCCCTTCTTTGTCCCCTTCCTACAAATTCCTGGCTACGCAAGTTATCAACTTTCACGCATCTTCAATGAGTAAATATAAAATTTGGATTAATCCTTTTGTTTTAACTTTTTGTCGTTTCAAATAACATTATTATTTTTATTTTCAAAATTATTCGGGATGTTAGTGAGAAACCATTCCAGAAGCATGGAATATTACCAATATAAATATAAGTAAACACCTGCATGCAACTGTCAATGTTTGTGTAATCGATACGTTTCGGCTTCCAAAATGTTCCACGTAGACTACTTTTTCTGGTTTGTATTCTCTACCAGACAGAAGTTTGCCGTTTTGAGGGTCCTGACATCTTGCAGATGAACATGTCGCGTTTACAAACAATGATGGTGAAAGATTTCTACATTCAATTCTGAAAGCATTAAGTAATTGAGCTACTTTGGGCTATGATATACAATGATATTGCAAATACGTATAAAATGGTATTAGAAGATATTTCACTTACTTTTCTACGTAATAAGTTGCAAATCCATTGGTCACTGATTCCGTTTCGACAACTTTGCATTTGTGCGTGTTTAAAAATTCTGAACTGTTAACGTAAAATGTGAAAGTAGATTAAGTTTGTGTGAAAAAGTAATAGAAAAATGGATTTATAATTTAAATATATAGTATTTCTAATTCTATTCATATCTATTTGAGGAATTACGATTTGGAAGTTCAACAATAAAAGTATTTATGATTTATAATTATGAAATCCTCACGTTTAGAAATTAAGTTTAGATAATATTTAGACTCTTACTCGGGGTCAAATGCTGATATGCTCAAGACGCAAATGGTGAAAATAGTAGAAATCTAAATATAAAAAATAGGTTTATATTTCCATTTACCGACTTGAACATTTGAAGATATCTATTGTCTCAATAAGACGATAGAATAAACATTTGATTACTGTGCATTAAATTTTATCGACTATGTCACGACAAAATTGCTCAGATTTATTGATCATTGTACTCGGTATTATAACTGTAAAAATCGAGTATAATTTGAATAAATTTTGAACTATTTGCTGTGATTAGTAGAAATTCTTTAGGAATAATATATTAAAAGCTTTCGAGATAGGTTTAGGGCCCGAGATATGACATTTAGGATCAGCATTATCTTGACTTACCCTGAACTGGATTTTTAAGTTTGCCATTCTGGTCAGTTTTTATCATGTAAAATTTAAAAAAAAACTTCAACGTTCGATCCAAGTTGTAAATTCAGTGCGTATGTCTGTTTTTCAATCTTTTTCAATGATGTCAATGTCTCAATGTCTTTTCGTAGAGTGATATTTAGGAGATACTTTCCTAGCATTTATACCTATCTAAGTGGATATTACCAACCCCAAAACGGGAAATATTAGCCAAATCTGATATATTTTGGTAAATTGAACAATTTTAGTATATTATAGATATTTTTTTTTTGATGGCGGTTATTTTCCGACATGCTAAACAAAAGTCATTCAGCGTGAATCGTATGGAATATTTGTGTTAGATATGATGTAACAATTGATAATACTCTGTCCTCCAGTAGCCCCAGTCAATGTTCAAGTTTGAACTGACTGTTAACTTTTGTCCTTCGATGTGAGGTTTATCAAATTTAAAATCGTTAGAGCGTAACCCACTCGCTGGTGTTTAACTCTACCTAAAATTTAAACATATTTGCACATGCTGTTGGTATCGATTCCGTGTTTGCGCTATTATATTTTAAAGAATATTTCGCCCACAAAAAATTTCGGAAAACATTTGGAATTCCCTTTCCCCTATTATGATTGTTGAAATTAATGAAGTACTGCAAAATAAATCGAACGTAACTAAACCAGAGAGTAACATACTCTATCGTTTATGACAAAATGTCTGAAAATAGAATTCAAGGTCTAAACTTCGGCTTTGCTTTTCTAATCTCCGCTATGTTGGTATCATAAATTTAAGAATGTTGAGATTGCATGGTTTGTCTCGAATGTATACAAATGTAACGTGAATCATAATAAATAATGTTCACGGTTCAACATTCAAAACCTAATTCTATCACATGACTGACGTGTAGTTCATGGTTTAATGTAATTAGCCCTTTGACAAGATTTGTTTTGATTTCGTAACAGTATGATCCAAAAATAGGCCTAATCGTGACATAAACCAATTTAGTTTGATATTGAGTTATTCAACTTGGTTTTAAATGTGTCACGCATGTACAAACGGGCAAGTGAGGTCTTCTCCATATTGTAACATTATTCTCTCGTTTTAGTATCATTTCTCTCGTTTGTATGTCATTTTGGGGAAATTAACTCGAGAATTCCTTTTCTAATTATGTGAATAAAATTGTGTTAGAAAAGGTATATACATAAAATGAACAGTTATATAAAACGCCTTCAAATGAATATCATATAAAAATATATTACAAAAAAGAATCAGATTCGTAATCTGAAAAAGACTCCCATGCTGAAGATATTATATATTTTAGGTCCATTTATCAATTCTAGTAAATCTGAAACTGATCATATACTAATTTTTGCGCGGTAAATATTCAAGCACAAATTATGCGCTAAAGATATTTAATGTATAATGTTTAATGAATATCTATTTGATAAATGTATTCGAACTTTTATTCAACGAAAAATTGAACTTCAAGTTATGGAAATTTGCAAATTTGCTGATTTTCGATTACAAGCTTGAATGAAAAATAAAAATAAAAATTACTCTAAATTGAAAGACTGGGTTGAGCATATCGAACTAATTTTTAGAAATTATTTGTCTGTATTTTATTTAATGTATAATATACTTCATTTTATGTTTCGACGCATGAGTATTGTTATTATCCGTGTAAGTAGATCCCATTGTTGTTTATTAATTTAAATCTATGGCGTAAGACAAGCCTCAATATTTTCGTCAATTTCTATTGAGCAATGCAAAAGCGATACATAAATAGTTAAGGAAAACTTATTAGGGATATTTTGCAACAAAATTTCACGAGTCCAAAGTCGCAAAATTTACCTTTTGGACATTAGACGCAACTTAGTTGCATCATTAGATTAATTACGTCGTACGCATGGTTTCTAGATAATTATCAATCATGGATATCTGTGACCTAGTATAAAACCAGGGAAGTTTTATATTTTAAGCTGGTGAGCGATTGTAGTTCCGCAATTTTAGAACCAAAACATGTCCGGAAATATTTATTTACTTGGCTATAATTAGGAATATTTCACTACATGTTGCAATATTGTAAACTTCATATTATTCACAAGTTATGATACCACTTCAAAGCTCAACGTAATTCTTCATATCACGGGGAAAACCGTTAAGCTATCAAGGTCCTAACGCTTTCCTAAATTCTATATGCAACTGAAATTTGCATGATGATTGGCATTTGTATTACTGAATTTTTGAATAAGTATTTCTTTGTATTCAAGGTTCACATGTAATGTAATCCAAAACCTCATACATTAGAACATTTTATAATAAAATTTGCAACGAATTATACACAATATACTTCATTTCAACGTCAAGTTAGTAATGACGAATGTTTCTACGAAAATCTCATAAGTATAAGTGACTACTAGATAAATTAAAGTATAATAAATAAAAATGAAAGCATAATAGACGCTATGTGCGAATAAATATTAAATAAGGTTTTAACATTGCATACACGAGGGAAATTTAAATAGTAAAAAATAAAACTAGAATCTCATAATGCTGTCCTGGAATAATCATCTCCTTTTCACCATAAAATATCTTAGCAGTCAATTTCAATATTATCTCTGTATTCGTCAGAATATCTGACACACCTGGAAACAGATTTTTTTAAATTCAAATAATTTATTAATTGCTACTTGATATATATTGTGTAAGAATTTAGAGATTTAGACTTTTCTACATCAAATTTTTTATGAAATTAAAATAGAAACTAGACTTAATTAAAATAATTTTATTTTGATATCTTTTCTACTGCTTAAAATGTGTTTTATAAGCAAGCATATCTGATAATTAGCAGTAACATCAGATTTTCCCTGCCAGAAAAAAACACTAGGTGAGAGAGAAAACTAGGTTAAAAATGCCAAAAATATGGTACTCCAGTGGTATGTGTACCACGTTAGGGTTAGGACATATTTATATTCTAATTTTATATATTTTAGTTCTATTACCATTCCCATTACCAGCGTTTAGATAGAATCACATAAGAAAAATAAGTAAAAATAAAATGTTTTACTTGCAGCCCTTGGCCAGTTTAATTCTTATTTTTGAAATCTGTCCTCTTCTTCGGATTTGAAATGTTTCACAAACAAGAATCGGTCGCTGTTGATATATTTCGGATAAAAACTGATTAGTTGAAGGATCTTGACATCTTGTAGAACATGTTGTGTTGGAATACATTGAAGGAGAGATATTGCGTCCACAATCAATCCTGAAAATATTAGCATTAAAGATTACAGGTAGGGCATTTGCGCATCTTTATTTCTTACATATTATATTCTGAGTTTAATTTTTCATTTTTCGTATTTTGATTGCTGCACTTGTAGTGTTACTTCTAAAAAACAACATTTTGTAATTTATTTTGTTTTACTTACCATTGCAGGGTGTAGGGAGCAAATCCATTGTTATATTCAATATCCAACGTTTCCAAATGCTTGCAATTATACAGTTTTAAAAATTCAGAACTAAAATCAATATATTTGAAAAAAGTTAAAAACATGTAACAAAGTCACATAATAAACAGTTTTGTACCCCAAAGTAATACCTGTTTAATTCGATATAAATCACAAAAAAGTAGATAATACAATTACAACTTACTCAGGATCGAATGCTAATGTGTTGTGTCCAAAAAAGTGTATCATAGTAATAATCATTGTAAAGATTTTTATCTGTGAAAAAAAGAAATCGGAAAGTTTTAAACAACACAATGCGTATATTAGAACAAATATATTTGAGATCTAACAAAAATTATAAAACTTACGGCTGTGCTTATAAATGAGATCTTCATGTTTCTTTGTCTTTTCTCCAAAGTAAATTCTCCTTTTCTTCAACACACTGGTCAGATTTCTTACATTTCTCATTAGCGCGCGAGTGTTATTTATACAGAAACTTTTTCCCATATTTACCTTTAGTAATATCCAAGTTTTTACCGGAGTATAAGTTAATTTGGAAAAATATTGTTTTGATACAGGAAAACCAATATTCCCCACGTATAATATCTTGGAAGGTACTTTCCAAATTACGTAATCGCAACTTCGATTGGTACTGCAGGTTTCTACAAAGCATTACGAATGACACTCCTGGGATTGCGCATGCAATTTGATCTGAAATTCTTCTGAACTCTCTGTATGACAGCAGCATGAAAAACGAGAAATATGCCATCACAAAACGCCATCCAAGTTAATTCACAACGTGATTTTCAACAACAATTTATAAAAAAAATATCCATTTAGCTATCATCCTTGTTATTTTCAATATGCATGCATGTTCATGTTGACGCATATTTAAAATGAATTAAATTGAAACGATGTTTGTGTAGAATGTAGGTCGTTATTTTTTGAACTTTTTATTATATATCATTTTATAATATTTTAATACAGGAAAACAATCTGAATTGGATACCTTTCATTCAATTTAGAAACACGTCGTGACAAACGTCTTTATAACAAAGTAAGTAATTCGGGTACATTCAAATCTTGCAACAAACTGCGTTGATAAAAACTGCTGAAAACTTGACGTATGTCATCTTAGTATCTTTTTCGTCACGTAGAACGTGAATAATATTTACGTGTTGATTGCATTCGAAACCAATGTCGTCTAATTACTCCCTGAAAGTAATAGTGGCATTTAAAATTCGTGGTGATGCAACAAGCATATTTAGTTGAAATAATTGCGCTTTGGGGAATACAAACGATTTCACAAGAGGCGAATCATATCGTCAACAATCATCCGTTGTTTATTATTGATCTAAAGTTCATAATTTGCTTTCTTGACAATGCGAATAGATATTATATCCTCCTATCCTATCTGTGATATGGAATAAACATTTTGTTTTGTGATCATATACATACTAAATGGCCGTGTCTATGCCTCCCTGTTCATTGTCGGGTGAAATTGATCACTTCTAGTTAGTAATGAAACGTTCTGAATTATAACAAAAGAGAAGAAGCATGCCCTATCGCGTTATGGGAGTTATTGAGAAGTGTGTAAAAATTCTTTCAAAGCATGATGATTTTTGGCAAACAAGATTCGGTAGTATGCACCGGATCGTGATAAAAAATCAATGATTAAGCATATGACACTTGCTTTTTTTTCTACGATTTAACATATCTTTGACTGTTTTTGATTATGCTAATTGTATATTTTTTTTTTCCATATATATTATGAATATGTAAGTACATAAATAAGGAAAAAAATAATATGTATACATATACACTTTCAAATAAACATATGTTCTTCGAATGCATTAGAATAAATAGGAGGAGAAGAGTTTCTTGTTAAAGTAATAATAAATGATGTCATTAGACGCTTCTTTCGTGATTTGCAAAGTAATGACGAGGAACACGCAATGTGAGAGCTTTGTAAAGGTTTCAAAACGATCTACTTCAGAACGACTGTACCAACTAATGTATTTTCGTTGTCGCTAGAAGGCTATTACTTTTATTTATTTCAAAAATACCTGCGGCCTGTAGGGTATTCGGTATTTAATGCATGTGTGATCCCGTCATAAAAATTAAAAATTACACAGCGTGTGGAGGTTTTCGCGTTCGCAATCGTTGCGTTCTGGTGGTCAGTCGAAGTCTTGAAGACTATGAGTACCGAATTGATACCCGTACTACTTCGTTGTGGCCTACGTGACCGTATATTTGAGCACTAATCTCTTGTTATTTAAACCATTCTAACCGATATTCGATTTTGGAACTTTCTGCTTGCGGATACAGTTGTTCCATTTCACAAGTTATGATGTTTATGATATAGTAGCACTAGTGAATAAGATATTAATAGTATAAGTTCTAACACGTGCCCTCAGTTTATTTTTTACGATAAATCCTCCTGATTTCACTGCAGTTAATTACAATACAAATGATATTTCTGCTCAATATATAAATGTTTATTACAATGGAAGTAAACTGTTAAATAAATATTAATAAAACTTTTTATTATGAAGATACTAAAAAATATAACATTTTTAAAATATTTTTGAGTGCAAAAGATTGATTAAATAAATAAAATACTTGTATAGACTAAAAGAGTACATTTCTTTGTAAATAAATTAGCAATTTTCGAATACTATTGCATATATTGCACAATTTTCCCGTAGAAATATTGCAACCCATCGTGTATGCAGTATTCGTCAATAAAAAATAAATATAATGTGAATAAAATTGCATAATGATAAATAAATAAATGAAATATTAATATAAAAATATAAATTTTTAAATAAAAATCTTTAACATAAAAATGGAAAATATTTGTGCGTTCGTCATAGTTATCCAGAGCTACGTTGCATGTGTTCGTTGTAATATCATTTCTTTGTTATCAACACATGACTCTATATGTATTACTAGTTGCAGTTGCAGCTTCCACACAACTAGATAAAATGAAAAAATAATAAATTAAAATTGATAGCTTATCCTGTAGTGTTAATTGAAATGTAGTGGACTTGTTTCTAAGGGAATCTTAATTTACGTCTTACAATGTTAAAATACTTCAACCAACAAAATATTGAGTAAAAACTAATTCACCTGCACCCTTTTACAATTGCAACAGATTCTTTGAAAATTTTTCCATTTCTCCTGACCTCAAAACTTTCACATGCAAATACAGGCAGCTGTCGGAAACTTGAAAGAGGTAGAAACTGATTTGTTTCAGGATCTCTACATCTTAGTGGACAAGTCGTATTTGAGTATGTTGAGGGAACCATGTTCGTACATTCGAACCTTTACAAAATCACAAGGATTATGTTAGTATATATACGGTATAACCACATTATTATTTTCCCCAAGAATGATGATATGTTGAAGTTGAGATAAAATTGATATCTTACCTCAACAACCCACTTCAAATTATACAAACTGCTGAAAAATGTTCGATGAATTAATAATTTTTAATATAATATTTCTATCAAGAGCAGGCACAAATCAATCTCAGTTATTTCTTACCATCTCATGGTATGCGGTGCATATCTATCATTTAGTTCAACATCCAGAAATTCTTGACAACGATGATTTTTTGAAAATTCCGCCCTGGAATTGAAATATTATAGAACGTTAGGTAATACTTTTGAATTATATTCATACAGCAATTGTATTTTTTCAAAAAAAAATTCTATCAAATTTGAATTAGGTTTAAATATGATGGTATGATTTAGTTAGATGATATAGTGCTAATATATAGCGCAGAGAAATTACGGGCGACTTGATAATACACGTCCGGGTAACAAACAATACAGATTGTACCTTGGATACATAACGAGCTTGACTTGTGAGCCGACTAAACTAAATATGCATTTATAATGCTTCACCCACGTTACGAAATAACCACACAAATTCGATCTACTTACCCTGAAAGGGCCATTGTCGTACTCCATGCAAACATAGTAAGAAAAGCCAATAAAGTCGCAGAAGTTGTCTGTGAGAACAAAAATATACAACATTAATATAACTTTAATCACATACTGTATGCCGATTTAAAAAAAAAATCCATTACCATGTTATTAGTGCAGGAATTCATAAATTATTTCTTCTCGCTTTTTCTTGTTTTGTTAGTTTCATCTGTTTAATGATTTTAATGATAATTCGACCGACATGCGAGCTTTATAAAGCTTTGATCGATACATTGCGAAATTACTTTCCTTTTTTTTCGTATCTAGGAATATTTTTAAAAAAAAATCTGGCTTTAATACTGGAACTCTGATTCTTTTCCGGTCTATTTTAGGGCGCTATTTTATTTCGAATGTTGCAGTCACAGCAGTCGACAATATTGGGGCTTTCCTTTAACACGTGTGTAAGAACGAGAGAATATTTACGTAATAGGAGTAATATTCTCTCGAATTTCACTGTCACGATTTTTCACGTAACGATCTTGACGCACTCATTGATATCATACCAATATAATATATTATTATTAACTGCACACATTTCAATTTCAGAGAATATGCCGAATACGTAATCAAGACTGTCTGTGCATGCCAGCCAATTTCCGCCTTTCGTTATTCTTCTAGGAATAGAACATTACCGTTAGAAATTGTGCACGAATTTGTGAAACATATTGTCTCTCAGGTCCATGATCACCATAAAGACGATTTGATTAATTAGCTATAGCATATGTTTTCAAAGATGTAGACGTAAATTCCATTTTATTGTCACACTGGTGCTTCCATATTACAATGCCCAAGTAATATTTGAAAGGTTTTTTATTACAATACCCTAGGTATTGTTCCGCCAGGGTAAAATTATTAGTCAACAATTTATAAAAGTATCTAAACATAGATGTTTCTATAAACTATTTCAAATTGATAGGTATATACAGACCGGTATTTCACAAAAGTTTACACTTCTGTACTAGTACATTTCCAATACGTGACAAATTTGTTGTCGTAGTAATTCCTCGCGCAAATAAAAGATTATCTCACGACAATGTTTTTCAAATTAACTATTTTTTGGTATATGACGTCAAGAAGAATACTGCGTTTTAAATAACTAAACAGTGCGTATATAGTATATATATTTGATGGAATTCGAATGTAAAAAATAAAACCAGATTATGTGCAAAATGATATAGACAAAGTTCAGTTATTGGTATGACATTGTTATATACTAAGGTCTTGAAATAATATTCTTAATATCCCTATGCGCAGGCATTAGGTTCTATTTTTAGAGTAATGCGATGGAATTAGTATCAGAAATAATACTCTTAAAATAGTAAGTATACTTGCCTAAATTTTGCGCAAATATACGTTTACTTTTGAAGAAATTTATTTGCTGAAACTAAAATACGTTTTTTTTCCTAATATATTTTTTGAATTAACAAAACTCCAAATGCCTACATAATAATGATTTTGTACTCATTTGCTTAAAATTGGTGCTAATTTATTTAAATACCTTCTAAAACTATCGATTGCCAAATAATGTAAATGCACAGCCTCGAGCGCAATTCTGACCTGGGAAAATTAGGCAAGAATCATCGACTTTAAACGTTGGGGTTAATCCAACTACAAGGTAAAATTTATTGATATTTAGACAATATTTTCAAATCAACATCTAAGTAGGGGTCGCCATTCTAATACTCAATACGAACCACCTGTAATTTTACTTGTCTCTATATATTTTTAGAATTGTAATTTAACTTCATTTTAATCTGCAATCGCAACCCAATGACAAGAATTGAAATGACGACATTGAATTACTTGAAGCAAAACCTGATCAAAACAGCCAATCAATTAAATAGTCATAATTAAATTTGACGGCATTTCGTCATTTATATTTGAGCTTTGTTTGAAGCATTTAAACGATTTATAAATATGTAATACTTTATTTTTATTTATATATTAGATGAAATTTTACGATTAATTTAAGTGAATATAACGTAAATTTGTTATAACAAGACTGTATAAATATTAAATTTGGATTAAGTTTTATACACAATTTACTTCGGCTCTCTCTCTCTCTCCCTTAGGTCTGTATAGTTTCTGTGAGAATACATACTTGCATACAATATTATAATGTATCATGTATTAGAATCAATGCATTTAAACAAAACAATTGATTCACTCAAAAACCAAAGCCCTCAAAGACATGTTTATAAACTCGGCCTTCTTATCTGAGCCTATATCATAGTTCACTTTGATAAAGCCGATCTTTTGTTATGCAAAAAATAATTTATTCAAAATGAGTGGCAGCACCAAAATAGCAAATATTCCGAACATATAAATTTTTGTACCATGAATTCAATAAAATTAGTTGAAATAATAGCCAATAAAATTTTGGTCGCTCAACAATATAAAAATATTTAAAAACGTGAACAATTGTCAGTGGAAATAATAAATAGATAAATAATAAATATACGAAAATATAATAAATAAGTTTTTTAAATATTTTATATGATTCAACACTGACGCAAACTTGGATTCCGCAAAATAATATTGTATTCCATATATATATGTATGAATACAATAGAAACAAAATGTCAGTTTCAAATAATTTTAACTTTTGAATTAGGCATGAAAAAATAGATAAATAATACAAAAATATATTAACAGATAATAAGTAACTAAACAATTTCAAATTCAACATCGTCTGAACAATTTGGCAATAGAGCATTATTATTCTCTGTGAGCTTTTCTTTCTTTTTTTCCTCGACGAGATTTCTTGTCTTTGCCTTTTCCTCGTTTTCGGCCCTTTCTTCCTTTTCGCCGTCTAGTCAATTTTTCGACTTTGACACATCTGAAGATAAAAAAAATTAAATTCCGGATTACTTTTCTAGTTTGAAATTTCATTGCATATAATACTACAAATGGTATTGTATTCTCTATGTGTAAGTTAAGCAGTCAAGGAGGAATTATCATGCATGTTTTATTTAGCATACCTTCAAATGTTTAATCAATTTTTAATAGTTGACTGGAAAAAATAAAATTAACAAAGTCTTATTCGGAATGATCTTTGTTGAACAAATATTATGGTTTACTTTTCAATATTGTGTTTGTCGATATATAGTTGCTCAACTTTTATTGAGACGTTGAATATTACATCAATCGTCTGATTTTAGTTAATACTTTTGGTATTTTAGTGATTTAAAAATAGGATATAAAAAGGGAACATACCTGCATGCAACTGTTAGTGATTGTGAAAGTTTTCCACTGAGTCGACTGTCAAAGTTTTGAATATACAAGACTTCTTCTGGTTCGTATCTTTTGTCAGACAAATGTTTTCCTTTTATAGGTTCGCGACATCTTGTGGATGAACATGTTGCGTTGCGGAAGAAACTTGGCGATAAGTTTTTACATTCAATCCTGAAAATACGAATACCGTAAATGAATAAATTGTAAAATTATATTGAGTTTTTTAATGGTAGGGAGGAATACATTTATTTGCATAAGGGCTGTCCTTTTTTTGAAGCAAAAACTAAATATGTATTGCCCTTTGTGACAAACCTGTTGACACTGTGTCCATCTAAAAGTATATTAATATGCCGAGTGTTGTTACTCAACCGGAATAAGGAATCACTAGCTTTATAATAAACCAGATACATAAATCAAACACGAGGAAAATTCAGGCTCATTTTAACCCCCTCTTGTAAATTTGAAATATGCACTGGGTACTCACCCATGCACGTAATAGAAAGCAAATCCATCATCTACTTTTTCTGATTCGACAACTTCGCAACTGTGAGCTCTTATAAACTCTGAACTATAAAAAAATAGAATTTGTTAATAAGCCATACGATATTGTTGAAGAGCATTTGAATTATTTGCCAATATCTACAAAATATGCCGTTTCATTAATACTTTAATACTGGATATTTATTTAATCTATTTTAAAACGCCGATAATACGAAAAATTAGTGAACATAACTAAACACTTACTCAGGGTCAAATGAAGATACGCTGATAAGATAGATGGAGCATAATGCAGCAATCTAAAAATAAAACCCACGTTAAAATTTTATATTAGCACTCACATGTACTTATTATTCAAAAATATGATGGCACATGAATATATATCATTATCAATACAACCATATTTTACAAAATATTTAGTACCATCTTCTCTTAAAAAATTACATATTATATCATCTGGACATGTACTAAAGCCTGTTATAATCATACTACTCCGTCGTCATATTCAGCCTACAGATCAATATCGGTCACAAATAGGCTACAGGTACATTTACGAACAGTTATTTTATTAGAATACGATCAGTCCCATATAAAACCGTCAATCACTAATGCACATAATTCATGTTTCTTATGGTATGATATTATTTCTACGGCTTACCTTGACGTAAAGCTTTAAGCTTGACATTGCGGTTGAATATGCTTTTCTATGTTAGAAATAGTGAGTAGAATTCTCGATATTATAAACTCGTAGTCTGATACCTTTCTATGTACGATATCTCGTTTAACTGCTTTGATGAACATTCTGTCTTGTCGTTTATATATCTAGTTTAGCGGATAATACATAATCTAAATAGGGGGTTTCAGCCGAATCTCACTTTTTGGTTAGCAGTATAGTATAGTTATCGATTTAAAGCGGCGATAATTTGACGAACAAATACGGCTTTTCCGTGAAGGTTATTCCCCACGACAGACGAGAGAACGATATAACGACAGCGTAACTCAAGCGTGAGATAATAAGTGTTTTTGTGGTGACGATGATGTAACCATTTTTAACGATGTCGGAACATATACCGCGCTAATATCCCACGTGAGATACACAAAGTTCACTTTCTTTACCGCTGTGCTACAGTTCAACTAATATTTTAAAATCGGTAAGCTTCATTGGGTACAGATCACAAATATATCATGCAATGAATGTCAAAAATTATTATATGATTCTACATAGCTGGGAATATTCTTGATAACGACCATTTGATTGGTCTTCGCAAACAATACAATCACGCCCACGAAATATTTCGAAATATGAAAAGTTACCGATGGGGTAAAGCCCTTTTACGATAGCCACAACATTCCAAAATCTAAGTGAGAAACCAAATAGACCGACTCTGATGAAATCGAACGTTATTAAGCGACAACTATTTCCAAATTTGAAAATAACATCATTTCTAATTTGCTATTGTATATGACGGAATATTTGAATATGGAACGTACTTTACCACTGACAAACTTGTTGACCTGTGAAAAAACTTGTACCAACGTCAGATCTCGTGGAGTATTTAGGATTAAAATAAGGCATTGGACAATATTGTATTTATGAATAACAACATAATCCACGCCAATTAACGAATATTCTGTTCTTAAAGTTCATTTTTCAAAACCAGTGTCAATGATTTCGCTTATTCATGACCAGTCCCCCGTATGCAAAAAAATGATTTACATTAATAAATACTCGATCCTGGTGTTTTATTGTGCTGAGAATAAGTCTCATTGTGGAAAGCTGTAGTCCAGCGTTTCTCAAAATGTGTTCCCCGGAACACTACTGTTTTGCGAGCTACTTTGGAGTGTTCCGCGTTCCGCGAAATTGCAATTAAATTGGCCGCCATGGCGATCTTGGTCGTACTTCGACGCCTCTGGGTCGTAAATTTGTTTTTCAACTGGCGAATAAAGGCAGACAGGCCTTGCTATCTAAGCAGGTAGACAGGTCTCGTGCCAGTATGCAAAGCATGGTATTTTTGTGAACCATTGAATATCGTTAACTATCGGCCTAGTTTTTCAATTGCTAAGGTTGAAGTAAACTTTTTAATTTTACCATAGACTAAATTTTTGGAGAGCACCCTTTTCAATGAATTGTTTGAATAAAACTGAAAACCTCAAAAGATGTCGCGATATGCCAGTTGTGCAAGTTGAGGCACAAGGTAAATTCATTACACAATTCTTTCATTATCAATATTACCTTCTTATGTTTTGGTGTTCCGCGAGGCGAGATAAAAGCGTAGGTGTTCCGGAAAAAATAAGTTTGGGAAACGATGTTGAATGTAATCAATAGACGGTTCATTTTTAACCTTTTCGATGGAGTGGAACTTCTATGGAATATTCTGGAGGTTTGGGGAACCCCAATACAATAGTTTGCAATACGTTATTTTACACACCTATCTACAGTATACTTGTAAGGCTGTAGGGCTATATAAATTTGTATAAACTATAAATATAAATTACACATTTATACAATCAATCTCTAATAATGTGAAACTGTCAAAACACAATGATACAAGTTTAATAACATTTGCTATACCAGTGAAAAATTATACTTCAAGATGTAACCTTACGGTAATCCTGAAATGTAACTGCGGAACTCCGTCGTCGAAAACCCCCCCTGTAGAGTGTGGGAAATGTTGGAAGTCAATTATTTCATCTTTTTGCTCCTCTTTATGAGTATTGCGCTGGACAATTTAAATATCTTGAATTGATGTGACGCCAAGTATCACAAAGCCACTCAAATGCATTTCGAAAACTACGAACAAATTTTTGTCATCACATTAATACGGAGATATTATATATATTATACACATATACACTACAAACGCCGGTTTTATGAAAAAAAATCTAATTTTACGTCATACCATTAATTGACGGCTCATTTTACTTTGTTCTATAAAAATTTTTAAAGTAGCTTTTGTTATCGTGGATTTGAACCATTTTCTGTCTATTTTTACTGCTTATAACGTGAATTTATCTCAATCTCACTTTAAAATTCAAAAATACATTGCATCAAATTCAAAAGTGAATGAATACAGCCACCAAATTCATTTAAAACCATTAAGGGTACATAGACGTTCCAATTTGAAAGTTATCAAATAGAGGGTCAGAGAACGGTGGGAAAATGTAATGTCATTTTATCAACAATTATAAATTGCCTCTCGTGTACTCCCTAGCGGATAGAACATAAACACGAAAGACATTAGCATGAAAGATTCGTCGTATACGTACAACCTTTTGTTTAAAACAGGAGTCACATAAAAACATACTACAATAAATCAGCAATCTAACGAATTCCATTTATGAAAAATTAATTCAGATGCTGTAATATTATGATATAAATCAATTTGAATCTGTTTGAAATTTAAAAAAAAAGTACTGTAATAAAGTGCGACAATGAAACACACATTTAAAGAACTTCTGAGGAATTTATTGCAAATTACGATAACTAGAACACGTCAAGATAACTGTGAAATTACTCAACTCTTCCTCAGGATCAAATGAAGATACGCTCATAAGACAGATGCAACATAATGCGACAATCTAAAAACAAAAACGTTAAAGCTTTATATTAGCACTCACATTTACTTATCACCTAAAATATAATGGGACACGAAAATATATCACGTATCATTTCAACCATATCATACAAAATATTTACTACCATCTAAGTTTACATCTTATATGATATGGACATTCAGTAAAGCCGGGGTCGGCAACCTACGACCCTACGCCGGATCCGGCCCGCGGAGTAATGTAATCCGGCCCGCGACACTTCACTGAATTATAGTAGCACAACAGCTGTTTTGACCAACAGAATGATACGTAACAGAATTTATTGTGAGACACGTGTACCCTGAATTATATTAAAATTCATAATTCCTCGTTTATTGAACTCGTTTAATTAATGGCAACTAAACGCAGAAAAGGTGATGCTAAATACAAAGGGTACAATGGCGCCGAAAATATTCAAATGAAATTTTTTGAGATGCTATGCAATTTTTTGAGATGCATTGAGAAAATAAATCAATATTCTATTCGAGAGATGTATCACTGCTTCATTTTTATTATAAAACGTATCATCCGTTCGGTTTTCAACTTTCTAAAAATATGTGCGGCCCGCCAATGACCGGCACCCAATGTTCCCTCTAATTTTTTGTAGTATGTGTGCGCAGAAATTTTGGTGTGTGCGCACTTTTTTGGAAATGACTAATATTTGTGCAAAAAAAAACAATGAAGAAATTTTGGCGCTTTAACCGGGTAATAAGTGGGCTTATTAAGCTTAATAAGTTTTTCTATAGATTGTGAATGCTTTAGTGAAGGCTATATGTTATCATACATGGAAAATAACAAATGAAATTGATTGTAAAATATGGTTTTATTTGAATTCAAATAAAGAGTGAAAAAAAAACAAAAGAAAACGAAACAATTGGAGCAATGTTTTTCAAAAAGAAACGTTAGCTCTATCTCGTGTCAGGGAACAATATGCTATAAAGAGTCGAGGACCTATGTTTTACAGTATTTCTTTACTTTCATTGACCAACTTTCTCACGTCTATCCTTATTGCTGACCCATTCTTCATAAACCTTCACCTTGTCTATAACACATCCATCTCGCTGATAAGACTTGATCCTCATTATCATGTCCAAATGCCTTTCTCCCAGTCTGTTCCTTAGCTTGGTTTTGATGGAATTCATCAAACTAAACCCGCGCTCACATTCAACGCTGGATGCAGGAAAAGTCCCACCGATATCTACAAGCTTTGCCAATTCTCTAAACTGTTCATGCTGAAACATAAAGTTTATCAAATCAGCAAAAGTGCTAACAACCCCAGCCTTGATTTTTTCAGCTATTGCGTATTTAAAATCTGTGTATTGATCAATAATTATACTTCGTTCTGGCAAAACAAACTCATATTTAGAACACAGAGCTTTAATTTCGGTGATACCAAAAGTATAGCAAGGGGATTTCAATGCAGCACAATCAAAAGCTACCCAGTCTTGTTCCTCTCCTTCTGGGAATCTTTCTATCAGATGATCACATAAAAGCCTTATAAAATCCAGCAGTCCTTCAGAGTCAAAAGTGGCAATTTCTTCTTCCGATATTCTAGCTAACAAATTATCCACTCTTTCACCCCAAAATGTTGTGTCACCAAGATACTTCTGCCGTAGTTTATTTATTTTTGCATGTGCAAAATTCTGTGCATCAATCGGTGTCAATCCTTGTCTTTGGAAAATTTTACACAAAGCAGCTAGTTGCTCAAAAACCGCATTTAAAACTTCCAAAGCTATACGAACTCCATTATTTTTTAATTTTTTAAAACAATATTTAGAAATTGGGTCATTAGATTTCATCTCTTCAAAATATGCAATCAAGCTATCATAGTTTTTAATGATGGCCTGCAGAGCAAAGTGACGTGACAACCATCGAACTTCATTAAGTGGTTTAAAAGCAATCGCTTCGTTTTCACAAGCTGCAGCAATATCTTGAAATTTACAGCGGTTGATTGTAGAACGAGAAAACATGGAATAAATAGTTCGCATTAACGTTTCGATATCTTGCAATAGCTTCCCTTCTTTCCATGTATCAGCTATGCCCAAATCTTCCCGATGTGCAACGCAGTGTTGTTGTACTAAATGTGGTATACGCTCTTTGAGCTTCGCCGCCACACCATTTCTTCTACCTAGCATTACTGCTGCACCATCGGATGTAAACATAACCATTTTATCCAGCTCCAGTCTATATTTTTTGTAAAACTCTTCAATTGCAGTGACAATAGATGAAGCATCACACGACTTTAGTTGTATGATTCCACCAAATCTAGTTTTATATTCAAAAAAGACTCTGTATTTAAAATATAAAATCAGACATTTGCTTACGGATATATCTGTACTTTCATCTACAGTTAGAGTGTGAAAATCGGCAGAAGCTATTTCTTCCATTATTCCCTGGCTAATAACTACATCAATAGATTCCAAAAATTCAAAAGCGTAATTTTTGCTTCGCCAACTTTCAGGTATTCGAACATACTTAGCCATGTGGTCGTTGATATCTTGTACAGAAAGTAAAGAACTGTTCATCTTTACTGCCAATAGAATGTTGTCAATAAGAATTACAATCTCTTCCTTACATGCACGCTTCCGATTACGTTCCTCTGGGGTTTCACTTAGCATTTTTAATATTCCATGGGCTGGTAATAAAGGGTTCTTGTTTCTGAGCTTTTGTACACCATATAGGTGGGTCTTACTTTTTAAATGCCGTTTTAAAAAGTCAAGCTTCCATACATTATTGTACCACTTTTTGCCATTTGAAAATTCACCAGAAACCATGGCATCATGACAATAAAGACATGTAATAATGCCTTCATTTTCATCATATACAAATACATCACGTAAATATACACGTTGATCATCATGAGCCGTGGGAGTTGCCGTTATCACTGCTTCATCCAACCAATCTTTTTTGAACGAGTTAGCAGTCCTTTTAAGTTTTGGTTCGGCTGACATACAGAGCAGAAAAGTTAGTCTTTACAGCTACAGGATAATACTTTATCAGTATGTTGAGCCATGAAACAAAAAGTAATATTCTGTGAAAATGATTCAGATATGACAGTTTTTTATTGGCTTCGTTGATCTAAGTATTCAATTGAATGAATAGAAAAACATCTCACAGGTTTTTTTAATCAAAGTTGACATTTTGCTTAAAGTAATGCAATGTGCAGAGTACAGCACAATCGCATCAGTTCCCAAAAAGCATAAGCGAGGCTCAGAACTGTTTACTTAGCCTCTTTTAAACGTAAGCTGGTTTTTTCTAGCCTATTCTGTTGCAGGGTTCACGGTAACTAACAGCCTAATAAAACTAACCTGGTTGAAAAATGGCTCAATGATTAACGGACAAATTAACGGATTACAATGTAGCCTACAACCTCAGGCTACTTAACAATACAATTAGTAGTAACAGTTCTGTTAGTAGGCTATCTTAAGCTTATTTCAACTACAGCATAAGTGGACAAACATGCAATAGATACAGCAGCTAGGTTATGGCAGCTATTGATTATGTTACTATAACGGCTCAGAACCATACGATGGCGACGTGCTCGTTAGGGCGACTGGAATAAATAGTTGTACAGGCACTTTATTTTTGATGACGCGGTTCTGTCTGAGTTTCTTTCAAAGTCTCGAAATGATTGTCCAAATACGTTTATTGCTGAGTTATAAGTTGGTGAAATATGAGTCAAATAATGATGAAATAGTTGTCAAACAAAAATCCGGTAAAATACAGTGCTATTACACAGGAGGGACCAATAATAACTATACAAAATAGGAAAAACAGAATTATATGATGTAAATTTCAACGACGCCTAATTAATAATGCTAAAACCCCTCCGATTGAATAGGATACAAATTTATACGTCCTACCTCCAAGCGACTCACGCCGAAAGAGATCCCGCCAATGCCAAAATGGTCAAGGTTCAATGACCCCATGATATCGTTGCCAGTCAAGTTACTATAACAGCGGTCAATGCTTATGATCATGGCCGCTACTGTTACTGCTGGTACCTTCTTCGCACATGATGCCATCTTAACTTTCAAAGAAATGCATCCTTTTAGCAAATCCAATAACAAACTTTCTCAACCTGTCAACCGAGAACATTGATAGATTACATCGAAATACGTCTGTGCGCAGTAAATCTATGCGTGTGCGCGGCCTCTGAAAGCTGTGTGCGCGCGCACACGCGCACACCTTAGAGGGAACACTGCCGGCACCCCTTAATTTTGGCACGCGAGCGACAAAAGGTTTCCAACTCCTGCACTAAAGTCTGTAATAAGCATGAGGTTATTCACCGTGACAGGTGAGAGAACAATATGACGATAGCGCAGCTCAAGCATGAGATAATAAATATTATCGTGATGACGATGATGTAATCGTTCTTACCGCCGTAGGTAAATATTCCACTCGCACTCACACTTCACTCAAAAGCAAAATCCCTCAAAAAACGGTTATAAACTTATCCACTCAACTTTTTCATATCTACAACTATATCATAGATGCCCATGTTATGCAGAAAGTAATTTATTTGAAATTACTGGAAGCACCAAAATAGCAAATATATTAAAATATGTAAATTTTAGCACCATGACTTCAATAAAACCAGTTGAAATAATAGCTAATAGAAAACTATAAATTTGGTCGATTAACATTATAAAAATATTTGAAAGAAGGAACAATTTTCAGCGGAAATAATAAATAGAATTGATAAATAAATACATGAAAATATAATAAATATAATTACTTTTGAAAATATTTTATACGATTTAACACTGAAGCAAACTTGGATTCCCCAAAATAATATTGCATTTCATATGAATGTATGAATATAATGAAAACAAAAGTATATTTTCCTTTTAAACGAAATCATGAAAAATAGATAAATAATATATAAATAATAGCTAACAAAACATTTTCAAATTCAATCACGTCTGAACAGTTCGACAATGAAGCATTATGAGGTTCTATGAGCTTTTCTTGCTTTTTTTCCTCGACGAGATTTCTTGTCCTTGCCTTTTCCTCCTTTTCGGCCCCGTCCTCCTTTTCGCCGTTTAGTCAATTTTTCGACTTTGACACATCTAAAGTAAAATATTAAATGTTGGATCACTTTTCTAGTTTGAAATTTCATTATTTATAATGCCATAAGAGGTATTGTATGATCTATTTCTAATTAACAAGGCGAAGAGGAATCATACACCTTCAATATAACATACCCTTTTGAAATCTAAATTAACTTTGATTAGTTGACTGAAAATAGAAAAAATCAACGAAATCATATTCAGAATGATCTTTGTCGAAAACAAATTATGGTTTACTTTTCAGTCTTGTGTTTATCAATATACAGCTGCCCAACTTTTGTTTTATTGAGAGGTTAAATATTACACCAATTTCTTATGTTAGTCAGCATTTTTAGTATTTTAGGGATTTCAAATTTATACTAATTATGTTGAAAAGGGCCATTGTAATTTAAATATTGCAATAAAATATGATGAAAAAAAACATACCTGCATGCAATTGTTAGTGATTTTGTGAATTTGCCATTTAGACGACTGTCAAAGTGTAGTTTAAACAATACTTCTTTTGGTTCGTATCTTTTGCCAGACAAAGGTTTTCCATTTATAGGTTCGCGACATCTTGTGGATGAACATATGGCGCTTGGGAAAGAACTTGGCTCTAAGTTTATACAATTAACCCTGAAAATACGAATATCGTGGATGAATGAATCGTAAAATTTTACAAGGTTTTATAAAGGGAGGGAAGTATAAATTAGCTGGTTTATTCTCCAATCAAAATATAAACATTTATTGCTCTTTGCGACAAACATGTGGAATCTGTGTCTAGCTAAAATTATATTAATCTGCTGAGTGGTATTACTCGGCAGAAATAAAAATATCACTATAGCTTTGTAATAAGGCAAATAAATAAATCAAAGCACGTAGGAAATTCAGACCCATTTTTTATACTCTCTCGTAAAGTTGAAAATATGTACTCGATACTCACTCATGCAAGTAATAAGAGGCAAATCCATCATCTACTGTTTCTGTTTTATTGACTTTGCAGTTGTGAGTTCTTATAAAGTCTGAGCTATAAGAAAATGATATTATTTGTTAATGAGTCATATGATTTTGTTAAAGAGTATTATTTATACAAATAAATAAGCAAATATACCATTCTAAAATTCTGTATGAAGGTTATTTTTTACCAAAATAAATAATTTTTTTTTTCAATTCTTTTAGCATCGCACTAGTCAGAATTAATTCTACCCTAAATTATACAATGTATGCCATTTAATTAATACATTAATACTAGATATTAGTTTAATAATCCAATCTATCTTAAAACGCCGATAAATATAATACGAAAAATTAGCGAACATCACTAAACACTTACTCAGGGTCAAATGAAGATACGATGATAAGACAGACAGAGCATAATGCAACAATCTTAAAAAACAATAACTTCGTTAGACTTTTATATTTAAACCTACATGTACCTATACTTAAAAATAAGATGGGACATGATCACACGAATATATATCATGTATCAATACAACCATGTTATACGAAAATTTACATATTGTATCATCTAAAGTTTACATTTACTAAAGTCTGTTATAAACATATTGTTTCGTCGTCATATTAAGCCCACGGCTGAAGATCAGACACAAATATAGGTAAGTTTACGAAAAGTAATTCTTTAGAATACGATCATTCCCGTATGAAACCGTCAATAACTATAATGCACGTAACTCATGTTTCTTATGGTCTTATACTATTTCCTTAGCTTACCTTGATGTAAAGCTTCAAGCTTGCCATAGCGGTTTGATAAACTTTTTATCTTCAAAAATATGAGTAGTAATCTCGATATTATAAACTTGTAGTCTGATACCTTTCTGCGTACAATATCTCGTTTAACTGCTTTGATGAACATTCTATCTTATCGTTCATTTATTTAGTTTAGCGGATAATACATAATCTAAAGTGGGGTTTTCAGTCCAATCGCACTATTTGGTTAGCAATGTAGAATAGATATTGATTTTGAAGCAGCGATAATTTGACGAATAAATAAATAGGGCTTTTCCGTAAAGGTTATTCCCCGTGACAAACGAGAGAACGAGAGCGTAACTCAATCGTGAGATAGTAAAATGTTTCTGCGGTGACGATGATGTAACCATTCTTACCGCCATGTGAGATACACAAAGTTCATTTTCTTCTTCGCTGTGCTAAGGTACAATATATTATTTCAAAATCTGTAAGGTTTATTAGTTACGGATCACAAATATATCATGAAATTTTTATATGATTATATATGTTTGCGGATATTATTGATGAAGGCCATTTGATTGGTCTTCGCAAACATTACAGAGTTACCGATGGGGTAAAGCCCTTTCACGATAGCCACAACATTCCAAAATCTAAGTAAGAATCCAAATACACCGCTTCTGATGAAATCTAACGTTATCGGACGAAGTAGAAAAATACAATTTAATTATTTCCGAATTTGAAAATAACATCATTTCTAATTTGCTATTGTATATGACGAAATATTTGAATATGGAACGTACTTTACCACTGACAAACTTGTTGACCTGTGAAAAATAAAGTTAAGACTTGTACCAACGTCAGATCACGTGGGGTATTTAGGATTAAAATAAAGCATTGGACAATATTGTATTTATGAATAAAAACATAGGACACGCCATTTAACGGATATTCTGTTCTTAAAGTTCATTTTTCAAAATCAGTGTCAATGATTTCGCTTATTCATGACCAGTCCTCGTCTGCAAAAAATGATTTACATTAATTAATACTCGATCCTGGTGTTTTATTGTGCTGAGAATAAGTCTCATTGTGAAAAGCTGTAGTCCAGCGTTTCTCAAACTGTGTTCCTTGGAACACTACTGTTCTGAGAGCTACTTTGGAGTGTTCCGCGGAACAGTAATCGAAATTGCAACTAAATTGACCGCTATGGCGATCTTGGCCGTACTGCGACGCCTCTGGGTCGTAAATTTGTCTTTCAACTGGCGACATAAGGCAGACAGGCCTTGCTATCTAAGCAGGTAGACAGGTCTCGTGCCAGTATGCAAAGCATGACATTTTTGTGAACCGTTGAATATCGTTAACTATCGGCCTAGTTTTTCAATTGCTAAGGTTGAAGTAAACTTTTTAATTTTATTATATAGGCTAAATTTGCACCCTTTTCAATGAATTGTTGGATTAAAACTGTAAACCTCAAAAGATGTCGCGATAAACCAGTTGTGCAAGTTGGGGTACAAGGTAAATCCATTACACAATTCTTTCATTATCAATATTACCTTTTTATTTTTTGGTGTTCCGCGAGGCGAGATAAAAGCGTAGGTGTTCCGGGAAAATAGGTTTGGGAAACGATGTTGAATGTAATCAATAGACGGGTCATTTTCACCCTTTTCGGTGGAGTGGAACTTCTACGGAATATTCTGGAGGTTTGGGGAACCCCGATACAATAGTTTGCAATACGTTATTTTACACACTATATATAATCTAATATAAAATATAAATTCGTATAAACTATAAGTATATATTACACATTTATACAATCAATCTCTAATATTGTGAAACTGTCAAAACAAAATGATACAAGTTCAATAATATTTGCAAATCTAATAGTTATTTGAATATTTTTAAACAATATACCCGTGAAAAATTATACTTCAAGATGTAAACTTGCGGTAATCCTGAAATGTAACTGCGGAACTCCGTCGAAAACCCCCCGTAGAGTGTTGGAAATGTTGGAAGCCAATTATTTCATCTTTTTGCTCTCATTTATGAGTATTGCGCTGGACAATTTAAATATCTTGAATTGATGTGACGCCAAGTTTCACAAGGCCACTCAAATGCATTTGGAAAACTACGAACAAATTTTTGTTATCACATTAATACCGAGATATTATATTATGAACATATACACTACAAACGCCGGTTTTATAAAAAAAAATCTAATTTTACGTCATACCATTAATTGACGGCTCATTTTACTTTGGTCTATTAAATAGCTTTTGTTGTTGTAGATTTGAATCATTTTCTGTCTATTTTTACTGCTTGTTACGTGAATTTATCTCAATCTCACTTTAAAATTTAAAATTACATTGCATCAAATTCAAAAGTGAATGAATACACCCACCAAATTCATTTAAAACAATTAAGGGTACCAAGACGTTCCAATTTGAAAGTTATCAAATAGAGGGTCAGAGAACGGTGGGAAAATGTAATGTCATTTTATCAACAATTATATATTGCCTCTCGTGTACTCCCTAGCGGATAGAACATAAACACGGAAGACATTAGCATGTAAGATTCGTCGTATACGTACAACCTTTTATTTAAAACAGGAGTCACATAAAAACATACTACAATAAAAACAGCAATCTAACAAATACCATTTATGAAAAATTACTTCAGATGCTGTAATATTATGATACAAATCAATGTGAATCTGTTTAAAATTTAAAATTAAAAAAAAAATAATCTAATAAGGTGCGACAATGAAACGCACATTTAAAGGACCTCTGGAGAATTTATTGCAAATTACGATACCTAGAACACGTCAAGATAACTGTGAAATTACTCAACACTTACTCAGGATCAAATGAAGATACGCTGATAAGACAGATGCAACATAATGCGACAGTCTAAAAGCAAAAACGTTTAAGTTTTATATTAGCACTCACATTTACTTATTACCTAAAATATATCACGTATCAGTACAACCATATCATACAAAATATTTACTACCATCTAAGTTTACATCTTATATCATATGGACATTCACTAAAACAGGGGTCGGCAACCTACGGCCCTACGCCGGATCCGGCCCGCGGAGTAATATAATCCGGCCCGCGACACTTCACTGAATTATAGTAGCAAAACAGCTGTTTTGACCAACAGAATGTTACGTAACAGAATTTATTGTGAGACACGTGTACCCTAAATTATATTAAAATTCACAATTACTCGTTTATTGAACTCGTTTAATTAATTGCAACTAAACGAAGAAAAGTTGATGCTAAGTCCAAAGGGTTCAATGGCGCCGAAAATATTCAAAGGGACTTTTTTGAGATGCAATGAGGAAATATATCAATATTCGATTCGAGAGATGTATCACTGCTTGATTTTTAATATAAAACGTATCATCCGTTCGGTTTTCAACTTTCTAAAAATATGTGCGGCCCGCCAATGACTCGCACCCCTTAATTTTGGCACGCGAGCGACAAAAGGTTTCCGACTCCTGCACTAAAGTCTGTAATAAGCATGAGGTTATTCTCCGTGACAGGTGAGAGAACAATATAACGAAAGCGCAGCTCAAGCATGAGATAATAAGTATTATCGTGGTGACGATGATGTAATCGGTCTTACCGATGTGGGTAAATATTCCACTCGCGCTCACACTTCACTCATAAGCAAAATCCCTCAAAAAACGTTTATAAACTTATCTACTCAATTTTTTCATATCTACACCTATATCATAGATGCCCATGTTATGCAGAAAGTAATTTATTTAAAATAATTAGAAGCACCAAAATAGCAAATATATTAAAATATGTAAATTTTAGCACCATGACTTCAATAAAACCAGTTGAAATAATAATTAATAGAAAACTATAAATTTGGTCGATTAACATTATAAAAATATTTAAAAGAAATAACAATTTTCAGTGGAAATAATAAATAGAATTGATAAATAAATACATGAAAATATAATAAATATAATTACTTTTGAAAATATTTTATACGATTTAACACTGAAGCAAACTTGGATTCCCCAAAATAATATTGCATTTCATATATATGTATGAATATAGTGAAAACAAAAGTCAGCTTTAAATATTTTTACCTTAAACGAAATCATGAAAAAATAGATAAATAATATATAAATAATAGATAACAAAACATTTTCAATTTCAATCACGTCTGAACAGTTCGGCAATGAAGCATTATGAGTCTGTGTGAGCTTTTCTCGCTTTTTTTCCTCGACGAGATTTCTTGTCTTTGCCTTTTCCTCCTTTTCGGCCCCGTCTTCCTTTACGCCGTTTAGTCAATTTTTCGACTTTGACACATCTAAAGTAAAATATTAAATATTGGATCACTTTTCCAGTTTAAAAATTTCCTTATTTATAATGCCATAAGAGGTATTGTATGATCTATTTCTAATTAATAAGGCGAAGAGGAATCATACACCTTCAATATAACATACCCTTTTGAAATCTAAATTAACTTTGATTAGTTGACTGAAAATAGAAAAAATAAACGAAATCATATTCAGAATGATCTTTGTCGAAAACAAATTATGGTTTACTTTTCAGTCTTGTGTTTATCAATATATAGCTGCCCAACTTTCGTTTTATTGAGAGGTTAAATATTACACCAATTTCTTATGTTAGTCAGCATTTTTAGTATTTTAGGGATTTCAAAGTTATACTAATTATGTTGAAAAGGGCCATTGTAATTTAAATATTGCAATAAAATAGGATAAAAAAAACATACCTGCATGCAATTGTTAGTGATTTTGTAAATTTGCCATTTAGACGACTGTCAAAGTGTAGTTTAAACAATACTTCTTTTGGTTCGTATCTTTTGCCAGACAAAGGTTTTCCATTTACAGGTTCGCGACATCTTGTGGATGAACATATGGCGCTTGGGAAAGAACTTGGCTCTAAGTTTATGCAATTAACCCTGAAAATACGGATATCGTAGATAAATGAATCGTAAAATTTTGCAAGGTTTTATAAAGGGAGGGAAGTATAAATTAGCTAGTTTATTCTTCAAGCAAAATATAAATAAGTATTGCTCTTTGCGACAAACATGTGGAATCTGTGTCTAGCTAAAATTATATTAATCTGCCGTGTGGTATTACTCAGCAGAAATAAGAATATTACTATAGCTTTGTAATAAAGCAAATAAATAAATCAAAGCACGTAGGAAATTCAGACTCATTTTTTATACTCTCTCTTAAAGTTGAAAATATGTACTCGATACTCACTCATGCAAGTAATAAGAAGCAAATCCATCATCTACTGTTTCTGTTTTATTGACTTTGCAACTGTGAGTTCTTATAAACTCTGAGCTATAAGATAAAGATATTATTTATTAAAGAACCGTACGATTTTGTTGAAGAGTATATTTTATACAAATAAATAAGCAAATATACCATTCTAAAATTCTGTATGAAGGTTATTTTTTAACAAAATAAATATTTTTTTTTAAATCCTTCAGCACCGCACTAGTCAGAATTAATTCTACCCTAAATTATACAATGTATGACATTTAATTAATACATTAATACTAGATAATAGTTTAATAATCCAATCTATCCTAAAACGCCGATAACTATATTACGAAAAATTGGCGAACATCACTAAACACTTACTCAGGGTCAAATGAAGATACGCTGATAAGACAGACGGAGCATAATGCAACAATCTAAAAAAACAAAAACCTCGTTAGACTTTTATATTTAAACCTACATATACTCATTACTTAAAAATATGATGGGACACAAAAATATATCATGTATCAATACAACCATATTATACGAAAATTTACATAATATATCATCTGGCCATTTACTAAAGTCTGTTATAAGCATATTGTTTCGTCGTCATATTAAGCCTACGGATGAAAATCGGTCACAAATATAGGTAAGTTTACAAAAAGTAATTCTTTAGAATACGATCATTCTCATATGAAACCGTCAATTACTATATTGCCCGTAAATCAATTTTCTAATGGTCTTATATTATTTCCTTACCTTGATGTAAAGCTTCAAGCTTGCCATAGCGGTTCTATAAACTTTTTTTTCTTTAAAAATATGAGTAGTAATCTCGATATTATAAACTTGTAGTCTGATACCTTTCTACGTACGATCTCGTTCAACTGCTTTGATGAACATTCTGTCTTGTCGTTTATATATTTAGTTTAGCGGATAATACATAATCTAAAGTGGGGTTTTTAGTCGAATCGCACTATTTGGTTGGCAATGTAGAATAGTTATTGATTTTAAAGAGGCGATAATTTGACGAATAAATAAATACGGCTTTTCCGTAAAGGTGATTCCCCGTGACAAACGAGAGAACGAGAGCGTAACTCAAGTGTGAGATATTAAAGTGTTTCTGCGGTGACGATGATGTAACCATTCTTACCGCCACGTGAGATACACAAAGTTCATTTTCTTCTTCGCTGTGCTAAAGTTCAATATCATATTTCAAAATTTGTAAGGTTTATTAGTAACGGATCACAAATATATCATGAAATTTTTATATGACTATATATGTTTGCGCATATTATTGATGAAGGCCATTTGATTGGTCTTCGCAAACATTACAGAATCACGCCCACGAAATATTTCGAAATTTAAGAAGTTACCGATTGGGTAAAGCCCTTTCACGATAGCCACAACATTCCAAAATCTAAGTAAGAATCCAAATACACCGCTTCTGATGAAATCTAACGTTATTGGATGAAGTAGAAAAAAACAATATAATTATTTCCGAATTTGAAAATAACATCATTTCTAATTTGCTATTGTATATACGACGAAATATTCGAATATGGAACGTACTTTAGCATTGACAAGCACGTTTGCCTATGATAAATAAAGATTAAAACTCATACCAATGTTAGATCACGTGGGGTATTCAGAATTAAAATAGAGGACTGGACAATATTATATCTATGAATACGTATATAATACAGTCTTTCATCAATTTTGTTCGTTCGTTCGTGAATTCATTTTCTAAAATTACGGTTAATGTTTCGCTCATTTATGACCAGGTCAACTATAAAATGATTTACAGCGATAACTACTCGATGTTAGTGTTTACCTTTGCTGAGAAAAAGTCTAATTGCGACAATGCTCTAATCCTGCTCTCGATAACTACTCGATGTTGGTGTTTAATTTTGCTAAGAAAAAGTCTAATTGTGACAATGCTCTTATCCTGCGTTCCTTAAACTGTGCTCCCCGGAACACACCCACTGTCCATCCTTTTCAATGGATTGTTGGCTTGAACTGAAAACCTCAAAAAATATCGTGGTGAGCCGGTTGTGCAAGTTGACGCACAAGGTAAATCCGTTACACAATTCTTTCATTATCCATTTTACCTTCCTATTTTTTGGTGTTCCGCCGGGCGAGGTAAAAAGCGTAGGTGTTCTGGGACGAAAAGTTTGAGAAACAATGGTAAATGTAATCAATAGACGGGGGATTTTCAACCTTTTTGGTAGAGTGGTACTTTAATGGAATATTTCAGAGGCTTGGGGAACCACAATACAATAGTTCGCAATGCGGTATTTTACAAATTTTTACAAGGCTGTAAAGATATTGTATAAACTATAAATATATATGTATACAATCAAACCTAAAACTGGCCAAACAAAACGATACGAAAAATGTAAAAGTGTAATAATATTTGCAAACCTAATGGTTATTTGAATATTTTTAAACAATAAACCCGTAAAAAATTTCGATATTAAGATGTAAACTTACGGTACACCTGAACTGTAACGGATGAACCCTCAGAGTGCTGCGGAAATCGGGTCGAAAACCACCTCTGTAGAGTGTGGAAAATTTTGGAAGCCAAATATTTCACAATCACATTTATACCCAGATATTGTATTATACCTTTATACACTACAAATGCCGATCTTATAAAATTAAATCAATTTTAACGTCATACCATTAATTGACGACTCATTTTTACTTTGGCCTATAAAGTTTCTCAAAATAGTTTATGTAATCGTGGATTTGAACCATTTTCAGTCTATTTTTCACCGCTTGTTACATGTATGTTATCTCAATCTCACTTTAAAATTCAATTATTCATTGCATGAAATTCAAAAGTGAATAAATGCAGTAGTAAACTCAACCCAATTCATTTTAAACAAATAAGTGTAACTACAAGTTACAATTTGAAAGTTATCAAATAAGAAGGTTTAAGAACGACGGCAAAATATAATCTTGTTTAATCATCAAACATGAATTGCCTCTCGTGTATCATCTAACGGATAGGAAATAAAAATGAATGACATCAACATGGTTGATTCGCCGTATGTGTACAACCTTTAAAACAGGAGACATATAATAAAAACTCCAATCTAACGAATACAATTAATTGAAAATTACTTCAATTGCTGTATTTTTATCATATAAGTCAACGTAAATTTGTTTAAAATTAAAAAAAATTCTGAGGATTTCATTGCGAATTACGATCACTCGCACACACCAAGATAACTGTAAGCTTTTGTAACTTGGTGTGAGGGAGGGAACTTTGTGGTTAAATTGGGTCCGCTACATATCACGAGAGATTACTTCGAAAAACACTATTAACTTTCTTTTCATAAATCAATTATTACATCATAATTGAATGATTATGACGAAACAATCCATATTTTTAGTTGCTATAAACAAAAAAGCACAAATACATAAAATTCATTTCACAATTACCTTCGTTGCATCAGGGAGAAAAGATGACAGACAGCGATGAACAACGCGTGAAACCGCAGGTTCCTTTGGATTTCGATAGTTTATCTGGACCAAACTTACAAACTGTTTGTCCGGTGCCACCCATGCCCGATATGGCTTATCCTCAGCCGTATCCATACGCTCTGATAAATGGTGGATTATACGGGGAAAATGAAGGTGGAAACAGGTTGTTTTATCAAGGACAATTGGATGATAAAATACCGGCAAACGCTTACTTCTCCTCATATCAGACACCCTACAGATATTATACTCATATTGCATATCCTTCTCCAGTACGAACTACAAACGTAAAACGTCGAGGCGGTCGTACAAAAAGTGAGTAAATAACAACGACAATAAGGATCGGATTAATGTTTTTTTAACGTGTTCACAATTGAATGACATCGCAGACTTAATACTTCAAAATTGGATTTTATTAACCATTTACTGAACCTCTAAAAATGATTCTCCGTTTATATTTTTTTATTTTGGGAATTCAAGTTTTTATATCTTATTCAAATAAAAATATTCAAGTTAGAAAAAAATTGTGCAAATTAAAGTAATTTATTAACAGTATTTTTTTTCGTTTTACTTTAGAGCAAAATTGAGCGTAAGCGTAACTTCCTTTGATTAGAAAAATTGATTTAACGTTAGCTTGTATTTTCATTCTTCTAATTTGATCCCTACAAAGAGTATAGACATTGAAATATCAAATTATATTTATGTTAGACTTCAAATATTATGTCTACGGAAATTTATTTCTAAATTCTAATTACAAGATGAAGCAGAATAGATGAGTAACATTTCATCGATTGAACTTACGTTATTTGTTCCAATTTGTTCACAGCAATAATTGAAAAACACATCGTTAGCATAACACAATAACCACCTATGAACATATTCAGATTTTTATTTAATTCTTGGGAAGATCAACTAAAACAAAATTCACTTAATTGTATCACTAAGTTATCGTCAGTAAGTTTATATTATAATATATTAAATTAATTGTTAGTATATATAATAATATGAATCGTTTGTGAACTTCATGCTTCCATTTCTAACAGGTCGAGGAGTATCGCGGGTGAAATACAATACGAAGAGATCCATTGACAAAACTACTACAAATGAATATCAGGTTATTATCACTTACACTGATTTATTTACTACATCATTTGTGCAACAATAATTCACAATTTTCAACATTTTATTGACAGCAACCTCCGGACAATATGTTAGATAATTTGAACTCTGCCATACCAATAACGAAAACAGGCAAAAAACGCGGAAGAAAGCCTGGCAAAGCAAGAGTATCCACCGCCAAAGAAATACCTGGATTGACGAGAGTGAAAAGAAAGTACGTGCGAAGAAAAGTAAAAGAGAAGCCTATCACTGATATTGTTCAACTCACAGAAAGTTTGGTAAAACTTCTACTTCCTTCAGAAAAAAATAGTTCCAAATCTCCGGAGTTAGATGAAATTTTTATCGAAGAACTGGAAAATATGGCTTGGTCGACGGATGAACTACCCCAAGGTAAGTGTATTCAGAAAGAAAACCTCCGAAACATTTAGTTTAGACAGGGGCAGGCCTAGGGGAGGGCCATAGGGGCAGTCACCCCGGACAGGATGTTGTAGGGGCAGTATATCCAAACTGTACAATTCGCGCTTGTTGCTTAGTTTGATGATTTAAATAATAATTAATAACACGAACCTTTGACTCTCTTCACTTGTTTTTGAATTTATTAATTCGCAGCATCCATGAGTTGTTTTCTCCCAGAATCATGTGATATGTACTGCTTTGTAGTATAAAACGAACATATTGGTATTATCAAATATTTTTTTAAATACATAGCTATATATCTTTAAAATATAAAATTGGAAACGGAATTCAATAAAATTTAAAAAAGAATAAACTGATTTCATAAAGCAGAGGATGGACTGAGCGAAGATGACGTAAACGCTTTTAATGATCTCATTAAAGAACTTTCATTAAACTCTGACAAAAAGAGTCGATATGAAAATGTTAATTCGAAGAAAAAATCCTGCGGAGACAAGAAAGGTAAAACATATCAATTCTACTACATTTTTAATTAGATAGCAATGATTTGATTGTACCAACACTACTTGTGAAACATAGAACATTTTATTGCCAACTTGGCATCATCAATGAAATAGGTGAAAGAATCTTCGTAAGAACAGGACAGCATTGTAACCGATGGGCTCGACAGCAATTGAACATTTCGTATACCGGACACAGTTACTTACAAGCGTCGTAACAAACCAAATATTTATAAATGATATTAAGTCGTTGGCCTAGCCTATGCTATCAAATATATATAGAAAACCTAACAATTTTCTCAAAAAATAGACTATAAGCTTATACCCTCATAAATATCATCAGAAATATTTGAAAATAATAAAATTCTATTCGAAGAAATTTACATAAATGAATTTTTAAAAAGGTATTATTCTTATAACAACGATTCATCATTCTTTGGTCTCATATTATACTAGCTTCTATTAAATACCTAAATGTGTCAAAGCAAGTTCATATTTAAGGGCACGTGACATGTACTGTTATCGTTTTACTGTAAAATAAATATATGATCTAGAACTTATACCTACTTATACTTAACTAGTTATGTTTATTTATTTAGGTGGAAGGCCTAAAGAAGAAAAATCGGAGAATAAAAGACAGCAATCGAGCGGTATTACACCAAGAAAGAACATACTAAATTGCCGCTGGAGGGCAATGCGGAGTAGAAAATCTATACTAGACAACGATTTTGGAAGTTCAGCCGTTCCACCTTCAACCGACACTTTCAATTGTAAAGTAGGAGGGAAATGCTCAAACAAATGGCAATTATTACAGGTATCTATAGTTAATTAATTAATTAATTAAATTCAATGAGAACGATTTACATATAATAAAATAATAAGTATACCGGATTTCTACAATCTGAAATTTATACTATAACCTTGTAAATTTGATACCACAACGCTACTATTTCAGTTAAAGGCAATTCTTTCTGATTAACCTTTGAATCGTATGTTAAAATATATACTGGATGTTGAAAAGTGAAGTTGGTATTTCATAAAAATTATACTATTATTCGCCAACAAAAAGCAGTATTATGAAAAGCTGCTGTCACGAAGTGGACCTAAGTTTTGTCAAAAATTTGTTGTTGTGTTGAAATTATATTACTTGTTGTCGTTGTCGAAAAATCGCTTTCTCTTCAACTACTAGACCAATTTTCAGTGGTTATATACTGTTGTTGTCGCTAGAAGGCTATTACTTTCATTTGTTACTTAATTTCCTATGAATCCCATGATATCTGACATTTCATCCAAATTCGCCGCTTTATTTTTTTTTTTTATGAAAACATCTATTTCATTCCGTCAAGGGCGATGGTCCTCCGTTCTGATTTGGCAAACTCGATGCTCAGACACATTTCCGTGTGAGGCTCGTAGGCTACGGGCACTGCTGTTATTTATTGGATCTTCGTGTACATATCAAACAAACTTATTCAATTACACTTTGATTTAAATATTACATCACAATATAGGCATACTATATTTAATTCCATTTTATAATAACTTGAATATAATTTATTTCTGTCATCAGAGACATGTCCTAGGAAACAAAGTTGTTAAACAACTACGAGAAGAGCGACAAACTGAAAGACTTATTAAAGTACTTTGCAGCACCCCACAGAGAACATTGAGAGCGAGAAATCGTGAAGTAAAGTTTTTTTTTTTTCATTCAGACCTCATGTCAACAATTATCATTGGGAGAATAAAACGATTTATTATTATCTCATTTCTGATTTCAAATATATACATATAAAACCAACAGATAAATAAAATCAAACAGATATTTCAATCTCAACTGAGTTAAAACAAACATACATTGCTGGTTGAATTGTTTGTAATTGTAACTGTTGTCTATTGTTGGACAAGGAGTGACCCATGGATCGTTTTGTAAAATCCAACTAATTGACCGGTCTTGAAGATTATTGTGATCGCTAGTGGGATATCACTTTTTCAGTCTTATATCGAACGTATTTTAAATTTTCAAAGTCATTACTATTTCAAAATCTCACTGTTTTATTCTGAATAAGAATATTATTCCGTCATGTTTGTTCGCATCCGCAGATCTTTTCACCAAGCTCCTACCACGCTAAGGTCATGTCGTGCTGGTACGCACTGCATTGTTTGTATGAAAGTCAGGATTTACCAATATTCAAAATTTATTTATTAACATTTAGGAAGGCGATATGTCTGCTCATGATACATCTGCAACATCAAGCGAAACCGCAAGTCCAGACAAAACTGCGTCAAGCTGGATTAGCCTTAGTGATACTAGTTTTAATATAACTGGACAAGGCGCTGAATTGTGTGCAATTCCTCACGGAGATTCAAACCTTCCTCCAGGTTATTTTTCTGTCGATGGAGGAATCTGTCCTGATATTGAACCAACATTTCTTGTGTAAGTTTGAGAAGAAATTTTTTTTGGATAAGCGATATATTCTATATAATACTCTACATAACAATTTTAAATTTAAACTTAATTTTTTATGAATCAAATCTTTAAGACGATCAAACAATTTTGTTTTGCATACATCAACTTCACAAGGGTTACAAATGAAAAAATAGTAACAAAATAAACATTTAGTCAAAAATAGAACAATCAACTTATTAAGCTATTGGAATAAGGGTCACTGGAAAGCGCAAAATGACCACAGATGCACTATATGGTTGGGATTTTTAAACAGTATAATTGAAGAAAATCAAGATGAGAATTGTAGCATGAACGGCAACTGCAAATATTCGATTGCGATACATATATATTATTAGTAGCGATTCGAAGACAATATTCAGTTCACTTAGAATTTAAAAAATTAAAAATGATTTGTTAATTTGTTTTAGATCATCATCATCATCGTATAATGAAGTTCACAGTCGGAAAGAGCCTCTCAACAATTCAAACCAATTGCTATATTCCAACCAAAATTTCGTCTCTCCAACCAACTGAATTTGTTTCAAACCATTTGAGACTATTGAGCATTAAACATTTGAGATACATGAGATAACATACTCACATACACTGGGTATAAGGGCGAGATATAAGATAACATATCTTACTCTCAATATTATTGAAAAAAAAACTTCATTTATGCATTATTGATAACGAATCTTTTATATACCTTTAAAAACATTCTTCATTGTTTATGTATTAAACTTTTATAGTTTGTAACTACAATACTTTGTGTAATAAAATTTTTTTGGAAAACGATGTCTGAACTACTTTTCTGAAATGTTATTACAGACGAATGCGTGAATGATTTGTCAGTATAAATATTTCGATTACACATTGATCTGATTCAAACCTAAAGCACAAAAATCATTAAATATTTCATAAGTTTCACTCATTTTTTTATATTGAGAGGTCGCGATTTTTATAGACTATATAATTTAAAAGTTTTGGAGGTGAAGGTGATGAAAATTAACTATCTACATTCCAACATAACTTGAGATTCACGACAAATTGCACATTACATTGACATTCGAAATGGAACAAAACAAAATTCACTTGAAAACGGTAATGTTTGACAACTATGATCCCAAATAAGCACATTCTTATACCAGTGAAGGAAAGCAGACTGAAGAATTTTGCTTCAAATATTCTGAAAAAAGTTGACGAGATTTTAGTAATTCTTCACGTTCTTTTTTAATAGCCTCAAGTTCCTTTTTAACCATCCATTTCTGGAAGGCATCATTCGATTTTTGCAATTTGTTGATTTCTTGCTCGTCGACGGATACTGATACTGGTAAAGGTGTTTCTGAATTTCGACGCATTTGACGAGTAATGTTAGAACCATCAAAAATATTTATGCTGTCAAGGCCGGATCGCCGCACTCTTCTCTCCGACGTTGCATCTTTATTGTCGTTGTCATAATTTATCTGTTATGAGAAGAAATTTTCATGCAATATGTTATAATGATGCGCTGCTATCAATGACCAAAATATAAATTGTCTTTTAATTTGAGCTATAAATGCTCGCCCCTCAAAAAAAAATACTAATAAAAATAATTGATTTTGGTCAGACGAACGTTACGGAAAAACATTTGTGTTATTGTGCATTTGGACTCTTGAATCGCATAGAATATCATTTTCACATAATTTTAGTCTCGATAACCTTACAAAGTTACAACAGAAGCTCAAAATTTAGTTTTAGTTTCGAATTTCAGAATATATATTATTTTAAATGCCTTTTATGACCACATAATATAAAATCAACTAATATTTTTTCATTGACTCAGTGGAAACATTCATATTGGCCCGACAACCTAATATTTGATTTCCTGATTACTGATATTGCATACTTAAATACGGAATCAGAAAAATATATACGATTAAGTTCATTTGTATTTAAATATTTAAAGAAAGATTAGTTATTGATAAATAAAAAATATCCTGAACGTTATCATTTTTAAGCGCGATTTTGATATGACTCAAATAGTTGAACAAAAAACTCACCGACTGTCTTTCAGTTTTTTGTCCTAACCATTCGGTAAAAGAAATTCTTCGTTTCATGTTGTTCAGTCTTTCTGCTTCTTTGGTTTCTAAATCTTCCTTCTCTTTTTCCGCGATTTTCAATTCTTCGATCTTTTTCCGCATTTCAACATTTTTATTCCACTCTTCAAAAGTAATACTATTTCTTCTCGTTGTTAACTCAAGAAACTTCCTCTGTTCCTATGAGCATCACAAAAAATTTCACTAGAGAAAGAATAATGAAGTTGATAAATATGGAAGATGTAAAGTTCCATTTTCCGTCAATATTAATATAATGAAATATAACTCTCCGATTGTTTCATGTTCTATCGTTAATTAATATTATTAAAAAGGTGAACAATTTTATGCCGTATAGAAATAAATGAAGGGTCGCAAATAAGTTAGAAGCAATTTTGTGTCCGAGTAAACTAAATCAGAATGTGTGATATGAATAATCGGAATACTAGGAAAAATGAAAAATGTTGATCTTTATTACAAAAAGTTTAATGTTTTTAAGACGCAGAAAAAAACAAACTATGTTTTGAATATTTCACCATTGCATTACTTACATCCGATTCCTGTTTCATTTTTTCACGTTTTGATCTTTCGTGCCCCATTTTACACCATTGTTCAAACGTCAGCTTCTTCTTGCCAGGTTCACTGAAACGTGAATCTAGTGAAAGTCGTCTTGTACGTGGAGGTGTATATTTCACATCACCAGAATATTCTACTCGTTTTCCATTTTGAAGATTGATGTATGATGTTTGTACTGCGTTTTTAGATACTTCATCTTCTTCTTGAATTTTAGATGGATAATTAATTGATGAACGGTGAAATTTTAAACGATTTAAATTATGCTGCATGAGAACTGCGGGTTCTGATCTTCTTCTTCGTAACATTCCAACATCGTTTTTGGGGTTCTCAGCCATTTTTTAAAAAAGCTCTAGAAGCACTGGCAAATATAGCTATATGGATTTGTGAACAGATGTTTGCTTCCTTTTAAACAGAATACCTGAGCAATCACGAAAAAGGTTTTACGTGGAACGATGTACACAATTAAACCACAAGGATAGCAAACATGTGTCATCCACGGGAATCGTTACGACGCAACACACATATTTTATCATATTTTGCGGTCGGTAAATATTACTTTTGAGGTTGTGTCTTCGATCCTGTCGTAAAACATGTTTGACTAAACTTTAGGGGCAATTGTCGGCGTCCCCACAACATTTAAAACCTACTAAAACAATTGAATTTTCTGGCATTTTGCAGTCACTCCGTTTTTTTTTATAAATATGAAAGAATTAAAAAAACGTCCACCAAAGACATGACTTGAGATATTTCATCCGTATTTTAATTTCGAAATAAATTTGAATTGTTCTATCAGTCAACTTTGAAATTTTTATACGAATTCAAGTAGAGTACGATTCAATAATACCTTCAGCTGCTTCAGACATTGAAAATTTCCCTTTTTACTGCTATCTGATCGAAACATAACTTAAACTTGTTCGTTCCATAAATGTTCACGGCATTCCTTGATCACATAATAAATGCATTTACTTTTACAAGTTTTGCCTGGTAGAGTTCTCGCTCCAAATAAAAAAAAATAGCAGACGTTTCAAGTGAACAATATGTAAAACGCAATTTATTAATTGCTATAAAATTCATTTAAATCACATGGCGTAATATCACTTATAGTCGGAGAACGCAAATACTGCGTCATTGGCTGTGTTTTAGCAAATAAAGCCTAGACGAAAACTGCTTCGAATAAGCATATAACACTCGATCTATAAATAGTCACTCTTTATGAGATTTACTCATTTCGCTAATATTAAAACTTAAAGGAAATGAAAGTGCTTGTTATTTTCTGAAATTCAAAAATAATTAAATTTTTGGACGAACAATAACCTACTGAAGCTGTATAGTCACAGGTGAGTCAAAAAATATTAGGATTGGTAATATCAAGTTCATACATAATGATATTGCAACAAATATAATACGATTATTATACTTAGATTAGTCGAATTAAATAGTATGTAACTTCAATCACCCTTGTATGATCGTATTTCTCACTCTACAAAGATGACTTATCTGTTTACTTTACAAAACCCAGCACCTATACATGTTTCATAAATACTTTGAAGCACGGTTCGAGTTGAACGGGTACAAATCGTAAATGACGAGCCATTTTATCCAGTCGCCCAAGACGATGCAATATTAATTGAGTAATATTTATTGGTAAACCTTTTTAAGTAACTTCATAGGTGTATTTTCAAATTGTTTCCATATTATTAATTGGCAGTGTTTGTAGAATATGCATTTACAAATTTGGCCAGTCCCGTGACTAAAAAACAAAATGGGGTTGGAATACTGTGTAGTACATACGCTGCCCAATAATAAATACGGAAGCAATTTCAAAATACACCAATAAAGTTACTTAAATGAGTTATTCAACAAATATATATTTCCGATAAACAAAATAGTTTTACTTATTATTCATTATTAATTTTAAAAATAGTTCCATTACAAATAATATTTATTTTATGAACAAGTAGCAAAATTCCATTAGTCAACGTGAGTCACGTATCAATTTGCAATGAAGTATGCAAAAACAGTAGGGTCATAAAAGTATTTTCACAACAGGCACAAAAGTAATATTTTGCTCTGATATTTATGGTTTGTTTACACTGACCATGCGAGACACACGTGCCAATATTGCGCCCTCCGTGTGTAAATAGGCATGCTTTAGTAAGAAATAATATATGAATAATAAAAGGAATAATGTTAGGAATATTTATTTGATTTTGACAGTATAAACCAGTACGATCGTTGTTTAAATTGCCGAATATATCGTTGTTTTCATTTGGATTCTTTCCTTTGATCTCGCCGGAATGTATGAGAAAATTATTACAATTATTTGGCAGCACTGTCGAAAATATTGTAAATAGAATTTAATTTTATCTATAAATCAAATTTTAATCTCACAACTAGCAGTCTTATAATGGCCAAATATTCGTCTGTGAGAGTTCACTCCGGTGAGTTACAGACGAGCATCTATAGGTTGACTTTTCTTCAAATAATTTTTTATTTCTATTTCAAGATATCGTTGTGCGTATTTGTGATGAGTCAAAAGTGCTTCTCTCATAGAAATTTCACAATTTGCTTATTTAATGAAAGCCTTGAAGAGGCCGTCAAATTATAACAAACCACTTAATGATTTAAGAGTTGGCCTTGACACTTTTGACGAAGAAACGCCTAATCATTATAACTGGGCGTGTCGAGCGATACAAGGGGTCAATTTTCGGTCAATGACAGATTTACACCGCACTTAAAAAAAATTGTTCTAAAAAATTGGAATCAGGTACCTTTGTCATAAATGTTATATCTACAATCATATTCAATACTTACTTTTTGTTGCAGTAATTTCTACTGTACATACTTTATATTTTGAATTGTAAAGTTTAAATGGTTGGACAGCAAGTTCCAGTCCTTCACTTCATCTCCAATTTGAAAAAAAATCTCCATTGATGAATGTTAATCATTTTCTATATATAATGCATCACCGACTACAGGCCGGGAAATTATTTGAATTCGAATTGTTTATAAGGTGACAATATATATACTATCGGAAATTACTTTAATTGAATCAAACGTTTACGAAACTGGCCTTTTACTGCCTATTTTCCACTGGTGAGGTTTGAAGTCTGGGTCTTTTCAGGTATGCGCTATTTATTTTAGGTGTACGCTGAAGTACCATTCAAATATTTTCAGTAGCTCTCTTATAAGAAACAATTTTGGCATGAAATACGTGTGATATTTATTCTTAACATTCCTGAAATTTCAGGACAGCTTTAGCTTATTATATCACTTTCTGGAGTCCAATGACCACAAATAAAAAGTACCAAATCCCAGTAAAATTTTAATTTATTTTATATTTTTACTATAACAATAACTATGTTAAACTGCGACAAAAAATAGAAAATCCTAAACTAAGATTTCATACAACATTTTTCTATCAGTAATACCATTTTACTTATAAGTATATTAAAAGTCGCGTCAAGAAAACCTGTAATTTGCATGCAATTTTCACGCCTTCATATTTCGAAAAAGGGGTGTGCAACAGGCGGTCCACGGGCCACAACCCGACCCGCAAGTCTATTTAATATGGCCCTTGTCAACACTCAGCTTTTGTTCCATCAAACCTAAAATTTTAATCCGACAGCAGTAGGAAGGCTCTCACGTGGGTGAAACTACATGTTTTTTACTCTTGTTGCTACAATAAATCTTACATTGTGATAATTTTTCGAATTCGTTGTGTACATGAAATTTTTTTGTGTGACTCAGCTAGATGTGTCGGAAGTTGGTTATATCAGGGGTGCACAACACGGGGCACGCGTGCCAAATTTGGCACGCCATACGCTCAAACCTGGCACGCGGACGGTTTTGTGAATTTATTTATTTATGATATACATTAAAATATCACGTTTATATCAAAATCAGCTGTTGTTCAGAACATTAAGTAGTTTTAATCAATAGATATTTGGTATAATTATTTAAATTTGTTTGATGTATGTTTTACGGGAGTGAATTTACAATACCAACAACTCGCGTGGCACGCGACAAGATTATTTGGAAAAATTTGGCACGATTCCTCATTTGAGTTGTGCACCCCTGGGTTATATGACTCACCGACAAAAAATGTTGCACTGCCTGCTTTAAAATTTGCTAATGAGAACATAAATTTTTTATGCAGTATATACGATACTGTAGCTTCACAAATGTTAGGTTTTTAGGGGTTGGTCTTCAGTGCATATTGCGCCATTGTCAGACTACTCTCTAAAATAAAAATGTAAAATGGGCAAACTCTGTTAACACTGAATAAAGATTAGAGGGATTGTAATATGACTATCCTCTGTTTGCTGCAACTTTTAATGCAGCATTTGCGTCAATCCAACTTGTGCGTCGATTTCCCGAAGATCCTGCGGGAACATTTGGTGCATTTATGGTTAAATTAGCATTCTGCATTCTAAGTAGCATATCACGGTCCCTTTTAATTTCTTCAAGTTCTTTTTTAATCATCCATTTCCTATGAGCTTCTTCGGATTTCTTTTTACGTTCTTCTTCTGTTCCACCTTCAAGAGTCTGTTCTCCATTTTCTTGCTTCAGTTTTCCATCTTTTGCAGCTTCTTTGATCTTTTTCCATTGATCAAAACTCATTTTCTTTTTGAATTTTGCTTTTTCAGCAGCCTCTCTTTCTTCTAGAAATTGCATTCTAAGCTTCTCATGTTCTTCGAGATCGCGTTTTTTACGTTCCTGACAATGAAAGGTGGTTGTAATTATATAACACATAAAATTTGTTCAGTTAATTATATGAATTCAATGGCGCGGAATTTTTAATTTCAATCTTGTGAGATATTTTTTCTATCCGTTTTGAACGAGGCTCTGTATACGCAGCACCGACATCATGCGTACGGAGCAAATAAGTTGAATAAGTAAATGAATAACGACCAATTTTACGCAAAGTGTCTAAATTGCGGTGAAATATGCTGGTTTACAGTAGACTGTCAAAAGAGATTCTCAACACCACAGTTTATCAAATTTTCCTAATAATATGGCGACCAACAAAAAGTACTAGTCATCCTAAACATGTGGATTGGATGGCGCTTGTTAGTCATCACTCAATGTTTAAAAAGTGACAATTTTATTGTTCTTTTTATCTATTGTTGCTTTATTAACATTTTCCGTATTCATTTTAGATTTTTCTGTGCTGCTCCATATACTTGGGCATTGGATGAATACGAAGATTTTTGACAATCCAGTGTTGTTTGACCAATATTATTTGGAAGACAGAGTTACATCTAAATCAAGCTAAATTATTACGTGTTTGTCAATTTATGTACAAACAAGCGACCGAGCCTCCTTGACACCCACCATATGTGATATACTGAAATGCGAATTGTTTCATCACAATCAAGGGACGCAACAAGCATAATATTTATTTAACTGTACTGATGGTTTCGTTTTTTATTATTTTGAAATAATTGGAAAACTATTATTTGGTCAAAACCGATTTTGCTTCCCCCATGTCAACATATTACAGTCATAATTATACATGTTTTTGGCAGAAAGCCTGATCCTGGTCAGACAACGGGTTGGAAAGACAAATATTTGTAACTATACAACGCGCATCCTGCCTTGTAGGTTAAATTTTAAGTTGATTGATGGTTCAACGAGCCCTATGATTTTTTATTACTGCTTGAGTTTACATAATATTGAACAATCAAAACAATACGTGGGTGTTTGGTTTATAGGTAATAAAATAAAATTACAAAGCTCTTACACGGGGCAATAGGCGCGAAAAACTTGTAAAAATGTACATATAAAACTGAAAAGTAAAAGAATTGATATGCTGAAAATTGATGAAAAAGGGCGAAAAACAACTCGAAATATCGTGTAAGGATCAATAGTCACATTGCTAAGTTCTGACTAACGATATTTGTGATAAGCGTAACCATAGGGAGTCAGTTACAGGTATAATTAACATCTCTCATTGATGATTCATGTCCGGCCCTGCAATAATAAGGAGATATATGCGGATGAAAACTCTCCCAAAACCACCAGCGGCAAGGTGAACGCTAATTGTGAGCATCAAACAATACGCGAACCGATTTAGATTTTACGGCAATGTACACAATCTTCCTCTCCCACGAAGAAAAACTCGTTAAATATCACGCTTTAGCACGTCTACAAAGCGATCTTTATGTAATAACTCTGGTTTTGTTTCAACGAATGCGTTGTCAGCAAATTATTGTACTTTGACATGAAGCAAGTTTCTTTTGTTCGAATGCGAAACAAAAACAGTACAAAATCGTATCCTGAAGTCGTTGCTTTTTTTTAGTAAAATCAGTTTTAAGTGAATTTCAAATAAAATTTCCCTCTATTTTTGGATATTTTTTATAACTTGGTACAAATTGGTAAAATTTAGGTTGCTCTCTAATTTTATTCCTTAGCATCCTCTCTTGACGTCATTATAGGTATTAATAGAAATTGTTCACAATTTGGCTTAAATATGACGTCATAATACTATTGACAGGACTCAGAATAACAAAGATACTCTGAATACATGTTATATGTGTGATGTCGCTAAAAACGATCAATATCTCGAAATCTGTAGAAAATTTTCCAATGTTTGCTTGCTTGGAAAAAATAACTTACCTCAGTCTGTTTACTCCATTCCTCGTAACTAATATTATGTTTCATGTTTGTCTTGTGGTTTTTTATTACGTCTTTCGAGTTACGCCGAGCGGTGTTGGCAGCTTCTTGCATCTCTTGAAACTTCTTCAGGTGTACCCATTCGTCAAATGTCATCTGGCTCGCCCTCCTTTGTCCACCTACAGAAGGTCTTCTAACGTCTAATGATGACATGCCTGAAATTGGGAAGGCACTACTTCGCCTTCCTTTATTCATTGCCGTCACTGGAGGAGCTTGTTCACGAGACCGGCCCGCACGGGATGCGTTCCATCCTGCCGGGGCACCTTCTAACTCTAGTTGTGGTAAATCCTCCAAATGACGCGGGCCATCATGCTGAAAAATAACTTATATCAGATTGTTGGATATTTGAAACCTGACGTCAAACTTATTCTAGACTATCATCTTTCTCCACCGCATTCAGTCTGTGCACTTATGTGAGACAGTAATTTTGTCTGAAATTTCGGAAATTATTTTTAAAACATAACTAGAATCATGGCATAGAACCGTTTGAAAATGGAAGTATTCACAAAAAATGAAGTATCAGGCTGATCAAACAATGGTGTAAATTCAATGAATCTCACAGCAACATCATCATCTTCTTCATTTTCTTCAGCAAGAGAAGATTTTTTTCTTTTCTTTTCCAGTAACATTCTTCGTCTGCGACTAAAAAAAATTAATCCTCACCATTAAATACTATTGCCAATCACTGACATTTACATTTACTTAATAGAACCGTTTTTTGTCAAGTGTATAACAGACTTTTATCTCATATGTTACATTTTCACGTTCTATTCAATTTTTATTGTTATTTTAAGCACGCGTACTAACGCTTTGGTAGCAATGAGGAAATAAATTATTGATCCAACAGAAATGTTCAATAGAAGCAGAATCTTACCTAGAAAACTGATTCGGACTCATTGATCTCGTCCTTGTGATTCCTTTAGATTTCAATGACCAAACTGCGTCCCTCGCTTCATCCTCGAACTCATTCGAAGAGTTGTCATCCCCATTCTGCGAAAGCAAATCGAAGAAGTAAATGTACGTTAAAAGATTTGTACATGGTCATTAACATAGTAAAGATTTTCTACTTGAGAACAAACAGACTTACAGGAACATTAGTGAGGCATTATGTTACCTAGTCTTCTTTATCATGTATTGTCATGCACGAGTCATGTATGATCATGCACGAAATTTTTTTCGAGATAACCATTGTCGTCACAATGAACTCGCAGAAGGTGGTACCCCTTCGAGTGTTAGCGCGAATATTACCGCTTGAAATATTACCGCTTTGACGGCAACAGTCTCCCGTAAATTGAGATTTTAAAAGATATGGGTATTTTAAATTCTTGTGTGACATTCAAATATATTTTCAAAATTCAAGCGTAAGATTAAATTTTTAGAATTCGTTCGCCACATTCAGAACGTTTTATCCTAACCCAGCGTGGAATTAGATATACATTTCAAGCTTTGATTTACACAAATGATTAAACAACCCAAAGTCAGTAATTAATCTACCGGTAAATAACGAGTTATTGTTGTTTAATCATATATATCATATAAGGTTTCGATGTACAAACGTTCAACTAACAAATGTCGGAATACAACAAATGCTTTTTTTTCAAAATGTTGACTAATGAATATATTCGAATTGCGAAAAAAAAAAGCGGTCAAAAATATTGGGTCCTTCAGAAATTAAAAAAAATAAAATAAAGTAATAGGCTTCCAACAAATTACTTTATATTGCTTGCGCCATAAATTGCTAGTAAATCAATTTTTTCTAGCAACAGTAACATTAACAAGAATACCAAGATTAAAAACAACAACGATTCAACACTAAAAATCCATAGGACTAATTAGTGTCCAACGTGATGGAATCGCCTGCAGTTTGGTATCAAAATATGATCAGGGCATAAAATAAAACATTATAGCCAAACAATTCTTCTGCAGATTTTATGTGATAATAAAATTATAGCCATAATTACACATCAAAGTCTCAAATCTATATTGAAGTAGAAAATACTGAATATATCAGTAGAATATTTTTACATCGCCATTTCGATCACTTTTACATATTTCACAACTGAATAAGGTTTGTCTCCGTGACAAATTTTTGCGCATTCATTCTTGTTTATCATGTTGGTGACAAGACATACAAATGTCGTCATTGCGGTTTGTTACAACAATAAATCTAATACAATATTCCTATAATTTGTGTACGCTTTGGATCATAAATTGTTAATAATAAATAACATTTTTGACGTTGAACTGAAAACAATTGAAACCATCATTGACCTTGAACCACAGTGTTCAGAATTCTCCCCTTTTTCGATATTCTGTTACCACTATATTAGCTACCACAAAACAAGATTACTGCTGTAAATCATATATAGCGCAAATTTAGACTCACCTGCATATTTATTTTTCTAATGAGGCAGATTCGCTTCTTTTCGGTGAACTTTATATTTAATGCAAATCTTTTCTTCAGGCTTCTTTTCGATCTATCTGATTTGCGTTAATCTTCACTCATTAAGTACCGTCTTGTATTGTGTGCTTCACAGGGCACTGAGGTCGTCAAAATGCCGTACGCACCCTTTGTTTGCGAATATGTAGGTAAGATTTCTTTTCGATCGCCACAACGCTCACTTAAAGACGAATTTATTTCGGCAATAAACTATAAATTATATTTATTCAAGACATCTTCGCCCTAACAGCACATATCGTAACTTTTATGTATATATGTAACCACGTGACACAATGAAGGGAAGGTGGGAAAAGCTATCAGGTAAGAAAAATGTTTTGAAATTTCGTACATGTATGAAACAATAATTTTTGGCAATTTTGCATACGACATTGCAAGGATTTTTTATCGGCTCATATCTCAACTGAAAGTAAAGGTGATAAGTGAGATAGAGGACGTAAAATCAGGCGTAAACAATGCGATTGCCATACTCGACATTTATTGCAGATGGATTTATATTGTTTGCAATTTCCGGGTAGCGCTTTGTTTACGAAGTATTCGTTTAACAATTCAGGCCTATTTATAGAAAACACGTGTAACGCTTTTCATATCTTAAATAGTCATCTTGCTGAATTTAAAAAGTATATAGCAAATTTTCAAGCGATGGTTATTACATTCCAAACTGGCGTTACAATTATGTCGTGACAAAGAGCACCCCGAGAAAAAAAAAACGACATCACTATTTGATACTACGTAACCCTTACACCGCGAGTATGAATAACTTTACATATCTATTGCAATACCTTGACTGTCCCAGTTCTGTGATGATGATTCTCCTAGTCTAAATTTAAATACCAAGTGATCCGAGTCACAACTGTAGGTGTGCTTTTATTTATTAAAATCATGAATTACATCAAAGGCAGTGCTTTTAAATCCCGCATGTTCCAGAAGTTGTGTGAATACCTAAACTCCGATCCTAAATATTTTCTCTACCACACAAAAGCGCGATGGTTGTCAAGAGGCAATTTGGTAGCAAGAGTATTCTGCTCCGTGATGAGCTAAAGATTTTTCTGGATGTAGCAAAACCTGAGCGAACCTTTCAATTGCGTTGTAGGATATCCAAGGAGGCGCGATATGACGTTCCCAATAAAACACTTTCGATTAATTTTATAATTTACTTGTTTCATTATATATATATAGTTTATTATCAATCTTCTAAATAGCCGGGTCCTCCTCCTGGCAAACAATGCCACCAGTTTTTATCTCGCTAAATCCGAGCGACGATAACTAACCTCGATTGTCTGAAAAGACAATTGCTTTGTGCGTGTGGCCCCAGTTTGGGTGGAAATATTTTTTTTTCAACAAAAGGCATCTATGTTGAATTGGTATTGATGATTTAGTCTCTTGTTGAGTTAATATTTCTTGCAAGATAAACAACAAGAGATGTTGCTACACAATCGTCGTAATTGTAACAATGTTTGGTTGCATGTGTTTAATTCCGATGTTTCAGAAGATGAATAATAGTTATTCCTATATGTTACTTGCCAACCATCTTCTTGCTATTCGATCATTTCTACCAAATTGTTATTACTACACAACAAACTGCAATGGTTCAGACTATAAGGAACATATCTTGATAGAAGTACTGGGATAAAAGGTTTTTTAAAGTCGAAAAGTTAATCATTACTTAACGATGATCTTGTTTTCTTAGTTTTTATTGTAGGAAGATTATACTACTAAAATTGATATAGATCCCAGTGTAATTGACAAAGGTTTATGCTTTACAATTTCTACAATCCTGTCCCGATGGACAAGTTTATTGTGCTTTAGAACGGTGTTCCCATACTCTTTGATTTGCTTGTAGCGAGAAAAAGAATAGAGAATTCTGATCGATTAGAGAATTCGAATTGCGAATGCGTCGTATCCCTGATCCGACGTTCAAAATTTTCCCTTCCCATCTCTATTCTTTACCGTTTCTGCTGCGAAATGCTAAGAGATCATATATTTTGTCTAATATTATTGTATACTTATTGCCTACCCTATGCACTTATCGCAGTGAGTTCTTAAGATAGTATAGAGCGGATGGCTTCGAATGAATGCTGATTGAAATTGTTGACAATCTAACCTCATAAAATTGCTAATTGCAATAAATCAACATTTGGTTGAAAACAGATTTTATTTTTTTCCAGTAGAATCCATAACAAAATACATGAAATATTGACTTTTATGACCACGTAGAACAAGCTTTTCAAATTTCTTCATTATATTGCTTGAGCCAAGTATTTTCTGAGATGTCTCAATGAAAGCGGGTGCTTATCATGATCAGGTTCACCTAAAGCAAAAATTATATCACATCAATTCAGAAAGTTTAATTTTTAAATTGTCTCCAGACACACACTAATTATAGTTATTGATTGTAGAATCTTACTTGGAAAAACGTCACAAAAAGACATAAAGGAGAAAAACACTAACCATCAGATTCCAGAGCGTCGTACGCAAGAGGGACCATTGCAACCAATTGCACGTAGGGTAATCTTCCATCTTCTACACCACCTATGTGAAACCCATCGAGCTCTGCTTCAGTCCTTACAGGAGCAGCATAGATTTTGGTGACTATGCAACACACGATTGCAACAGCAATTGCCAACTTTGTGGAAGACATTTTGTTACGGGAAAGGTTTTCGAAAGAATTATTCTCCACATATTTCAGAACGGCTCTATATAAAGCAAATTTCGTGTTTATGTTACATCATACATTCCGCATGGATGTTCGCACGTTGGATGAATCAGATGTCGAAATCAACACATCAAGTAACTTGGACGAATTACCTAATCATATAACGTACGAGAGTTAAGTCAACCTAGCTTCGTCTCGGCTGATATGGTATCTTTGCACTCCGCATATCAATGCGAATAATATTTAAGGTGCTATATTTTCTACAAAGGCGACATTACTGGGATATTTCAATAAATCTTCCAAATAAAAATGATGTTATACCATTATCCTATACGCTTATCCGCCGCATTGGTCACAGATTTCCGGCAAATTTAATGACTGAACGCACACGGAAAGATTAACAATATCCTTTGGTACATCCTGGTACAACATAAAAGACAAAAAATGTGATAGAATTCAGGTGTCCCAAACAACAAAAATACATTATTTCTGGTCAGTTGATACATCCCCAATATATCAGAAACCAGGAATGCAAAGTTGCAAGTAAGACTGTTCAGATAGTGTCGTAGCATCACGTACGCGATTTCACTCTTGAGATCCTATATTGATAACAAAACCGTTCTGTAATACACAAATTTACTGGTCCCAATTAAATTTGCATTTGTAGCAAGATTGTAGGTTGATTTGAAGCATTACACGGCGGGAACATGATGGCTGGATTTGGTGTCAAGTAATGTTAGCAGCTAATGTAGACTACTGAATACGGACTACCATGTATACACGTATCAAAAGCTTGCAACTTAATTCAATACAATGTGTATTTGTGAATGGAACATAAGTACATACAATTACACTTAAACAAATAATTGGATAACAGCCAAACTAAACCGATATTAGTCGGCTCGGCACAATTAATCAAAATGATCAATATATTTTCATTTGCTAAGAAATGTACCACGGTCAAGTGATAGGCGAATTAGGACCTCACATCAACCAATGGTGATTTCAGAAAGTTGATGTTATAGCGCCAGTGTTTTCCACGTAGAAGTCGCAACGTTCATTATATCTCTTCAACAAATTTCATACAATACAATAAATAAACAATAAAGTAAAGGAAACAAGATACAAAAATATAAATTTGAGTTATTGATATCGTTAAATTAAGACATCATCGTTTTTAACTTAAGACATTATCGTTATTAACCTCTTCGTTTCGTTCATTTTACTAATATTACTGAAAAATGAAGATAAAACCCCACAAGAACAGAACAAAAATTAATTGCTCTTCAATACAAAAAAGCACAGGCAGTAATAGTAATCTTCTAGACAACATTTACATTTTAGAAAATGTGAATTATGTAATCATAGTTTCAAAAAAACTAAGCCCTTTTCTCCTTTTATACTCCAATATTTCAAGAAGGCGTTATGTATGTAGTGGGTATATGATCAAGAATCCATATATTCGTATGATAATTAAACCCCCGCATGAAGCAGTAAAAATAAGCATAAATTTGATAAAATAAGGGATAATTTAATAGGAATTATAACAATAGAGCTAAATAACACAATATGTTAAGTACTACATCAGTGATGCTAATCCATTATTGTGTATCAACTCAGCATTGATTTGAGTTATACGTAGCATTACTGATGGAACGGATAGCTACGAAAGACCGCCCAGCAAAATGCCTGGGTCGAAAAACAGTGATCACACAATATTAGGAACACGTTGTCCAAATCACTCACTGGGCAGATGAGCACTTGATAGGACAACTTCTGCTCAGAAGAATGAAAATGCTCGTCATGCTAATCAGACTAAATTTGCCCATTAAAGCACGTATTCGTCTATTCAAATGTGTATCTTTTTACCACATTATCCAGAGTTTCTTGAATGTGTGCGATTTTGTCGTCACCCACTACGTCACGAAGAACACCAACACAAACACGAATGTCTCCTTCTTCAGTGAAATCTTCCTCGCTGATACCTCGTGAAAATAATTGGCTGCTATCATTGGCGGTTTTAGCAGATGTTCTTCGATGATAAAACTCTTGACTCCTCGCCAGGCCATCAATAAATCTCAAGAAAAAATGCACGACGGCATAACATCCAAAATAATTCTAAAATTTCTAATACCAACCTACCGGGAATACTTAGATTTGAATCAGCAATCGTTATTTAATTTTTCTGGAGAATTCGTATTCACTGTATAACTAACTATATGAATCGACTCCCACAAATATTCGTAACTACTCGAGGAATATAATGTATTACATATAATAACGTAAAAACCAACCGAACTGCTTTGATGTTACTGTGAATATACAGAGGATTAATATAATATAGAACAAACTATTATACCTGGAATCAACCGAGTCAAGATATCTGTAAGGTCGTGGCCAAAATGTTGAAGATATTGCATCCTCAAGAATATTCTCCGCAATTGTCATAGCGGCCCTTGCCGCTATTGATGGTATGAATTGAGAAAAGTTGTAATCAGCTAGTCCATAGTCCAAGAGGCATCGTGAAATACAGAGCAACTTTCTGAAAAATGATATCATTACATCAACGATACAATTGGTGATATTAAAATGCAAACTTAGTGGACATAACTTATTAATATTACTCAAAATTACTTTAGGTAGCTCGGTGGTCGACTCTTGCAACGTTGGGCTTGCCAATCACCGAATGTCCCAATCTGCCGTCTGTCAGAGTTTTGCTCGTATCTCGATATGACGTAGTAATCCAAAAACGAGTGAGCGGTTGGAACATTCAGATCAAATTCTAGTATATCCAGTAGGTGACGCTCGAGCGAAAGAAGTTGCGTTTTTGAATACAGGTTACGACAAAGCATAAGGCAGGTGGTAACCGGTGGAATATCAACTTCTAGCTATAAAAATGAATTGAATGATTGTTAAACAAGACTAGCAAATTTACAAGTATCTTTTCATTTTGTCGATAACATGTTTGATAATTATATAACTAAATCAATACATAACTTATTAATTCTCACCGAACGTACCACGATTCGCAATAGAGCATCATGGCGGAATGTATATGCGTGAAATAGGAAATTGAACAAAGAAAGGACTGCGTAATTTGGATCTTATCTAATCCAAACGATGCGAAGCCCGGCAGCAGTTGAGAGGAGTAGGGATGAATATGATATGATAATATGGCGATCGCCTGCTCTGTAAAGTTCCGTAGTACTATATGGAATACGCAAATTTTAAAATTTCAAATCACCGTAAACATTGCTCTAACATTTTCCCTCCCGTGCAAAACAGTATTTAAGTTCAGATATTGCACACTGTACAGAATAATCGTGAACTAACCTGTTTAGTGGCAACTAACAAGCTAGTAACTCCAAGCAACTGATAGTGACCACGATAAATTCTTTTCTGTCTTTCAGTATAGCGGTCAAGAATATTGATGGTCAAATGTAAACTCTGACCGTTGAACTTGTAATGGTGTGAAATTTTGGTGAGCCATTCGACAAGTATACTTCTCATACTGTGCTTTATCTATTGTAGACATAAAGGGGAAAAACAATAATAGAATGTAAATTATACAAGATACACTGGTGCATATATTTGCACAATGTCCAGATAAAATCCTCAAATAAGCTGAGGTAGATACAGCAGTAGCCACTCGGAAGAGAAATATAAAATTATAGATAAATATAAATGGGCAATGTAACACTGATCACGATTTAGAATGCTCGTTCAACAAATACGCACTCACATTTGGCTGTCCGCGAAGACAATGAGATGGATGCGACACCAATTCTTTTTCACACATGAAATTGTAATATTGAACCATATCTTCAATATGAATAGGATGGAGTTGAAAGGGAAGTATCGTGTCTGGATCATGGAAAAGATCCAGAAAATCTTTTGTATCTGAAACACAGCGGGTTTTCTGTAAGCAAATGCTAAAAAAATAAGGTGCGTGTAGGCATGCAAGTAAAAAAAAAATTTACCCTGATATTCCGGTGATCTGTAATATACGTTGTCATCTTCGACACCGTAGTCTTTTCCGGCTGTGGGGTGGTCTGCGTGGGCTCCGTGAACATGAGCATGAGTTAGAGAATTGTCGGAATTCAAAGGTAGATTAGCAATCTGTCCGAGGGGGTATCCAACGTTGCCATATTCCGCTTCTTGTCCTACAATTGGTGATGAGGCATAGTAAACTGTCGATTCCGTTGTGCAAGATGACGCACCTAGCGGAGAATCGTCACTTCCAGACAAGTATTGGGCGTATTCAAGGTTTGCGTCGGAGTCCGGTGGCGTTACAGCAAGCCCTTCGTTGCTACGGAAACGTTTTATGCAAGATTCACGTGAACGAAGAAGGTCGTCGTCATCGTCGCTGAAGGCGTTGGATGACCGTTTCACTGATCCATACTGATTTGCACAAATGCTCGATTCGGACCCAGATGTACAACTAGTACTGCTTTTGTCAGAAGAAAATTGGTTCTCGTGAAACGATTCGCTGTGGCTAGAGTTTGTGTCATCAATGCTGTCGGGGCCAAAATGACGAACGCATTTTTCTCGGCAATACAAGAATTCCGTGCTTGAATCAGAATCATAGACGTCATCGTTTGGAGACTTGTTGTCGTCAGTTTCTTCTGGTGAATTGGAATAATTCGACACTCTTTCCTCGTCTTCATTATTATTTAATCGATCTTGATATTTTTGAAGAAGAGTCGTTTCAGATTGATGCTTTTTTCTAAAAACCATCGATTCTTGAACGCTTTCATCCTGATCTGTACTGCTGTACGAATCTTCATAGAACGGGGCGTATCCAGAAGACCGGTTGGGGGATCGATTTGTCATTTTACAAACGATTGAGGATCGAGTATCCGAAGAATATTTTCTTGCATCGTCCAGAGATATTTCTTCATCATCTCCCTCTTCTCGACTAGAATCTGACGACTCATCAAGTGCATCTGCGAAACCGTTCGCATTTCTCGCCGCCCGGTTATTCTGCTCCAGCTGATTTGACCCTGCTAAATTATTGAACGACACTAGCCGATCACGACCGTTTTTAAAATGATATACGTGACATTTCGTAGAAATGAGAGGATTAGTCTGCGATATATATTTGTGTGGCTACACTTGTGAAAGTAGTCATATTTTCAAACGGGATTCTATTTACGCGGAACTATTGTCATTGATTTTTTGTTCGCCAACTGAGCTAATACAGAGTAAATCGGACTCACGTGCAATTTTAACATTTATCGTGCCAGTCATCACCCTTCTTTCGTATGTACTCTCTTCGTCGAAATTTTCAACAAAGTTGGAAAATGAAGAAGAGCGATCGGCGAAGCTGAAGTCACATGCCAGTTTTGGATTCAGAACACCATTGCTAAGTCGTAAAGTTGATGTTGACACCGTCTCTGACGAAAAGGTTGTGTATTTTTCTGTGTACAGAAAAGGCTTTGCTCAAATAACGATGAAATGAGTTTAGTTTAGTTTTACATCAAGGACCACAAATATTCAGAAATGCGACATTTTCGACCATTATTTATTCCAATTCGGTTTAATTCATATCAAATGGTGTGTTATGACATCAACTATTTCCGAGTTTGAACAAAATATTTTGAGTGTCATAGAAGAGAGTACATTTGCTGTCACGTGGTATTCTATTTTGGTATGTATCCCTTTATAGTATATATTAATCTTGATGCTACAAAGTCGGATAAGGCGGTACAAAGCACTGCGTTGAGTGTATGGCTTCTGACAAATCAATTATGTATATTAGTTTATGCTACAATACTTATTACATACGATAGACGATATCCTCTTTATTGTTGAAGGTAGTCTCTAAAGAAGACTTCGATTCAAACAAAAGAATTTTTTCGGCGACATTTGAATACGAAGGATAAGTTGATGAGGACTTCTAAAAAAGGACAGAGCCAAGTATAAATAGAGAATTCACATTAGTTATAAAACTCATATTGTTTGGTTAGGTACTGTTGGATTTCTATTCAAGATATAATTTGCTTCTATACATTGAGTTCTTTTCATTTTGACGTCGGGTTTGCTCTTTAGGGAGTTGATTCGTTCTTAATAGAACGATAATTGGTGTGACAGTTGGCAACCAATATTCGTGGATACTCCACTTGGCGTTGTCTCAGAGAGCTGGAATAATGTTTATCCATACTCCACAAACAAGATAAAATCAAAATTTTCGCGTTCGCTGGATTTTACATGTTTTCAATTAAAGACCAACTATCTTCTAAAAACGAACTATTCATGAAATTTGACATGTTTACCAGCTAAATGAAAATACCTCACATTTCATTCAATAACAAAATGTTCTCTACTATCCTAAGCGTAAAGAAATATTCTAATAGGATACACGGTAATATCTTACCATTTCCAGCGTCGGGTGAGATGGGTGAACTCTTTTTATCTTCAAACTTATTCCGAATATTTCCGAACGCACCAATCAGATATCCCCCCTAATTCAAACCAATGCCTCAAATCCCACAATCGTTTTTTCGATACCTGCCCATTACCCAAACGACACGGAGTCCTGTGCCCACGCTGGTGTAAATTTACTACCTCGAGAATTCTCTAATACAGTATGATGTTTACAAACAACTGTAACTAAATCTTATCGCTTGTGTTGGTTGTTTTATTGTGGCTCGATAAATTGGAATTATTACTTGATTACCTATTTTGTCTCATGTCGTTTGTTAAGTACTACTGTTGATTAGGGGTGTTGAAATATATAAACTTTAATGTTTTCAATAGTATTTCAAATTTAGGGGGATTTTCTGATTCGCTTTCAAAAATATCGTAGGCAGAAAAATGGAGTTCGGAGTAAAAGATTTCTTTTGGGCATCTCATATCATATGGAATTCTAGAGAACTTTATCAAAACTAATAGCTATCCACAATAATTTATTATTTAATAATGAGATGTGCCCGTATTATTGTATTTTCGAACAAATTGCCTTTCTCATTTTTTACATCTGGAGCAAATATGAAATATTTAATTCTATGCCCGTACGTTATGATGTTTACCATGCTTCGAAATAAAATAAATAAAAACTCAATGATGCCGTTCTTCAGAAATTCAATTGGTATTTAACATATAATGTTCAATTTTTGTAACTCTATAGCGAATGCAATTCTAAATTATGAAAATCCGTGGTAGTTTTAGAATCAGTTGTTTTCACTCTTCATATCTTCCCAGCAGATTCCTGGAGTGATGGTAATTGTGTCAACTGCAATGTCATCACGGAAGTCGATTCCGCGATGCATAATGAATTGCACCTGGAAATGATCCAAATTGTTTTTTAAATAAATATCACATTCAAGAACTAAGGCATATCTATGAAATATCCGGGAAATTTTTTTCAGTCGTAATATTTGTCATATTATTTTGATTTCAGGTGATAAATTGTCGAAACATTAAACCAATACCGGCGACTAGAATTTTTGTATTTCAAGATATTTTTCGTCTATGCAAAGTAGTTGAACTACTCTATGATTCATAATTTGGTTGAAATCATCGCAGTTTTTCTATTTATCACATATTCATTGCAAAATCTTAAGTTTTGAATTTTTTATTTTGAAAGTACCACTCCGTAAAATGCAATTAAATCTCAAAATAGCTTTGTGCTATGATCCCGATCGCGGAAAGAATTAAAATTGAACTGATGTGTTCATACCTGGGGATAGTCGGAGTCGCTCACAGTCTGCCATCCACTGATCCATGCATCTTCAGAGGAAGTATGCCTCCATGTCTCTTTACCATTGACACGAATTTCAAAGTAAACTCCTGGGCCACTCCACATATGACATTTTAATCTGTTTAAATTCAAATTTTACACACTTGAGCTCACGCTCTTGAAAAAAAAATGTGAATGTCATACTGTGTCATCATTTATGGGCTAAAGAAATTGCATCTTTATCCCCAGACTCAAAAAGTTTGAACAAAATAAAAAATATTCTTTGAGAATATAAACGTAGTTTACCTTATGCAAAAGCATCCGCGTAATCCTGGAGGACTATTTAGAATAGCTATTTCTCCATTTGCCGCAGGAAAACTCGCTTCAGCATACACGTAGTTTACTGAAATGTAGATTTATTCATTACCATAACCAAACAGTCGTAAAAATCTACAGATGGAACTCAACGGAAAGTTATGGGCAAGTGGGAAACTTCAAACAATTAGGTGCAGACGGCGCTGCCTTCGGGGCCTATAACAATTAAAACGTTCTGAATTCACATTACATTAGAGCATTTAACAAAACAACATACCAAACACAATAAAATACGTTTGTACCTCCATCATGTGCAGCCGAAGGTCCTGTTTTCGGTGATGGAGTCGATCCACTCAGGCGCGTTCATCTCAATGCTGCGCTCGGATCATTCCACCATCCACCAAAATCAGTTTCAAATGATGTGTCTACATCAAAAATCATACAAATTATTTTTATCGTAAAATGATCCTATAATTTTTGCACAGTTGTAACATGATTGTAAAAAAAATAGTTTGCTTTGAAAGCACAAACGTTTGATCTGCCTCTTCTAAAATAACTATTCCACAAAAGGATGTGCTATCACAGTCGAGTATAATTCCTCATAAAAATGTTGCCTTTTAAGAACTGACATAGATTTAAAATACATGCAAACCCGTGTTGGAAAGGAAAATGAGATTAAGAGATATGTCGAACTTGATGGACATATAATATAAGTTAGTAAACTGTAACACCTAATTTGACGTCGCCGTATAATCAAACGCTAATGATGTTTTCCAATCATTTCTTGTATCATACACAAATAAATATATTATATATCAACGTACTCATCGATGTCATCAAAGTATAATCTTGCGCAAAGGCGGATCCGCAGGAAAGATCGAGTTCAATCGTCGGTCTTGGAACGCATTCAAGCTTTACTGATAAATCAGTTAAAATTTCCGTGTGTGATTTGACGACAGTTGCCCTGTATATATGTTGAAAATATGTTTCAGTGTTAATATGGAAGGAAGCAATATCAACCAGCTGTTGTTAATGATTCAAAACGGATCTCAGACAATAAGATTAGGAGTTATAAAACCACATTCGTGTTGTTTATTGAATGCAATATCAAAAAAATTTAATACATTACATCAAATCGTAGAAGGGTTTGCTGAAATCGCACGAGTTAGGAGCTTTCCAGACCAGCACATCTGCTTCAATCGGCATTGCGTGCTTAGTGTCGTTTGCTTCCGCAATTCCCGAATTAGGGATTCCGTCGCAACCAAATGTTCTGTATTTAGTTTGGTGCGATTCTTTCCAAACACCTTCAGTTTTTCCATCGCCAGAGGTATGAACAACCTAAATTGAATATCATAAATTTGTTGATATTGAAGATCATTTTTGTACGGGCAATAAAGAAGGTTCGAATTTTTAGCCTGATATATGATTCGGCTTTATATTATTGTAAATCTCAAAACTTCTTTTTTATATAGGGTAACATCATCTTGTGTTTATATGCATAAAATTGTTCGTTAAATTAGAAAAACATGAGCAAAGTATAGTATTTGACTGAATATAGCAAAGTATATCTCACCGACATTATGATTCCATTATAGAATTGGCTTTTCCCAAACACGCGAACTAAAATAAAGATTAATATAGAATTTTTAAAAAATATACATTCATGGAGTATCTGACTGAATCTCGGCTTACATGTGGCGATACGCACTATTGCAAAACAAAATTATTGTGTGGACGAACAAAGAAAAGGTGTTTTTCAATGGTGCAACAAATCCCACTGATAAGAAACTCAGATGGCATTATTTCAACCATGTGCTATTTGCAAATAAACTGTTATGCATTGAAAAACTCTAGTAGTGATGAAGTACGAGTATACCATAAAAAGTCATATTAGAATAGCTTCTACCGCAAAATAAAATTTTTGAAAAACTTCAAAGAATAGAAAAAATATTGAAAAACTATTGAACCTACTATATAACTTTCCACCCGGATAAAAAGTCTTGGAATTCGGAACAACACGGAAATATTCTTTGTCGGCGATTTCCGTCATCTCGTCGTATATCTTGGGCCTCATTCTAGAGCAGGCCGTAACTTCATCTCCCCAATCATAGCAAATCGGGCCATCGATGGAATAAATCGTCGTCAAACAGAAAAAACAGAATACTGTGGAAGTGGACATGGTTGCAAAAACACTACAACAATAATATAAAGTTTCGCCGTCAAACAAATCACAATAAACCAATGATGCCAAAACATGGATAGTTGCAGAAATTTTTGAAATTTTTTGCTGTTTATGTAACTCATCTATCGGCGGTAGCATCTTAGCTGATTACTGCATAATATATAATCTGATGGGCATTTTTATATTTGGGACAAATAGATTCTACGTAAGACATTCTTATTTACCATTGCTAAATTTTTCAATTCAAAATTCTATATCCGTTATTATGCAATCATCAACTTGGTGCTCTCATCTAACGTTTTTAAATAAAACATTTTGAATAAAAATGAAACTGAAGTTTTTTTATTTCCGAAACACTTTCATTTCTGACTCTAGTGAAATTAATACATGATTTATTTAGATAATATAAGCTTTATATATATTTATTGCGAAGTAAAGCTGTTTCTAAATTGATATTCATTTGATCTAAACGAGACTTAAGTATTGCAAGTCACTTTGCCTGCGGCCCCAAAGTGAAAACTTGAGTCACCCGCAATCTGAATATGAAGTTAAAATTTTGTGGAAACTGCAATGATATTTATAAAGTATGTCGTATACGATAAATAATTTGGGCTTCTCATGAAACACCCAAGTAATTTTATCTGTGTAACCATAAAGTTTTTCCATCTCACTCAAACGAACAAGAATATCAAAATATCAAAAAAGCGATGCTCAAACATATGAGCACGAGTTTTGAAACGAAGTATTATCAAATCATATACACTATCGGTAATCTGACCACGAGATCTCTGAAATGCGAACCCGGAACCACGGCACGGTATTTCACACAAAAATTTAAAGTGAAAAACATGTTCCGTACTGCCCACGAAGTTTTTTTTAGAGATATAGAAATAATAGCCTTTTAGCAACATCTACAATCTTTAATTACTCAAAATTTCAAAGCTATTGGTCCAGCAGAAGAAAAAAGTTTTTTTTTACAACCACGATAACAATAACAGAAGTAGTTTCATACGTGGGTAGCCATTCCAGCTAGCATGGGTATCACAATCTACCCATTTATTAAAACAATCATCAATCTTACGATAAATTTTCATATATGTCACCGTATAAACCTACACTTTTTAATAATTCAAAAGTTTCAAAGTAAATGTAATGAAATGTGGAAATGTAAAATATTAGTTGATTCAATGAAATACATTTGTTATTGTGCGTTTTTACTAAAATTCAAAACAACATGTATGGAATAGAGATTTCATTAAAAAAATTATTATATTTTTGTTTGGTTATTCACTTAAATCCACTAGTCGGTCTTTGCCTTTCGGAATTTTTGTTGAACTATTTTAAATGAAAAAAATATCAACCAATAATGAAACATAACACCATTTGTGACATCCTACTGAATTTTAGTAAGTATATTACTAGAAAAAATGAAAAAGTAAGTATATTAGTACATTTGTTTATAATTGCGTTGTTTATAGTTGTCTGCTATCAAATCAAATTTCATTGTAATTTTAATGTATGTCAACGCTCCTACAAACTAGTATTCACCTTAGGGCTATCAAATATCTCAAATATGCGTAACGAATAAACCGGTTTGACACTTTTAAATAAAATAACAAAATATGTGTTTTGATGAGATTCTGAGCAAGCACTCAAATAAATGAAATATATACGATTTTGATTCTCTCATCCTCCCAAGGAATATTCTATTGAATATAGCTTTTTCCGTATTTTATAATCTATTTATCGTTAAAAGTGACATGAGTACTTTTACTATATACAATGTGATAATATAAGATATTAACTTAGTTTAAAGTAATGTGAAGTGCATCACTTACATTTTACATGTTATCCATAAATTATCAAGTTATTGAAGTCATTTTATAAATATAAAAATCAAGTCCATCGGCAACTATTTATTAAAGTTCATTTTGGATATTCTCACGTCATTGTAAATACGTTATCTTGTAAAACAATCATAAATACAATTCATCGTATGACAGCATTGCTTGATATTTGAACTCAAATCATCTTGTTACATTTCTTTCATTAGGTGTTTTGCCCACATACATAGGCCTATCCTTTATAAGAACGTCTTTCACATAGATCTTTGGTACACGTGGGACAGTGGGTCAAGTGTTTCCTAAGTGCATTCAATCCATTAAAATTTATTTTCCAGTGGAAAGTGAGTTGTTAGACAGATACTATGTCAAAATGCATCTTATCAAGCTGAATATGTTTTAAATATATATATTACAAAAATGAGAAAATAAAGTATTTAGTCCCGCAGAATCGGGGTCGATCCACATGAAACATAAAGTTTTTTTTATTGTTTAGATATAGTTTTGATAATATAAATAATGATACCCAGATGGGTGTGTAGCTTATAATAGTGAGCATTTTTTTCGAAATAGATTTCCATTCGTATACATCAGCTGAAGTCAATTTATTGCCTTCTTACATCGACTAATCACAAGTAATGTAACAAAATGCCTTCCAAGACAGGCAAGAGGGCACGCCCCGTTTATAAAAGGATTTCTAAAACGATGACCTCGGCCCCCTGGAGGCCACGAAACGTTTATCTGGGAGCCAGGAGCAAGAGATTTTATTGTGTAGCCTACTACTCGCAACGACCATTGATTTGATTTAAACTAAACCAGTGTAAATGCGTCAATGTAATAACTATGTATTTTATAGAAAAGTAGATGATTTTCTCAGTCGGTCTTTTATCACGGGCCTTGCTTCTTAAGATATATATGTACTGTTAATTGCAGCAGTAGCAGCAGATATTTTCAAATGCTGCTTTTCATTATATGTGTATGTTATAACAGTGTTTCCCAACCTATGGGTCGCGACCCATCAATAGAGATCACCATTGTATACATCATGTAAAAAGGTAAGCTTTCTGTCATCACATCCGCTTTTTGTGGGATGGTATTAACGGAGTTGTTGATGGTTTAGGCGTCAAATGGGTTTTTAATACGAGAGATAAGAAAAAAAAACGAATTGTGCTATGAAATGTCCAAAGGAACCAAAATGTGCTGTTAAATGTTCAGAGAGACGAGGGGAGAAATTTGAATGACTGGGGCTGAAAACTAAGCAAGTCGACTCACAGTTATTCTTTCAAGTTCTTTTGATGATTGTTTCAGATGTCGAGGATTCTGTAGATGTTGTTGTATCCTCTCTGCTTCCTTTGTTGTTGTCCTCTGTTAGGTTCACAATTGGCGGCGGTTTGTTTGACTCCAGGTTTGCTGGCGCTGATGTTGTTGCTTCAGGTGTTGTTGCAAAAACCGACAAATACGTGGTATCACAAGACTCAAAGTTATTAATCATCACTTTTATGTAATAATTGCTCTTTGAAAGGGGGGGTGGAACAACGTGTTCTCAATAGCTATGACTCCTTCAATCTGAAGAGTTGTCTGTCAGGTCTCGTTTTGGGATGAAAATACTTTCGGGTCGGTATATAACTCCAAGACGAACATCACCAATCAAAAAAAAATATGTAGCCTATGTCTGAAAACAAGCTCGAGCACGAAAAGAACCATTTATCTTCCGGACTGATTGGGGACAAGTGTTGGACAAGTGAGCACGCGGTAAAAGTGAGATACTTTAGACAGGTGGGACACGGGAGACATGTGGACACACGAGACAACAAGTGGGACACGCGGGACAAGTTGGACACGTTGGTGAGATAAGTAGAACAAGTGGAGTACGTGGGACAAGTGAGATACGACATTTTCAAGACAACGTCCATTTTTCATAACATGAGTGGACCTGCATTACGTGTTTTTGAAATTTCTTTTAAAATTAGCCTTAGCCGACGATCATATTGTTCCAGATCCATTTGTTTGCTCTCACTTTTATTCATATGTTTTGTCAATGATTGCATTTCTTTTCAGACTGATACAGAGTTTGTCAGCATCTCTCAGATTTATTGGTAATTGTTTAATTTTTTGCACTGGTATCATCATAATCGTTGGTGATGGTAGATTGGCTTTTCTTTAGGTCTACTATGTCAGTTTTGATATATTCCCACATAGTGTACATTTTTAACATTCTATAAGTAATGCCATCTAGTGTTTACACAAAGTAGCTGATTGCAGAGCAATTTTTGTTTGCAGCTGACTCTAATTTTTCATTTTAAGCAGCAAATTGATTTCTTCCCGCGTATCAAAAATTATGCTATTGTGTGATATGTCGAATTTTTTTTTTATGTCTTTAGTTCTAATGTTCAGATTTTGCTCTCCACCAGTACCAGTGTCTTCTGGTCTGGGTAAAGTAGAGTATTTGCACTAAGATATTTACTGTAGCATTGGTCAAGAACGCATTTCTTATACTGGGGTAACTTTACCCCTGGGGGTGAATTTCTTCATTCTTGGTGTTAAATTTCGTTATTCGGAAAAACGATTTTGAATAAATAGAAAACTACATCTATTTGCTTGTTTTGTTGCGAAAAATCAGTATCAGTCTAATATTTATTATAAGTAGGCCTATATTTCAACCGGAATTGAAAAACCAGCATTTTCAAACAAGTCGAGTTCTTCATTATTTCAACCATTACATTAAATTTAGTCACAAAAATAGCACACTTGAATTTATTGAAACAGAATGTCGCGTAAAAAAGGAAAGAATCAGGACGAATATTCAGATTTTGGGTTTACGTAACCTATATTCGGGATGGTCTTCATGTGTGTTCTGTACATGAAAACCTTTTCAAACAGTACCATGAAACATACCCCATGAGGATCCAAATACCCCCACTCTTTTCGCTCCCCTCCCCACTCCTATTCACCCTCACACACTTCTACTCCCCCACTCTTAACTCTTTTCTCCACTCCACTCTTTACAATTTTCCCTTCCCCATCACTCTTTCCCCGCCTAACCCCACTCGCATTCTTTACGCAGAAATGAAGCTTAACACAGAGAAGAAGGGGTAACAGGAGGGGTAGAAGAGAGAAAGCGGAGATATAGAGACTTCCTTCTTCTAAGACAATGTCACTGAAGTCAATAACATTGACAGCATCGTCAGGTTGTTCATTAATGGACTCATAAATCTCTAAATTATTTCTAATAAATGTTTCTGTTTGTTAATAATTATAATTAGATTATTCAGTATCCTATCCGAATAGAAACCTTATCAAATATCAAATATCGAGGATTTTGTCTTAAATCCAACCAATTTAAGTTAATTCGAAAACTTTTTTTCACATAAGGATTTCCTGTCTGTCGTGTGTATTTAATAAACTACAAATCCACTCATTATGCACAGCTTAGAAATGAAATAGATGAAAACTCAATTAAGCTGTTTTACAGAAAATTTTAATTGGTATTTAACAAGTTAATGTTTAATTAAAGTAACTCTATCTCGAATGAAATTCCAAATTCTAAAAATGCATGGTAGTTTTGGAATCAGCTATTTTTCATATCCATATCTTCCTAGCAGACTCCTGGAGTGATGGTAATTGTGTCGACTGCAATGTCACCACGGAAGTCGGTTCCGCGGTGCATAATAAACTGCACCTGGAATTGATATGAATTATTATTTGTGTAAATATCATATTTACCACTTAAGAAATATCTATGAAATTTCCAGACAACATTTTTCAGTAACAATAATTGACATACTACGGTATTTGGATTTTAGATGATAAATTCTCGGAACATAAACGAATACCGCAGGCTATGTTTTTCTTTACTCTATGATTCTTAATTTGGTTAAAGTTGTCGCAATTTTTAAAGATTTAGTAGCTTTATTTATAAATAACTCCATTGCAAAATCCAAGTTCGTATTATTGGAAAATGTCTTTCCGTGAAATGCAATTGAATCTCACAATAAAAGCTCTGTGCTATGATCACGACCGCGAAAAAGATTTGAATAGGACAGTTTTGTTCATACCTGAGGATAGTCGGAGTCGTTCACAGTCTGTGATCCATTGAGCCATGCATCTTCGGACGGAATGTGCCTCCATGTCTCTTTACCATTGACACGAACTTCAAAGTAAGCTCCTGGACCGCTCCACATATGACATTTTATTCTGTTTGAATTCAATTTTTACACACTGAGCTCACGCTTGTAAATAAAAATATGTGAATGTCATGCCCGTCAATTATTTTGTAGGTTAACGAACTTGCATTTTCATCCCCAGACTCCAAAAGATTGCACAAAATGAAAAATATTCTTTTGTAATATAATTGTAGTTTACCTTATGCAAAAGCATCCGCGTAATCCAGGGGGGCTATTCAGAATAGCTACTTCTCCATTTTCCGCTGGAAAACTCGCTTCAGCAAACACATAGTATTCTGAAATGTAGATTCGTTCATTATACTATAACAGCACAGTCGATAAATTCTATTAATGGAACTCAATGGAAATTTTTTGGCGACTGGAAACCTCAAACAATCAGGTTCGCTACTACATCTATATATTATTATGTACTCAATATCGACGTTAATATTGAACTGTCTCTGGGGCATATAACAAATAAAACATTCTAAACTCACGTTACATTGAAAGCATTTAACAACATAGTGATGTCATGAAAATCAAAAATTACGTTCCTACCTCCATCATGTGCAGCCGAAGGTCCTGTTTTCGGTGATGGAGTCGAGCCCTTGTGGCGCGTCCATCTCAATGCGGCGCTCGGATCATTCCACCATCCACCGAAATCAGTTTCAAATGATGTGTCTACATTGAAAACCATACAAATTATTTTTATCGTAAAATATTATTATTGTTGTTACACAGTTTGTAAAGAAATTATTTGCGTTTAAAAGACGAACGTTTGACCTGCCTCTTTTAAATAAACTCTGTTATAGGCAGATGTGCTATTGCCCTTGTGTATAGATCCACAAAACAATAATAAAATTGTTACTTTATCAGACCTGACATAGATTTAAAATAGATATCAACCTGTATCGGAAACGAAAAGGAGATTTGAGAAATATGTCGAACTTCACGGACATATAATAAATATAAAGTTAATAAACAGCAACATCCAATGTGACGTCGCCATATGTTCAAACGCTAATGATGTTTCCCAAATATTTCTTGTATCATATACAAATAAATATATGATATATCACGTACTCATCGATGTCATCAAAGTATAATCTTGCGCAAACGCGGATCCACAGGAAAGATCGAGTTCAGTCGTCGGTCTTGGAACGCATTCAAGACCCACTGATAAACCAGTTAAAATTTCCGTGTGAGATTTGACGACAGTAGCCCTGCATAAATGTTGAAAAAAAAAATCCAGTGTAAAATATAAAAGGAATTAATATCAATGCGTATAGTTTTCTTGCGTTAATTGAGTTATCAGTATAATATTTTTATTCTTCCGGTAGTAAAACTTCAGAAATCCACAATTCATGTATGGTTATGATTTATTTGGCAATATAAGGCGTATACAACAAGCTGTTGTTAAATTTCCAAAACAAATTTCAGACACTAAGACTATGAGTTATGCAACCACATTCGTGCGTTGTACATTGAATGCAATATCAAAACAAAAAATACATTACATCAAATCGTAGAAAGGCTTGTCGAAATCACACGAGGCTGGAGCTTCCCAGACCAACACATCTGCTTCTATCGGCATTACGTGCTTGGTGTCGTTTGCTTCCGCGATTCCCGAATTAGGCATTCCGTCGCAACCAAATGTTCTATATTTAGTTTGGTGCGATTCTCTCCAAACACCTTGAGTTTTTCCATCGCCCGAAGTATGAACAACCTAAATTGAATGCCAACGCTTTATTGAGGTTAAAGATCATTTTTGCACGTGATCGCAATTAAAGCAATTTGCACCCTTAACCCGATATATGATTTAGTTTCATATTATTTTAATTCTCAAAACATGTTCTTTACGTATAGAGTGACTTTCCTTGTGTATTTGTGCATAAAAATTGCTCAGAAATTAAATCAAAAGAAAAAAAGAGCAAAGTATATTATTTGACTGAATGTATAGCAAAGTATATCTCACCGACATTATGACTCCGTTATAAAATTGACTTTTCCCATACACGCGGACTGAAATAAAGATTAATATAGAATTATTTAAAAATGTACATTTATGGACTGTGTATCTGACTGAATTTCGGCTTGCGTGAGACGATACGCACTATTACTTAACAAAATCATTGTGTGGACGAACGGAGATAAGGTGTTTCATCATAGTGTAACAAATCCCATCTGATAAGAAACTCAGATGGCATTGTTTCACCCATGTGCTATTTGCAAAGTAACTGTTACGCATTGAACAACTTTTATAAGTGATCAAGTACGAGTACAATAAAACGTTATATTAGAATAGCTTCTACTGCAAAATAAAAATGATTCCCATTTTTTTTATAAAAATTGAACAAATAGGATAAATATAAATTAAAATATTGAACCTACTATATAATGTTCCTCCCGGATAAAAAGTGTTGGAATTCGGTACAACACGGAAATATTCTTTGTCGGCGATTTCAGTCATCTCGTCATATATTTTGGGCTTCATTCTGGAGCAAGCCGTAACTTCATCTCCCCAATCATAGCAAGGCACACCATCGATGGAATGAATCAGCGTCGAACAGACAAAACAGAAAACTGCGGAAGCAAACATGGTTGCACAAACACTACAACATACAAAAATAATAAAAGGTTGCTCCGTCAAACACAAATTAAAAATGACAAAACATAGATGGTTGCAGAAATTTTGGGATTTCTTGTATTTTATGTAACTCGTCGATATCTCAAAATGAATTACAAAATAATATGTATTCTGATCAGCCTATTTATATTCAAGACAAATACATGCTAGGTCAGACACTCTGTAGTCTTATTTAGCATTGCTAAATTTTCCAATAGAAAATCTATATAAATCATTATACAATCACTAAGTTAATGCTCTCATCTAACGCTTTTAAAAAAAATTAAATACGAATACAATTGAATAATTTCTTCCTGGTCATTTCCATGTTCTGTCTCTAGTGAAATTAATTAATACAATATTTATTTAGATAATATAACCTTTAAATATATTCATTGCAAAGCTAAGCTGGTTCTTAATTGATATTCATGTGGCCTAAACGAGACTTAAGTATCGCAAGTCTCTTTGCCTGCGGGCCTCAAGCTGAAAAGTCGAGTCACCCGTAATCTAGAAAGATAAAATATATTCTGTGGAAACTACTGCACTGATATGTATAAAGTACGTGTCCGTACATATCTCGTGTTCGATAAATAAAAAAAGATGCATGATGAAAGTGATTTTATCTCTATAACAGCAAAGTTCTTCCATCTTACTCGAACGAGCAAGAATTCAAAAAATGACAAGAGAGCGATGCTCAAATATATCTACACGAAGATCAAAGCGAAGTAGCATCAAATCTTTTACAATACCGGTTGTTTGGCCACGAGATCGCTGAAATGGGATCACGGAACCACGCCACCGTGTCCATTTTTTAATTTTGATGTCGTCATCACACATAAATTTAAGATGATAAAACGATTCCACAGATCCCACGGAATATGTTGAAATGAATAAAATAGCCTTCTAACAAAAAAATTTTCTTTTTAACATCACGATACCAAGATCATGAAGAATGCTAACAACAACATAACAACAAAACGATCCATAGGTCTAATCCGTGCCCAAAAAGTGGTTTGGTACCAGCATAGCCATTCCAGCTAGCATGTCTAGCACAATCTATCTCTTGACTTAAATCAGGCGTCGGCAACCTACTGTCCGCGGCTAGATCCGGCCCGTTTAGTAAAATAATCCGGCCCACGAAGCTTCACTACATTATAGTAACAAAACGACGATTATATAGTTTTGACGATTATATTCTTTACGTAACAGAATTTATTGTGAGACACGTCTATACTTGAATTATATACACCTTACGGCTATTGAATATCTCAAATATGCCTAAAGAAAAAAACGATATGGCACTCTAAAATAAATGTAAAAAAATATATATCTCAGGGAAATAGAACTGTGGTCAATCAACTGTTATTCCGAAAGGTATAGTATTTTACGAAACCCAGTTATAAGCATCGATGTGTTTTGATGAGATCTTTGAGCATGGACTTAAATAAAGGAAATATATATATATATGATTTCAAATCTCTCATCCTCTCCATGAATATTCTATTGCAGTGGTCGGCAACCACCGGGCCACCATCGCCGGTCCGCGGAAAGGTTACTGCCGGTCCGCAGAGAGGTGACACAAAAACGGACAATGCCGTAATAAAACCACAAACCCTACGACTAAAAAACAGCACAACAACAGTAAACCAGACAAACACAACACCAGGGGTCGGAAAAAATGCGGCCCGCGATCTAATTTGTTGCGGCCCTTGAACGACCCGACATTTAATAAATAAAACAAAAATTAATCACAAATTTATTATTGTCTCTACACGGATTTGTGTGGTGAGAAGTGCTGCTGTACGGAGCTTCTTATGTAACAAGTAGCGTCAGTTGTATGTCGTTCGAGTTAATTTTGGTTTTTAAAATTTGAAATGTCTGGAAAACGGAGTGACGCGGGTCGAGCATTCCAAAGTGCTTGAACGGAAAAATATTTTCCTTTCTTGTGCATTTCAAAACCGGTTTGCTCGATATACCCAGTCAACATCGCAGTTGTTAAGGCTTTCAATGTTAAACTCGTTACGAAACGAGTCGTCGAAAATTCGACCCCGAGACCCGTGACTGCGCCACAGCTCATCTGTGCGACAGTGCAAAACGTGTAATGTGCAAGTTCGGAAGAACATATGGCCTTGAGCAGCTTTATCTAAAATGCATTACACTTAGATTGAATTTCGTACTCGCTTGTCAGATCATCATTTCGACAACGAGTTGCCATGAAAACATCATCTTTCACATTGATAATAAGTACATAAAAACAATGTATTGTTGGATAATAAAAAAACGCCACATATAAATCTCATTGGGACAGGCTTTCAACACAGCAATAGAATGGTAGCAATGCGAATGCGCCATAATTTGAAGTTTTATTATGGTAGCGATTGTTCGAAGGCGGAAATATTGCGGCCCGCGCGCTACCGGAAATGTTTATATTTGGCCCGCAAGTACATGAAGTTTGTCGACCACTGCATAACACTATTGAGCAACATGTCTGATTTCATAAACAATTGCCATGTCAGTATGTCGCAATAATGCTGGGTCAATTGTTCTCTCTACGCCCGTATAAGAATGTCTCTCATCAGTCCGACTAAGATTTCCACAACAAAACGATACAGCCATTCTTAACTTTCCCGAAATCCTAATGTGAGGCCTGGTTTTCAATATTGATAACTACAAAAACAGAATATCGAAATAGGCTGGAAGTAAGTAACACGTTACGTGTGTCAATGTCGACCATATCTCGAATATGGGAACAGTTAATGGCCATCAAACAAATACAGACATCACATTAAATAGCATCACCGTCGTTTTTAGTATATTGTCAACATAAATTTCCTAATGCGTATAATTTATTGCATAGGCTTAGTTCGTTTGTATAAAGGTGGTCCGCCAAAAACTTGGTCAAGCTTTACCGGTCCGTCACTTGAAAAAGGTAGCCGACCACTGTTCTATTGGATATAGCCGTGTCTGTATTTTATAATCTAATTATCGTTTAAAACGGTATAAGTTGTTGTTGTTGTTGTTGCTGTTGCTGTTGATGTATCGCCCGAATCCTTGCATCAGTAACGTTAGACCGAAATTTTTATTATCTCAATGCTGTAAACATGGTCTAAATAGTGCACATCGTAAAGAATATTACACGATCAATAAGTTATTGATCTGTTACCGTACAGCTGTAATTACCTGCCTACCGTATGTCGCTAGTCCAATAGTTAACTTATACACGTCCTATCACAGACTTTAACATAGCTTATACGCTAGTCCAATAGTTAACTTATTCACGTCCTATCACTTATAACATACTTATACGCTAGTCCAATAGTTAACTTATACACGTCCTATCACAGACTTTAACATAGCGTATGTAGATTCTACATTTTCAAATTAGTAAGTATTGTGATAACAATCTATATGTTACCGGTAATTCCGAATGCTACCAAATATTTTCACTCAGCATCACGATACGGTACTTACCGTACCTTCCGACCAAATTCATCCTCTGACGTAGGTCACTTCCATGGCAACCACTTCTAACTGTACACAAGGAACCCTCATGCGGTGCATAATTTTGCAATCCTATTTGTGCTGTATATTTGTTGATCGTATTAGTAGTTATTGAAGATTTAATGATAACTATACTCATACTTATGTAAAGTGTATATATTACTTGTTCCGCACGAAATGCATTCATTGCGAAGTGCTTATGATATATAATAATAATAAAATAAAAAATAAAAGTATTTTTACTATATACAATGTGTTAATATAAGATATTATCTTAGTTTGAGGGTATGTGCAATGCATCACTTACATGTTTTACATAAATTATTAAGTTATTGAAGTCATTTAATAAATCTCAAAATCAAGTCCATCGGCAACTATTTATTAAAGTTCATGGTATATTCTCACGTTATGTAAATATGCTATCTTAAAGAAAAATCATAAATACAATACGTCGTATAGCAGCATTATTAAATATTTGAACTCAAATCATCTTGTTATTTGTTTAAACATATTTTAATGTTATTTTCGTGTTATCGTATGTATAAAAAACGTTTTCAATAACCGCATACTAAAGAAAAAATTATAAAACGAAACGCAGGCTGATATTTGAATAAAATTTAAAAATTTATGAATAATGACTTTGTCTCTGACATTTAAGTAACACAAAAAGCAATTTATAAAACAGTATCGTGTATATTTTGGGTTTTCTTATCTTTGATTAAATCCACGTTAATTTGCTTTAGCTGATATGACACGCGATACACTACGGTTTTTACAATATTGAAGACTGAGTTCATTTGTAAAATATTTGTCTATCAATCCAATACTCTGTTGATTAACTTTACTCAATTTTATCAATGAATAGGAAATAACTTGATCAACAGGAATAACTTGTATGGATTTCGATCCATCGTGTATAACAGTAAATCTATATGGGGTATGCATTTCAGTTTAAATCGTATTAATATGTAACGCAGACACAAAATGTCACCAAAAAAGAATTTTTTCTTTTAAAATAGACGCCGGTTTGTCACAAGAATATGTGACGCCCCAAAACGTTCTTAGTAGACAATGATTCATGTTTTTGACAAAAATCAGGTATGTTGAAGAAGCGTTCCTGCTACATGATTACTTTCATTAGTTTACATCAGGGGTCTCCAACTCAAAATATGACGCGGGCCACTTTTTCAAATTTATTGACGACGCGGGCCGCAAACTAACAACTTATATACAAAATTGTTATACAAAAATTAACAAAGTAAATATGAATATATATGTTGAAATTACACTTTAATCTTACACCAAGCGAGACATGAAACGTATTCGTTTACCTGTGTTGGATATTTGGCACCGTTTTTAGCGGTGAGATACTCGATGTTTGGCCTTATTTTGCGTTGGTTTGCTGGTCTTTAGACAGCATACAAACTCTCGCCCGTTAGTCGTGTGCTCTTATTGGTAAAAAATTATTTCACTAGCCTTCAACATACACTCTTCAATAAAGCTTCCCTTTACGAAAGAACGCGACGATTTCGCAATCATCTCACTTATGGCAAAGCTCGCTTTTATCGAATCTTCACAAGTTTTGTTTATGTCTGAGAAAAATTTCTTTGTTTCATCAGTGAAAATTTTATTTGCGATACCTTTTCGTGACGAATTGTTTCAGTATAAACATAGTATTTTCCACTGTGTAATGATCCATAAGTTTATGATAATCTAGTTTTGCGTTAACTGTACATATGATTCATAATCTACTAATTATTCACAACTGCACACTTCCATGATCTGACCGAAACTTGTTTATTTCGTCATAATAAAAATGCGAAATGAAATAATTGAATTTACAATTTAGTTGTTACAATAGAATAAAATATGAATGTGGTAAAGTGGGATAACAGGGGGAATTTTTGTTTTACTTTTAACAGTTTGTTGTACCGGACTCTTGATGTTAAATAACACGATTAAAATCATAGTTGACATCATACTATTTTAGTTTTTTTCTGGAAAAACCTCAACCACAAAGCGGGCCGCAAAAAATGCTTTGCGGGCCGTGTGTTGGAGACCCCTGGTTTACATAGAAGATTATTTACACTCAAAAATTGATAGTATTGAAAATTATGCTAAATTTGACTCTTTTCTAGTTTGTTTTAATTTCAGGCCAATAAAATGTAAACTATTACCAAACTATACCTGGCAGCTCCCCAATTTGAATTAAAATATCTAAGTACATTAGGCATACACATCACTTCATTCAAAATAAATTTATGTTATCATAACTGAATATATGTCACATGAAAGTATTTTATAACTTCGAAGCAACTTTTGATTGACATTATCGTTTTTGAACATCCGCGAATTTACATTCTGTGGTTTATTCATCAATATAGTGGTTAAACCCATGAACAAAATTGTTAATAAAAATAACATTTACGGTGATCATATCAATAATCTTGTCATGTTGAACGATATTAGTTTCAACAAATAAAACAACCAGCTATATTGCACTCCGATAAGCAAAACTTGAAACTGTCACTGATAGGAAATTGGATTGACTTTATGAACGATAGAAAATAACATATTATAATAATATTTAATAAACATATTATGAACAAATTTAACAATACCTTCTCGGAAGTTTTGTTAAACTATTTTGAATAACAATGAATTGTTAACCAATAATGAAACATAAAATCATTTGTCGGATCCTATTGGAATTTAACAAATACTCGTCAAATTTTTGTTCGTAAATATTTTTTAATTGCGTTGTTCATAACGTATTCTTTCAAATCCAATTTACTTGTAATTTTAACGTAAGTCAATTCTACTACAAGCCGGTATTCCCCTTAAGTCTATTGAATATTTCAAATATGCTTAAAGAAAAAAAAACGGTATGACACTATAAATTAAATAAATAAAGAAAAAGAATATCTCAGGGAAATAGAACTCTGGTCAATCAACTGTCATTTCGAAGGGTATATTATTCTACGAAACCCAGTTATAAGTATCGATGTTCTTTTGATGAGTTTTTTATTCATGCACTTGAATAAAGAAAATATATAAAACTTCAAATCTCTCATCCTCCCAATGAATATTCTATTGAATATAGCCTTTTCCGTATTTTATAATCTATTTATCGTTAAAAAAGTTATAAGTACTTTTACAATATACAATGTGTTTAAGATTTTATCTCATAAATCATAAATACAATTCATCGTATGACAACATTATTGAATATTTGAACTCAAATCATCTTTATATTGGCTTAAACGTATTTTGAAGTTTCTTTCGTGTTATCGTACATATAAAAAACGTTTTTAATATTTGCATACTTAAATCTTATAGAAAAAATTATAAACAATTTATGGCTTTTTGCCGAACAAGTCTGAGTTTATGCTGATATTTGATTGTAATCTAAAAATTCATGAATAATGCCTTTGTCTCTGAGATTCAAGTTACATAAAACAGCAATTTATACAACCTCATCGTTTATTTTTTGGATTTTCTTATTTTTGAGTAAATTCACGTTAATTAGCTTGAACTGATAAGACACGCGATATGCTACTTTTTTTTTACAATATTGAAGACTGAGTTAATTTGTAAAATACTTGACTATCAATCCAATACTCAGTTTTCCTGCCTTTTTTCTGAGAAGCGAAAAGAGGCAGTTTTCATGACCTCAATATTTGACAGCATTTACTTGTACGAGCATGTTTTTTTTACGGATGAACCGTGTCAAATCCCCCGTGAGATCAATAATTTCTGACAGTCATATGAAAAATTCGCATCGCATTGCTACGTCGTCCATCGCAACGAATATTGACAAACTTGTTCGATGAAAGCATTGCCAAACTTCACATTGAAATATCTATGTGTGATAAAAACTTTTGATTTTACTGTATCTTCGTATTTTCATTGTTCTCATAATTTTGGTGTGAGGGTTTTGTTTGTTTTTCATTAATCTGTAGTCGGTGTAGTGCCCGCGCAATCATTCGTAAAATACATGTGGCCCTTCGGCCATAAAGGTTGGACAACCCTGCTCTAGATTCTATAACAATTTACCCGACGTTGACCTAGCGCAGTTGGAAAGTGACAGGGTATAAATCGCAATGGATGTTTCCCCCGACAAATGATTCCAGAAAAAACTTTCTGTACATTACTACTGCAAAGAAACTTATGCTTATTTGATTGTGTTCTAGACTTTAGACCAGGGGTTCTCAACCTGGAGTTCGCGAACCCCCTCGGGGTTCACGAGAAAATTTTTAGGGGTACTAGGATGACAGTCGAGTTTTTGTATGTTGCTGTTTTTTAATATCTTTTATTAATACCATAGGAAAAGGCGTGCCAAATGAAACTAGACGCCAATTGAAACGTAGATTTTACCTGATCTTGCGTCGTTGTGATTGTGATGCAACAATGTGAAATTCAAAGCTTTGCGTGCAAACTGTGAAATCTCTAACGACAGCGTACTGCGAGCATTAGAGAATTATGCTTATTGAAACTTGGGAGAGATTTTAAGAATCCATTAGTTAGGCAGACCACAAGGGCAATAATATCAAAAAGACGATTTAATTTAGTTACATATGGTCAATGAATTGGTGTTACAACAAATTGCTAGTCAATATATCAGTATATCACAACTTTATTCGGTGTCTGATTACCGGGGGTTCGCGTTGATTGTTTCGTGACTCGGGGGGTACTTGACGGAAAAAAGGTTGAGAACCCTGCTTCAGACTTCAGAGGATTGGCGGACTGGTTTACATGTTCAAGACCGTCATTTTTATTAATAAAAATATTTAAACACGTGCAGCTTACAGGTACGGATAGTTAATTTATCCCATTCTTTTGCAAACTTTTGGGATAATTTTAGATTATTGCAACTAAACTAAAGCTCTATGGAAGCCATAAGGACACTTGAGTTATTTAATTTACAACTAATTTTTGGAAACACAACTCAATACGGACAAATATCACGCAAACCCACGCTTGAATATGTGTCTGAGCAAAACATTCCAATTGTTTCGTCATTGTTGACCTGCTGCTGATTTGTCATTGTTACCGATATAAACAAGGAAATCAATGCTCGGGGAAACATTCAATTATCATCCTGATAAATCACATACACACTTTACTTAGTTTACTTTGATACGCTCTTTGTTTTATCGAAAGTTACATTGCATAAAATAGACATTTTGAGTTTGAACAAACTTTCAAAAAGTAGTTCTTTTGTAAATGAATCAATAATTTTGGCCAAAAGCGATAAATATTTGAGTATTCATTCAAATATTCAGGTTTCTCTTTATAGAACATTGTTAAATTTGGTTTCTAAGTTGCAAACTTTATATTATTTACCAAAATGTTAATCACTTTCTGCGTTTTATAGATGTTATCATTGGTTTAAATTAGTTTTTTGTGATAATTTTACCAAAATGAGTTTTCTTTTCGTATTTGTTTTATTGATGAGACCGTTTCTAACTAATCTCTCGAAGAGAAACCACACGTGACAGTATATCATGTTTTAGAATTTTTCCGATTTCACTCATTGTTTATCTGTGTAAATTTACCCTGCATTGAAAAATGCGCGACATTCTGGATATTTGAATATAATAATATCCAAGTTAGGAATTCAAAGTGTAATGACTGCATAGCTTATATGGTCGATTTTAATTGAACAGCATGAAATATCAAGAACGCTATTTACTACTATTTCATGAATTTATCAGCCCTACTGCATTGGCTTCTTCCAAATCAAATTAGTATTTATTTTATTAAATAAAGTTAAGTAGTTTGAGTATTACAATCAGTAGCAAAATATGGCACTTGGACACAATGTTTCAGCGCAAACGTAAGTGATTGGTTACACGATATAACGTCATAAATCTACTATATACGGTTGGGAGAGGTAGAAACAGTGTAAGTAGACGGATCCATTATTAAACTGCCAAGGATATTATTAGAAAAAGCAAAAAATAAAATTATTCCAACCGTTACAATTATTTATAGAAGCGAAAAGTAATGTTAATCCATTTGATGGGGTCCGTGCAAAGGCAAAATAAGGAAGGGCTCAAGCATCATTGGTTCAAAATATATGTCGACAGAATGTCAAACATTTTCACATATATCTGATGGAAATATGAATGCCACCTAAGTGTGAAAACATTACCCATATAATCAGTAATCATGCTACAACAACTTCGTGGCATGACTGAACGTAATTTATGACACATTAATCTGGTAAATTTTCCTTTTTGCAACAATCGGAGACATTGGGAATTAATAGTGTTAGACGATACTACTTTGCTTGCTTGGTCCTAAGTTATGCTTTGGTATTTTCATGTGTGAATTGGTTAGTACCAAATAGACTGGAAATATTTATAAGATATTAGCGCCGACGCGACGAAACCACGCAATAGGGAAGTTAATCATTAGCTCGTCAAAACTTATTTGACAGACTTTTATGAGCTTTTCATAGCCCAGGTTTAGTGTTGTGATGTGTTTGAGTGGCGAAGGCGTGTCAAAATTGAGCCGTAATTGAAGAAAAGGGAATCGAGAATGTCTCTCTGAAACATGTGGTTAATTCAATCCTAAGCTATTCTTCTTGTTCGCTTAAAATGAATTAAAAATTGTGACAACGTGACAAAATATCTGACATTTTTATGTTGAAATTTGACGGACAGCTTAGAAATTTAGCTGTAAGCTAGTAAGATGAAGTAGACAGCTTAGCTATATAGCTCCGAGATTACGAGTCTACCCATTCAATCATCACCTAGGAAGTTCAGCGGCAGCCACACAGCTGCATATGAGAGATACTAAAGTCGATTGCATATAGTATTGTTTGAGTGAACTGGCGAGTGACCTTTATTGAAATCAAGAATGCAGAATGTTATTAGATGCAAAATATTCATATCTTGGGCAGTCCTAGCGTTTCTTGGAATAGCGGCGACGCAGAGTTATGTGGGAGGTAATTGAAAGACTTATAAATTCTATGTATGACTATTGAATTTACTTATTGCGAACCCTCTGATTCATAACCTATTCATGTGGTTGGAATGTCTTCAATACATTAAGGCCAAAAGACTATTTTAACTCTTTTGCGAAGTATAATAATAGGAATAAAAGTCAAATACAGTCGATTGAGGCAATATGTAACCGAATATTCACCGTTCCTAGAAGCATCTTATGTATAAATAAATAGACGAATAACCACGGCTAGACGAAGGGTTGCTTAATGAACATTGTGCATTACAAGTAAACAAAAATTATATAAAATATTAATGTAACCAATTACCAATCAAACAGTAAAAAGGCTTCTTCATTTCTGCTAATATTTGTAATCTAGGTAATGGCGGGTACGCAAACATAACCTCCGTCGTACCAAAGTTCAAACCTTGGAGGGAATGGTCTACGTGGTCACAATGTGATGTATCTTGTGGTGGCGTGGGAATGCAAGAGCGTGTAAGAAAATGTCGCAACAGACAAGATAAAAGTTCAAAATGTTTTGGACGGGAAATTATAGAGTCAAGACCGTGTGGTGACGCACCTTGTGGAACAAGTAAGTTGTCCAGTCATGATCTGTTTGATAACTGGAAAGTAATATTTGAATAAATGTTCACGAAGGAAAAATGTCAGATAAAATGTTATCATATGTTATGAAAAAAAAAGTGTTTTCATAAATTTATATAAAACACCAACATATTGGGGCCCACAGAGCCAACACAAATTTTAAGGAAAAAAAATGAATAAAAGTAATACACCACTTGCTATTTGTTCTATTCTATTGTCCATTGTTCTCATCATTTGGGCAGCAGGAAAATTTCATGATCCTTCATTGGGTATTGAATAAAAACTTGTGCTTTAATTCCACCCTCCTTGCGAATTAAAGTAAAAAAAAATAAATATCTCCAGTAGTATTTTCAGACAGCTTGAAAATTGGAAAATGCTAGGTGCAAATATGAAGTTATGGACAACAATATATGAGACAGTATTGCACGAAAATATTGTATGAACCATTGGAAAATTGAATTTAGCTATCGCCTTTTGTAATGCTCAATTGTGAAAATATTAACCTAATTATAACCAACTTTTCTTTATTCTCAGACACTGTCAGTTGCGACACAGTCGGCACTGTTACAGATTCTTTGAATATACCACTAGAGGGAGTCGAAATATGTCTTGGTAAGTTGGTTATCAGGGTTGCCGATAACATCTTGATCAAATGTGTACAATATTTTTGGCTTACCATATTTTCATAAGCTATAATTCAAATCTTTCATGAAATGTTAGACGGTGTTCAATATGATTAAAACGTGATCAACTCAAATTAATTTTGTTCAATTAATATTATTAATTGATTAAAATTATTAATTGAGTAATCTCCAATATAATTTTAATGCTTTTCAGGATCAATCAAAGTACAAAAATGTATTACAATCACACACACAAATGAGGAAGGATTTTTCAGTGTGGAAGGAATATGCGCTGATTCCGAGTACGCTCATCTACTGGCACGAAAAAATAAATATGTCACAACAAGAATTCGTCTCAAGGTCAACGAAACCGGTAGAGCATTCGCAACTGTAAAACTCCTGGAATTAGGTAAAGAGTTTAATATGGTTACAACATTATCTACAGACAACATTATATCTGGCTAAGAGTATTATCATGCTAAACAATTGGCAGCCGAAGCGATGGCTCTTCTTGTTACATTTCCGAATAACTTATTTCGTAACTCATCTTAATAAATACCGAACTGCATGCTGATGTACTGCTCAACAATTATTATTATTATTATTTTTTAATCATGTCTAGTATACAAATATCTGTGTTTTATACATTTTATCAAATTATATCAAAGCAATAATAAAAGCATGAGGCGTTCAATTTCTAGTACCACACCATCATTTTAGGTTATATTAGTAAATTTAATTGATATACAATGATGAGCAATTAATCCCACTAAGATACCTATCTGTATTGCTTTTAATCAAGTTTTATTTTTATTTTTATTCTCAGTGAAACCGACCATATATTACCACCCTGAAAGCAAATCAAGAATGATTGGACAAAGTGTGAAATTTTGCTGTAAAGCCAGAGGATCAACAAAAGATCATTTGTTTACATGGTAACATTTATGGCAAATGAAATTCTCACAACAATCAATCTTTCACAAAGTATTATTCCAATTAGCTCCTTATTAATTATAGAAGAGTAAGAACAATAAATGTAGAACATAGTGTACTCAACAAATTGAGCTAAGCATTGCATACATATGAATTAGGCTATTTTCAATTTTTTCAAGTTCAAGTATCTTAGTTCAAAAAATATGTGAATAAACGAATATTTCTGATTAAAATATAGGTATCACAATGGGAACGTGGTCGACGCGAACCTGTACTCACGTGATCCTGGAACTCTAGAAATCCGTACATTACGATTGGATGACGCTGGTGAATATTGGTGTAAAGTCAGCTCTAAGACATCGTTTGCAAAGACAACCAGCTTGTCGCAGACAGCTGTGTTGTCTGTATTTGGTAAGAATCAATAAAATGTACAAATGACAGCACTTGCACCTATAAAATAATATTCTATTTAATTTTAACTTTATTGAAAAATTATTATTTTGATGTTTTGTTTTAGAATCGGAACAAAATGCCTGCGACGAGAAGCCGGGAGTCAAACTCATACGATTGCCCAATGATTGCTCTATGGCGTCTTCACGTGTCGTACAAAGAAACAACAAAACATATTTCGATGTTGGAATGTGTTCGTCAGTCGAGTGTCCAGCTAAATATGCTGATATTTCAGAAGGATGCGGTGAAACTATGGCAGATATTACCTGTTGTGGTCCGTCTGAACGCAAAGAAATCAATTTAAATTGTAGAGGTTTGTTATGATCTTAGAAAACTTAGGCCAATAAATATGGTGGAGTAACTTTAATAAACGATTTTACTAATATAGAAATAAATTATGATGCATCATTACGTTGTTTATATATTCTATTTTTCTACTTCACTCCACGAGAATCCCACGTGAATACTCAGTTTAAAATGTAACTCAAAACAAGTAATAAACATATGTTTTCATTTTTGATTTATTACGCTGAATCAGATTTCGTCCTACCAATTTACAAAACAACCAAGTGCGGATGTCAGGAATGTGTCAAACCGGTTATAAAAGTCAGAGGAAGGTAATATATGAGCATATTCTCAACAATTTCAGTAAAATTTGATAAAAAATACGATAACATGATAATTATTTTGATGAATAAAGCATTATAGAAGTGTCGAAATGTGATGTTTGTAACTGATGTTCGTTCCTTTCACATTTTTAAATATAAAAATTTCTTTATAGAGCTTACGGAAATGATCCAATTACCGATCCACTAAGATATGGTTACGTTGAACGGTCAGGGAAAAGGATCGGTAGAACGTCTTATGACGGAGGCTTTACAGTGAATGTGCCACATGGCAGTAAACGACTCGTTTTGACATTTATAGACAGATTTGGAAAGCTTATGACAACGACAAAGGTGAGGATCTGGTTAATCAATGTACATATATTTTATTTATTTTTATGTCTATATTTATTCACTTAAGTTTAAAAAATAGAATTATGTGTGTAAATGTGATAATTTAAATAAGTTTGGAATTGAATAATGTACCCATGTATATACTACAGGTTGTATCGTTCAAAGAAGATGGCGGCGTCACGTTTCACGATATTAAAATGCCTCAAAAATCTCCAGAGAAAAGTTTTGGTTCTCAAGAGAGATCGGTGACTTCACTGAACGGGGTTAGAGGTCAGAACTCGGTCGCTCAAATCGTCACAGCTCCAAACGGCTTTGTCAGAAAAGACGGGAAGCCATATACAGGAAAGGTTAGTGGGAAATTATTTAAAAAAATAGATATGATTGTCTATGCTGTCATGTCAATATAATTATACCATTTGAAATTTTATAATCGATATCAAAATTATTTTTAATTTGTTTTGTTTGTTAGATGACTAAGTCTAATACGGTCATACTACAATATTCGGAAAGCGTCTAAGTTTGCATTAGTGTGTAATTTACGTTTTTTTTTCTATTGTTTTGTTTTCTAACTGTTCCTGAATAGTTTCTACACTCCTTGAAAATTATGTGTGGTATATATCTGTTAGGTCAGGGCAAGTGTAACGTTCATCGATCCACGGAACGAAACTTCGTACCAAGAATCTCCAACAGATTTAGCTTTTATTGATGATAACGGAGAATCACTTCCTTTACAAACTTATGGAATGTTTGAGATGGATTTTCGTGATGAAGATCTCAATGAATTGAATGTTGCAAATGTAAGATTTTTATTGGGGTAGATTACAATTCAACATTTTTCGTTATTATTTATATAGGTTATTCCAATTTATTTTGACTTGAACATGCTATGATATTTTGATTGTACATAGATTCTTAGTCCCAAACACTGTAATCTCACAGTCCATCAAATAGTATATTCAAAGTATGTGAACCAAGATGGCGGACACCGGAACATAGTATGTGCACCATGTTAGGATTAGGCCACAATTTTAGGTGCAATTACTACGGAAGTCCCCGAACTCGTAATAGAAACAAAACGAGAAAAATTGGGATAAAATTACGTCCCAACCCTAACCTGGTACACATACTACGTTGCGGCGTTCGCCATCTTGGTTCACATACTTCGAGAGCACCCATCAAAGTGCCCTACATTAATGCATTTAATTAGAACTTAATAAGCATAATTAGTAACTTTATCATTGAATCGTCAGATTTTTACATAGGAACTTAAGGTTATAATCTTACTTTAATGTCGAAGACTTGAAACAAATTTACGATTAAGACACGTCAATTCGATATCCATGTGTAATTTTATCAAAACAAAACGTCTTCATTATTGGATTCGTATGGACCTTGCTCAACCATTCTGGATAGAGGATAATTATTTATCACTGAATGACAAAAATCTATTATGAAAACCAAAATTAGACTATTTATTGCTTACCATTTCATATAAATCCCACAACTGTAGGCAAAAATCGTGTTGGATCAAAACCAGATGGTATCGACATCACATGCGAGAAAACTAAAATTATGGTCACTCAATCTTGAGAATGGTATGTGGGAAGAAGAGGAAAACTTCAAGGTGATTCAGCATTATATAAACATTTATTATTGTCTGATCTTTAAAATGGAATCTGAATGAACCATATAGTCAGATGAAAAAACAAAACCCTGCATAGTTCAAAGCAACTACTTCTGGTCTGGTCATTTTTCATCCAACTTCATTTATTTATCCCCCTTATTCAGAATTTGACATATATTCAACGTAGGTAATGAATATCCAAGGGATAGGTTATTTGTATTTCATCATACATTCATATAATGATTTATTACTACATTATTATTATAATGTTTTCGATGACAATATTGTAGGAGATGGAGATTGAAGACGAACAAGTTCAACCGGGTCCCAAAAGAAAGAAGCGCGAAGCACCGACGACATTTTTTGTTGGAAATTTAGAAGTTCGCGAAAGAAGGCTATACAATCTTGACGTTCCAGTTGAAAATAGATGTTGGTTAAAAGGTAACATTCTTTTTATCTAAAAAGTATGAAGCAAATGAAGCCCAGGTGGTATCGCCTAAATTGCATAATTTATAATGATAGTTGAAATTGTTCAATGATTGTAATAACAGGTATTGTTAATGTAATGCATTGAATAAATATTATTTTTGAATCACCACCACAAATCGATATATCATCAACTGTTAAACATTTTCTGAACCAGTTGCTTGACAGATTTTTATTCAAATATGGTATTATAATTGGCTTAATACTGCCATCCACATATTTTGTTCAAAACAGTGAGGGCCTATAGATCACCGGACTTCGATCCAAATGAACAAGTCGAAGGAGTTGACATTGTTGCGATAAATATGGAACCAAAAGGAGGATTTAGAGGAAATCCCTCAGCATGGGGAAGGTTTGACTCGACATTAACTTCAAAATATGGTGCTTGTGTTCGAGTATTTTGTCATGAAGATAAACCTGACGTGTATAAAGCCATAGTAACAGGTGAGTAACTTGTCCACAAGGTGTCTCTAAAATTCTGGCTAGCGAAACAGTCACTTGAGGTGATCGTGTGCCATATCTCCATATAACCCTTTCATTTGCGACGAAAATGCCTCTTGGCAAGACAAAATATTTTAATGTACATTTTTAATTATATATTGTTTCTCCCATAATCAAACAAATGTTTTACTGTTCAATGTGGGTACTCCAAAAGAACGTTCTTTAATTTGCACTATTTCAACAATTACACTGTGTTGGATATATAATAATTTTTTTCGTGTCCAAGTTATTTTAAGGATTTTTACTGAATTGCAATTGTTTAACAGCCACTCTAGATTCGAGTGAAGAACTTTACGCTGCGCCATCTGGCCATCCTGTCAACCCAAAAGTTGTTGGCGTTCAAGGTGATATATTAAGAGCTCTAGATTACAGGTAATAAACATAAGTTGATAAATTTTATTTTTTGTAATTATGGATCCCGTATACCATTGCAAGAATAAAGTAATATTTCTAACTTTTGAATGCTTTGTCAGAGTTTGAAAAATGAATAAAATATGTCTTTCATCGAAATCTTAATTAATGACACGTTCAGCGCGATCTATTTTCAAGGGAGAGCTTTTTTTTAGTATTTTGTGATATATTGTCCATGTTATAAGGAAGCAAATCAAGTCATTCTACTTAAATCTTACATGCCATTTGGCGCCAGTAGGGAAGTGCTCGTCGCCCGTGGTTTATAATTGCACCATTTACTTTTGAACAATCGAAACAAGGATATACTTGAACTAACTTATACCGGTACAATTAAAATTAATTGTTGGTTTGTTCGCGTTTAGCGCCGACTTTTAACCTTGTTCGTTTATATGAAAGTGAATAAAGGAAATTAAAACGTATATGCCGGAACTAAATTATTAGTCTTCAAAAATTTTGTATGGATGACTGGATGTCTCAAGTTGGATAAAACTAAGACGTAGACAAAATCCGTTGCGACGGCGCACTATTTTGTCAATATTTTCAAATATATACCCATGGTATACCGGATTCAAGGAACTGTAGTATCAAACACAATGTCTAATTAGGAATATTTTATCACGTTGTATTTTTGTATTGAACTTTTATTCGGTATGTCTCATTTTTGTAAAAATAAAAGTCCGAAAATAAAAAGTGAATGACCACGAATAGACAATTTTTCTATCTAAATGACTCACGTCATTTTTTTTTTTCAGGCGCAGCGACCACAGCCTAGCAACGGGTAAAAAGACGTCTTTTCAAATAAATCTTCCAAAACCTCGGCCTGAAGTCAACTATACTGGTCCAATATATCCCGAAGAGAATTACGCCGAATGTGTCCGGGCACCGGTAACAGACAACCACTTCCGATTTTACAGGTACATTTAGCAAGTGCTAATTCTCACCGAAAATAAATTGGTGGTTTAGAGTCGCAAATGTTGGTTGGATTAAATCAATTTAGCGTTTGAATAATTATGATTTACCACTAAATGTATGCTTGGCAATATCTTACCAAAACTCGGTTGTTTGGTTCGAATAGTTTAGTATGGTCCGTATTTGTGATTGTGTGGTTATAACGACATGTTAAGACATAGCCTACTGTTCCAGTTTCAATATCTATAGAATATTGTAGGCTAGAAATGAAGCCATGAAAACTACAATCGAGCCACGGCTAACTTTTGATATAATTCAATTTTTTAACATTTGTTATCTTGCTTTTACATCCTCGTGGTAAAAACAAAAACATTGTAAAGAGTAAACTTTTTATAAAATATCCACGACTTTGATTGCATTAATTTTAAAACATAAAAATTATGAGAATATGATATAGTAGCAAGAGCAGAGCACTTTGCACATTTTTTTCTTCAATTGCAACAAGCATACTTTGAAACATTTGGTATTTATGCAGAACGTAAAAAATACAGTAAAGAAAAACAATCATTTTTTAACAACCTACGTAATTGTCTAAAAATATATAGGATCTAAATACACGTATTTTGGATACATTCTTGTCATTCTAAACACTTGACTCAAGAAGATTCTCAACACTTGGACATAAAAACATTAGAAACTTAAAACTTGTTTGTACGCAAGTATGACTCACTAACTTTTATATGGTTTTCTTTATACAGAACTGAAGATTTTCTATACGAATACAACACAGTATATATGGATGAACACAACTGTATTACATGGACTCCACATTATTTAAACTGGTGGCCAAAACCATTGGAATATAGAGCTTGTTATATAAAGGTCTCTACACGCTTCCTAATTTCAGATCTTTCCTGCAAGTTTTAAAAACACCTCGAAATTACATTTTATTAAATTTTACTATTTAATTTTTTCCAGGTCCACGTATCTGGTTTATCAACTGTGATCAGAGCAAAAAGTATGGGAGGAACTCATCCAGAAACGAGAGGAAAATTATATGGAATAAGAGACGATAGATCTGTGCTGGCCCAGCGTCTAGAAGGACCATTTATCGGGGATTCAGCTGCATGCATTGAGTTTAAGTGCAGGTGTGGATTTAGCGGATTTCTTTTTAAACATATGACTCGCACAGTCAGTTTAACTTGAAGTGAACTACAGCAACTTCAAATTATATATGTGTTCGAAGGAACTGTGCATAGAAGTAAACTATTTTCAAACCATTGAGTCACACACTGACAATTCAGCACAATATTAATTCTCAACACGAATTGTTGGATCTAGCAAAGTAATAACATCTGTGTGAAGATTTCTACGGTAACAAAAAAGCATTTCTGATTCGATTTATTGTGTTTTAGTGGAAAGCTATATGATATGGAAGAACCAGATCGCACTTTAGTGAGTGTTATACCACAAGGTGAATGTCAACTTCATCGTATGAACGGACAATTATCACAATATCTGACAGAACATCCACCGGCAGTTGAGGGCGAATCAGCATCTGAATTTCGTATGTATGCTCCACCAGATCCACTCGGACACAATTATGGAATTTATACAGTCACTGATGGTAAGTACCGATCAGGTTTTACAAAACTCATAAAAAGAAAGTAAGATTTTATCAGTTTATCCGCAATCATATCCGAAAATCCATTTCTGTATAACTTTGAAGTTGTACTCAATCTTACATTTATTGGCTAGATCAGTGAATTGTGTGAAAAACGTGTATTCGTGAGTAACTGCAAAAAATGCACATTCTAAACGAGCGTTGTATTTCATTGGCTGTTGCTTATTGACTAATCACAACAGCGTTACTCATGTTATCCATTATGGCGCCACATCACAGTTCTTTTTGTATTGTATTTTGCAAATATGAATAAATAATAAAATAACTTATAAAACTATAAATGAAGGTCATTAAAGAGAAATCGTCATACAGCCAAAGTTAATTGGGGCAATGCTCCAAAATAGAGGATCAGATGCTGTCCGAATTGAATGCTCAAAAGGTCCGTTTTCGGTCCGCGGTCTGCCAGTTGAGTAGCCATGGGCTATGACGGCTCTTGATGTCTAAAGTTATTCCCCTTTATTAAAATACGGGTGTTGATCGTTAAATGAAATTTTCCACTACTGGTTGGTTTAATTCCATCAAGATCATTTCTTTATATATTTTATTGCTTTTTGTAGATGATCCTCTCATCGCCAAGAAAACTGCGCTTGGTCGCTGTTACGCAGGCTCTTCAGATACTACATCAAGAATAATGCATGCCAGAAAAGGTGTGGCAATATACTACTGGTGTACCGATAGGAACGGGGAAATAGAGCTTCCGTGATTTCAGAAATCAAATGACGTTTTGCAAATGGAAAGTGAATCGTTGAGATAATGGTCAACATCCTCATCTAGTCAATTTTATGTTTTACTTGAAATTTGTTATCAACTTTCATATCAACTGTATATTTTTGTAATACTGTAGTTTTTTATTTCTCGTTTAAATGTGCGTCAGGTTCTGGGATGGATTTGCAAAAACAATCTCTTATGGAGTCTTATAATGAAGGTTTGTACTAAACTGTCCTCATTATGTCGAAATAGGCCATATTAAATTCGCAATCAATAATTCGAGAAGTGATACATGCACATTGTACAGAAGCAACTGTTATATGGTGCATTAATTGCATTTCTCTCTAAATATTGTAATTATAATCAAACGATCGATAGAGTACTTCTAACTCATGCAAACATGCTGAAAGTCACATTCAGTGGATGTGTATTGAGTCATTTATGCCTGGTTTATGCAATCGTGAAACAACAACCGATTAAAAGAAGACTGTGTATCATGTCCTCTGTTTTATTATACTTTTTGACTTTTTTATATACTTTCACTTTTTATATCACGTAAATCAGCATAATAAATTTGTACATATTGCATTTATATATTGACCAGAAGATTCTCATCGGGTTAGTTATCGTAGGAATGTAATTGTTAAATGCAATTCGAATGAGTAATAGAAATACCATGTGATATCATGTCTTTGAAATATAAAAATGAGAATTGGGTTTGTAAATTTCCTCCCAACCTTCTGTTGGGTTTATACCTGGACATAACTTCCAATAGGTCGATGGATTTTTAATCAACGGACTGAACACAAAATGGTCTTGTTTCGGCTCCTGCAAAAGACGCTTTCAATGAAGTGAAACGTGTGAAAGAAACCAAATGTACGAAACATGGCTACAATTTAGATAATACGAGAGAGGGATGTTGTGTCTTCGGAATTTCCACATGTAGTCCTAGGAATAGGATGATAAATGGCAAGCATTAGGGTTTGTGATAAGTTCTACACTTGATAACGTCGAGAAACCATTGAATACGTACTAATATTATTAGCACTGGAAGTGAAAATGTTCGGAACTCACTTGAAAACAATTTTATTTACCACTTATCAAAAAAGACATTTGTTAAATAAAAATAAATTGCGGTTGATATAATTTCACTATTTACCACGGAAGATAAGAAATTCCTGTTAAAATATATTTAAATACAAACGGAAATAGAATTAGAAACTTCATGTTTTCTTCTCTCATTTCCATTGGAGTATTACCTTCTTAGTTTGGAATGATTAGAGCAAGACTTACTCAATATTCTACGAGACAAATACGTAATTTCATTGAGACTGTGTTCATGTAACAAAACACCAATATTCAAATTTGAAGACACCAAGGCTAAACAACAACGCTAATATCAGCACAATCATAGTCAAATATTATAAGAATTGTGTCAAATGTCACGTGGAGGTGTGTGCCGTATGCCATATAAAGGTGTGCCTGTGAAATAATATAAAAAAACGTGGGAGTTAAATGTTTGGTCCAGGAGTATAAATAAAGGTAATAGACTTCTAACGACCTGTTCGATCGTTAATATTGAATGAACATTAATATTAAATGGGATTATAATATGCCCCAGCAGAGCAGCAAAACCAATAACAGCTCCATTACGGACAACAATTTAACAAAACGATCTGAATGACCGACTCATGTTCAAATACATTTTCCCAATTTAGTATAATATATAGTTGTTGATTTCAAATCGATATTTCACGATATGAAAGTGTGGTATGGCAAATCTCTCGAGCGTTTTTTAAATTGCTGTCACGACCTGGCTACGAAAAAAACTTATAAACTTGTTATATTCGGACATATATTTGATAATGGAACAACAAGGTTAAACGTTATACATGCTTGAACAAAAATCCGTTTCATAGCCGCTAGCGTTCTTTCAAGTGTATTTCATACAAACCTACGCGAATCTTCAGCATAATTACGTGAGAATAATGAGCAATTACAATAATTATGGCTTTCAGTCAGAGGATCGGGCGAAGACAGGGATGTCGTTTGTAGTTGCACTTGAACGTCACATCCTTTTTCGCAATGAGCAAATGAGCAACGAAAATGAGCAAATGTTTGCATACAAAAACAATCAATGTACACCGGGTTACGTTTATGTCTAATCTGAAACACGTTAGAACTAACTGGAGCTAAGCAATTAACAGCTTTAACTGCAATATTTACAAATAACTCATTTGAAATCTACCATTTGTCCCTTTTTTTCTCCTCAAACATTACATCAGAGTATGATGTTGAATGAATTTGTTCTCAACTCTGCTATCTAGATTTTCCTGGCATACATTTATGCATCTTGAACTAATGGTCGAGGTTGTTGCTACTCCGTACGTCAACCAGAAGACGACAGTCATGTTAGTAATGTATGACGATCCTTGGTTGGATCTTTTTTAAATACACTAACATCCCCGCCGTCAACAAACAGACGCCAGAACATCGCCTCTATCTCTTATACGTCCCTCTTTATGAACATACTTTTCCTCAACTTGAACATACTCTTTCCATTACTTACAAAAATTATCTAATTATTTTTATTAATCATCCAGCCTACCAATTCAAAATTTGCAACCTCAATTTTGACCCGAACTTATTTGACGGGTAGGAAGTACTTGAATACCGAATTGGGATATTAAAACATGGTTGCCAATTTTATCAGCCACAAGTTACAATGTGGCAATAAACTTCAAGCAAGCCATGCGCACGTGCCCAACTAGTAGTAGTATTCAATATTTACCTGCTGTCATACTTTTTATCGATGTCGAGTTTCCATATACACTAGATTAGACCACTAGATCACGAACATGAGTCTCAAATGATGCATGTGCTAACAACATATGAAACGGAGTTCGTTAAACCATTCCTTTTATATTCGATAGTCTAACATAAATGGACTTATCACAATCCGATTATGGGTTTACAAAGACGACAGATAGACAAACATCAAATGTCCTACACGGCGAGTGAAAACGTAGTTCAACGCCACGAGGCAAAGCGAGCAGAGCCTCTCAAGCTCCGACTTATAGATAATTTAGAGAAAGATTGTTTCTAAATGCAGATCAGAAGAAGTACTTACACGACGATTTTTTCAAACGACATGATTATTACATTCTCTCTCAGTCCACTTGGTCCGTTACCTTTGCTTAAATTTATCTTCATTGTAATCTGTTTATACTTAACATAAAATGAAAAGAATGCCGGCTATTTTAATCTGACTTTACACAAAGTTAATGATTTTATGGTCTAATCAGAACTTTCAAAAAGCGACATCTTTTTTCAAATTACTGATCAAATAAAGCCCACGTCATGTTGCCTCAGACGAGTAAAAATTGCCCTCTCTTTGTTCACAATGATAAATACCACGATTGCTCGAGTTTTTTAGTGAGTGTGATGCCAATAATGAAATGCAATTTATCAATATCTCTTAGCTTGACATATATCTCATCAAACTCACTAGCAGATATTGATATGGGCTCTACTTTCTAAGCTCCAGAATGTTATATTTCCCGAAAGCTCTAATTATTGCTTCACAACCGTTCACAGCATGCCTCCCAAGAGCAATGTTCCTTCTTCATTTGAGAGAAATACTTCTTGACAAGTAGACTATAAAGGCCGTCAATAATTGGAAAGAAAAACGACAATTTTAAGTTTTACTCTAATTTTAATTATGTCTCAACTGATATTTATTCTTTTCAGCGGAAGCATTTGCTTCTCTAGGAATCCGTAATTATACAGCTTGAATTAAGATCGTCAAACCTATTTCTTTCTTTAAGGTTGAATATTTTTGAAGTTCTCATGTAGTTTATTTATGACAATCGATATCCAAACATCAGCATAAGACATTTAATATAACGACTACATCTATAAAAAAAATTGTTAGTGCTAAAAGTGCTTTTCTGGTAAGAGAAATCTTCAACTCACAAATTCACCTAAACTAGGTCTTTTCTTTTTTATTCATCGCCAGTGGGGAAAAGAAACAAAAATAAAAAAAGAACTTATTTCCATGAACCATATTAAATGAAAAATTAACAGCATTATAAAACAGCATATATAAAATTATTCTTCGACTGAGCCTCTTTTAAGAATGCTGTTGAAATCACAAGAAAATGCAAGTTTTTTACCTCAAAAACATAGTTAATAACTGAAATATATAGATTATGTTTTGTAAAACTCACATTAAATTCCTATTTACAGCTCCCGATTCTCCTACGGAAAATAATATACCGGAGAAAAGGTCATATATTTGACAGAAATAAAATTGATAAAATTGTATTTGTTTTAGCAATGCAGATTCTTGGAAGAAAATAATTACTTGAGCAAGATATAATATCATCATATAATTTGTTTCGTAAACGCCTCCCATAAATATTACAATATTAAGAGACTCGTTGCATAAATCATAATATGCTGTGTTCTGTGAGGCAATTTGGTAGTACTGTATCGGTACCGTTATCTGTACTGAAACACTTATATGGGATTAGAGTATCTTATTTCAGGTCAAATATATTTACCATGACTACGAGCCTATTCTGTGATCAGCTTATCAACAATATGCTTCCAATACCAATTAGATATTTTACCAAATATCTATATTCTATACGAAAATACGATGTTTACTATATAACGCCATAGGATGAATAATCTTATTCGTGCATGAATAGTATAAACAATGCGAAATCCCGACCATCAGTGCATTAAATAAGCTTATACATTATATGAGATGATCTAAAGAATTGTGTGCTGGTTTCGACCGTGTTGAAATCTCATTTGGTTTGTATTGTGACAAGCTTCTGGAATTCATTCATGCAGTCTACGTCGATAACGTCGATTCTAAACAAAAGATAGCGTTTATCCCTCGCTTGTTATAAACAAATTATATACACAATTATTGTTTATATGCCATATAACGTCGTTTGTTTATACACAACTGTCAAAGAGGTGTCAATCATAGTGATCGCATATCATGGGAATCCCCGGAGTTTCTTAGAATAATCGATAATTATAATAAAATTCTAGCACATATTTTAAAATCGAAAAGTTGAAGGAAACGTGTGCTGATGTGAAAGTTGCATCAAAATCAACCTGATTAATTTGACGTTGGAGTATGTTGACCCGTTAGAAGTGGACACGGATCTCTCAGAGCATTAGGTTTGATACTAAAACAAGAAAGCGATGCTCAAATATATGGACACGAAATCCACAACACCGCAGTACGGGTATGCAATCTGTCACAGTAGACCCCCGGACCAGCCGTCATAAAATGTGGATACAGTTATCACGATGTCATAAAAACGTGTTCCCATAATGGAAAACTATACAGCGCATTTTAGATTAAATACAACAAAAAATTTAAAGAACAAATAATAGTAATATCCTTCTAGAAAAATGGAATATTCAACCACTGCATTTCAAAGCAATAGGTCCATTAGTGAATGAAAAATGCGATTTTTTTCGTGTCCGATAATAATCGAAATTCTAATATGGACAAGAACAGCAACAACAACATAACAACAATACGATCCATGGGTCCACTTAGCCTAGCTTAGCTTTAAAACAGAACTGCAACTGTGATAATTTGAGTTAGTGGCAAAAAGGTCGTATCTGAGCCCCGCAATACAAAATAGAAACAGAAAAACATGAAATTCATGCAATGCATTTTCGTTGTTTTTGTTCGAGTGTTTCACAAACGGTGAGATTTGCCAAGTAAAGTTCGATATCCATCTTGGTTTTGTTTCATATGACATTACATAAGTTACATGTAAAATTACAAACCAAGATCGTCACCCAAAAAGCAATTCAGATGTGGTAACAACAGCAACGCAAAATATTGTTTTCTTTTTCTTAAGAATGCAAAAAGTTGTATTTTCGCATTTTTGTGTCGAATTTAATTTATTCAGGTACTTCACTACAAGAGAATAATTACTATGTAAACCGTTGGCGCGGAGGAGAAAACTTGGACTTTTTTACAATATCGAATGTATTCTCAAATGGTCAACTTTCCAAGCTAGATACAATGAATCTTTCAAATAATTATATCAATGAATCTAGTTGAGTAAATATACCCATAACCAATAGTATTATCAGGCGCTATTTTCGGTAACCTAGTCGCATAGTTTCATATATACAGGGTGTCCAAAAAGTTCCGCCCGGTTTCATAGCATTACCAGTTGCAAATTTGAATAAATTTGGTTGTATGATAAATGGAGACTACAACATTCAACATCTATAACATCCAATTAGAAACAGGTTGACTATAAATCTTTTTTAAAATTAAAAAAAAAAAAATTTGATTATAAAGACTTTATAATCGGGCGAAACTTTTTGGACACTCTGTACAATCAGACAGATCATCCGATCATAACGTATCTTTCCACATGTGAGTCAACGTTTAAATAGAATCTCAATGAGAGAAAATTTAGCATTTAATATAACATCGAAGATAATAAATAATATAACAGAACAATTCCTTCCAATTGACTCACTCTACTTGCCCGTCTGCCAACAAAGTTTCTGTCGGAAGAACTTTTTATGAAGTCCATGGAGGAGGTTTTATGACTGAAACAAAGCAATAAAATGGAATAATCTAAATACTTTGTAAGTAGGAAAATATTGCTTGGGGCAACCTTAACAAGCTTTCACTGTGTATAGACAATAATTCGTTCATATGTTATGATCGCGGAGAAGATATTGTTTAGTGTTTTGTGGGCAACAAAAACTATGCTGTTTTATTAATATTATTGTCGGACCGTATCGCTTTTTATACAGTATATGATTACACAAAATTCGAGTTTAGCGTACCGAAATAAATAACATACACTATGAAAATGTATTATAATATTGAAACCCATTATGAAAACGAAACTATCATTCGAAATTTCCACCATGGTTTCTGGGTACACTAGCGTCACACCCTTATATCTTGAGGTGATTTCCTAGTTAAAACTGAATGAAAAAAATGTTACAAAATACATTCATTTGTTACATGCCATTCGATATATTCTATCGTGCTACTTACGGCAATATGAAGCAATTTAATTGTGTAATTGAATTAGGTGTAATAATAAAAATGATCACCAACCTTTTAATCATTCTTGTCAATGACCTTCTGAATTCAGAGTTACGAAATGAATAAATAATTGGATTCAATAAGCTGTTAAGGTAGCACGACATGTAAGCAATTGCCCATATGTATTCCGGTATTTCTAATCAATTAATAAATATATACAAAAATTAGTAAAGTATGTTTTAGAATTTGTGTTTTTGATTTAGCATACTTTCAATTTAGTAGTGAAATAATATTAACGAACATTGTGCTTCAAGTAAATTTTAGCAATATTTCCATATTGCAAAAATTATTTCTTGTTAAAAGGACTCGGAGGTTCGGAAATATTAGTTTCCCGTATACTTACAATTGATTTCATCCGTTTTTAGACAACATATAACCTGGCGGTAACTCATGACTTTGAAGTAAAATAAAAGCTTATAAATGACGCCAGTAATTACTATATTCGCGTCATAAGCCCATGTCATTTGAAGAAAAATAGATTAGACAAGGCCATAGTGAGTCACATAGTCTCAGATCTTGATGGTCGAGAGCGCATTTCCATCGTCAGACATAAAGACAAGGTCTTTAATTAACCCTAATCAAAATGTACTGTACCTAGTTGAAAAAATATGCAAAATTTATCTATTTTTTAAATTCACGATTATAGTTTAATATATATGATATCTGTCTGGTCAATGATAAATCATAGATACTATAGCATGCAACCATTGGCTTATAACATAGAGATCAATACTGTGCATATTTGTAATAACGTTGAATCCGGGCATAAATTTTTAATTGATTAACGTTAAAAACACAGCGAGTTTAACTGAAAAAGCTGCAAATTTGGAGGACGTAAAATTTCTATCATGATTAAATTTTATGACGTCAGGGTCGGAACATTTCACTTGCGAGGGCGATGTAATTATAGGCCAAGATCGGTCTTTAGGAACCATTTCTTCCGTTTACACCTTTAATTATAGAAGAGAAGCTTGAAAAAAAATGATAATTATGATAAAGAATGTATCAAGAAATAGATCAAGGACAGATTGACTCAATTTTCTATGTTCCTTTTTACAGTTGCAAAATTATGAGATGGCTCGTTTTATAGTCGTTTTATAAATCACGTACTCAAAAACAAGACAGATCAGAAAAACCTTAAAAATTTGACAAACTCTAAATCTTAAAAAACTTCGGTAGTATTCAAATATGCAGTGTGTTGTTGTTCAAAATAGTTATATGAGCAAAATGTCCGTCTGGTAATTTTAAATTCAACTACGAAAATGAGCAAATTCAACGCCAATGCAGAAAATACGATCACTGTCGGAGCATTAAACGATGAATAATTGTAAAATAGAACAAAATTAGAATAATGAGTTGAATGCGATGCGTTCACTTAACTTAGAGGTGAACAGTATAACTTAAAATACTTGGTTAATTACATTTAGGAAATGTAGTTATTGGCTGACAAAAATTAAGGTGTCTTTCTCATTTGACGGGCTATTAAAATTCATTAGTGAAACTGCATCAAGCAATTTCCATATGTTTTAGTTCTATTCCCAAGAATAGTTCAAATATCAAAACGTCTCCTAAGCGCAGTGAATTGTTTGATCAATTTGTACGAAAATTCTGAATCAGGAATGAGACTTACTTGAAGCAGTTGACTCCATAACGCCCTCTGATGTTACAAACACGTCAGCAATCGATAGAACATTGTATGGAAACCACGTGACCAGAAATGAGAGCAATATCATGCTCAACGTTTTCGCCGCTTTTCTTTGTCTTCTGAATTTCTATCAATAATAAGATAAGATTTAAGTTAGTCCATTGCATTTTATATTGTTTACAGTTTTTCTCGTCGACACCATATTCTTATAAAGTATAAACTATGTTTAACCACCACCCATTCAAATTCGAACTGAGAAATACCTTATTTGAGTTTTTTGTTTTTTCTCTTTCGCGATGTGTATGTAATTTTGCTATTACTCGCTCTGCATTGGCCGCATGGACTGCATTGCTCATTCCTAGAAAGTATTTAATGAATTTGTTAAACGTGTAATCGTTGAAAATCAACGTTAAACAATACATTATTAGGCATTCAATTGCACAATTTATTATGCATGCGTAGCATTTTCGTAACAAAATATTTGTAAATGCATATTGTTTTCTTAAGTCAGTGTTTCCAGGAATTCCCAGCATCATAAAATCACATAATTTACGTCTCTATCCAGATTCAAATATTATTCGACTACTATATTTTTGCTATATGAATTCTGCATTCCGAAACAAAAACAAGAAAGGCCCACATTACGGGGTCAGCTCCATTGAGTGCTCAGTGGTCAAATGGAAGGACCCGCAGAACGGTCACAGGCACAAATAGCAGTTATTATCCGATTCAAGAGCTTCTTCTGCGATTATCTATTTTAAGCAACGTCGACTAGCATCTGATGTAATATTGATTATTTTACCTGATATGCTACCACTTAAGGTAATTGTGTTTAAAATGCTACATCTCATATCATCGTCTGATATGTGAGATAAGTCCAATTCACTTGCATTGCCTTGTTCGGCTAAGTGATTTCCAGGCTTTTTACTCAAAGAAAGATTACTGTCTTTACTATCCTTGGAATTAACCATAGCACATGAGGTCGATATCATATGTCCTTCGGAAATTTTAATTTTAGCAGTATTGTCCCTTTTGGTGATATTTGCATTATTCTTTGCATTTAACAATAAACTACTCGTGTCGTGTTGCTCATCGCCAGGTATTTTGTGGTCTATGATGTCACAATTAGTCAATTTTACGTTTTGTTCAGCGTATTGTTCAACTTCTTCATGCTTTTCTCCAATTTTCATTAATAGGGATTCACCCGTGAACGAATGTCGTCTTTTAGCTGTCACAATCGGTCGATTTAAACTACAATTTTGTAACCTCGGTGTCAAAGAAACCCTGCGTGGAGGATTATATTTTTGGCATCTTTTTTCCAAAGTTTCAATTCCACATCCCGAAGAAAAACTACCCGGCGACTTGACAATTTCAAATATGTTTTTCGGTGTGTTTGGTGGATTTGAGAAAGAAAACACTGACGATTTAATAGACCTGAAATAAAATTATCATATTAAGCAGTCATGAAAAAAAATCATTTTTTAATTTAATTTTCAGTAAAAGTTTCTAATATAAAAACAGAATTTAAATAAATAAGATTATATATTTATTTTTTGTTATTAATTCTTGAAAATGATTCCTAAAGTAGGATTACGAGTTTAAATGAGGGTTCATTCATGCATGCATGTATTTTTATTCGTTTCCTAGGGTGAGGTATAATGTTAAGCATAAGGTGGCAGCATTAATGTTGGATGCGCATGCGTCCCTATGGTAGATACAACTTACTATCCTATCGCAATAACCTACTACTAAACTTGCAATGATCTCACATATCTTCATCTGCCTCATTTAGCATCGCGACACTGCTGCATTCCCACGACGATTCTGTTGCGTCCAAGCTCATTTTTCGTTTGTTGTCTGACAACGAACGTCTATCATTTTTGGCAATTTCTACGAGACTATCTCTTCGTCGTATCCACGGAAAACACGAAGCGAATAAATGATTTTTATCGTCTTCAGTTTTACTATTCAGTTCTCTTGTTAAGGCTGAAAGTTTGCCAGTTGTAAAATGGTTTTGGTCTGAAATGCAAAATTTAATTTTTGTAAGAAAAAGAGTAGCTAATTGAAACAAAAATTCATGTCATCATTGTTCATGTTCTTTTATATGAACTGATGCTTCCAGCTGTTTTTTTCTGTATATATTTTAGTTTTAGTACAGTTTTTGAGTTGAATATATATATATGATTTTTTTCAGCATCAGAGTTAGACATCATCAAACCAATTTTTACGGTGTATTTTATTCGCCGTTCATTTACCGATGGAGCTAATTGGTGGAAGACAAGCTTTCATAGAATGTGGCGGATGGGTACAGTGGGACCTTGCATTTAACTGCTAAATAGTATTTTCTAAAGATACCATGAACATTTGAATATGTTCTATTTTCGTGCACTAATATTCAAATAGGTATAATCACCCGATATCGACGAACTCCCATTGACCATTTGGGTGCACGTGACACAGCCATCAGAATTGTAGCGCCATCTAGGCATGCCAATTCTGGTTGCAGAACCTTCACTCCTTGGTTGATTTGAAGTCGAAGCTGGTATGTCGTCAAATATATTCGTGTGCTGTACCTTTTCTTTATCAGTACATTCTCTGGCATCACAGTTTGGTGACGAGTTTTGGCAAATTCTCTTTCTCTTTTTATGCGCTGGTTTTAAATTAATTTCGCTAAGGCAACTCAAAGTAGCAGATCGCCGAATTGCTGTTTGTCGTTCGAAATGTGTAAGGTCGCTAGATTGGTGGAAAACAATCGATAATGATTGTGATGGTTAATGAAATAAAAAAAAACTAGTTGTTAATGATTCATCAAATTTCAATATGATGAATAGGTTTAAATTAAATAATATCTTGATAACTAAATGACAATTAAACAGGGTCAAATGAAACTAGTTTCTGAAAACCACGAAGATAATAAGCACACCCAGAAAAAGTATGATTGCGTGTTTATAGTAATACTACCTTTTTCTTTGACCTTGTAGAGATTCCAAATAAGTTTGACTTTGACTTGACTTTTTGTACATCAGGCTGTACATCGCACACATTGTAGTACCGGGTAAAAAGTATCCAAAAATCCCTCCAATAAGAGCACAAAAAGGAGATACAAAATATTTACCCATGCAAAATGTTTGTTTTTCTAGAGAAAAATTGCACTGTTTTGAATAGTCACACTACATTTAATAATCAACAGGAGGCGAGAATCTGGTGCTTGAAGATATTCGTCACCTGATTAGGTATTAATGATTGGTCTTTAGACGCAGCATATTATATTGCTCCCACATCTGGGTAAGGCTGGGCATTTCGAATCGAACATTCTAACCGAATCGACTAGGAAATTATTTGAATCGGTGCAGAGCAAAATTTCAAATCGACGCCATCTTGTTTTTTTCTTTCCGCCAATGGTCGTTAGTTAATGAAAGTTACTTACAATTTTACATCTCCCAAGTATTCGAGATTCGATTCGATAAAAAAATTCGATTCTGAAATCATCAAGTAGGCTATTCGAAAATGCCCAGCCCTACATCTGGGGTGACGACTTGTGGCCGTTCTCAATCTGTTCGGTCGAATTCGAGCACTATTGAACCCACAAACGCTTTGGACTTACAGAATGATTGCATCGATGAAAAGTGGCTTTAATTAGGTCATTAGCTTGGTATGTTATGGGGGGGGGGACTTTGCCTGAGCTAAATTCCTGCCCTTCTTCCGGTCAAAGCATGTAGGAAGACCTTGGCTTTTAGGAATTTTCTTCAATATAACCTTTTCCATGCAGTTTTGACTTTACTAATTGTGCTAAACGCTATATATAAAACAGTGCTCTCCAACAGGGATTCCGCGGAACCCTAAGGTTCCGCAATACATGTAGTGGGGTTCCGTCAGTTGATAGGGTTCCTTAGGGGTTCCGCGTTTTGTTTTAGAGGGGATCATTTCTTGCCTCATCATGTTGATGCGTCGTTGCGAAGTTGTTTGAAGACTTTAGACATGAGTATGAGAATTCAAGAAGATTGCAAAGGAAATGCAAGAACAACCTAGTCATTGAATTTTACGCTTGTTACCTTTCTGTTTCGTTGTTGAAGTAGAAATATTTGAATTACAAATATTTCGTGTTAATTTTGTTGATTGGGGTTCCATAAAAATCGAAAACTTTTATCAGGGGTTCCACAATAACAAAAAGGTTGAAGAGCACTGATATAAAATGATAAATATCTATATATATCTTATGTATTATAAACCCACATAATTTATATATAGGCCTATTTAGAATTTTCAGCTTGCCAGTTGTCGATCGCAACCCTTTCATGAGTAACCTTTAATTAGCAGCTCATGACCTTGATCTTAGCAAACTTCCTTATAAATGCCTTGATTCATTGGCGTAGTAGCCTAATATATAATATTACTATTTACCAGAATGTGTATTTTTAATTCTCTCATGGACGGTGATTACACCATGTCGAAATACACAGAAAAGTATACAAGCGGCCCACAATATTGTCACACAGGTCAAGCGTTTCTTCTTTCTCCACTCGCGATAAACCATTGGATTTCGAATTGACAAGAACCTAAAATCGGAAAATAAAATATTTTGTTTGGTAAAGTAGGCTACCTTGTTTCAACACACACACACAGGAAGCTTGCTCATGGGCAATTTCAAAAACTCATTATCCTACTCTTACCTTTCAGCGCTAATGGCTAATATATGCACTACGGACGACGTTGTGCAAATGCTTTCTCCAATTTGCCATATAGTACAAACATACGACGTAAGCATGAAGTTGGAATGAAGGAAAAATTGTTGGATAAACAATGGCATGCATATCATTCCTATGCTTAAATCAGCAATCGCCAGACTACAAATAATACAACATTGAAAACTATGCAGTCTTCGACGACGAAGAACCATCAAAACGACAAGATTTGCTCCTCCTATTAAAACTCCGATGCAGCAAAAGAATAGCAACAAAATAATCCCACCCGCTGCAGCCATGATTGACTTTTGGTAAACTCAATGTTTTTATAAAGCATCGTTCGCCATGCGTCATGGAAAAATATTCAACATTCAAATACCTTCTTTTGTTCATTTCTTCTTTAGATATTGCACTGATATAACCGCGACTACCAAAATCAATTCTTTCAAAGATAAGGACGTCTAAAAATAAATTTTCTTATCGCATTGGCGAACAGAGCGAATTTACATTTTAGTATGCCGCAACCGATTAATCTATACAACAAAATGCAACAGATTAATCAATCATTCATTCATTTATTTTGGTCTCGTATCATATACGTTCTTCATGCACGAAGACCAACAGTCCTATCCATTGGCGACAATCCTATTCGAAAAAAAATAAATAAGTGTGCGACTCCTAGGCGTGAATTAGAGATTTGTGGTTGCTACCATAGGCCTAGTCTTGGAAGTTGAGGGCCGCAAAAGATGTTCAACATTCTTTAATGCAATTTCGCGAGGATGACAAATTCATACGCCTTTTTGCTCTATTCCTGAACGAAAACCGGACGTTTCCTGGCTTGCTATAAACAATTCCTTCGCCAAATAACCCAAACCAGGACCTACTGAAGTATGCGCACCAATATGGCGCACAACCTGAACTCAGGTTGTGTACGAGGTCAGGGTTCAGGTTATGCGACATCTTGGTGCGCATACTTCAGGAGTACCCCAAACGAGATAGGTGACTTCGACAGGGAAGTAAGTCCGTAGAGCGATTCTATAAGAAATTGTTAAATATCAGTGGCTACTTTTATCCGTAGCAAAACGCACGAGTGAGCGTCGTATTATGTTAGTATACCAAAAAAAAATTAAGCCACCCCACCCCAAAATTATGGGCTGGCTACGCCCGTGATTGCTACTGCTATGTCACTGCACACTCCGTCAGTTACATCAATAAACCTGAAGACGTCATCCCCATCCGCTATCCTAACACGCGAGTGGTTCGCCCTGCGATAAAACTATGTTTATATTATTCCCTGTACTAGAATAGGAAATATATACCGACACTAACACGACAGATATTTAGAACACAACGCGGATTCACTTGAAAGAGCCAAACAATATTTCAAGCAATTTGCTCACAACACTTCGAACTTTATCACAATATTTTATAGTTCAAGCTGTGAATTGCATGAAACACACATCGCCACAGGCATCACTTTTTTGAATAATAATAAACTTATTTTTGTAGATATAAACAATTCATTTATTTCAAGTACTAATGGAACTAAAAAAATGAGATACTACATTGACTGGTGGCGATCAAGCATGAAAAAATGGAACATCTAGTATAAATATTTTGGGTATAAATTTCCTAAAGAGCCACTAGCTGCAGTAAGGAAAATCTAGATCAAATTCTTTTACATTCATAAATGTAATGCATAGAGAAACGAACAGTCAAAGTGAAACCATATGCCTGGCACATACATACAGCAATCCTATCTGCAGAAATTTTACCACTTTACTCTTGTAATGAAACAAAATATTTAGAGACATTTTTTCATGGAACAAGATATAAAATTAGTGATGAGCATGAATCGGTTTCCCTGATTGGAGATAGGTTTATTTTCGACTACTCAGGAAATGACCCATAGTCGTTAGACCCAACTATTATTCAACTTTATATCATACAACAGTGACCATAAAGTATTAAGTTTAATTGCCAACATCACATCTATGATCATCCTGATTTAACAGAATTAGATGTAGCCGACGACGAAGCTCTTGACAGTAATCCACCATCCATTTCATCATCATGTGACGTCACAGACTGAAAATTTAAAAATTTAATGTTTGAAGCTTATTTCACAAATTTCCAATTATCATTCTAAAATCAATTTTCCAAATAGATAATAAATAACTTATCGCGATAAGAGTTAGATAGGTTTGTGATTGCTTAATCCCCTGTTATTGGCATGGTTAATGAAAGTCAGTTAGTTACTGGATCTATGACAAATTAAAAAATTTCCTCCAAAACGTGAATGTAACGGGTGCAGATACTGAGGTGAGGATACCTAATATGTCAGAAATTGTCATAGTCTACGCCAAGTAATTACCCACAAGTGCTAGAGATTATGCAAGCTATATATATTCAATAGCAAGAAGCAATCCTACTAATTCCAGTATCTCTAAAGGTTCGTTAAAAGAATATATTTGAGATAATATATTTGTGAATAAGATGAAAATCTTCCCGACAAAGGCTTGAATGATAATATATCTTATGCAAACACAGATCTATGAATCCTACAATGATATTTACTTTTGCTTTTTTAACATATTGTGGGTTGACTTGAATCTGACAATCCATTTCTTGTAATTTCCGATCCAATTCCATAAAGTACTGAATCTGAAAACGCCAAAAATAATATAAAAACCAACACCCCTAAAGATAACTTATTTAACCCAAACGTAATTATAAATATGACTCCCAATAACTATGTAATTGGGCAATCTTTCTTCAAAATCAGGTTGAAACGTATTAGTTATGACTCACATTGAGCTGACTTATGAGAAAAGCATTTGTGTGTATTCAACATCAATATTCTAAAAAAATCTGTATTAATACTGAAAACACACCATTAAATCCTACTTAGGATTAACAATCCTGTACCAAACCAATTATTTGTTGAAAGTTTTTCTTAATGGCAATTTAAAATGTGTTTAGCACATTTGAGGTGATTTTGGAAATTTATATGCTTGTTATCTTAGTTTTGAGCAAGTTCAAAACAAAAAAAAAAACATCTTTTTATGCCTTTAAAATAACACAATAATTGCCTTGACTTGATATGGAAAACATTTGTTCCCCCGAATGTTCCTGTCAATGCAACTTACATCTTTATCAATAGCTTCTAACATCGCTGGATTGTTGTATTTTTCAGGGTTGTCATAGAAACTAACCATTCCATCTTTCTGATTTATAGTAGCATATATTTCACCATCGTCTATCTGTACAACAAAAATTTCAAAAACCAAATTATTCAAAACTTTTAATAACATCTCCAAAGTCTAAAAAGGTATTTAGTCAATAAAATGTCATTGACTAAAACTGATAGAGTTTAAATTTAAAGAAATTAGAACAGTCCATCCAGTGTTTCCCTTTCCCACTACATCCTTGACAGAGCAATGAATTATGTGGGCTGAGCCAAACCAAAAAAGCTCACAATCTTCCTAAACAGTGTCAGGCTCCAGACTATGTCAGGGCCTTGTTCAATGAAGGCATTTAAATAGCCAAAATATTGTTTCATAAAAGGGTTTATAGCAAACGAGATTACTGTTATAAAATATATCAATCAGTAGCTGCCATCTAGCTGCGATGCTGTTCTGAATATCAGAAGAACAGAAAGTTTCAAGTCAGATTTCTTTTATCCGTTCCAGACAACTGCAATACTCTTGACAATAGACCATCACACCTAAGAAACCATTATTCTAAATGGTTTAAACCAATCTAAGTACAAACCATGTTTCTCAGTTGTGTTTCTGCTTCTTGTGGGCTTGAGAGATGAGCTCTTGATGACACATCGGATAAAGATAAAGTGATGAATGTTTTTGTTAATCTTTGAATATTTCTTTTATGCAGAGATGCTATCACCTGCTTCACAAGACCCATATTTTTGTCCTTAGGAAAAATAAAAAATTATTAGATTTAGATAGATATTTACTCATTTGACTCATTACCAATTTGCATAGTGTAAGCATGAATACGTAAATCCACCTCGAATTGATGTTTTCCTCAACAACCAGACAAACACATTTGACCAGGGATGTCCAAAATGAACTGAATTGTAAAATGGATACAAAATTCATTATGCGCAGATGCACAATATTTCAGATTCTCTATATCAGAAACTGATTTATTTAAGAAATTATTGTATCGATCAACTTAAGTTTTTTATGTGATCCCTATTCACAGCTTTCACTACGAATAAGGCACTGATACCAAATTTATTACACCCTAAGTGAGGTGAGGGGGGATTGGAGGGGAGTCATAGGGTTTAATAAACTAGAGTTGTGTAATATGCGCCATACGCCATCATGCTAGGCCATCACAGCAAAATTCAATCTTCATTCAATTTCATAAAACTGTAAAATATGGAAAACGAAAGAAAATATAGAAACCAAACCACTGTTCATTTACAACTTAAATAGACATTTCCAAAACAAGCTCATTGTATATACATATGTTTTTTGTTGAACATGGTCCAACTTAGATATTCAGTATTCAAGAATATTATTTCAGAATATAATAATTTTAGATTATTCTGTTTTGGCCACCACAGCATTTGCCACACTTAATAATTCTATTATCAGCAAATGCACAACAAAAGATTGCATGACACAGATGATAGCATATGAAAAATGGCTGTACCTGGATAAATACTTGGCCGTGACTTTCTAATACTGAGTTTAATTTTGCCGGCGAATAAGTAGCATATGCGTTCAGTAGTACTGTGTATGCTCCACACAGTGGCTGAAAACAAAGAATACAAAATGAACCAACACAACAAAAGCATATATAAAATTTAGAGTTGTAATAAGTATGCAAATCAAATTAACTTGAATGACACCACTCTCTTCAGAGTTTTTTATATCAAAGACTATGAAAAGTAATTTGTTAGCAACTTGGCTACAGATATAATTGTTAACTGTATATTTTTTTTGTTTCTGGCAACTAGCATTTTCCCAGATGGCTGAGCATGACCTGTGATATCATCAGTTACAGGCGACTGATGATGACCAAGGAGCTGTGATGGTGAAGTGGCCATGAGCGCTCTGCAGTCTGGTGCACAGTTCAGTTGGTGTTGCTTATGGATTAGTTTGGTTATTGTTTTGTACATTTATTAAATATACATTTGAACTGAATTAACAATAACTTCCCAGCCTCACAACTTGAAACATAAAATAGACAGCTATAACTACCTTTATTCCTCTTTGAACTATATGAGAAGTGTATTTTGGAAAGGGCAGGACTCTTCCTTCACTTATAATAGATATAAGAATATATTTCTTATAAGCTTCCACCATGATATGACTTATTGCTGTGGCTGGGCAGACAACAGCCTAGAAGAAAGAAATAAGATATGAATAAATAGCAAATAGGTATAAAAAATAATAAAATATGTGCATTCCACTGTTCTTTAGGCATTATTAAAGAGTGAAATCATTCTATAGTAACATTGTATGATATGTTTAGGTTGAATTTCTTGATGACTGCCAAAGTTAAAATTCAATATCATTTAGATTTTAAATGAAGTAACCAATAAAACCAATAAAATAAGAAATATTTAATAATAAAACGATGAGTAGAACAATGTACTTTTAACTTTGATGTTGAATACATAATACAGACCTGTTCAAAGAAGTACAAAGCTCTCTTGTAATTTTTCAATGCAGTATAGATCATTCCACCATAATAATAATATGATAAATAGTGTTTGCATTCATAGAACCCATTCTGAAAAAATAATATGTTGACTTAAGATGTTAAACTCGAATACAAAAAATTTCAAAATTTTGGAAGTTCATTTCCTAAGTAAATTTGCTCAAGAAACATAGTAAGGAGACTTATCTCTGAGCAAAATAGTGGGTACCTCTGAAATGCCAAGCCCAAGAGCTACTGAAACTACGTAATATAGAATTATGATAGTGCATTATGTGTCAGCAAATGCAATTGAGACAAGACTGGAAGTAGTTCAATCGACTGGGAGCAAGTCAATTTGATCAGGATAACAGCTATGACATAGTGAATTACATATAACTGAAATTCTTGGGAAAAAACTCCCAAGGTACTATGACAGAAAGTGGCTGAAAATGAAATGTAAAAAGAACTAAATGTTATCAACAAACACCCAATAGAATCGAAAGCACTGGTTGGAATAGTTTATTTAGAATTAAGATATATTCAACAAAAATTCAAACTTTTCATTTTCCTCCGGCAAATATCCTACCTTAGTAAATGGAGACTCCTTACCTCTTTTGAAATATCTGTAACTTCAATGTCAAGATACTTTGCCGCAGGTTTCAGGCATTTTGCAGTTAAACACAACTGACATAGATCAGCATGCACAGATGTCAATTGAGATGGATGTTCTTGAACCTGTTAAATATGTATTTACTTAGCAAATACAATATTATAGTATATGTATGTTTTATCGGTACTCCCATAGTGTGTGTACCAGATTAGGGTTAGGTCATGATTTTATTTCGATTTCCCTTATTTTAGTTCTATTATGAGTTCGGAGACTGTCTGTGTTAGTCAAGTGAATATACCCCCTGCCCATAGGTTTCAGTCCCTTTACATAACTTGATGTGAAGTAGGCGAACAAATTAGTTACTTCCATATTGGTACACATTACACACATTTTTGTAGTGTCGTTTTATCTACTGTTGAAGTCATGGTACTTTGACAGGACACAAGCAAAGATTTTTTAAAACACTAAATGTAGACAAAATGGGGAAATTGGCAAGTAAAGTAGTAAAGGTTCCAAAATAGAAAAATCTGAGGAAAATCATGCCATGGAGTAGAAAGAAAACACAAATATAGTATTCTGGATATTCAACACAGATTCCATATAAAATTTATATGTAATTATCAAATAATATATCCATTTTTTGGCACATCAAACCATGTTTAAATCAACACTATAATTAATAGTGATAAATTACTATAACAGAATAACAGTATACATAAATATTAAAGAACTACAGGAATTAAAAAAAATCTGAACTAATTAGGCATCAGCATACCTGCTCTATAATTCTGGATATAAGTTTGATTCCACGAATTGCCATATTTCTTTGACATAACTCATTAGTAAGAGTGTGACACATCTGGGCAACTGAAAAAAAAAATTGATTCTACTAGATACATGTAGATACGCGTAGATAAGTTGAAATGATATGTCTCAGCAATATTGTACATACAGTTTCCAATCGAATATCTTGTTTGGTCTTTATTACACTGACTCACAAACAAATCAACTTGTAGAAGCAATTGTTCAAATTCTTCTTGATTACTGGATGATTGAAATGTAGATACTTTAACACATCTGAAATGAAACATATATTTAGTGATTGTAAATAGCTCACAAACATATTGACGACTAACCAACCTTTTATTCTATTTAGACAAGCATAAATACAATAGGTTAAAGAATTGATTTAGTCTATGCATCTGAAACAAATAACTGGTTAACTAAAACCATACCCAACATAGACTTGTAACAGGATGAGAGACTGTGGTTCATGGTATGGATAAGCCATTTTATTGCCTCCAACCCAGGATAAATATGTGAATCCTGTGGATACTAGTTTAAATTATTCAAAAACTTCCATTAGTTTCCTTATGCAGTTTTGAGGATTTGTAATATTTAAACTTGGGTAAAATGATGTGCCACATCAAATATTAGTGTTAGGTGTTGCAAATTATTGGTATATTTAACAAATATTTCTATAAAAATGATAGGTATTCAATATAGTTTCTAAAATGTTTAAGGTAAAGGTTTATAAATAGTTTATAATCTTTTTTGAATTTATCGAGTATGGAGCAGAATGCAACTTCTGGATAAATGCTAAATTTTTCGATACCAAATAGAACTTACAAGATGTACAATACTCCTAATGTATGTTCTTGTATATCTAAGGCTTCCAACATAGTATCAAGATGTGAAATGTTTTTAACAAGGAGGTTCCATGATTTGTTCATATGATCGCATAGTTGACTCAACTGGCCTGAACAAGAAACAATTTGAAGCAAAGAAAAATATAAGACTTATTTGATATTCTGCATACTAAATGCTGAAACGAAGAGCAACAAGATGTGGTGTTGATTTAGTAGCATATTGCGTATTTCTATATTTGAAACTTTAGAATTTGACCTGTTATTTATGCAAAATAAAAAAAAGATGTTTCTGTCTCAAACTTTTTCGATATTCAAGATAGAAAGAGTCTAATTCAGAAATTCCCCTAATCACCAAATACTGAAATAGGCTAGCAGAATAATGGAAAAGACTAGTTTCGTGGACCCAGATATCATACAGCCATAAGTCAGTAAGTTTAGGAATAACTGAAAAACCCATTTTAAGTAGCCTAGTCTATACAATACTAATCAGTACAATACCTGAATAACGTGGGTCTGGTATAGTTTAGTACCACATCCACTTCTACTTGGCCTGGCTAAACAATTTTTGCATATGTCAATCCTAACCCCCACCTGACTACGTCACCGAAAAACTACGTCATTCGGACGTCACAGTGGCGTAATAAGGCCCACCGAAGTATGCGGATGGTCGTCCAAAACGCGCAGACGATAACCCGAAATCGAGCAATCTATTTCTCTCGTTTTCTCGTCGCAACGATCACGATAGGAGAGAGATCGCCTACTTTAGCAAGTTCTTATCGGCGGCGCAGATGCCATTTCGGGCGATCATAATTATACTTTGGCAATCCCTATGACGTGATGGTGACGTCGTAGTGACGTAATTTTTAGATGGCATAGTCAGGTGAGGGTTAGAAATAACATATGCAAAAATCGTTATGCTACGCCCACTGGAAGTACATGTGGTACTAAACTATACTAGACCCAATAACGTACCTTGCGATGACAAGTTCCGCACGGTGTTGACAAATTCTTCCAAATTTCCTGACATCCTTCTGAAATTCAGTCCTCATTTACAGAATTAGCTCTGCAGTTTATGGGGAAAAAGAAGACTATCGTGTCCTTATGTCTGTATGTCAATGTCAGTATGTCCAGTTTTTTTTTAGTTCCGGAGTCGGTGGTCCTGGGATCCCGTATATTTCGAATTTAGAAGTAAGAGTGCAGCGTAACGAGTCTCGGCTGCGCTGTGGTTATAAACTAGATTACTAGAATATGCAAGACCTTTGACCTCAGCAATGCAAAGAATCTGGTAGATCAGGGTCTGATCAAGGTGAGAGAGAGAGAGTTTATTTCATTTTGTCAAACCAATGACATTAAACAACATGATAGGCAACTCTGACGTCACTCCATAAGACTACATGCGAAAGATTGTATTTCATGATACGCTCCAATGCACATATTTCTCGTCGCCTTTCGCGACGGTTTTCCGCTTGCTTTTGCTACTCGGCGTTCTTTGCGTGTAGTACCTGCCTTTTTGCGCCTGTAACGAAAGAAAATAATCTCTATATCTGAGAAGTTTTGCTCATTTGGAAAGCTGGAATGGCAGACAAGCTGTAAAGAGTAATTCTGAACATCATAGACGTTTTTTTTATCAGAGAATATTACAAACGCGATAGCGTAAAGATTTGTGTGAAACATTTTGCAGATAATGACAAAGTTCAAAGTTAGTAATTTTAATGTTTGCGTTTAAACATTGAAATTTCATTTAAAGAGGGTGTCATACAAAACAGCAAAACTGTTTTTACTTCTCAAGGTGCTGTGATACAATTCCATAACACAAAGTTTGCACCTATCGAACTTGTTTTAGTAGGTGAATTTATTAGACATATTACATATTCAGTTAATCGTAGGTAACATTACTGGTACATAATGCCTCGTAGATAGGTTTGTGTCTAAATTTAGGAATTTAGCTCATAGCCCGCTAATTAATATTATCTTCTATGCAGGAGATTGCAGGGCTGATTCAACTTGCAGCCTTACCAATCACCTGACGATGCTCATTTAGTTTGTCTCGAGCAAGTCTTCTTGAAAGACTTGTGTGAATGGAGACTACCTATATGTTTTGCCTTCCTCCGATTTTAGAAGACAAATTCAATCTGAGGAATTTTGCATATAATTATCATTGATTGTTGGCTGTTTATAATTCCTATTAAATGTGAATTCTGATTATATCAAAGAGTTAAACATTTTTTACGTAATTTACGGGCACTTTTTTCTTGTCAATACTCCAAGCTGAGGTAATAAGCAAGACAATACATTCATGGCATCTGAAAGCAAAATATACACACTAATTAAAAGTTTGACACATTGAGATAATACATCATGACAGAAAATACAAAGATACAGTATGTATGACCATCACATGGTAATTAAAATTTAAAAAAAAATTAATAGAGGCTGTGGAGTATGAAAAGTTCAAGACAAAGAAAAGAACAAAAGTTCATAGCTCATGAACTCTCAATTCTGCCTCCATTGCTTTGTGAAGGCCAATATATTCCGAGTGGCTGAATTGGTTTACCTTTATGATAGCAACGGTTTTGTATTTAATATAGCGAGATTTTTTTTCAATTTAATTGAAGTGATATTATTTCCCAAAGGAATGCTTGAATCGTCTAGAATAGATCAGTGGTGTCAAACTCATGGGTTTCGAGAGCCGCATTGCATGTTGGAAATTGTAAAAAGGGCCGCAAACAGTTTTTGATAATGTATACTCGAGAGATATTTTTCAGGTAGTTTTAGTTTGTGACATATATTGTGATGCAACTAATCAGTTGGATTAAGTTTTATTATTTTCTTTAATTTCAAAAGCAATTATATATTAATATTTGCATTCCACTATTATTGCAAGTTACTGTATTTATTACAAAAAATCATAAAATTCCATGTACAACCATCAAAATCATTTTTGAACAAGCCTTGGTTAAGGAAAGAATAAAATATACACTAAAAATGACTTAATCTAAATATATGAACCTAAAATTAACAAAAATACTACAGTATAAACTCAATGTTTTTTTAATTACATTTGTCCTGACGTTTGGCATCTTCTTTGTGTCACCAGCATACTAAGGCCAGGCTGAAATGATTTTATAGTACCAACTCTAACTAACGAGGTCACATGATCATGGGTTAATCTGTATTTTTGCAAAAGTTTAATTAATTCCAGTAATGCAAAAAAGTTACTTTTATCATTTCATGTATAGATCAGTAAAAATAAAATGACAGATTTTTTCGACAAGACATTTCACGCTACATTGCATGGCATAGGATTGCTTGAATTATTATTAAAATTGATTTTTAGTAACTAAGTCGTTGTATATTTATATTAATATACAAACACATGGAAATTTTCTGTTCGGAGTTGGTCTTCGAATTTGTCATATTGACTGCTGAGCTTATTGTGTTTTTTCATTGTACTGATGGAAATATGACAAATTTAACAATGTGCTTCAGAACTTTGTGAAATGCAGAAATATTGCAACTCCCATTTTCTTCGAAAATGCCACCTTCTTCGTGTACTTTAATTTAATCACTCAAGTGTTTTATTCAGTATTCTTTTGCTAGCTTGATGTGTATTCTTAATTGAGTCAAAATGTGAACAAAAAAAAATTAACTTTCTAAAACTACTTTCAGTAAATTGTTTCTGTGTGAATATTCAATTTCACTTTAAAAGGTTTGAAAAATCTTTTACATTTAAATAAAAAAAATTCCAAAATACTATTACAATTATTGTTAAGCGTTCGAGGGCCGCACTGGAAGTTCTCTGGGGCCGCGAGTTTGACATCCCTGGTCTAGATTGAAGTTGTCTAAAATATATAACATTATTTTATCATGAATCATGATTATACCCTTTCCTGAATTTCTTCTATAGTACTACCAAAATTTGATGAACCAAATATAACACAGGTGTAGTCAGTGAACCGTAATCCTCATTTTTCAAAGCTGTTTTAAGTATGTCTGGCATGTTTTGTGCCTTTTTACAAAGAAGACCGCTTATGCAATCTTACGCTTTGAATTTTTAGTTATTTCCCTCAAGCCCTGCAGGATGTAGGGGCCATACACAACTTTACCGGAGGGTCAAATGTCTTTGCATTCCTCCATATGTTGTTCTTCTATTGCAAACATTTATGGAGTATTCTAATCATATTTCTTGGAATCAAACTGTCACTGATATGTCGCCAGACTTCTGATATCTCCCCTTCAGCTACAGTTGTCCTGTGAATAAATAATAGGAAATTGAGGTTAGACGAATAGTTGAAAGTTTTGTTTTATGTCGGCCTAATTTCTTGATTGATATACTCACTATTATTGCTATTGCCTCTTGTGCTGCAGGAGTCTCACAATGCTTAGACAGGTCTGTCCACAACTTTCACATCTGTAGGAGAGGAGATGTATTAATTTTCGTTAAGCATAAATAAAGCAGTCTATATGATTCAGAATGGAAAAGCTAATAAACCCAATATCTTATGTTTTTTGTAAAAAATGTTTTACTGGATTTGGTATATAAACCAACTAATAAAGGGGTTTAGTCAGAAAATTATAAGCATTCGTGGCTCCAAATACTTGAGAGATCAGACTATACAATATAGACCGGTATGAGTGAAATTTTAGGTGAACTTGTTAACCCGTTGATTCAATACGCAAATAAAAGTGAATGAGCAATAGTATGTTACAGCAATAAGTATATATCCTCACTGATTAAAAAAATCTAAATGGAGGTGCATGAACTATTTGAAACCATAAAGGTAAGTAAATATGCAATTTCGGCAGATGGCCAACTACGTACCGTACTGAATTATAAACTTCGCAGTATTTGACAAAAGCTGGCTTTCCCGCATGTACTTGACAGTGCGATGACCGGGTGTGATATACAACATTAGTATTTACCTTACTTTTTTCCGATTTCTTTTTACCTTCAATTTTCAACATATCATTAAAAACCACAACAATTGTCGAAGCAGGCTCGAACACCATTCGTGCTATGCCTTGAAAACAACACACATCCGCTCGTTTTCGTCTCGTCAAGTATGTGCATTGGAGCGTGCTATCGAATACGATCTTCGGCCAAAAATGCCGGAGTTGCGCATCATGTTGTTTAATGTCATTGGTCAAACCAAGAAAACAATTCATGCACACATAAAACAAATATCAAAAAAATAGTTTTCGGTATATGACTGGGGAGCAACGATACGACCTTTTGGGGTCATCAGAGTCAGTTGCCACCCAAGCAAGCATAAATAAGCATAAAAATAACAGATTCGTGTCAATATATCAATGTCTCTCACGATTTAAACTATGTACAATATTTACATGAATTTACTATTTTCAATTATGGAAGCATTCTTTTAGATAATGGGATTTTGCACAAATTAAAATTATATTGCAAAATATAAAATGATCGAAACGAAAAAAGTGGGAAAGCAGGTCAGACAAGCTACCCATTATTCGGGTGGTCCATATTTGTCGGCGACGGGGGCCACAAAATTGTTTTTGCATTGTTCGCGGGCCACAATAGTGCCACAAATAGGTAAACGATGCAATATGAAACACTTTTATTGTGCAAACCCATTGTTCATATGTCATTTATCAGGCTAACCCATGCAAAATCCACCCAAAAAATTACTAAAACCTGCAAAAGTCTTTCTATATCAACATAAAATGTAGAATTTCATCTCTTCGTAACGGAAAGAGTGCTTCCGCAAATGTAAGTGCTTTCGATACTTTTGTCACCGACACAACTTGTCGACATATCAAGCAAGCATTGTGGTATTTACCTCTACATCCAGTTAAAAATCTGTTCAAATTCGTCAGGTTTATTTTCAAACTTATGTTTACAAAATACCTGCACATTGATTGATTACCAAATGTAAGGTACAGAAGGGTAATTACTAAATTTTCTCATATTTAGGCAGCATTTTTTGTAATACTGTTTAGGTTGGTTGCGGAAAACACCCGGCATGAATTAAATTGTTAGGCCATAACATCAATATTTAGTTATCAGGCATAGCCTGAGAATTAGTTATCAGGCTAATAGAATCCGCATTCAATTTTCAGTTTTCAATGATGCCAGAATTGTTAGCATATTTTTCCGGACAAAACGAAAAAAATCCAGATAACAATTTAGTCTGCCAAACACGCCATTCAATTTCGGTAGTTGCCTCAGCCAGCCGCAACACTTGTCTATTCAGTGACATTAGTTATGTAACAAATGTCAAAGGATTTTTCTGGTTAATTTTATGACGAAGCGACACGAAATGCGATTTTTTGATTAGTCTCCGAATGCTACGCGGGCCACAGATAATGAAGCGGCGGGCCACATGTGGCCCGTGGGCATGGGTTTGGACCACCCTGTGGTACATAGCAGATGCACATTTTGGTGGTGATTCTACAGCATAACCGTGTTTGTGATATCGCTAATGCAGGTTGGTTTTAAAATCAAAATTGTGACATTTACTATTTAATTGGCGCTGATAGATAGATACCGTAAGACGTGTTTAAAGGAGGAGGTTAAATACAACATTCTGAGATAGACAGTTCGTCTGCATCACAACTTTGTTTACTACAGTCGATACAATTTGAAGCAATGTCTCGAAAATTTCCGGACAATTTTATTTCGAGAGTGTCTATCATGAAAGGAAGTCCAGATATCCCTCTCTAGCAATCACGCTTGCAAGGCGACTAAGAAAACTTTTCGATAGACACCTGTGTGGTGTTTCTCGGGTATTTGGACGGCGGGGAATAATGGGAGGTGTCAAGTCAATAGTTGCTAAGATTTGTGAGAGATATCACCCAACACGGACACACAATACACCAAAAATTCTAGGTCTAGGTCTAAAATTCTAACCAAACTAAAATGTCACATGGGTGGTGTATAAATTTTGCGCTCAAACTGAACAAACAGATAAATAAGTACATAATTGAAATCAAATTGATACAGCTGCGCAGCCAACGAGGCTTGATACCTTACATTTTACAACGACGTGATATTTAGTATAATTTACGGGTATACAAAACAAAAAAACAGCAAAACGGACAGCGCACATTTCTCCAACATTAGGAAACCAGTTTTTCTTGTTTCAATAATTAATATATGCACATATTGTTTGAATCTGCCGATCCCCAATTCAATTCGATTGCAAAAATCTATAATATATGAAAATTCGTCGCCACAGCTATTGTGTGCTTATTTGTACTCTGATGGATCAGCGGGGTTTATTCCGCCAAAGTACGTTCTAATAGTACTGAAATAGAATACGCAGATAGTATCTCATGTTTAATATAGCGTTTACAATCATAACCATCATTTATGAGTGCCGATGGGATTTTAACTTTTTGTTAATGAATATAAACGCCAGTGAGAAAGTAGTTTTTTCATGAGTTATGTTTATATGAAGAATTATTTTGTCGCCAAGAACTTTAATGAAATGTTAAATATTATTAACCAATTTATTGAATAGGAGTTTGAGTCGATTCTTTCCGATTACTGAGTCCCATGGTATTGCTTCTTGGCAGATCAATTTGCTAACCCCACAGTAAACATATCAAGACAAAAACTAGAATATCGGTTGGAAACCGAAGACTTATCGATCGAGGTTAGGGGATCCCCCAAAACAGTGGTATTACCTCATAGTGACACCGTGTGTCCCATCACTAATTAATTAATTACTCGCTAATTATAAGACATACTCCATCCAAAATTAATAGGCTTCTGATCCGAGCTATGATGAATGCACATGCAAAATTTGGAGCAGATTCAACCTCGCTTTTGTGAGATATCGTGCGCATCTAACACACAGACATACAGACATACAACTACCTATCAACCTACGTACCGATCTTAAAATCGATAAGTAATAACAAAAACACACGCCAGCACGACTAAAGATTTTATTTTAGACGTCCTTAGATCGTGCACCCTTAGCCAGGTCAATCACGCCTTTACACACATTTTTTCTGCTGCAACTATATTGAAGCTCCTCAAATATGAGGTGACGCACAACCTGAACAACCCTAACCTGGTACACATACTATGTTCAGGCTGTGTGCCATGTTGGTACGAATACTTCGGGAGCACCCAATTAAAAAACACAACTAAAAACTGACAAATTACTAGCGAAACCACAAAAACGAGGTAATGTCCACAGCTATTCTTGAAATTATATATGAATGAAAAAGGAGTCTGCTCGGCTGCTAAAATTCCAATTGTTTCGTCACCGTTGATATCTTGCTGATTGGTCATTGTTGGGTGAGTACGGGGTAAGGTAAGAAAAGAATGCGTATGCTCGGAGAAACATCAATCGAAATGAAATCTATCAAAACTTCGTGTCCCCTCAAGATAGGGTTACCATATATTGTTACTTTAAAGCGGGATGCCTCCAAAGACACGACCCCCTAGCTGTGATCCCGTAACTTTACAATTTCCGATTTTACTACATAGGACTACATTTAAAGCCATCCCGGCTGTCTTTATTGACCATATTGTCATCGAAAGTTTAAATATCGGGTTCAATTCGAAAAATAGAAAGGAATATGAATATATATACGCTAACGACACAAATGATCCGAATTTAGATCTTTTTATGTACAGCAAAAGGAATAAAGAATATGAAATAGTTTGCCGTTTTCAAGCATAGAGAATTTACTTATTCACCCATGCAAGCTTTTCTGTAGATAACACCTTCAAAAAGACGTTGTTCAATGTTACATTCACGTGAACATCCGAACAGGACCAATTAGAATTGATTTTGCATGTGATACGTTTGCTAACAATGTTAGCGAGAAACAAACAAATTAACGCATTCACCCTCAGTAAGTAGGCTAGAGTTGCGCTACACAGCAACAACAGTAACGAGAACATGTTCACGTGGATGGCTGCTCGCCAAAGCGGTACTTTTGGCTGACTTGTCGGGACGGCGGGACAATATGCTAAAAAGCGGGACAGTCCCGCCTAAAGCGACGTATGGTATGCTACCTCAAGATCAACGCAGATCAATCATGCGGACTCGGAGGTTGTCACGGACGCAGGACCGGATTTAGGAGATTTAAGACCCTGAGCTGAGCCATTTATAGGCCTTTTAATAATAACGCCATAAAATATAATGGCGTCATATAGAAGGCTTTGAATTGCGCGAAAACACTTATCGACTTCGAATTTTGTATGCATTTCAGCATTATAGGATGTTTGATGATAATTGAATCTGAATAGGCTAAAATGTATATAAAAGTGTACAACTCAAAAAAGAACTAAAACGGAACTGAAATTCCATCGGGTAAAACATTGTTCCGTGTATGATTCGGAAAATATTTTGCGAACTAAAAGTAATGTTAGAAAACTTATCAAAGAAATACATCTATGGAATCAACTTGGATTTTTTTAGTGATTTTTGCAAATTTACACTTTAGTTCCAATGTTCAAAACTTCATGCTGCCTTTCATGCATGCTTTTTTTTATCTGGTTTGTACATTTGATAAATTATTGGTGATTTTTTTATGTCTTAGGAAGCAAAATATTTCCTACAGCTATTTACTTATTTAGAAATATACATCCAGGAATTCCAGACCCAGAGTGTGCTGCATTCAAATATTTAAAATCAACTTCGTATATATATATATATATATATGATATGTGGGGTAAATTCTGGTGATTACCATAATTGGACGGAAGAAGTCGTCAGAAGTCTATTAAATTTAATTTATCTACCTAAATTTTGTTATATTTTGTGTAAGTTGTCCACAGATTCTTTAAAGCATTGCCCGATTCTCAATCGTGTTTTTTGTATTCTTCTATTATTATTTTTTATTTCGTGGGCGGGCGCGTAATTTTACGTTTTTTTAACTTTATGTTAAGATATGCTCGTCTTCCAGGTATCTCTGCATTTAGTTTCTTCGTCTACTCTTTGCGCTGTTTTGTTTTATGTCAGAGTACCGAAATAAAGAACCTCCTGAAGTATGCGCACCAAGACGGCGCACAACCTGAACTCAGGTTGTGTACCAGGTTAGGGTTCAGATTATTCGACATCTTGGTGCGCATACTTCAGGAGCACCGAAATAAATGATTGATTGATAATGGCCTTCTATCGAATGCCTGCTTTCAACTTTTGAAAATAGAAGTGAAATTTTATTGGTTCATTGGTTATTGTAAAAACGCTTTTGTCAACAACAGCAACATAACCATATTTTAGCAGAACAAAACATATCTTTACTTCGTGTCACTTTCATCGCATCGCTTATAACCCTGGTCCGTTCCTGATTCTAATTCCTCAGGAAATATTTCACATGCAACATGATTTGTGGATTTTACTGGATAAGTGGTCGGCGTAAGCGATATGTGATGAAGATGTCTTAGGTTGAGGCCTTCACCTCTCCCAGAATAAATAGTACAATGCTTCTGGTAGGAAGATGGTTAAAAACGGCAATTCCAAAATGACTTTTGAACGAATATTGTTTATATAAATACGTACACATGGAAAATTGTCAATAATCCGGAATTTACGATAAGAGTACAATTGAATTACATACAGATAACAAACTGCATTAAAATAATGAATTTTCTACTATTATAATTTTGTACAGTAACCAAGCTAATTTTTATGTTCAATGTCTCTTTTATTCGAATATGAAGCTACTCATGGCGATTCTCATCAGCTGTATTCACTCATGCATATCCAAATCTCCTTAGCGCTAGTTTGTTTACAAACATTAGCTCTTTACGAGTTCCCATTTTTGTCTGATTGCTGGTTCGTGTATGTAGCTGCCCGAGGATTTCTGCATTCTCATTCTCACTGTCAGTAAATTTCCGGAAAGATGGATTCACGTGTGCACTTGAAATTGGATAGAACTGCTGGATCTTCCATCGATGCCTATTTAGAATATAAACGGTAAGCTCTGATTTTGGAACTGCCATGGTTCTGTGATAAAAAAAAAATTACAATACCTGAATACACAAGACAAACAGACAGACAGGTATGACGAAAATTCAGAAAGTTTCCAAAACTACAAATGAGATTTGAAACAGCTTTCAGGATTTAAAAGTACTACATGAGACCCGACATAATGTTACAGACATGGTAAAACTCACCTTGTGCCATAAAATATACAAATATAGGTGAAAAACTTGATAAGATATCCTCAAATAGGCATTTAAGCTCAATGAGCATTGTAATAATCAAATATTACATAAACAAAACCTAGTATGCAAGGGAGTATATATCACATTGGAAATTGAAACTTGATCTCTTACAGGATTGTTGGAGACGATGATAATGGAAAACTTTTTACTCCTGAGGAGTATGAAGAATATAAAAGGAAAGTTCTTCCATTGCGATCTAAAAACAGGTATAAAAAAACACTACCAGCGGAAGTATAAAAATAAATCAGTATTTGGATGCAATTCAAAATATTAATATGCATTAAGTATATTGGTTCTCACCAACAATAGCAGCGTTGGTAACTTAGGATTGCATTTTGAGTTATGGATTCACTGAATTCAATATAATAATGGTGTTTCAGTCAATACGTGTGTGAAAAATATGCTATTTCATACCGCATTTTGATATAAGAAACAAGTATGATACATGCAAGTTAGTGAGTAATTTTACTTTAAAGTGTTTATTCTTTTTTATATTAATGCTCACAAAATGATTGAGAGTGAGTTATCCCAGAATAAAAATAAATGCAGGTATTTCAAGATTTCAGGGAGTGGTTTTCATCACAAATCCCTAGTGATCATCTTAGGAAATTTCAACTTTGCATATTTCCTATGTGGTCAATCACAGCTGGTGCTGGCCATCATACCTGAGCTGTTTCATTTTAACACAAATATAAATGCTATGACTTATTTTTATTAGATTGTATGTGAGCTGGAGTAACAGTCAAGGTATGGATTGCAAAATCATTGGACCTGAAACCAAATGTTTTTGTCAACACAGGTATGTATCAATAGACTGTTTTTAGTTCATTGATGTTTGAATGTATTATGTAAGATAGCAGAATGCACTGACCAAAGCGTATTAATAAGCGAGAGGTCTCTATGGGCAAGGCAAATGTTCAAAGCATATGGTTATGTTTCTTACAAATTTCTTCAAATGAAATAGTGACGGGTTATTTGTATGTTTTGAGAAATAGCCATGAGAAATTGTTATCCTTACTAAGGTTTGATTTATGGATAGTTTATCTTTTTTCTCTTGGGTAGCTTCTTTTATGTTGAAATGTAATTCATTTGTAAGTATATATAAATCTGTTGTCAAATTGATCTAAATAGTATGTAGTATGAAAAAGTTACAAATTGTGTAATCCGGTGTGATATTTGTATTCATCAAATAAATTCTATTCTCAGATATAGACAACACCAAACTGATTTTGAATCAATTCCAGAAACAAGACCTATACATCTTCCATGCAAGGTTGACTGTTTTATTTATTGTTTAAATCTCAATGTAAAACTCACAATTTCATGGAATTGGCTATGCAAAATCTTTCTGTCTGTATATTTTCCCATATATGCTATATGTGATCACCATTATATATTGTTAATACCTAATCCACCAAGCTCCAATACTCAGACTATGATTGTGATATTTTTGATAAATGTTGTTTGGATAGCAAAGCAACTAGAAACATTATAGAAATTGTTAATAATAATCTATACAAATAATATACTGATCTATTTTATTTTAAGGTGAAAAATTGCTCCTGTCGATCCTATGAATATATACCCACAATCGGCTCACAACCAATCAGATGTCACTGCAAACATTTCGCTACAGATCATTCTGCTAAAAATGATCATCAGTGTACTAAACCAGGTAGGTTCGTTGTAAGTATAATTCGAGACATCGATCAGAGGTCAAGGCCTTTTTACAAATGTAATGCAAGTTTCTTTATATCAAATATGTTTATTGTAATCCTGTTTACAGACTTGTCTCTTCTGGTGTGAACTTTCACCAACCGCATTTAACGAATCGAATGAAATCGTCATATTTATTTTTTATAAAATACCCCTGCGCTATGATTGAACATCAGCCAAATTATTATTATTTCTCTATTACGATGTCAGAAGTACCATTGTGTTATTAAAATTTGGGTCCTCCGGAAGTATGTGAACCAAGATGGCGGACACCGGAACATAGTATGTGTACCAGGTTAGGCCATAATTGTATTCCATTTTCCTTATTTTAGTTCTATTACAAGTTTGGGGACTAGCCAAGTGACTCTCGTAGTATTTGTACTTGAAATTATGGCCTATCCCTAACCTGGTACACACACTACTTTCCGGTGTCCGCCATCTTGGTTCACATACTTCGGAAGTATCAAAATTTTAGCATTTATCGATTTTTGTTGAGGTTCGATCATATCTTCACATAATCTGAAAATATGATTTTGGTATTTTGAGAATTTAATAAATTTTTCTTCCGATCTTTGCATTTCAACTATGCCAAGTTGGCAAAGTTTTCACAAAACAAAATAATTAAACTAAAAATGAAATGTTGAATTGAATTTCATAATAAATCAAGATATTTTAAGGTTGTACTTGTCAAAACTTTACAACCTCATTCAACTGTGGATGTGGAGAGATTGTTGGTTGTCATTCAATGATTGTTGAAACAAAAGAAGAAAGATTTGGACGTGGTCATCCAGTTGCGAGGGAAGAGCCAGGATATGCAGCAATGGGAGGTAAACGAAATATTCTGAGTTTATGTGAAAAACGTGATATATATCAGTATATTCCTAATCAGAAGAAGGCTGTATTAAACTAGAATGTAGTGAGTATAACATATCATTATATAGGTGTTTAGTACAGTGTTTCCCAAGCTTTTTCAATATATTCCTTCCTAGTTTATAATGTATGCATGATTATGTATTATGGTAATTGTAAATAAAGTAACGAATAATATTATACTCCATCCTAATTGGAAATCCTTGTCAAAGACTTGTTCATAGTAAAACACGGGTATACAAATAGGTCAATAGGTCTTGCAATTCTTTCATTTTTCTTATTTACCCATTATTCATTTTTATTAACCTAATATTCATAATATAACATACAGGTATAACCGGATTCAGTTCATTAATTGATGGATATATGAGATTGGATGATAGTGGTGTAGGTGCTCCTCCTCTTGAATGGCTGGAGCAACCAACCACAAGTTCTGATCATCCATTTCTAAGAGCCTATGACCCCAAAGGTTTGTATACTTTCTTTTTTCAATACTCCAATAAAAGTAAAACAAGATGGTATGCAATGATGTTTACAAATTTTTGTCATTGTTATGATGATGTAAGCTTTAGACTTGCTTGAACTGTTTACTCTAATAATTTTTGCTATTGGTGCTTTTCTGTGGTATTCAGTATATTTGCTGCTTTTCTGTGGAGCAGCAGCAATACTGAATACCACAGAAAAGCACCAATAGAAAAAATTGTTTGATAGACTGCAACTGCAAGCACATTCACAAAATTAAAGGCAAATTGATGTGAAAAACATGTAGCAGATGTGAATTTTACTCAAAATTTGATATTCAAAAACTGCTTCCCAAACTAGTATCATATTTCTCATGGTAAGAATTGTTAATATGGAAATGTCTCTAAACAGGAGTGCAACCAGCGAAAAGCAGACCTGGCATAAAGCCAAAGCCATCATCTTTGACAACTCAGAAACAACCAATGACCAGAAAAGTTGCTTCAAAAACAACTTATCACCGGAAAGGGACTTGACAAACGCCTTGCCTGACTCGTTGTGGAATTGTTTGAAATATTTTTTATGAAGTGTTGTTAAATTCTTTTAAGTAGTGCTATCTGTATTGAAAAGATATCAGTATTCCTACACCTAAACCAACCATGATAGAGCAAATACAAGCCGAAGAACATAATTTATCAACAAATTATCCACAATTTTTGTGATGCAAAATTTCATTTCACGCGTAGCTGAAAATTTTGAACATGATTTTATCGTATAATTTCACAGACTGCTTTCAGCTTTTTTAAAGCATATTCTACATCTGAGGCATCTATTCCATTGTAAAACACTGCTCTCATTGATCGTTTTGCAAGAGCTAGTATTTTAACACATATTTTATTTTCACCTGATGTATCTGTTTCAAAACAAAATTTATTTTTGTTTGTTATACTAATTTTAAAATAGTATGGTACCTTTTAAATATTCAGTACATATTAACTAGTGTCTAAATGTCATGCACGTCAACAAAAGTGTTGAAGAGCCATTTTGCTATTACATCAGTTAAAAAAAGTATTGGACTTCACAGCAATTTATTAATGTGAGATTCGTCATCATCTAAGACTCCCCTTTACGATGTATAGACAATTTTGGAACAGTATGCGCACCAAGATGGCGCACAGCTTGAATTCAGGTTGTGTACCAGGTTAGGGTTCAGGCTGTGCGACATCTTGGTGCGCATACTCTAGGAGTACCCAATTTTGTTAATTCAGTTACTAATTCAATCTCAATGGCCGATATATGACTCAAGTCATTTTGAGTGTTTGGTTAATGGTGATGGTGACTAAGCATTATATTACCTTGCAACATTTTCACAAATTCTTCATCACTGCATTTGACATTATCTCGAAGATAGAACCAAACCACGTTGGTTTGAACATCATTCATTCTTATTCTTATCAAGTCATCAGCGAATGATTGCAAGCCTGAAAAAATTTTACGTTAAATTTTTTCATGCTCTCCAATGGAAGCTTTAAATAGATGCAAAGAATATATAAATCTTATGTGGTGCAAGAAACACATATCATATATGGGGTGTACTAGAGTATTGTGTACTGAACTGCAAGTCCTTTCTCTTTGTTTCTTTCTATTGCGGATCCGTATGTGTCAGTTGCCACAAGGATACTTGAACGAGATAGTATTGTGATATAACGAGAGCTCATAAATAAACTTACTATTTCGTGGAAAGAGATTATATTATTCATAAATATATCCTAACTAAGAATAATCAAGATTTCAAATAATCTCAATGTCAATATCAAAATTAGTTCAAAGAGATTATTTCCTTTTAAAATGCTCTATAAGCAAATGCACAATTGCCTTCCAAAGGGAAAGTGTTTGATATGTAAGAAAAATTCATGTTTTTATTCAGCAAGTCCTGTATAATTTTTCACATGTGCCTTTTTGTCTCTGTTTAATAAAGCACTCACTGTATGTTTTGTATCACTGTATGCTTTTTTAGGTTTATTTGTTAAGCTTAATTATATTTTTGTATTCTTCTAATGTTCAATGTTAGTTTCCTTTTTTATTATAATAAATTCACCTTCAGCAAATCTTTTTGCATTGATATGATCATCTTCAAGTCGGTCTACCATTTTTGTTAAAGATATGATGCCGGCTGCAGCTAGTACACCGCTTTGTCGCATCCCTCCACCTAACACCTGTTAATAAATAAAAAGCCATTGTAGCGTAATTTTTGAATCACTATATGTGAAATTGTTGTTCTGAACTATTTTTAATATCGCAGCATGAAGATATAATATTTGAAATCAAAACAAATGTCATAAAAGTAGAATACTAGCTATGCTTTTTGACTCTAAAGATTTTTTTTGGTGTTGTCCACTTCACAGGATGCATTTTCAAACACAGAAGTGGTACTCAGATTTGAAAACGGATTATACTGTAATTATATCTAAGCATTGCTGTTTTCTGTATTGAAGCACAATCCATCAACTTGACTACATGTGCCTTACTTTTCTCAATCTCCTTGCTTTATTTATGAAGTCTGTGCTTCCAACTATCACTGAACCAACAGGCGCTCCAAGACCCTGTACATTATAAGGATTGTCAAGATTATAAAGTTTAAACAAAAACACAAACCAAGACAAACGAGGCGTGCGTCAGAAATGGCCATTGTATACTTTTGAAGCGCTCAAGGTGTAATCACCTGGTCAATCTGATACAATCACATCATTTGGAATACAACGTGAGAAAGTGACAAAGATATTCCGAGTGAAAACTACTTAACTGTTATTCATCATTAATATACATTGCAAAATTACAAGACTTCGGGGCAGTCACATTTCTTACGCCAGACGTCCAAAATGCGTTTTACCGTCAAATTTAGATCGCTTCTTATTGAAACAGTGCCATGCGGAAGTGTAAGATCAGCTAACAGCAAATGACTTTTATTCAGAAAAAAAACTTGTTTTAAACGATATTCAAAGGGTCGTGGCAACTCTACTCGGCATATCTCATTGAAGTGTACACATACCGGAAGGAATATTTGACAATGTAGCGACAATTAGTGGGACGAAGCATTTCGTGTTACCTTCGAAAGACAGATATTTGCAGAATCCACCCATTTTGTTAGGTCAGTAGGTTTGCATTTAAGAGCAACCATCGCATTCCCTATCCGTGCACCATCCATATGAATTTTCAATCCCAAACTCTTGGCAGCATCATGCACCTGAAATATACCTAATTACATTATAAATTTATACATAATCAGCAGTCCTACGTGGTTGAAACAAGGGCAAATGAATAGCACTTGAGGCCGCTCTAATCGATAAAACCTAGTTCGGCCTTATCATGTTACTAATAAATTAAATGTTACCTCTTTCATGTATGAAATTGGAAGGACTTTTCCGTCAAACGGATTTTCAATTACAACAGCTTCGGGTTTAGCATGATGGAAATTTTCTCCAGTCCTGTGATGTCGGATCATGTCTTTAGTATTAAATTCTCCATCTGGCATCATAGGTAGAAACTTCGGAGAAATTCCTCCAATCTGTTCGAAATGCCCACAAAAAAATATTTTGAAAAAATATTATGAAATTGGACGTGTATCATCACAATATATAACATACAGTATATAATCATAATTAAGATATCTGGCATGAACACAAATTGTTAAATTTAAACCGAAAAGTCAGGGATAATGGAACTGTATAAAGCTGACACGAAGAATTGTTAATGGTCAAATTGACGACACAAAGATTCTATCTCACCTGGGCAATGCCGCCTTGCTCCCAAACTGACATATGTGAATTATCTCCAATGTAAATTTGTGAACCTCGTCCCCAGCAGTGCGACATTGCAGACAAAAGGTTGCCCATAGTGCCCGTTGGTACGAAAAGCGCTTTTTCTTTTTCAAACATATCAGCAGCAATTGTCTCCAATCCTAGCTTTAAAATAAAATAATTTATCGCATCTTATAGAGAGAAAATCGTGGTTTAATTTGTCTGCGACATGGACAGACTCTTTGGATCAGAGATATCCTCCACCGTGTAAGATATAAAACAAACCTAAATCATTCTAACAATCACTTACTGGCAACGGTTGGATCTTCCCCGAAAACATCGTCGCCAACTTCAGCTTCTGCCATTGCCTTCCTCATTTCATCAGTTGGTTTGGTCAGAGTATCACTTCTGATATCGACAACTCGAATTTCTTTACTGGTATCCATAAGGTCCGTCTCACGGCCTAATATTAAATCCTACGCCGAATGTATTCCAGATACCTTACGACAGTGCGAGGTCGAGAAGTTGTGCCTGTGAAGTGTAAACCAACCGAATCGGTCGTCACGTTTGAATCGTTGTGCAAACAATGCTGTTAATTCGCACGTTCTTTGTACTAGAGCTGAACCACTTGTCTGCATTCGCTTCCTCCTTATCAATCGTTAAACGCTATTATCCGAAAACCTCCCGTAATGAGCGCGGCATAAAACAATAAGTTAGCGGTCCAGCTTATTGAATAAGACACCTTTGGTGCAAGAATAGTTAAGTTTTTCTGCGATGAGTGAAATAAATGTATTGAACAGCTTGAAATGCGCCAACTTGCAAAATATACAGACTTAAAACTATATTTCAAGCGTATAAAGAAAATTAATACAAAACGCCCACCCTGGGAAAATGATTTTCTTCACAAATGCACGAAATCGAATGCAAATATCGGCTTATAATATCCAGAAATCATTTAAACATAGTAGACATTTTTCTCTTAGGGTAAGATTCTTACATTCATCTCTGGTACGACAAAACCGCTTCGTACATCTTCGTCAGTAATAGCTACCATACCAGTGATTTCCCTACACCCCCCCCCCCCCCCCCACTCTATAGGAGGTGAAAATCCCCCTTAATGTTCAACCCCCCCCCCCCCCAATCAAGAAAATTTAAAGATGTCATAAAACGAAAACTAGTCACTGGAAACAGACATTTTCAGATGAATGGCAGCGTTTTTATTTCTTTATTGAAAAGAACTAAACTTCAGCGATTTGTCTTTCTTGCCAACAAAATATTTCAGTTCTGAAGGAATACAACATTATGCGCCATTGTGATCAGTTGACGCGCGTATTTCAAAATTTAATTCATTGCCTAATTCATACAAAAGTCAAACAAACATGTTCGAAAAAATGTTAAATGTGTAACAAAACAAGCCATAAGTAGCCATTCATACGATGCCAGGTGCTAGATGAACAAGTAACTTCATTAGTCACTATCAGTTGTAAACTTGCTTGAAAGCCGTGCTTGTTATTTATTTCTCGGGAATTCTATCAGCCAAATATTATAATTATTAATTTCATTACATAATAAACTGCGATGCTATGTCTAGTCAATGACATTAAACAACATGATGCGCAACTCCGGCATTTTTGTCCGAAGATCGTATTCGATAGCACGCTCCAATGCACATACTTGACGAGACGAAAACGAGCGGATGTGTGCTGCTTTCAAGGCGTAGCACGAATGGTGTTCGTGCCTGCTTTGACAGTTGTTGTCGATTTTAATGATATTTTTGAAAGTTGGGGTAAAAAGAAATCGGTAAAAGGTAAGGTGAATACTATTGTTGTATATCACACCCGGGCATCGCACTGTTAAGTACATGTGGGAAAGCCAGCCTTTGTCAAATACTACGAAGTTATTAATTCAGTACGGTACGTAGTTGCCCATTTGCCGAAATTACATATTTACTTACCCCTTATGGTTTCAAATAGTTCATGCACCTCCAGTTAGATTTTTTTAATCAGTGAGGATATATACTCATTGTTGATTGCTGCTCATTGTAACATACTATTACGCATTCACTTTTATTTGCGTATTGAATCAAAGTGTTAACAAGTTCACCTAACATTTCACTCATATCGGTCTATATTGTATAGTCTGATTTCTCAAGTATTTGGAGCCACGAATGCTTGTAATTTTCTGACTAAACCCTTTTATTAGTTGGTTTATATACCAAATTCAGTAAAATATTTTTTAAATAAAACATGAGATATTGGATTTATTAGCTTTTCCATTCTGAATCATATAGACTGCTTTATTTATTCTTAACGAAAATTAATAAATCTCCTCTCTTTCTTCAGATGTGAAAGTTGTGGACAAACCTGTCTAAGCATTGTGAGACTCTTGCAGCACAAGAGGCAATAGCAGAAATAGTAAGTATATCAATCAAAAAATTAAGCCGACATGAAGCAAAACTTTCAACTATTCGTCTAATCTCAATTTCCTATTATTTATTCACAGGACAACTATAGCAGACGGGGAGATATCAGAAGTCTGGCGACATATCAGTGACAGTGTGATTCCAAGAAATATAATGCAATTGAAAATAGAAAATAGAAATTTGCAATAGAAAAACAACCTATGGAGGCATGCAAAGACATTTGACCCTCCGGTAGAGTTGTGTATGGCCCCCACATCCTGCAGGGCTTGAGGAAAATAACTAAAAATTCCAAAGCGTAAGATTGCATAAGCGGTCTTATTTGTAAAAAGGCACAAAACACGCCAGACATACTTAAAACAGCTTTGGAAATGAGGATTACGGGTACCTCACTGCACCTGTGTTATATTTGGTTCATCAACTTTTGGTAGTACTATAGAAGAAATTCCGGAAGGGGTATAATCATCATTCATGATAAAATACTATCATATATTTTTTGAACAACTTCAATCTAGACCAGGGATCTCAAACTCGCGGCCCCAGAGAACTTCCAGTGCGGCCCTCGAACGCTTAACAATAATTGTAATAGTATTTTGGAAGTTTTTTTTTTATCTAAATGTAATAGATTTTTCAAACCTTCTAAAGTGAAATTGATTATTCACACAGAAAACAATTTACTGAAAGTAGTTTTGGAATATTAATTTTTTTGTCCACATTTTGACCCAATTAAGAATACACATCAAGCTAGCAAAAGAATACTTGAATAAAACACTTGAGTAATTAAATTAAACGCAAAGTACATGAAGAAGGTGGCATTTTCGAAGAAAATGGGAGTTGTAACATTTCTGCTCTTCACAAAATTCTGAAGCACATTGTTTAATTTGTCATATTTCCATCAATACAATCAAAAAACACAATAAGCTCAGCAGTCAATATGACAAATTCGAAGACCAACTTCGAACAGAAAATTTCCATGTGTTTGTATATTAATATAATTATACAACGACTTAGTTACTAAAAATCAATAATAATTCAAGCAATCCTATGCCACGCAATGTAGTGCGAAATGTCTTGTCGAAAAAATCTGTCATTTGTTTTTTTACTGATCTATACATGAAATGATAAAAGTATCTTTTTTGCATTACTGGAATTAATTAAACATTCGTAAAGATCCAGATAAACCCATGATCATGTGGCCTCGTTAGTAAGAGTTGGTACTATAAAATCATTTCAGACTGGCCTTAGTATGCTGGTGACACAAAAAAGATGCCAAACGCCAGGACAAATGTAATTATTAAAACATTGAGTTTATACTGTAGTATTTTTGTTAATTTTAGGTTCATATATTTAGATTAAGTTATTTTTAGTGTATGTATTATTCTTTCCTAATTCAAAGCTTGTTCAAAAATGATTTTGATGGTTGTACATAGAATTTTACGATTTTTTATAATAAATACTGTAACTTGCAAATGTTGCAATAATAGTGGAATGCAAATATTAATATGTAATTGCATTTGAAATTGAAGAAAATAATAAAACTTAATCCAACTGTTTAGTTGCATCACAATATATGTCACAAACTAAAACTATCTTAAAAATATCTTTTAAGTATACATTATCAAAAACTGTTTGCGGCTCTTTTTACAATTTTCAAAATGCAATGCGGCTCTCGAAAACCCATGAGTTTGACACCACTGATCTATTCTAGACGATTCAAGCATTGCTTTGGGAAATTATATCACTTCAATTAAATTGAAATAATCTCTCTATATTAAATACAAAATCGTTGCTATCATAAAGGTAAACCAATTCAGCCACTCGAAATATATTGGCCTTCACAAAGCAATGGAGGCAAAATTGAGAGTTCATGAGCTATGAACATTTGTTCTTTTCTTTGTCTTGAACTTTTCATACTCCACAGCCCCTATTAATTTTTTTAAATTTTAATTACCATGTGATGGTCATACATATCTTTAACTTGTATTTTCTGTCATGATGTATTATCTCAATGTGCCAAACTATTAATTAGTGTGCATATTTTGCTTCCAGATGACATAAATGTATTGTCATGTTTATTACCTCAGCTTGGAGTATTGACAAGAAAAAGGTGCCAGTAAATTAGGTAAAAAAATTTCCAACTCATTGTTATAATCAGAATTCACAATCAATAGGAATTATAAACAGCCAACAATCAGTGAGAATTATATGCGAAATCCCTCAGAATAAATTTGTCTAAAATCGGAGGAAGGCAAAAAATATAGGTAGTTTCCATCCACACAAGCATTTCAAGAAGACTTGCTCGAGCCAAACTAAATGAGCATCGTCAGGTGATCGGTAAGGCTGCAAGTTGAATTCAGCCCTTCAACCTCCTGCATAGAAGATAATATTAATTAGTGGGCTATGGGCTAAATTCCTAAATTTAAACAAACCTATCTACGATGCATTATGTACCAGCAATGTTACCTACGATTAACTGAATATGTAATATGTTTAATAAATTCACCTACAAAAGCAAGTTCGATAGGTGCAAACTTTGTGTTATGAAATTGTATCGCAGCACAGTTTTGTATGACACCCTCTTTAAATGAAATTTCAATGATTAAGCGCAAACATTAAAATTACTAACTTTGAACTTTGTCATTATCTGCAAAATGTTCCACACAAATCTTTCCGCTATCGCGTTTGTAATCTTCTCTGATAAAAAAAAAACGTCTATGATGTCCAGAATTGCTCTTAACAGCTTGCCTGTTATTCCAGCTTTCCAAGTAAGCAAAACTTCTTAGATATAGAGATTATTTTGTTTCGTTACAGGCGCAAAAAGGCAGGTACTACACGTAAAAAAGACGCCGAGTAGCAAAAGCGAGCGGAAAACGGACGCGAAAGGCGACGAGAAATATGTGCATTGGAGCGTATCATGAAATACAATGTTTTGCCTGTAGTCTTATGGAGTGACGTCAGAGTTGCCTATCATGTTGTTTAATGTCATTGGTCTAGCTTAGAGCCTATTTCTCAAAATTTGTGTCGTGTCGTCGCGCACTTTTCCTCACTCTCTTTTTCCGGCCCTACAATTTTATTCTGCTGTGTATTTTGGCTCGCCGTCAATCAACTTGGGGGACCCCTCATGTACATCGTTTCTTAAATACATACAAATTTTTTAAAAATACAAATATCTTCCTCGCTAATAGCAAATTATTTACCACCCCCTAAATTACAAATTTTTTAAAAATACAAATATCTTCCTCGCTAATAGCAAATTATTTACCACCCCCTAAATTTCGAAACACCCCCCCTAAAATAAAAAGCTGGGGAACATACTGTACCATACCACCAACATTTCCACAATCGCACTGCACCGCATACATCGCCACTTGCCAACGAGCTGTAATCAATGCAGACTTGAGCGAACCAAAACTATAAGAAGCGCAAAGACGTACATCATTTACTAACAATAAATATTTAGAAAAAACTACCACAACATAAAATAAATATAAGATATTAAAATATCAACTCAATTTTACTGCGGATCGCCGGCACCCCGAATAAAAACATTTGAAATTCCACAGAGACTATATCGTAATCCGATGAATACAATTAAGAAACCTAATCCCATTGCCCTAACATTAAACGTGAAAGTTAGGTTATGATAAGTTTGGTAATCGTTAGTAACCTAAACCAAGAATCGAAGAATGGCAAGAAAAACTAAATATCTGAGTGAAAGTGAGTATAGAATAGAAAAGACAAGGCAGTGACTTTGGAAATAAAAGCATGGAAAGATATAGTTCAATGATTCAAGGAGAGATATGATTATTTATCTTTCTTCATAGTATAGACTTCGAATATGCTGGTGCACAATATTCCCTCATCTCATTTTTTTATCCTGAAAAAAAAAAATAGAAGAAATGAATACAAACAATTTAACAAAATTCTCAGCTGATGCACTCCCAAAGTTCTCTAACTGAAATACTTCAAGGAGTTATTAACTTGAAATGTAGTGGTTGAACTCTTAAGGATTTGACATTATTATGAATTTGAATAACTAGATGGGAAAACCGCTATCAGTGCAGACATGAAGCAATTTCAATGTGTATATTACTCAGAGTTCAGGCTTCCCAGATATTTCACAGCTTCATGTGTATTAAACTTAAAAAGTAATTTTCCATAATATTACCTAGTATTTTGTGCTTTTGTTTCCTGGCAAACGCTTTTTCGTTCTTAGCAACTTCATCATCGTACGATTTGAGAACATTTTCTGAATCTCGTCCTGATAACAATCAATATTAAACATTAATGCCCAGTCTTTGTTGGCTGTTTCAAACATGTCTCTATGTCATTTTTTGTGTGACTGCAACCAAGATACAAATAATACAGATGGGAATTATTATGATGATAAAATTCTTATGGGTGAATTTTTCATGAATGTCTGCTCAAAAACAGGGTCGGAAGACCCCATTTATAAGCGAAGAAACTTTATTACAAATGAATATATTTTAGCTTCCAGACAGAGGTCAAAAGACCCACATTGTTGTGATTCACTATAAATTATAGTTAATTTGAACATTACGCTTAAAGTTTACCAGAACTTGAATAACTGCAACATTCTTCACAATAACATTTAAATAATTTTTCATTGTCAATGTCTTCTATTTCTGGCAAACCAAGTTTTAAAAATTTACAGTCCGGACTATGTGACTTATGTTCATCAAATGGAGAATCCTAAGAATAAAATTGAGTGAGTTGTTTTAGATGGGAACACAAAGCAAAGATCTGCTGGTACATATAATTTTGTGACTGTGATATTGAGGGGATTCAAATAGACAAAGATGTATACTGATTAATATAGTAATAAAAACATAATGGACTGTTATAATTTGGCAAACCAAATATACAATACTGAAATGAATATTTGCTATCATGTTTTATCTATCGCATTAGGATATTCACTACGTGGGTGAGCGAACACGTACTACTACCTTCATCAATACCTTTTTATCTAAAATCTGTACTTTTCGAACTCTTCTAGAGGTTTTGTTTGCTTTCCCGATTCCATTATCAGTTTTATTTATTTTGTTTTTTTAAATTACTTACCTACTCAAAATAAATTACTTTATCGCCTATTATGCTGATCATGGAGTCGAAATAAACTTATACTTATACGTTTAAAAAGCTATTTTTCAAGACCACAAAAATAATTCATACCATAGGTTCCCATCCCTCCAGTGGTTTCAAACATAGAAAGCATTGCAGAGCATCTGGATCACTGTCTGGATTGGGACAGAAGAAGCCAACTTCTGCTAACTAAAAACATACAAAATGGTTACACTGGTATTGTTCTAATTTTTGCAAAAGTGATATATCTGGAATACAAAATGGCTGACTTATAAATGAATTGATTTTAATATACAAAATTACAATATACAAATATACAAAATACAATTCACATAAAGAATAAAGTTGTTAAATAAATGCAACTAAACTGTTTAAAAATTTCTCTTATAGTATTACATATTACAAGAAATCAGAATGACCAACGTCCACTTGGAAGCATACCATATTTCATGGGAGCAAAAAACAAATTCAGAATGAACTCCTATCTGTCTAGGAATAAAAATTGTATTTTAATGCTGAAATATCAAAATGATCAACACATATTGATGTATTGAGATGCACAACTACCGCAGCTACCGTATAAAAACATTAATCATAAAAAAACATGCAACACAAAACGTGAAATATACTTTTTCTGCAGTGCATGTAGCTCCGTCTCTTGCAGTGAATGGCCAGTGCTTCAGAGTATCAAGTCTTTTATCATATTCAATCATAGAGAGACGTTTGTCCATTATGACAAGAACTGTCTTGTAAAATATTTATTACTCCAAATGAATTGGTAGAACGAAAGTCTGCAAATACAGAAAGTGAAAAGTAATGGGTAATCATGTATTTGTACATTAAAGTCAGTAGGCACACATGATCCTAATTGAAAATCTAGAGGCATAAAGTATTATATGCAAAATGAACAAGTGATTACTAAGAAATAGTGATAAGCGTTATGAATCACTCGCCGCCGCATCTCGTCATTCAAAAATTACCTCATTATAGTCGGCACAGATGCAATTTCGGACCATCGTAGCTATACTTTAACAAGCTCTATGACATGATTGTGACGTCGTATGGTAACTTTCGACCCACTCAGTTGGGGGTTAGAAATATTTTATGCAAAAATAGTTTAGCTACGCCCACTAGTAGTACTTGTGGGTACGTACCTCATGAGACCTGGCAAGTCTGCCAAATTGCCTATTTTACAGTTTTATTTTCATTGCCGTGTTATAACTGTATAAAGGTACGGCGCTCATCGGCGTCCACCGCACAGAACAAGGACTTATGTTATACAAACAGGATTAAGAACAATACCAAGTTATTTCTGTATGGTAGTCTACCGTATCTCTGTATCTGGTGATGCCTTGCACAAGTATATTTCAACCCCATAATCAGCATAACAATACAGCAATAAAATGATTGATAAAAACAAAATAAATAAAAACTGATTATGGAGTCGGGGAGTGCAAACAAAATCTTAGATAAGGTTTATGACAGACAGGATATAAGATGGAAGGTTTTGCCAAGACTGCAAGAAGAAGTGGTGAGTTACCGTATGTGTTTACTCACCTAAAATTACTTCACACACACTCAATCCCCCCACACACACAACCACAGAGGAAATATTTAGGTATAAAAAAAACGTGATAAGCTTATAATACTGTTATAGTAAACAACACACACTGACACATAGGGAGGTGGACAACTGACTACGGTAAGGTACACGGACAACTCGACTACAGAGAACCCTGGTAAGTTGTCCGTCTTTTCGAATTTTTTTACATCAGTGTTTTAGGTCTATAGAAATGTGATTTTGATATTTTTTGGGCTCAAATGTCGAGAAAAATACACAAATATTCTCTAGAAAGCATTTCTATTTGTATAAGTGGCTTACTGGTATTTTGCTCATGTTATATGAATACAAATACCGGTACCGGTACAGTCTCAAGACGAAACTCAAATTGGAGTACAGGAGTAACGTTAGCGAAGTTAGACTATTGACTTATAGGACTGTGTACGTTTAAATTTTTGAACTTTATTGGTACTAAATGTTTTGAATGAGCACCTTTAAATATATTAAAACCGGTACCAGCAGACACAGTACCGGTAGTCTAAACAAAAATGATGAAAAAAGGAGAAGATCAACAGACCCATTCAGTTTCATTACAAAACACAGGCAACATCATGTTCCGTTCTATTAGAATAACAGGCGAGCGCGTTCGTGACAATACCTAACACCGACAGAATAACAAAATTTTTACACCCAACTGCCCAACGAAGAAAGAACAATCAGCAGCAAAATCTCGCCATTTAAAAACCCCGCGAAGGAGTCTACAGGCATTTTTCTACAACTTGCGGAGTCGTATCCGGTCAGAATTGTTCGTATTTAACTCGGAGATGACTATCGTGAGATTACCATTGGGATACACCTCAATGGAGATTACAGAGAGATATAAATATTGAGTGTGCTTCACTTTCATTTTAGCGGGACCAATTGAAGCCTCTCTCGTTTTGGCGATAGAGTTCCAACTTTTGCGTAACACATAATGCATTACTTATAGATTGGACAGAAATCAATCATTTGCGTCGATTTTTCTCGCCTATCCGCCTGATCTTGAATTGTTTATCATTAAATATGAGACGCTGATAGATCACAGTCCACTATGCCGTGCTTATTTTGACTTTTTATTTTTAATTTGCGTACGTCGTGGATGATAATATGGCCAACAACAAAAGCGAACATTAACGACCACAGAACATTGCCCAAGATGGCTTATCGGAATCGCCTTTCCATTTACCTGTATTTGGCCGTATTTTATCATCGTACTATATTTAGCGTTGCGATTTCAATATCATTGCATGGTTTGTCTTGGTACTATCCGAGCTATACATACAAATAGATCTGGAGTGCGCTTCGCCCTCGTTTATCGGGATCATCTGAAGATCCCGTTTTGACTTTGGAGGTTGTTGTTATGAGATCAGTCAAAAACAATTAGTCTATTTATATCTATTGTGTCGCCTAAAGCTTAGGCCCTAAATGACCACATTTTCAAGCACGAGATTCCCAATAGGTCGTCTTCGACTGTCCATAACTAGCTGACGTATATTTACAGCGACCTATTTGTCATCCATATACAGCAAAACAAACGAACGCGAAAACAGGCCAGACCACGAGCAGTACGAAATTTGGAAGCATAAATTCCAAAATGGCAGTGATCAGATTGTCCGAAGCTCTGCCCACCGGCTGCTGCTCCGTAACTTCAGAACTTGGTCGGTCTTACCGAACCTTGCCTGACCTACCGTAGTGGTGTACATGTGCATGTCTTCTTGCCTGATCAGTTTTTTTTTTTATAACTAGGCCTCCCTCAATGCTGATCTCACCTGCGATCCTGCCTACCGTGGTCTACGCTTCCCTCATTTTCACTCACTTTTGAGCTTAATGTCGTCTCGCACGCGAACCTGCCCACTGGCCTGCCTTTCTGCCCTCGACCAAGGCTTCTGTTTTCTTGGCTGCTTGATACTGACTACTGCTGCTCTCCTGCTCCCTTTATTCTCATCGACCCATGTCTGGTTTCTATTTTTGCTTGCTGTTCTGACTTGCTCACCTGCCCGTCAGCTTCCTTTTTCTCCCTGGGCCTCTCCCTCCCCTGTCCGCTGGTCCGCTATAGCTTGGACTACTTGGCAGCTTGTAGCTGGTCTGATGTTAGTCCTCTGGTTTCTATTTTTCTGGCTGCTTGGCTGATCGCCGCTGCTGCTGTCGATTGCTCTCTTGCTCGCCGGCTCCCTTTCATCTCTCAGTGCCTCTGGTTTCTGTTTCCTTCGCTGCTTGCTGCTATCGCTTTCTCCACTGCCCGCTGGATCTCCTCGGCCACCTGTCTGCTGATCCCTACATATCGGTCTACCTTGCGGGGTTCGAACCCAACTTTGGACATTGTTACGCTTACCCTGAGCCTCCGCTACTGACGAGAACCGGTGGATCAGAATCTTACTTAATTAACAGCGGAAAATAATACGTTACAGTTCTTAATCGTTGCGGATTATGGTGAAACGCTATTCAAACGTTTAAGGACTGACACATTTTGACAATGTGGAAGTTACGGTGAAATGCTGTTAAACGTTTAAACGACTGACGCTTTTTGTGACAGTATTGAAGTAATCGTGAAATAATATTCAAACATTTTACAACTGACGCATTTTAAGAGTACCCTATCACTTTTATGTAAATTTAAGTCTTAAAAAATCTTTTACTTAAAATATCCTGTGTCCTTTCTCTTAATTAATGCCATTTTCAGTGATAAAAGTTGTCATTAGAAGGCTATTACTTTAATTTATTATTCAACTCTCCATGAAATGTAATATTTCACCAAAGAATTCGCTATATTATTTTTAATTCCTGGGAACACGGTTTTTAATCGGCCAACCGTGGCGATTGTCTTTCTTTTTGATTTTGCCAACTGGTGCATGACATTTTTTTGGAAATAGTTCTCATCCTTAAAAACATCAGTAGAAGTTTAAGAGGATACTTATACATCCCGCTTTAGGCGGGACAGTCCCGCTTTTCAGCGTTTTGTCCCGCCGTTCCGATAAGTCAGCCAAAAGTCCCGCTTTTCCAGCATAATACACAAACATGTTCTCGGTACTTGCTGAAGGTGAATGCGTTCGTTTCCCGCTGATTCCCATTGATGGCAGACGTATCGCATGTAAAACCAATTCTAATTAGTCTAAATTCGAATTATTTGTACCGGTGTCGTTAACGTCAATTTCTTCCTATTTTTCGAACTGAACCCAATATTTGGACAGAGAATATGCGCATGAAATTTCGATAACAATGTGGTCAATAAAGACAGCCGAGACAGTTTTAAATGTAGGAATGTTGGCCTATGTAGTAAAATCGGAAAATGTGAAGTTATAAAATCACAGATAAGGGGTCGTTGTCTTTCGAGGCGTCCCGATTTGAAGTCACAAAAATATGGTAACCCCAAGATTAGGGGTTATAGCAAATATATAATGGATATTGCTAATTCGTGGACTGTCTAAGACCTGCCAGTCACCTGTTGAATTAGGGTAAACTCATGAGGGTTATTGCTATAGGATCGGCAAATTTTTGCCGTTCGCTGGCCAAAATAAAGGTTGCAAGTCATTGGAGGGCCGCACATATTTTTAGAAAATTGAAAACCGAGGGAATGGCCAATGAATCCCATTTTTTCACACAGATTTCAGTAAAATTTCAAGCAGTGTGCGAAGATTGATCATTTGAATATTTCCTGCGCTATTAAACCATTTGCACTCAGCATCAACTTTTTTTTTACGTTCTGTTGCCATTTGTCTAATTATAATCAATTTATAGGCTCAATAAATGAGTGATTGTGAATTATATACTTGTTAGATTATAACATAATTTAGTCAAGTGTCTCAATACAAATTCTGTTACGTAAAGAATATAATCGTCAATACAGTTGTTCTGTTAATATAATTCAGTGAAGCGTCGCGGGCGGGATTATATTGTTCCGCGGGCCGGATCTGGCCTGCGGGCCGTAGTTTGCCGACCCCTGCTTTAGAACGAAAAACAAGCAAAAGTTCAATTTAACCTGGCTTCCCATAAGCACCTGCTTATTTCGCTTAAATGTCGATCCAAGTCTCTAGCACAGGTTTTTCCAGATGGTCCGTTCCTCAGTGTGTCCTGGACGATTCTAGCACTGTACATTAACCTTACACCCAACTACACACAGTCATAAATATCTCATGAAAAAATATATTAGAATACTGGCGTAGTGTAGAAAAAATTCGAGACACTGCCAAAACCATCCATTCACTTTGTAACACAATACCAATATTTCTTCCCCTCATTCCAATGTTGGGAGAGAAGTACATTGTAGTCACATGTCAATCGCATTCTTATTCTACGAATTGTTTCACAATATAAAAAGATCGGAAACTTAAAAAAGCTTATGAATTTAAAATACTAAACTTCAAGGGTCTAATGGAGAGCAAATGCATCAATATACGAGGCCAGGGGACAGATAAGACAACTTAATCATATGGCAAACCACTTCCAATTACCAACCCATTCCGAGTATGGGAGTAGTTAGCCAGTTAAATTTACTTGCGTGGACTCGACGGTGAAGCCATAACTAACCAGTGGTTACGTGAACCCTTTATGGCAATGAGGAGTAAGGCAATCCTCTCGCACATAATTATTTTTTACAGGATTCGAACCTGCTAACTCATGCCAAAATAAACCAATGCTGCGATGGCGATGTATTCCTATCGCTTAGCACTGTGTGCTACCTGCCACACAAGTGAGAAAATATTCTATTTATTACGAATTTATTCTGCCTGATGAAAGAGTATAAATAATCACAAATAATCACTTAGTATATAAATTCCAACCGGAAATTTGCCTGATGAATTTTTTCTTACATTAAAACACACATAGCAAACTTTACCACATAAGTCACACAGAAATACAATCTACCATCATTTAGATGTGTTAACTGGTGGATACGGATAGGGTGGCATTTGTGAATAATTCAAGTTATGCGGGACTGCATACTGCAACTGATGTGTCTGTTGAGCAGCTGAAGGTGTGGATGATTGAGGTGGTATTACAGTTCGTGAGGATGCAACAGTCCGAGATGGCAAAGTAGGAGTCTGTGCCTAAAAAAAAAGTGAATAAAACTTATTTAAATCTCTTTTCTACATGCCAGAAGCTATTCATAAAAAAGTTATTTAAGTTGGAACGACGATTCGCCGGAAGACTACACTTCGCAAATGAGCAAGAATTTTGTCATGATGCTGGAGTCTGGAGATTCTCTAGATCTGGGTTTTTCAAACTAGCCCCCCCCCCCCCCCATAGGGATCCATGGAGTGATTCTCCTGGAGCTGCAATCAAAGGCCTTCAATAGGTAACATACACCATGACTACATTAACTTGGAGTAAATGTGACTTGTTTAAATATCCGACTGTAAAGCGAACATTCTTTTCCTTTCGAATGATTGCTTTTCGTTGTAAATTAAATAATGGATGGAAACTCATTAAGGGAAAATCTGGGTATTATCTATTCTATATATATAGAAGAGTAAGGGCGGGGCACGAATCATGTCGAGAAGCACTAACCTAGATTGTACACCATTACAGAACGTATCCTTTCTTTTAACAAAATTCATAAATAAACGAAGACAAATTATTCGATTAGATCAGACCATTGATTATACATGATCTCTCAAAAATGGAAAAAAAGTAACTCATATTTATTTTATACTAACTTGATGTGACATTGAAGTGTTGCGCTGTGTTGAGTTGTTTGAAGTGGTCGTTATTGTTGTTGACATATTATTGTTAGTTTGCAATCCCATCAATCTTGTTTTTATCAAGAGTAACTGGTCTCTCCTTTAACATATCAAAATACGAAGTAAATTAAAAAAAACTCTAAATATGGATATATAAAAGATGAAATAACAATACCTTCTGGCCATTTGTTCAATTGCTGATTGCATATTTCTGTTGTCTTCTCTGACCTTATGTAAAGCATCCATCAAAGCAGCAACTGTCAGAAAAATTATTTCATTCAACTTACCAATTAAAAACTCAAAAGTAACTTATCATTAGCCAATTATTATCCTAAGTTATTAGTGTTTTAAAGTTAAACATTATATATCAACATACAAGTTGCTTGATTTGGGCCTGATAATTCAATTTGCAAAATAATGGATTCACTGACAATTATTGATCCATATTAAACTGATTCTTTGACAGAACATATAACATATTATTGTCTTAGTCTGTCATCAGTATTATAACATATACATATTATAAAATTATTTTGGAAAAGGATGGATAATATTCTATGCATTCACCATCAGGAGTTGTTCCATAATTCCGAAAAAACTCCAAACTGTCAGATTTTTGTTCTTCTTGAAATTGTTCCAGTGCAGTCACTCCATCGTAAGTAAAGTCTGGCTTGAAAATTCTGAGTTAACGAAAATAAGGATGCATGATAATAAGAGAGCAATGCTCAAATATATGGATACAAAGTTGGTACTCGGTACATACACACACTATTACAATGTGGGAAAAGTTTAATCCTGGAGTAAATAGAGGAAAAAAAGAAGACTTCTGGAGAGTTACTTTCATACTTCGTAGTTCGTAGACTAGTGCAAATAGCAACAAACAAAGTACTTATTATTCTCTCCAATTTCATGAGGTCCATATGTCTCACTTCTTCCACCAATATTCGCCAGAGTAACCACACTATGTCGTGGATATATAGCAGTACCAGCTTCTGTTGCAGGATCTTTCATTGTTAGTGAAGGAGGAATAGGCAAGTGGGCGACCACACCTGAAACCTGAGCATAACAAATATAGGAGTGTGTTTTGTGTATTCTTTATGCCAAACTTACAGTCGTTTATATTAAAGCGAAACAAATATTCTCTCCTAAATTAATGTGATCAAAATCTGGGCATAACCCAAATGATAACGGCCTTCACATACTGAATGTCAAGATGGTCAATTCACCTCACCTCAACCACAAAAATAACTAGCTAATTATATGCTACAAATAACAGATAGTAAGGCAAAAGTATGTTTTATTCAATAAACACAGTGAAAATATCCAAATAAGGCAAGCAAGATCAAATCCTACGAATATTTTTATTTTTAATTCGCTTCACGCCCCCCCAAAAATTGTTTATGCCCCACTTGTGGGTGGCACCCCATTGTTTGAGGACCACTGGTCTAATTAAAATTGAAAGCTATATTTTTAAAAAAGGAGGCTATCCATGTCTTCTACGCAGTCTAGTATTAATGAACCCTTGTTAAGGTTGTGATAATTTACAAAAAAAAAATTGTGTAGATGCCGTGAAGATAGTTTATTAATTATAAGGTAATATTTTTGTGCATTCTAAGCCAGAATAAACATTTGTAATCTATGATAAGAACATTTAATGAAAAATATGAATTCAAATACAAACCTTTGTTTTCTTTTTACTTTTACTTGCGGATTCCCCTTTCTTCGATGAATCTGAAGTCTTTTTTATTTCTAGAAATTAAAAATTTTGTTAGTGGCAAATGGCAATCATACTTGTAACAGACATTCAATTTGTTATTGCATATCGGTTTTTCAAGCAAGCATAGAAACGACCAATCATCAAGGTAGACGTAAAACTTGAACAGATCTGAAATATACATTACAAAATCATCTATTTGATCTATTTTTTTCAAAAATCTGATTCCGAAATTTTATACTATCAGGAGGCATACTGTAATTGTGGTCTCTCATCTTGCATGCGAGTGCATTGTTAGAAAAATACATTCAGCAAGTCACATGATGCAACAAGCAACGCTATTAAAATAGGGAAAACTGACCACCTCAAAAGCTGCAACATAATAGTATACAAACTTACTTGCTTTTTTTTCCTTTTGTTTCTTTTTTCCAGCTGTATCTTTATTTGTAGATTTCATTTTCTTTTTGTTTATTTCTAAAAAAAATAGATACAACTGCAGTTAACAAATGATTATAAGAACAGTCAATTATCATTACGAGTAAAATCATACCTCCTTTCGCTGAACTTTGACCTACTTCTTCTGCTTCTGCAGCTGATGACTGTGATATTGCAGATGCTGCTTCAGCAAGTGATGATAAGGTTAAAGTAGAAGATGAAATTTTCATATTTTCTGTTGGAATCTGCGATGGAATTTCTGTTATTGTAGAAGCGAGTACATTTGAATGTTCACTTGCTTCATAAGTACTGGTATCCATCTTTTCATCAGAATTTTCATTAACATTGGTACTTGTGATAGCGTTGTTAGGTACAGATTCAGGATCTGCTGTATTAAGAGATTGAACACTAGATTTTATGACTAATTGTTCAACAGATACAACAGGTACAGGAGATGATTGAAGATTTGCTATTGTTAATGGATCTTTAGAAGACGGAGGTGGTGATTGTGGTGAATTTGTTACCGGCTCTTGACTTGAATTTCCTGAAAGGCAATATCGAATGAATTATCAATGAATGATGATAATTGGAGGAATGTAACATTCCCAGTTACCGGTATCTTAAAAGTTGTCTACTGTTCCCTCAAAAAATATCCTGGATGCTTTGGGTAGTGCCACTGACTCAGCGAAAAGATATTGAATTTATTGTAATAATAGTATAGCATCGATAATATAAACCCCATGGTACAGTCATACATGTGAAGAAAAATGAAGAAAGACCATATAATTGTATATATACATGAGCAAAAAATTTTTTTTGGAAAAATAAATTTTCAAATTCAAAATTTCACCTTCTGAAACCTCTTCTGATGAGTCAACGGAGGATGATACCTGAAATACTTTGAATGGTTACTTGAGGAATACAGTCTACTATCTGCAGCCAATGCTTAAAATTTGGATATTTCATATTGCTAATGGGAATGTACATCAAAAAGTGGACATGCATGCATATATTTTTGCCAATACGTATGATATATATAATAAGACTTGGGTACATTAATATACCTTGTTTTCAATTTCATCTGTAGCTAAACTTTCTTCTAAACTTTTGCTTCTCTTCTTTCCGGCTTTTGTGTATCTGATATCTCCAGGTTTCATTGTGCTATGATAGAACACATAAATAACAAAATCTAAAGAAAACATCACCTACTACAGTGCATAAGTGACATTCATTTGACTATGGAATTTATGCAACATTGAAACTATGACTATTCATAACAAGATGCAAAATACAAAAATGATGCTTGACAATGGAAAAATATCACAATGCTGACATGGGCAAGATTACTATAACATAAAATTGAATTCTTGCTTGATATGGCATAGAAATAATGTCCATGACAACAATTCAAGTTCAAACTTACTTCGGTAACAAAGGAATTGATCTTTCTGGAGAACCAAGCTCATCTGATGATGATGTTGTTGGAAGTTTGTAAACCTAAAAATAAGTCAAATATGAAGGACTTTATATTAGATCTCGACTCCAAACCCTGATTGATCAATCCATATAAAACACCAAATTCACTATCTCGCATACAGCACAGAGATTTTCCGAAACGAATCGAATACATTCAAAATTCATTATATTCGATGAATGTTTGAATCTAGCAATAATTTAGAATATTTGTATTTATAAATTAAAAATTTTGAGCCATCAGACAAGCAGATCAAAACATACAATATCTCAACTGGTAACTAATGACCTTAATCTTTGTGCCATTTTAGATGTGATCAACATGAAGATATAATTATTTATGAAATTTTTCACATGAACTTGCCCCCAATTTAGAATTCAAAATTCTATATTCAAATTTATTTTCTCAGAATGGTTTAAATACGGTTTTCGCCATTAGAGTAAAAAAAATTAAGTAGACAATGTCAAATACTAAAATTTTCTTCTTACCCGGGCAAAGCTGAAATAGATAGATTTTATTATTTATATGAAGTATTAGAAAATTATAATAAAAAAAATACTTATATAGTTACGAAGCTGGCACCTCTAAAATTCTAGTAGTTCCAGCTCAAACGAAGCCAGAATGTGCTTTGTACAACATTCATAGTGTGGGTGTAGATATCTCATCGAGATACATTCATACGAATTATAAATTATACCTTGGCACAAGAGAGACTCTTATATGATGATGACATTTTCTTTCCCTTTGTTAAATGCGATTTACAATATCCACAATATTTTGTTTGATTACCTCCACTTGCTTCTTCACATAAGAGACCAGACATCTGAGCACTGGTAAAACATGAAAAACGGAAAATAAAAAGGTTCAAAAAACAAATGTTCACAATAATATGTATAATCTATCAAATAAAAACAAAATTGGCGGAGGAGAATCATACACTCTTATCCTGAGAACTTTGTTCAAGTTGTAGCTGTTCGAATTAAGTTAGCATTATGTCATTTCGCTCGAGTACGATCAGAGTTATGCACGTATAAGCCTAATTTTTAGTGTAATCAGACTTATGCGCTTATAAGCCCCTTAGTTTGGCACCATTTTTTTTTAGTTTTAAACTCGGCTTATATGCGAGTATACACAGTAAGTAATAATTTATGCTGAAGACTGGAAAGTTATTCCAATAAAACATACCAAGTAACATGAAATGAAGCTTTACATCCTTGCTTTGCACAAGTCATACAAGCTCCTGTGGATGCTTTACTTGATCGGCTTTCTTCTTCACATAAATAGCACGTCTGAAACAAGAACATAATTCAATCAGTCCCAATTCCTGAATCTCTCCTACAAAGTTATCTCCAACAGACTTATATGAATATTACCCCAGGTTTGTGTATATTTAAATAATAGAAAACTGGTAAGACAAAATCATATGACAATACAGGGCCACTGCTCTATACAAAGGTGATGTGGGCTAAAATCTTTGGCTTCTCACATCAATCAGTCAATAATCCTTTATTTGTCATAACAATATAAACATATCATGAGAAAAAAGAACATTACAACAAAAGGAAACAAACTTAAAGGGTGTGACCGGAGTCGCGACCAAATCTACATTGCTGATTCATGTTAGTGAGTGCAAAAAGTTAACGAAACACCTAAGCCAGGGGTCAGCAACCTTTTGTCGCTCGCGGGCCAAAATTAAGGTTGCAGGTCATTGGCGGGCCGCACATATTTTTAGAAAGTTGAAAAACCGAACGAATGGTACTTTTTATAATAAAAACCAAGCAGTGACAGATACATCACTCGAATAGAATAATTGTTAGGTTATAATATAATTTAGTCTAAAGAATATATTCGTCAAAACGGATGTTTTGTTACTATAATTTAGTGAAGCGTCGCGGGCCGGATCCGGCCCACGAGCCGTAGGTTGCCGACCCCTGACCTAAGCCCTTCAATAAATATTTTAAGAAAAAAAAAAGTGACCAAATATGTAGTGTATGTTTTATTGAAACATACCACTCTAGTTATTAGCAGATTTTTTCAAATCTGCAAATGTTCGAATTCAAACCTTATTGTATCTGTCTGGTGGTACTTTCAGAAGTATGATAGGTTCCATCGAGCTCACACTTCCAAATGTAACTTCAGGTATATATAATGCACAAACAACATGAGCCCACCCTGTGAAAAAAGTATGATTGTGTCACTGTAATTTCCGACACTATATATCGGGAAACACAATGGGATAATATCTGTTGAATAACTGAGTTTAATATTGGTTGTGAATGTTGTTTGACAATATAATTGGAATAAAAGCATTAGGGTTTACCAAAAAACAACCACACTTGCTATGCAGCTATGCTAGAAGTTTAATTCACAAAAGAACTATTTATTCCCTTATAGATATGTACCAAAACATAGAACATGACACTTCAAAAGACATAATCACTGCCAATTTATTGCATAATAATAAGAAATAAATTCTAGCATGGGAATGATGAAATAAAAGCATGAAAACTTAAGTTTTCATCAAACAAAATTTATACTAAATGGATATGTACCTGCATTATCTGTTCTCTTCAATGCACCATCACGATGTGGGCACAGCTCGCATTTCTGTCAAATAAGAATATTATGTTATATTGATAAAATTTGACAGTGACTTGTCATGTAGTCTGGTGAAATCAGTTTATGTCAAGTTTTACAAGAAAAGTAGTGAATGAAGTGAAATTCAAAAGTGGGTAAATCAATGACATGGGAAATTCTGAAATTACACAAAGGTACAATGCAGACAACATCTTACCACTTTAGCAGCTCTTTCCTGAGATTCACATTTTCTGCAAAACCAAGGCCCTGATGGTACCTTGACAATGCCATAGCAAGCTGAAACAAAATATCAAAATTTATTACTGTATAATCAAAGCAGATTTCTATTATACACTCCCATATGGACATTTATCGACTCCCAATTTATTCTAGACATTCCCAGCAGTACATAAGTTGCCAGCATACAACATGAAATTTAATTATTTTTATTTCAAAAATCGAATAAATTATCAAATGCACTTACCTTGATGAACCGCCACATTGCATGATTGTCCATCACAGTAAACTAGTGGATTTTCAGCCCAACCTCTTTCATCCAAACACACACAACAACCCCCTAGCATTGGTTTTTCCGCCATTCAATTCGAATTAATTACAATGCCCCTATTGCAATTTTGATAAACTAAATACAGAAATACAAAATGATGAAATGGGGTTTGTTAAAACCTATGAAGAAGGGTTGGTAGGTAGCATAAGAGTCATACTGAGTTCCCCATTCCTATTTCGACATCTCCATATGACTTTTATGCTATCACCACTACCTGACTACAGAACCTATGACAGTATGAGTGCAGAGTGGTCTCCATTTCAAACACCAGTCAGCCTGTAGGTAAGTTTATTAATTATTATTACTTTTTTTAATACTGAAATAAATTATCTCATTACAAAATTACAGACTGAGGTAGTTTAGGACTTAATTGAATGAACATGCAGACATGTACAACTTCTTCTGTTCTTTGGCAAAACCTTCTAACTTAAATTCGGTTTGCTATAAACCTTACTAAGGCTTTGTTTGCTCTTCTGAATCTATAATCCAGTAATCAGTTTTTATCAACTCATTTATCGTCTGTCATGCTGATGGAGTCCAAATAAATTTATACCAGTATACAATTAGGCAACTAGGAATTTAGCATTTGTAGAAGATAGTATAAGACAGTGATTCCCATCCAGGGGTCCTTTCCAAAAAAAGGTCACAATGCTGTGTGCAAAACTGATCTTACTTGACAAGAACCCCTAAATGCTCGTTCTTCCTAGTTTCATTGCTTGATAAGGTTATTTTATTTAACGGGGTTTTTCACTTTGTTGAGCATGATTAACATTCATGAACGCGTTTAGCCTAATTTTGAACAATTTTGCCATAGTTAAAAAATATGTAAAAGGTATATACTAGGTGGCATAAATATTAACCCATGCCACAATTCTACTGATAACACACTCAATGAGAATAATTAGTTCCATTTTTTTACTTTATAAGTATAAGTTTATTTCGACTTGATACTGCCATAAACCATAGCAATAGACGAAAAAATAACTGATAAAAACAAAATACGTTATCCCATAATCGATACATACCAAAACGTGATATGAGGAACTTCAGAATTTCGATGCCACTAACTTTGCTCAACTGTTCCACCAACCTAATGTTGATCAAATTTAAATTTTCACTTCAAATAATTTGTCTGTTAAAGTCCCAAATCTACAGATCTATGTAGACTAATAGCCTAAACATCTGAACATGCACCACTATACTGCTATAGGCTTAAACCAGTAACCACAACGCAACTACAGAACTAGAAAGGAAACCCTGGGTCACACTGCAGCACTGGCATTCTGCAATCAACCAAAGTAAGAGACAGATTGGACAAAACTCAGTTTATTAATGATCCCAAACAGCCAAAGAACAAAAACTTTAGTCTACTACAGTACTAGCCTACAAGCTGACAAAAATCAGAAAGGTACGGTACCGGTACCGGTACCACCGTACGTGAACAAATTATGAAAAATAAATCCAAAAAAAAGAACATTTCTCCAATGCTTTGAAAAAAATATAATTCACCCTAAAAATACTTGGAATATAATAAATTCATTATTAAGCTCCTGAACTCTAATTCAAACCAATGACAATAAACAACAATGTTTAATTCCATTGTTCAAACAAAGATATAACTCAAAACTGCAAAAGTTAATTAATCAGCACCTACTGCAGTACCGTACTGCTGTACTGGGGAGGTTGTCAGGTTGTAGGCTATAATACGACAATCTGACCATATGCATTGTCTCTGGTCTGACAGTAGCAAAATTTTTACAACATTTAATAGAAAACGGTACCGTAGGCTTACTTTTCTTTAAATCGGTAAAAAATCTGCTCGCAGAATTCCGAAATGTAAAATAAAATAATTATGGGTGCTCCATGACGTCTGACACATTTATTTACCGTCTGACTCTGGTCGGTGAAACGTTACAGAAATACATTTGTGTTAGGGTGCAGCAACAAGGCAATGTTTGCACCCTTATCTGTCTGAGCGGAAGAAGTGTCTGAGCGGCCGCACAAATTACAATTATTACGTCATTGTTAACTTAGTGCTGATTGGTCATTGTTAGGGCAATAAACAATGGAAATCAATGTCCGGGGAACATCCATATCGATGAAATTCTGGGGTCGGAGGTCGGAAAAACAATCCAGACCGACTTCTCTCATATTTTCTGAATTTTCGAGGCGCAGTTCTTACCACTTCATGGCAGCTCCTGCCACGAACGTACCACGCCGTCTCCTGCCATGGTTTTATGGCGCTATTACCGGTATATTTACAAATTTATGCACCATATTTTAGTTTTATCATGCGAAATTATATCTACTTAAACTCTAAACCCTAACCCAAATCCATCCAAACTGTATCCATAAGAAAAACATTCCAACTCACCAAATATTTATCACCATCAGCAGATTAGGGGCAGCCCTGCTTTACAGCCGACCTGCCGTGGTTACGGCAGTAAAATTGGTGGTATTCGATTTGCTGCCGTAACCACGGCAGCTCGCTATTGGTTTGTGGCAGCTAAAAAGTCAGTCGCCGTGGGTTTGGTCTTAGTGGCCGTGGTTTGGAAATCCCGCCATGGTTTTGCGGCAGCTGTAGACGCCACAAAATACTTGAAACTGCACTTGGAATTTTCGCGGTTCGCTAGCAAACTTTGAATTTCTGAAATTGTTTGTCCTTTCATCTAATTGTTCATAGATTTTTTCTTCAGCTGCAAATCCTGAAATCGACGTTTCTGATAGCATAGTTAGGGTTTTGGTGTACTGCTAGTAGAACTACAGCGTGATGTATGCATGGTACAGACAACTCCATCCTCCAACAGGAATAGAAAACTGCTTGCATTGTAATTTCACTTCAGAGAAATACGAGGACTTAGTTGTTTCTGCTGCTTCACAATTAACTATTTACAGATTGAGGAAAAAGTTAGAAGTAAGTATATATTGCAGTTAGATCCTCCATTTTAGGCATCTTCATCCTATTTCTGTAGGCTACTTGACGAAATACAGAAATACTGCGAATCCTTTACGAAGTTTGCCTTGTATCACCATAATTTGAGTCAGAATATTTGGCTTATTTCTGAATTTGCTGATTTGGTAGTGAACCAGCAGTAAAATTAAATTTAATTAATTTGACTAAATTCTCATTATATTTTTCCAGATCGTCACCAAAGATGAGAAAGGTATATTCATACAAGTTGTGATTGTTTTGTAATTATTTCCACTGCCTTTACCTGAGTAATAATATTAGAATATCTAATGTTACAATGCTGCAATGCCTGAACCTTTTAATTTTATGCCTCTTTATTGTAAACCTTTTGCTTTTTAATAAATCTTAAAAAATTTCATCCTAGTCCATCCAATAATTTCTAAAAACATTTTAACAAATGGATGTCATAGCTGTCAATAAAATTATCAGAAAAACAAACAATATCTGAAATTTTTTTTTCGAAATCAATACATTTTTAAATACTTTTACAAACGGGGTGTATAATATTCATTTGACTATTTATATCATCTATTATTACATCTTTAATCTTGATTCCTCCAGTTGTCCATTTCGAAAAATGTCATTACTAACTTTCACATCATATGTCGTTAATATCTATACAGAAAAAGTACGTAAAGATAAATTGGAGCAAATTGGAACATGGCAGCTACATGGAAATATTCAGTCAATGAAAAAGGTCCGATTTGCAGGATGTGCGAAAGATTCAATTCTGCTCAGCTTCAAGTATGCTAAGGTGTGTTGAACTCATTCATTTTTTCATTTTGTATTTGAATTATATAAAATATACAGGCTGTGTCAAAGTTTTAAAACTATCTTGAGCCTGTACAAGAACATGCCAAAAACTATTGAATTGTTATAATTTTCATAAGTCATGGTAAATACAAGTCGAACTTATATTTTTTGTTTATTTTTAAACTGGCGTACTGTTTTTTTTTAATAATATTTGCTATTGTGAAGTGTGAAAATTTCTTATTCAGCTTTCTGTTATTGAATTTGATGAATCAACATTTGAAATTAAAACTTCTTCACTTCATTATTTTGAAGAAGATTTGTCTGAGGTAAGTATGTATTTACAGATTTTCTAGAAAATTCTGTGTCTGTTAAAGTTTTTATTTGATGTACCGTTTGATATTCGTATGTATAAGGATGCCATGCTCAATATCTTGATAATAATTTAACCATTTAATACAATAGAATTCTTCGTACCATTTCTTATATTTTGAAGTTTCAAACATTGCAAATCTTCTTTCTTTATTTCATTGGTGCAATGGCCTGACTGTTTTGACATCACAGATTGAAGATTTAGGTTTGAAATCCCTGGCCCTGACATCATTTCGATTATTTAGAATAATCCAACATAAACATCCATATCATTTTAGAACGGTTCTGTGAGCAGAAATACCATCCCAAAAATTTGTACTGATCCAGAAAATCGTTGTGCTTGCATGCAACTGACAAGTACTAATATTGCAATACTTCCATTCCGAACCCGTGAAACTGCTGTTGTAACTGATGATTCTATTGGACTGTCAAATGCAGGGTATGTTTTACTACATATTTTTAGCTAAGTAGTAATCTTAGAATCACGATGATGTTTTTATAAATAAATTACAAGTAATCAGGTTCTACACAAATCGCCACCATGAAAGTTTTCACTCAAATCAACAATTATCAATAATGGAGGTCGGAGTTGAAGTTTTCCGTATGCAATGTTCAATATAGGGCATTTTCCATGGCTGGAATTTTTTAGTTGAATTTTTTTTAACACCCGTAAATTTGAAATATCATAGAATATAGAGATATTTGGCTTGTTTTGGGTTCCTAACTGTGTATAGTTTATCTGCGTATTGCTTCGAATCAACTTCAGTAAATATACTTCATCCAAAGCTTGATTGTGCTCCTATTATATGCTTATAGATTTTTGTTAATACCTTATTTTGGGTTTTGCATTTTCTATGGATAATATCTTTCATTTGTAACAGAACTCGAGGACATGTTCTATCCAGTTATGAGATAAATTTGAAGGAAGTTGATCCTCAGGTTCAGATTGTGAAGGATATGAAATTTTTGCATGGATATTATGAACCAACGTTGCTGATTCTGTTTGAATCTCTGAGGACATGGGCAGGGTGAGCAATTATTTTTCCGCTGACAGGATTGAGAAATTTATAAGCAGCTGTTCAGTATCAAGAAAATCAGAAGAAATATTTTATTTTTCTCGCATGGATAAAGTTATTATAAAAAAAGGGAAACTCCCAGATAGTCTAGGTTTTTCCACAGAAATATCTATTTTTGGGCATTCTCTTGAACTGTACAGTTCTTTTCTAGTAGCTAAATCACTCAAGAGATTAAAATCTCATAATTCGATGTTAGTTTGTTTCATAAACTAATTACTATGAAATCAGGATAATTTTCACTCACTATTTTCAATGAAGTTAAACTTTTTTGGGTCCTCCCACGGTCATATCTAATTTTTAATTGTGATGCTTTATTTCATCTGTATTTTTAGAATATCTTATTTTGTTTCAGTCGAATCGCTGTTCGTCAAGATACCTGCAATATTATAGCAATATCACTCAATGTGAGTGAAAAATTACATCCAGTTATCTGGTCACTTGGTTCCCTACCATATGATTGTAAATATGTTTATGCAGTTCCCAAGCCTATAGGTAAGTCTGTTTCTAATGGAATTACCTTTTGTATGAATTGGTATTGCACAATGTATTAAATAGAAAGTTACACTAATTTGGAAAGACTGATGTAGGTAAATTAAGTACACTGAAATTGAGGATAGCATGCATAATTTGACTTGACTGCTTTCACAAACAAGTTTTAATTAATTAAGGTTTGCTATTCATGATATCTCAACCTCAAAAAACATATTGAAAATGGCACTGCTGACTATTAGAAAATTGAACTTAATAATAATATATAACAGTAATTCAATAAACTCTTTTTATATCAAATCGCTCAATTGTATTTCAGGAGGAGTTTTAATTTTTGCTGTATCTTCGATGATATATTTAAATCAAAGTTGTCCTCCTCATGGCATGTCACTCAACTCTCACACAAAGAACTCAACATCATTTCCATTGAGTGAGTAAATCACAGTGAAATATATGTTATTATTTAATTGTGACTTTATATTTGTGATGGCTGCAATTCCGATCCTGTAACAGATTTATTAGCTGTGAAAAGCAGAAGTAACTATATAAAAAATATCTAATGAAAACTTTTTTTTCTGTTTCCTGGACTAAGGTTGGTAACAGGTAACAACCTGTTTTGTCATAGCCGATTTTAAACTGAAGCATGCTAACTTTATGATTAAAAAACCTTTATTTTAATATACATTAGCTCATTAGAATAGGCAGTAAAAGTCATCAAATCAATTACTGTAGGGCATGAAATTGGGAGTACTCCATGATCAATGGCCAATCTGATAAATTTTTATTTTGAATCTCAGAAATCCAAGATGGGCTCGCAATAACGCTTGATCTTAGCAAAGCTGTATTTTTGTCACCGGACAGACTTGTTGTAACTTTGAAAGGAGGAGAATTGTGAGTTGTAGTAATAATCAAATACTTAACCAAATTACATGGCTTGATACAAATGTGTCATCTTTTTTCAGATATGTGATATCCCTTGTAGTAGATAGCATGAGAAGTGTCCGAAGTTTCCATATAGAGAAAGCTGCTGCAAGTGTTTTAACTACTTGTGTAAGATTATTTTCATCTTATCTTAGGAGTCTTAGTTTGTTTGATACATCTATATATTTGTTTGCCAATGCTCGATAACCCGCTGTAAGTTTCTGCAGCTTCCCATTCACTGCAGAAGTGTATGTTTTTTATTCTTACAATGTGGACATGTGGTATGGGTCGTTTTTTACTGACTGGGGAAAATAATCTCCATCATGAGTCATGACTATTTTCATTTTGATTGAATAGTTCATTTATAACATATTTGTGTAAATACATCTATATAGATAACTCTACTTGAAGAAGGATATTTATTTCTGGGATCGAGACTTGGTAATTCTCTGTTACTTCGTTACACTGAAGCAGCAAGGATGGAAATAAGTAGAGAAGAGAAGGTAATTTGAACGATGTTATTTTGAAACTTGTTTCGTTTTCATGATTTTTTTCAAAGTGATTTTTTTTCAAGGCCTTGACAAGTGAACCAGCCTCGAAGCGCAAAAGATTGAATACAGCTGCAGATTGGGCAGGTAAGTTCTAATTGATGATTTTGTGGTATGTCAATATGTTTCAATATTTAAATTTTTATGTCATTCCAGAATGAAACATTCTATAGTCCACCTCATACTTTTTACCAGCCATGGATGACCCACACGATTTATATTTTTGTACACAATCGAAATTGGTTATATTTGGTGTAGTGAATACTTTTTTTGCAAGAATTTTAAACTTTTGAATGTGATTATCATTCCTCATTCAACTCTATAAAATAGAAAACCAGTCGAAAATTTTTTTTTATTGAATCATTCTGTGTTACCAAATTTAATTTGTATTGGTTAACACTAATTTTTGCAAGTAGTGAACATGACCTGATTAAGAATTTGTTGAAGATTTCAAAATCAAAAATAATATTTCAAATTATATTCAGAGTAGTGAATCATTTGATTATAGTCATCACTGCTACCAGTACCACCCATTGAGTAAGAATAAATATATTGCTATTTGTTTTTAAACTTGGATAATGTAGGTACCGACCGGTATGTCCTGATTGACTTTATTGTTTTCAATTTTAGCGGCTGATGATGCAGATGATCTAGAAGTTTATGGACGAGATATTAGTACTGCAAGTTCTGGACAACTTTTTTCATATACATTTGAGGTATTTTCGTCACCAACACTACATATTAGCTAGACTGATATTATTGCTAGCTGAAAAAACAATCTTTAGAATGATCTAAACACTTACAACTTTGCTTATTATATATAAATATTTGATTTTAGGATAATTTGAAATATTTCAATTTTAAAATTTGGAATTGTGACAGCGGACAATCAAACCAGAAAAATAACTTCATTCGAACTGCTGATAACAATAAAAAGAGAAATACCAATATCTTTATTTCCATATCATATGCTTTAAGAAATGTAAATGCATTGATTTGTTCAAATTTTTTATTTAACATGATCTAATTGAGAATTTAATATTCTTTTCTTGAATATATTTTTAGAATGTATTTGGAATATGAAATTATACGGTTTCGGACATTGCTGAATACATTGTTAGGCTATGTGTGAAGAGATTATTTGTTTCATTTTTCAGGTTTGTGATAGTATATTGAACATTGGACCTTGTGGATCTTCAGAACTTGGAGAACCTGCATTGTTGTCCGAGGAAGTAAGTTGAGATTTTTTGCTTTATTGGGTAAAAATGATAACTTATCTGATAAATATGTGATTAATTCATCATTACAATATAGCATGTCTTCTATTCTTGCAATCAATAGTACAAATACGAAAAGCACTTTTGTTTTCACCGCCTATTTTTTTAATAAAAATTATGCTTTTTCTACTTTTATTTCTTCTTATTGGTGTACATGATTTTTACTGGAGTTTTCAAAATAAAGTATTCAATTAGGCTATTTAGTTATAATATTATATAATTTCATTTTGTAATTTAGCAATTTTGTGTTATTCAATTCTTTTTGGATTATCAGCTACAATCTGAAAAATATTTTGAATCTTGCCCTATGTATAAATCTAATTCCGATTTTAAGGTTTCTAATTCTGATTTGAAAATTTAACAAATCGTCATGTTTTCAACCTTTTTTATCAGTTTACATCTCAAAAAGAATCAGACCTGGAACTTGTTATCTTATCTGGAAAAGGTAAAAACGGAGCTTTATCAGTTGTTCAACGAACTATGAAGCCACAAGTAGTCACAACGTTTCAACTGCCTGGATGTATCGACATGTGGACGGTGAAAGGTCCCATTAAATCAAAAGATGAGGTAGAATATTTTTGCAGTAGGATTTTGAGCTGAAACTTATTACCTTAGCTGGAAAACTTAATAATGTTGTTGTAGGATATATCGTAATAGGATTTTGAGCTGAAACTTATTACCTTAGCTGGAAAACTTAATAATGTTGTTGTAGGATATATCGTAATAGGATTTTGAGCTGAAACTTATTACCTTAGCTGGAAAACTTAATAATGTTGTTGTAGGATATATCGTAAAAGAAAGTTCATATCCATGGAGGGAAAGCCTATAATCATATCACGCTTAATCATATATCACTAACCACTGCCATGTTGGGTATGACGAGAATAGTTAACCAGTTGTTTCAGATGGCTCGGGTTCCAAATAGCGACTGTCATAATGGCGACTTCATAATAGCGACGTAATCAAGTGAGCGACTGTCAAAACAGCGATTGTCATAATGGCGACCGCATTAAAACAGCAACTGTTATAATAGGGTTAGGGTTAGTCCAAATAAAATGTTGTTTTAAAGTCCCTTTTGGTTTTAATCTTTGCCTGTTTGTGCCGAAACCTTGGGGTTTTGCCGAGCCCTGATTGACGACCACTACACTAGATAAATCAATTTATCAATTTCCTATTTTGCAGTCCACAGATAAGGAAAGTAAGGAAGAATATCATGGATTTTTGGTATTGAGTAGAGAAGATTCAACATTGGTATGAAATTATTTTGTGTAGTATTTCATATTTTTTTTGTTAGCAATTCCCAGATAGAGAGTATTTCTTTGTAGTTTGTATTTATATTCTGTATGTCATAAGGGGTGGTTGGCCAAGTAGTACTTTTTCTCTCGTGTTTCTAATTCAAGTTTTGGCAACTTTCGTTTTGAATTTTCCTCCTGCGTGTTTATCTTACGTGTTTCATAAGAAATAGCTTATCTATTTATTATTCATTCCAGGTATTAGAAACAGGACGAGAGATTATGGAAGTTGAAGAAAGTGGTTTTTGTACTTCTCAATCTACTATTTATGTTTGCAATATGTGTTTACGTGATGGAAATAAAGTATTGCGAAGATACACAATACAAGTTTGTTCAAATGGAATATGGCTTGTTGAAGGTTTAAAACAGATTCAACATGTCCCACTTGATATTGGTAATTTCAATTCTTGGACTTATAAATCAAATTGAATTATTGGTTAAATTAGTTTGGATATATTGCATTATTATCACTTATTTCAAAATTTTCTTCATTCAAATTTTAACCAACATGGACTTTTTTAACTTATGATAGTTGTAGAAAGTAACGAACCATTAAATACAACGTTTATTCAAACTTTTCATATTTTTAGCTCAATGGTGGTGGTGGGCATCAGGGGCGTACCCAGGATTTGCGTACCCCTTTTGAAATGTGAAAAAATTAAATTTATATCGAACATAATAATTTTTCTAAGCTGGCTTCCTAGCTACTCCCCTGGTAGCATGGTGGCCTAGTTGTTAAAGCATTAGATTTAACTCTACTGACATCAGATACAAATCCCATTGGGTAGGTTACTTTGTGTAGTGTAGTAACTAGGTCAGTGGTTCCCAAACTTTTTGGAGTTGCGACCCATTTAACATTAATTTAATTTATTTTATGACACAGAACACAGCTATGGCTAATCATCGCAAAACTATCGTGTTTCCTCGAGAATGAGACCTGGCCTAAAAATAAGACCTAATTTGGTTTTTAAAAATGATTTAAATTAAACCCTAACCATAAAATAAATTGAAAATGTGTGTGAGAGGAAAGGTTCAATGACCTGAGGTAAGGTGAAGATCAAACCCCTATTCAAGATTGTGTGATGTCACAATCACAATATTTGTCACTTGATTATTGTATAGGAATTGGTCAAAGATTTCTACATCTTTTCATGACCCACTAAGATTCCTTTTGCAACCCGTAGTTTGGGAACCGCTGAACTAGGTAGTTGTATATTTATAATATATTATGGACACGTTAAAATTTTCTGTTCAAAGTTGATCTTTAAATTTGTCATATTGGCTGCTGAGCTTATTTGGATAACGTCTACTCATATCAGACATGGGCAAACTACGGCCCGCTGTAGTTGGGTAGTTCAATCTGGCCCGCCGTCACACTTACATGGCCCGCCAATCTAGGTAGGCAAAGTTTTTGGCCCCTGGTCCACAAACCGTGCCCACCCCTGACCTATATTGTATTCTTTCAGTGTACTGCTGCAAATGTGAGAAATAAACAAATGTGCTTTAGAATTTTAAGAAATGCGGAAATATTGCAATTCCCATTTTTCTTAAAAAATGCCACCTTTTTCATGTACTTCGCGTTTCATTTAATCCCTGAAGTGTTTTTTTCAAGTATTTTTCTGCTAGCTTGAAGTGTATCCATAAATGGGTCAAATGAAAAATAAATCAAATTTTGATTTTCCTAAACTACTTCCAGTAAATTGTAGTTTTCTGTGTGAATAATCAATTTCACTTTGAAAGGTTTGAAAAATGTATTACATTTAGATAAAAAAAAACTTACAATAAAATATTACAGTTATTGTTAGGCGTTCGAGGGCCGCACTGGAAGTTCTCTGGGGTCGCATGCCGCCCGCGGGCCGCGAGTTTGACACTCCTGATTTAGAGGAAATAAACACCAATGTAAAGACCGTTTATGGCCTAAATAACAAGCCACGTTGATGAAAAAAATTGGTGATTTTAGCAGAAGGCAATTGCACGCGTTATTGGAGACTTTTTCAGTTTTCAAAAAAATTCAAAAGGGGGGGACCCCGAAAACCCCCCGTTGGCTGTGCCACTGATCACGACTTATATATTTTTTGAGCATATGAATTCTAATTACTGCGAGATACCTTATTCACAAATGTCAATATTTATTGCCTAGTTTATTCTGTATTTGCTTTCCTATTTCCTAAGACCCTAATGTTGAATGTACTAATTACAGGATCTCCGATTGTGAGATGTTCTGTCAGTGATCCATATGCCCTTGTTTTAACTGAAGATGGTCAAGTTGTTGTTGTCACATTGCAACAAGAGGAAGGCGAGAATACTGGGAAATTATATTGTTCAAATCCATCATTGCCTCAGGTTTGTTGATCGATTAAGTATTTTTTTGTACCTTGTTGTATATCTATAGCCAAGCAGTTGGTATTCTATAGCAGGGTTTACTCAACTGGCGGAGCGCAGTTTGGATCCGGACCTTTCGAGATTTAAATTCGGACCCCCATGGAGATAATTCAAGTCACTGGAAGACTTTTAAAAGTATAAATAGGTACGGGGGCGAATATATCACATATTTGTAGCAAAGTCGGCGCTCAGCTACACAACAGAATGCCTTGTCTTACCGCCACCGAAACGTGATATTGACCCTTGCTTTTTTGTTTTGTCAAACGATGCATTTTAAATGATGTTTGAATAGTTAAAATATATTTTTTGGAATTACCGGACCCTGTTAGTTTTTAAATCTTGTGTTCGGACCTTTGTTGAAAATAGTTGAGTAGCCCTGTTCCAGAGTTCTGTCTTTAATTATTATGAACAGAGTAGGCCTATATGTATCTACTCAACTACATACTTTGTAACATAACGGGTGTATATATGATATGCCCTTGCTATACTCCAAAATTCGACACAATTCATAGTTTGACTACAGGAACATCCTTGTACATTAGTGAATAGACCTTTAGTTTCATGAATTGCAACGAATATAATAAAAGATAACAATTAACTGTTACCAGGGCTGTCCAAACCGAATCGAATATTTGAATATCTTTTCTGATTTTCGAATAATTCCAAATAATAGCAATTCTTAGCCGTTAGCGAGGGGTTTCGTTTTCGAGGGAAATCTTCTTATAACACTTATCACTTGAGTATTTTTACACTTCAGATTTTTTAAATTCAGGTTCCGCAAGTCGATTCAATATATTTGTATCGAGATACAAGTGGAATGTTCGTTACCAATGCTGAAGAATGTGATCCCAACTCATCGGTGATGGACCAAAGTATGTCAGAAACAAATCGATCATTTGTATCCAAAGAAAAGTCAACATCTTCACTCAAGCCAATGTCTGAACCAGAGCCAATGAGAAAGACTATGACGTAATTGCAACCTAATTTTATTGTTTAAATATGATTTGATAGAAATTTCACTCTTTTGGTTGACAAAAAATTGGTAAAATTGTGACGGATGCTTGTTGATGAATTCAAAGTAATGAAAGATCGTACAGGTTTTATGGGACAAACTCCTATCTTTCACCTTCTGTCTCAAGGATGCTTTAATAAGATGGAGTCATGAGTTTTCTAAAAGTTCAAGCAAGTTTTCACTAAAGCAAAGTCTGGTTTCGTCAAGTGTAGTACAAAACCAGTTTAATTAATTTAAGTGTTATAATCGGCGCTCCAGAAATGTGTATACCAATATGGAGGTACCGGTAACTAATTTTGTTCACCTACTTTACATCAAGTTGCGCAAAGGGACTGAAACCTGTGGGCAGGGGGTATAATCACTTGGCCTACACAGACAGTACCCGAACTTGTAATAGATCTAAAATGAGAAAAAATCGGAATAAAAAAATGGCCTAACCCTAACCTGGTTTACACACTATTCAAATATCATTTTAGCATCAATCATCAAGAGGTATTAAAAAATCATTTTAGGTTTTGAATGATTGTGCGTTATTAGCATTTGGTGAAGTATCTCAAAGATTTAAATTCACAACAGAGGATAATTTTGCTGAAATAAAACTTATTTCAAGTTGTGAAGTATCAATATTCTCAATTTTGTTTAGTACCAGTATCTCACTGGTTTATTCTTGCTTGTAACCTCATAAATTCTATTCTTAAGTGTTGATGAAGAAGATGAATTACTTTATGGAATATCTGAATCAAGTATGTTCTCAGAACAATCCAGTTTTCAGATGTCTTCAACTATGCCGACAACTTCAGATACTATGAATATGAAATCTTCAAAACAAGAAAATGAGAAAGATGCCACCTATTGGGCAATACTCGTACGAGCAAATAGAAATCTCGAGGTATGTTGAAAAGTAAAAGAAATAGGAATAATACTTTTTTTCTGAATACAGTAGGCGTGATAACCTTGTGGTTATAAGCATTGACATAACCGACCTATTTTTCAATTATAACAATTTAAAAACCTTTCATTTTAAACTTGTTTTAAGATGATTTCAATTTTAGAATAGGATAGGATTTATCCCAGGGGAGAAGAAAGCCGATAAGATGGCCGACCAGCGATGACGTGAACCACCCTATGGCGGCAGGGACTCCAGCAATCCTCTCACATATATTTATTCTCCATGGGATTCGGACCTGTGAACCCACGTAGGGTAATCAGATATGTGGTGACGAGCATATTCCTAACTCTTAGCATTTTGATCTGTAGCACTTAATCTCTTTCCTAGATTTACACTGTTCCAAATCTAACACTCGTATATGTTATCAAAAGCTTCTCAGTCGGCCATAAACTTATTGTTGATAGTTCTTCATCTCACTCATTCTCAAGTAAGTATTATTCATATTATATAATTGCATGATTGCCAATATTATTTTTTATACAATGAAATTGACTATTCAAACATAACGAACAATTTTTTATTCTTATGAGATGGATATATATATACCAGGGGTGCACAAATCAAATGAGAATATGCACTAAAGTTTTTAAAAAAATCCTGTCGCAATTGTTTATATTGTAAAGTTCATAATGTAAACAAACTTCCGTAAAACACATAACAACAAACTTGATCAAAACACATAATAACTATTCACTGGAACAATTTAATGCCCTGTCTTGAAGACGTTTTTGATGGACTAAATTTGAAATGTTAGGCTTCACAAAGAAAAATAGCGATATCACCAAGTTCCAATTCTTGAAAAAGCGAATTAATGGTAGCCTACTATCCTTCCTGGCAACAGAAGAATGCCAAAGGTGTTAACAAAAGGACGTCAAATCAAATAGTTTCTGAGTGAACCATGAGCTGGGCATCTGACAAGCTCATGGCGTACCATACCGAACACACACGCCTTGTACATCCCTGGTATATATTATGAAAATATATTTGAAATAATATCTAATAAGAAATTGGATAATTTAATTTTACTTCATCCATACCAGCTTCAGATAGTGAAAAACAAACAGAATCCAGATATGAAGGTAGTCCACCTGTATGGGAAGTTATGATGGTTGGATTTGGTCATGAAGCTTCTCATCCTTATCTATTGGTAAGCATAGTAGGATAGAGGACAATTTTCACATTTATTATGAGGGGGAGAAAAGGCGAGAAGATGGCCCAATCATATTGCGTACCATTCAAATTTACCTGTCCATATAGGGTATTGAAACAGTTAACAAGCTATTCATTTATCATTCATTAATGGTGGAGGAAGCCGTGTCCAGCCAATGGTTAACTGAACCACCCCACGTGGCCACTTAGAACTTTAGTTCCCTGCTCACTTAATTGTGACGGCAAGCTTTTTCCTATTGCTTAGCATGTTGTGCGAACCTCCGAAACGAATGGCATTTCAACGTTAAATCAAAGTTGCTGGTCTGCATGTGTAAAAATTTTGGAGCCACTGTACTAGAGTGATGCTGTTAATATGGATTCAATTTCTTTTTTCAGGCCAGAGTTGGAGACGAATTACTTATATACGAAGCATTCTCATATCGATCGAAATCTGATGCCAAAAAATTCAAAAGACCATCGCTACAACTCAGATTTAGAAAGGTGATTTTCAGTGATGAATATTGTGGATACCTTTCTGTTATTCAAGCAATAAAAAATGTGTATTTCTCGTACTAGGTTGACCATGGTAAATTAATGAGAAGAATGGCAGGTTCCTATAGTCCTCAGGATGAAAAAACAGCAAGAAAAGAGGATTCAGTGTCAAAGTTGCGATATTTTTCAAACATTGGAGGATATGCAGGGGTGAGTGACGCAAATGAACGTTTGTCGTTTTTCCCATGAATAAAATGAAGAATAATTAATTTGCTTTTACATGGACATAGAAAATACATGTTAGGAATGGATTGCTTCAAGTTCCACGTCAATCTTATTTGCTGTATTTGGTCTTGGCATTTTATTGGTCACTCGTAACTTTGCTCAGAAATAAGTCTCTTTTAGTTCTGGATGACTGTATGTGACTTTGCTTTACGCATATTCTAAAAAATTTACCTTTTTATCAAAAAATTTAAAAGTAATTTGGATTATAATTTTTTTTATTGCTTTCCAGGTTTTTATTTGCGGTCCATATCCTCACTGGTTGTTGATGACAGTTCGTGGAGCATTGCGTTGTCATCCAATGATTGTTGATGGAAGAGTCACATGCTTTGTTCCATTTCATAATATTAATTGTCCAAGAGGATTCTTGTATTTTAATGGACAGGTGAGAAACATTAATGTTCGTAATATTCATATTTGTTCATATTATTTGGGTATACACTAAGTGCCATACTTACGGTAGGTTTATTAATTTGATGTTGTATTCTGTTCTTGGAAAGCCAGGTATGCGGTTGAGTAAACTGTTTAGTAAAGTAGAAAAAAAGTCGAACCTTTAGTAAAGACAAAGATATATTTTAAATCCTATCAGAAATTTCGAAAAATGAACCAGCGTAAGGAATTGTATGTTGATAGACTACACTGAATTTTAAAGATTTTGTGATATTACTGCATTTACTTACATTTTTCTATCCTGCTTTACTTACTGTTTGTCCAGTAATTTATTTTTAATGACTTTCAGTGAGAATCTGCTTATTCAAATGAATCTTGATTTTTTTCATCAGGGTGAGTTGCGGATATGTGTGCTACCCACTCATATGTTGTATGATCATCCATGGCCAGTACGAAAAGTTCCTGTCAGATGCACTCCACATTTCATAAATTATTCTGTTGAACACAAGGCATTTAATTTTATTTTTTTTATAATTGAATTGAGTTGATTAGGAGAACTGTTGAGATATGATTTGAGTATAAACTAATTTTTTCGAGAATGTTCTGAATTTTTAGTCTGAAATATTTCAGTTTTTTCAATTTTTCCATTCAGTAATTTTTATTCGTTCATGTTAAGTAGTTATATTATGTTAGTATAAGATTTGTGTACGTTTGTTATTATGAATCGATAAATATAAAAAAGGAGTTTCAACATCTTTTTCAGTATATAAAATTTATCTACATTGCCAAAGTGGCTGAACAATTTAATATGATTCAAAATTCTCAAGTTCGAGTTTTTGAAAAAGTTGGTTTTAGTGTGTTCGAAACCTGAAAACTGATTTTTCATTGATTTTGCCTGCCAATAAAATACCAGGGTTGCGAAGAAAAATTTACACTAGACTCCAACCATCGAGAAATTCAGAATACAACTTTGACTCCAGTAGCCTATACTAAAAAAAATTCATGCTAATATGGCTCCCAAGTTCAAATTGAATAAAATTTCCATTACAACTCATAGAAAACCAATTTTTAATTACCTATGTTTCGGCGTATTCAAGCTTTTAAGTGATTGTTGACAATGCTTCGCTATCTCAATGCTACTTCTTAAGTTTCTGTAGGAAATTCTGATTTCGATTATCATTATTAAAGGATACAAAATTTCAACTCTGACCCCGACTCCAGGAAGTTTAAAAATACAACTCAGTCTCCACTGTTAATATAAACATGCAGAACTCCGACCCGGATTTCGAGTACGGCTTAACAGTCCTCATTCAGACTGATATTTTTGTTAGAATCTTTCATCATAGAAGCCCACAGACTTCTAAACATCATATATTTAGATCTACGCGTTAGTTACCAGCGTCGATGAACCTTGTACAAGAGTTCCATTCATGGGTCCAGATGGAGAAAGAGAATATGAATCCTTAGATGAAGGAGACAGATTTATTTACCCAACGATAAGAAAGTTTTCATTAGAATTATTCTCTCCTGTGGATTGGCAGATCGTACCCAATACCAGGTAAGATGAAAAGTTTTTTTTTCTTCTCAATTTCCTAAATGGCTTGCAACCTGTCGTTTTGTCAAACTGGGTAATTATGCAGTTCACATATAACAATCTTGGCTATAATTCAGTGTGACATTGCAATCTAGCCATTACTAGAATTAGGTTGCATGCCAGTAGTAAGTATGTCAATTTATAATTATTTTTCTAATCAAGTACCGGTATATAAATATATTATATATATATATATATCGTCCTCTCGTGTCGGGAATATTCTAAAAAAAATTCACTCAATGCAGGGGTTCTTATGTCAGGTATCAGTGTTTGCATATAAAATGACTTTTGGCTAACGTAAAGCTGGGAGATTAACAGAATTTAAAGAGCTAGCATGCTATTTATTCCAACCGTTTAGTATTTTATTTGGTAAAATATCCTAAAATGATTGTGTGTTGGAGTTATTACCTGTGATTGATTTTCCAAACAAAAAAATATCAAGTGTGATTTAATATCTGTCTTTACAGATGAAATTAATCATTGTGAAAAAAGGAAACAAATCAGATATGAACTCGAAATAAATATTTTTTTGTTTATCGACAGGGTTGATCTCGATGAATTTGAGCATGTAACTTGTATGTGCATTGTGCCATTACAAAGTACAAATTTTCATTCATCTCATCAAAACTACTTATGTCTTGGTACTGCAAACATTATGGGAGAAGAAATGGGAACAAGGGGCCGAGTGAGTAATTTGTACTACTAATACATACAAAACAGTAGGTGATTTTGATCGTTTTCATGCATCTGTGTTCCCTATTGAGCTTCGATTTGAATTTGTAAATGTGGCACTTGTCACGTTTTCGGCAATACCCATACATACTCGTAGTATTAGTTTGTTGTTTGTCAGCCTCAGGCCTCATTCAACTAGATTTGAATTTCTTACGTCTTTGTTGAATGAGAGCAACCGCATTTGATTTATTGTTTTCTACACTTCGTAGAAGTTTCTGTTCTGTATTTGTCGGTATTCTGTAGTTTTCAAAATAAAATATGTTAGATATGATTTCTATTATCAATCAACTGTTTCATCATCTATAAAGCATCAGCTCAACATATGTGTGTGACTATTTGTCTGAAATTATATCATGGTTGTAAGTCATTCAAATTCAATAATGTTGTTATTGTGTCAGATTTTGATCTTTGAAATAATCGAAGTTGTACCTGAACCTGGCCAACCTTTGACTAAAAACAAATTGAAGAAAATATATGCAGATGAACACAAAGGTCCCGTAACAGCATTATGTGGCGTGTCGGGATATTTACTTGCAGCAATCGGACAAAAGGTAGAATCAATTCATTTGCTTACCAAAGAATTAACATCACTTTTTATTTATTTTCAAAATTCTGGATTGTTTTTTTCAGATGTTTGTTTGGAGATTGGACGACAATAATTCTTTAAAAGGTGTTGCTTTTGTTGATACACAAATTTACACAATCAATGCATTTAGCTTCAAAGAATTTGCACTCATTGCTGACATACAAAGAAGCATCACATTGCTTCGATATAAGGTATGAAAGAGAAATGTCGCCGAAATGTGACGTCGGTTACCTAATTATAATTTTTTCGGCTTTGAAGAATTAGAGTTCACTTATGATGTGAGTGAGGTATGTACATTTGTGATACTCATCAATTATACACTCGATAGTGGCCACAGAGTTTAAACCACAATATGATTGTTTTTCAAAGAAATATGTATTGCAGTATGTAAGTATGTATGAGTATGGCACGTGGCTCCCTTCTGGAGGCTTTTGGCACTCATGGCTCCCCTTTTTATCATTCCAGCAGTATTTATAATGTTATTATGATTTGTAGATTCCAAATCCCATTATGTTCTAGCAATTAATGCTCAATAAAGTGTGAACACACTCTGAAATAACCTTATCAAGCAATGAAACTATGAAGAACAGGGTGTTCCCGTGTAAAGTGGAAAGTGAAATCAATTTTGCTCCAAGCACTGTGGTCCCCTCCAACTCCTCGGTGGCCCACTTGGGGGGGGGGGGCATGGGCCTTCGGTTGGAAACCGCTGAATTGTATTGTAATCAAATTTACGAGATGAAATTTGGTATTGGTCATATCTTGACTGCAGTATAAAATGAACTGACATACATACAGACAAGTAATAGTATTTAATCCTATAATATTTCTTTGAAAGTTGAGAATGTGCATTCTAAATAAATTTCTTGTTATCACGTCTTCATCCAGGACCAATATAAAACTTTGTCTGTCGTAAGCCGTGATGTTCGAACAATGGATGTTTATGCAACTCAACTTATTATTGACGGAACTTCACTGGCTTTTCTCGTTTCTGACAGAGAAAAAAACGTTACACTTTTTGTTTATAATTCTGAAGGTAGGGTATCTTTTATTTTATACAAACAATCTCCTGCAGTTTCCGTAAAATGCTTTCCATAAAAACCTGATTGATTACCTGTTATATCGATCTATGACTACTCGATATTACTTAACCTCTTCCATATTCAGATTTCAGTAAGGCACATAAAACAAAGGTGTTTGCGAAGGTGTTATTATGATATAGTATAGTTTCTTAAACCTTCGAAATAGAAAAACTGTTAATCAAACTGTCTTTTCTTTGTTCATCGTCTCTTGTATATCAAATGGGAAAGTTGAACTGGGATTTTCTAGTACTTATGGATCCAATTTGCAAGCTTCTATGACTTGTTTCATATTTTTTCATAAGCTGTTGAAAGTTCTGGAGGAACACGTTTACTCAGACGAGCCGATTTTCATGTTGGTGCTCATATAAATACAATGTGGAGGGTTTCAACTGTAGCATCTGATACCGCCAGTAATGCACCGAACGAAGTTTACTCCAAATCTCAAGTAACAATGTTTGGTAAGAAAACTTTTTTTATTTCATGCAGACAAACTGTTTATACATGCCAGTTCACAATCCAAGGTTTTTGTGACATTGCATGTGTGACGCTTAGTACCTAGAATGAAGTCTTTGACATACATGGACGCTAGGGTTTGGCACGCAGCATTGTATCTAAAATAAAGCCTCTGGCGAATATGAAAAGTGGGCCCCACAAATCACAATGTATATTGTAAAATCTAGTGTTCAGTTTGTGACATTGTATCGAGAATGCCGCTCGTCACAATACTATTATCTTGGCTGATGTTCTCTTGATCTGTTGCCTCAAATTTTCACTCTTAATACATTGGGGAAGCAAGACAAGCTGAAATCATATTTCGAACAGTGCGTGTCTAAACCGGACAACATGTAGTAACAGACAGTAACTGGTATCGGAAATTAAAGTGAAAGCATGCTGATATTTTAGAGATAAATATAATTAATGAAAATTCTAACTAATTGTGTTTCAAATGCTAATAGTCAATTTTAGTTGTCTTGCCATATGCAACTGAACTATTTAATGTTGTAGGTACATTGGATGGTGCAATAGGAGAGATCTTGCCAGTTTCTGAGAAAATTTACAGGAGATTACTAATGCTGCAGAATGCTATTGTATCTGGTATTCAACACATTGCGGGTTTAAATCCAAAATCATTCAGGTATTTGATGATTCTTTTTGAATTGATGAAGTTTGATGATAAATTTTCTTCTGATAATGTTGCATTCTTAATATTGTATTTCCAGAACGGTTGTGAGAGAACAAAAATCTCTTCAGAATCCAATGAGAAATATATTAGATGGAGATCTTCTGTGGAAATTTACTGGTCTAAGTTTTCATGAAAGACAGGAATTGGCACGAAAAATTGGAACTACTGCTGATCAGGTATGTAATGATGAGATAAATTTTTCATGAAGGAGATTTTTATTGTTATTGATGAGTGTGGTATGGTATGATTTGGGATATTACCAACTACTACCTCTATCATGCACTCTGATAAGTATTCGGAATGCGTTTGCCCTATTGCAGCGCCGAGTTTGCTAGTGGTTGAATGTTTCGTGTATTCGTGGGTTAGTTACATATTCCTCCGCCAAGCAGTTTTGTACCAAGCCTGGGCGAACACCTGACACTAGTGAGCAGGCAATTTATAATTAGTCTGTCTTATCGACCCTTTTCTCTGGAATATGGTACTCACATAGTATGTGTACCAGGTTAGGGCTGGGCAATAGTTTTATTACGATTTTTCTTATTTTAGTTCTATTACGAGTTCGGGGACTGTCTGTGTGAGCCAAGTGAATATACCCCCTACTCATAGGTTTCAGCTCCTTCACATAACTTGATGTAAAGTAGGCGAACAAAATCAGTTACTTCCATATTGGTGCACATACTTCTAAGTGCCAGAAATACTACATATCTTTTAGCGTGATACAATGTGGTATGTGGTACGGTATTGTGACGTTATCTGCACAACTTTTTATTGTAAAAGTGGATTTTTCAGTCAATGTCATCGAAATAATAAATTTGCTAACATTGGGAAATGAATCCAAAATCATTATCAGAGAGTCTACTATTTCTGGTCAGGGATAAAATATTTAATTTTTTTTTTAGATTCTTGATGATCTGATGGACATACATCGGGCTACTTGCGTTATGTAATGCCACAACTCACTCAATCATATGCTCTTAGTTTGAATATTCTATTTGAATAAAATAATGTGGAAGCGTTTATTTATCTACAGAATAGTATTAAAAATGTATTGCTTGTAATCGTAGGTTTAGAACAGTTTCAGGATCCTGCGAAACTTCACTTATTTATCTAATTGCTTGTATCAGTGATATAGTTACTTCTGTGATCTCAGATTGGTAAAAGAGCATGCGGCCCGCGAAGCAACTTTTTGCGGCCTGCGTCATGGTTGAGATTTTTCCACAAAAAAAAACTAAAATGGCACGATGTCAAGTGACTTGTCAACTATGAGTAAGTTGTATCGTGTTATTTTTAGGAATGGGACGAGTCCGGTATTACAGAGATTCGACGAATCCGAGTAATAGGTCAAGGACTCTAATCGAATCCTCCGAGTCCGTGACGTCACAATGTAAAAGTAGAAAAACATGTTTTTGACCATACTACAGCATCGCGCGCTGGCAAACATACGTCGTAGCTCATATTTTTTGCCCAATGGTTCCGCAGATAGCTGTTGAATCAGTTTGAAAATATGTTTTTCATTTTTTTTTTTGGCGACCATAATACAAACGTAAACGTGGGTCAATGTGCGTCTTGGCTGTGAACTGGATTTCCAGCCCCCACCACCTTGCGTCAATTCTGCGCAGCTATTCGGAAATTCTTACATGTCAATATGAAAAATAAAAAGCTTTTGACCACAATGCTTTCCCATAATTCCAGATATTTCTAGCCTTGAATTTACTTTGTCGCGTGTGCAAATGGTAAAGAGATGCCACTCGTCGTCAATACAATGCTTGCAATTTAGTAGTTCATGTAAACGTTCTAAAACGCTCCATGTTTTCCATTGCTTCTTTTTTAGAGAAAGGATTTCACGTAATAAACTCGATTTAAAAGAGGTATTGATGAGATTCCCCCTTGGGTTGATTCTGCGCATGTTTCATATTTATTTACGAGAATTGAAAACCCAAAAATATTGCGCTGACACATATTTTATTGTGTACCACCTGTATACCAAAATGAATAGATAGTTTGAAGGCGACTAGCGCGTCATTGTTATATTAGCTATCAATAGTTTTCAACTTGTGTTATATTATTTGGATATCTGTCGTCGTTTTTATTAGGAGTGTTTATAATACACACGAGTGATATTGTTACATATCTTACCTTGAATTTCAACCAGTTAAGGTATGTAGTGAGATTTATATTAGGTAAGTACGAACATAGGCGTTAGTTAGTAAAAAAAAATTGATTATAGACTTTGTAAGAACGACGTGGATTCGAATCCGAGTCCGGATCCTAATTCCGGCCCATCCCTAGTTATTTTTCGACATCAAGAGTCCTGTCTAACAAACTTTAAAAAGTGAAATTTCCTTCTGTTATTCCACTTTACCACGTTCATATTTTATTCTGTGGATGTTTCCCCATGCACTGATTTTCTTGTTTATATTCGTAACAATTACAAATCGGCAATAAGTTAACAACGAGAATATCGGTCAGAGACCGAAGACTTGTCGATCGAAAGTCAGGGGAGCCCCCAAAACAGAAACTGCGGTTTCGATTCATTCGCTCTTACTCCACAGCGCCTCGCTAATTAATCCACATAATTCATCCAAAATCAATAGGCTTCTGGTCCGAGATATGATGAATGCACATGCAAAATTTATGCCCGGCTCAGACACTTCTTTCACTCAGACATATATATATCAAGCGCGATTGTAAACATTGTTGTCTCTTTTGGTAGTTTTGCGAGTTACTTTTCAGTTTTTAGTTGTTTTCAAAAATAGTTGAAACTAAAAGGACTTCATTATCATTGTGACTTCTGAGTACCTTTAGTAGGGGTGGGCATTTCGAATCGAATAGTAAGTTATTCGAATCGGTTCAGAGCTGAACTTCGAATCGCCGCCTTCTTGTTTTTATCTTTCCGCTAATGGTCAAGGTAAATTCCCGAAGTTTTTTTTCACTGGAGTCATATTTTTTCAACGAAATTCTAGCATATATATGACTATTTCCTGTAGTGAGTTATTCTGTGGGAACGCTCAGTAATCTCTCTGAGTGATTTATTCTATGTCTTCAGTCAGTAATTCATTTGTTGAGAGGACCAATTACTATGATAAAGTCGCTTACAATTATATATTTTCGAGATTCGATTCGAAAAAATTATTCGATTCTATTCTGAAATCACAAGGTATTCGAAAATGCCCAGCCCTAACCTTTAGTTTAGTTACAATAATCCAAAATTGATACCGCAAACACTGCGATAGACTAGCCTAAAATGGCACGTGGTTCATTGTTTTGCATAAAAATGGTAGGTTGAACATGTGAGCCAGTTTGTAAGCGATAACTCTCTAAAACACTCTTAAATTCAGCGTTGGATAGGTACAATCATTCAGGGTTCAATTCAAAGACCGGTGAAACATCCATTGTGATTCAATAATTCTATTTCGCATTTTTATTATGACGAAATAAACAAGTTTCGGTAAGACCATTGAAGTATGCAGCTATCAATCATTAATTCTGAACAAGGGCAGTTAAAGCGCATAGAATGAAGCACTTTTCATAAAGTAGTAAACCCATGCGCAATGTCCACGAAGCGTAAATGTGCGGAAGAGCACAGAATATTTAAGAGAAAGGGTGGGATCTGCATTTTGTGCGAAATTATAATAACAAGGTTCAGCGTCTCATATGCTGTGCGATTATTGCTGTTCGAAAGAAATACAACATCCGCACATGAAAAAATACTATTTCTATACTGAAACAATTCGTCACGAAAAGGTATCGCAATTAAAATTTTCACTGATGAAATAGAGAAATTTTTTCTCCGACATAATTAAAACTTGTGAAGCCTCGGTGAAAGCGAGCTTTGTCATGGGTGAGATGATTGCGAAATCGTCGCGTTTTTGCGTTGATTTTTAACGGAGAGTATATTTTAATGGCTTGTGAGTTTATTTTAATGGTTTTTCAACAATTAAAGTTAACAAATCAGCCTTTCGCACACGACTAATCGACGAGCATTTGCATGCTATCTTAAGACTAGCAAACCAACGCAATGTTTCATGTCTCGTTAGGTTAAAGGTAATTCAAGTGTAATTTTAACAAAAGCATTTCTTTCGTTATTTTGTTTGTATCAATTTTGTACCTAATTTGTTAGTTTGCGGCCCGCGTCGACAATGAAGTTCAAAAATTGGCCCGTGACCTATTTTGAGTTGAAGACCCCTGGTATATATATATGGTTCCATTACATTTGAACCCACGTACATTTGAACCCACGACAACTGCACCTGCATACTATTGCACCTATGGATTTTTTTTGTCGTACGGATATTTGAACCCATACTAACCCTAACCCATGAGGTTTAGCACCCACATATAGATTGAACCCACGGATATACACATGAGTTCAAATGTACGGTCACCTATATATATATATAGATATGTTAAAGTGGAATTAGTTTTCGAGTTCCAGAATACAGGTTGAAATAAAGTGAGAAAACTATTTTGATGACAGCATCAACAACTTATTATATATATGTATAATATTTAAATGCAAAAAATATTCTTATATATATTAAGATTGCCCTTATACACAAAAAGTTACTTTGGATGATTGTTTCGAATTCACTTCGAAAAATGATAACTTCAGATGAACGTTGACGTCACTATCAGCTCCATTTTCCAAACCACACAATTTCTTCATTTTGTTTATGCTTTCATCTAACAGATCGGGTTCATGATGCATTTCCATCCATTTTGAAAACTCATTGTACTCAGGAATACCCAAAATGTATTTTCTCAACTTATCCAATGGCAATGTGACAGTACCAACCAAGTGGTCATTCCTGAACTTTTTCACGCCTGATATTTTTTGAAAAACGTTTGGTAACCGCGAACAAATCTCATATATCGGCGCAGAATTGGTTTTGAACCAGTGTTTTGCTTGTTTTAGGTATTTTGCAAAGACTGGCATTCCAGAATCATATCCATGAATTTCGCTTCGTAACAAAGTGATGCCAGCAAATTCAAAACCAGTAATAATTGCACACCCCGACAATTTCAAAACTCTTTTACATTCCTCTGCAAATTTTCAACGCTCATGAAATGAATAGAAAACACGCTCCATATTAGATCTACCGTGTTTTCAAGAGCCGGCATATTGCTCTCATATCCAATGATGTATTGAATGTTGTCACTAACATTTTTCTTGTTGGCCAAATTTATTTGTTAAATCCAATGATCTCTTTAAAATGTTTAGCAAACATTGGGTATTACCACCGCCACCACACCCCGCGTCCAGCATCAGATCATAACGTCGTTTGTGTGTCTGGTTCGGGTCAAGTTGAACTAAACAATCAATTGCATACTTTCTTATAATATCTGGATATTCGATCATGCCACGCTCGAATTTCTTAACAACATCTTTTTTTTTAAATAATCTTGCATCCATTCAAGACAGCCGTGTAGGATATTTTTTGAATATTTCGATATGCTTCAATACAATATATATAATTGAGATAAATATTTTTTTGGAACACATTGTCATTGCAAAGGAGTACAGTGATATGAATACGCCACCAGCATTTGATAGATATATATTCACCAAGCGAGCTAAATAACCAAGAACGACAGCGTTGTTCAGAAAGAAAAGGTGGCCAAAATAAGACTGCTAAAAATACTCATCTTTCTGACGAGTATCTGATGCAAGGTAATAATCTACCTGCTAGACCAGTGATTCCCACAACCTGTGGTACGCGTGCCACTACTACTGGTCCACTAGTGGCACGCGGAATCTTTTCAAGTGGTACGCGAGCAGTTTGAAATACTGCAACAATTAACTTTTGAGTTGGCTGAAATTCTGGCGACAACGGGTTTATAGCGCTAGCAGGTCTTGTCTTGAGATCGCCCTCGACCGCTACTGCCCACCTAAAACGAAACGAGACGATGGACAGCGCTTACGGCAGTCAACGCAAATTAATACGTTGTTACTGCATAAAATTAATACGTTGAAATTTTGCACAAGTATCTAAAATGGATGTAGCACCACATAAAATAC